TAAGTAAGGTATTCTAAGGAGCTAATAGACTATATAGTTTACTTATTAATATCGCTACTAAGTATAGTTTAAAACTACGCGCGTTCGCTCTATTAGTAATAACTTAATAGGGTACTTAGTTCTATATCGTTAATGCGCTAGTAGAGAATAAGTAGTTACTCGAGATATTAGCTCGTCGATATAGTAATATATTCGGAGGTACTAACGCTAGTATAGTACCCTTAGCATTAATTAAGAGCGCGCACTTCTAGCTCTAAATCGAGCAACTCTATTAACTACTATTACCTTTCTATTATATATAGGTTACCTCTAAGAGCGATAGATCGACGGTCGTAATAGTACTACCGAGATAGAGAGATCTACGCGCTAATCTATACGAAACTAACCCTCCCCTACCTTACTTAGACGAGATTTTAACGAGGTTAGATGCGCGATTAGAGACTTAAACTTATAATATTTACTACGCCGCGAGAGCGCTCGACTGCTCTAATCTATAAGTTATTAATATGCTACCTAACGATTATCTACGCGCGAAGAGATTCTTTAGGAAGTACGTACTAACTAATAATTAAGACACCTTCTTCGACGACCTCTCGTACTTCCGGCGACGACGAGAGCACTTCTTAGACGCGTACCTTTAGTTAAAATTAGAGAAACTAGAGGTATTTTAGGACTATATCTCCCCTCTTACTCCTATAATTACTAAAATCGCCTTACGTCTCTTCTAAACCCTTACGAATTTAGTCCCTACTAAACGAGCCTTCTTAACCTTTAGTTTTATTTAGAACTTCTTTTATACTAAGATAGGGACAGTTAAAATAGACTAATAGTGCTACGTCTACTTAAATTCGCGGGTAGTTATACGTTAACCCTAGCTCGAGGGTTAGAAGCGCGAACTTAAGAGGAAGAGACTAGAAATTACTAAATCTAAGGGTTAGGAGCGTAAGAAGTTACGTATAAAATACCTTACTTTCTTAACCTCTTAATAAGAGGTACCTCTCGCTAAGTAGAATATAACTACTAAAGCTACCGTCGTATAGTAAGAGGCTATATCGGCCGTTATCTAAAAGGACGAATTCGACGAGAGATCTAGTTAACTCTCTTAACCCTCTTAACCCTCTTAATCCTTTTAATCCTCTTAACCCTCTTAGTAGTACACCCCTCTTAGTAGCTTTCCTCCTTCTCTTACTACTATAGAGCCGTAACTATACGTTTATAGCTCGTAACTTTCGATATAGGGAGAGTCGTACTAATAACCTCTTTATATTAATCTAGTAGGAGGGTACTACCCTCCTATCTACCCTATCGAGAGCTAGAGACATATTAAGGCGGAACACTCGGTCGACGTTAGAGAGGTATATAATAGTAACCTAACGTAAACGAACGACTCCCTCTAAGTAGAGTATATTAAAATGATCGATTTTTGGAAGTAAATTATTTTAACGATTTTACCTATTATAACACGCCTAAATGCCAATTTTATATAAGAAATCGACCGATTCACCGTGCTCCCGCGGGGACGTCATTTCTGAAGCACAAAACGTCATATTCGGCGACTTCCGACGGTCAGTTTACCGTAAGCAACTTACACGGGTAAGTTAGTTACGTAAACTTACTTACTGGTTACTTACGCTCAGCACCCCTACCCTGAAGTGCTGGATGCAACCAAAGCAAACCCGGATGTCGGAAGCTCGGGGAGAATCGAGCCCAAATCAATGACATCAACCTTGTTCGACCATCCTCACTTTCTGACGCTAACAATTCATTGCATACCATACTTTAGCTACGCAACAAAGCTACGCCAACACATTCTTTAGAAGAGGAAACAACATGTACTTGACGCCTTGAAGGAATAACCGGAAATACACATTCCCTTTTTTTGAAATTGTGCCGCAAAGGAATAGGACATGACAGATGGCGGCCAGAAACACAAGTCGTCGGCGGGTAAGTTCCCAATCGCTCTTTGAATGTCTACAGCCCTTGACAGTCATACGACTGGCAAAATGTTCGGCGACTAACACTATTGTTCTCAGCATTCCACTTCGCAGCCGGTCTGGGCTCCGGTGTGACAAGCGCCTTCCTCCTCCAACCCGCCGACCTCCTCAAGACCCGAGTGCAACAATCGCCGAGTGGATCCCTTTCAATTGCCCTCAAGACTGTCCTCGCAGGACCTTCTCCAATCCGGTCGTTATGGCGCGGCACCACACCCTCAGTGATTCGCACAGGAGCAGGCTCAGCCCTCTATTTCGGCATGCTCAACCAACTACGTCGCGCAACCTCTATAACAACGACAGGCCTTGATGGCAAGTCAACCACAAAACTGAGCAATGGCGCGAATCTGGCTACAGGAGCTGCGGCACGAGCTTTGGCTGGATTCGTCATGAGTCCGGTTACCGTGTTGAAGGTGAGGTATGAGAGCAGTTTATACGCCTATACCTCTCTCTCTTCTGCCGCAAAGGACATCTTCAAAACCACGGGCGCAAAAGGCTTCTTTGCTGGTTTTGGCGCAACAGCAATCAGAGATGCGCCATACGCAGGGCTATACGTGCTTTTCTACGAGCAGTCCAAGATAACCATCTTTGGACACCTGAACCTCGCAACCCCGATCTCCAACTTTGGGTCTGGAGTACTAGCGGCGGCAGCAGCGACGGCGGTTACAAATCCTTTTGACGCTGTTAAAACGCGTCTGCAATTGCAGCCAGAGAGGTATAGGAATGCGGTTTCTGCGGCGAGGAAAATGATAGCGGAGGAAGGGGCTATGTGTTTGTTTGACGGGCTGGGGATCAGGATGGCGAGGAAGGCTGTTAGTTCTGCGTTGGCGTGGACGGTGTATGAGGAGTTGATCCGGAGGGCGGAGGAGAGGATTGTGGTGTAGAGCATATGACGATCTTGGCTTCTTCTTTGCAACATCAGCCTTGGAACAGGGCTGTACAGTTATGCTCAGGAGTTGTGGACCGGGTGCGATTGCCGTTTGGAGGTGTGTTTGGGAGTAGCTCTTGCCTGTTTAAAAGTCCACTTTTGGCTGCTGATGTTTACAGCTCTTGTTCTCTTCACCCAGCCTCTTTCTATTCGCAACACAAGTTACAAGTTCATCTTCACAATGGTAACATCATCTGTGTTTAGGGTTTGTCTGCTCAGCAATGTCGGTTCTGGCCGTCAATAGCAGGCCTACCCCCCATGAAGCCCCCGAACAGCAACTGGCTAGAGCTTTCATCACCACCTATCAAACAATCCATCTTACCTCAACAAAGCATGTCCCAGGGTGGTCGCACACTCAAGGATATTCTTCACAATGGAGCTCTGATGAAACCAGTTCGTATTTCAAATCAACTCTGTCCCCGCCAAGGGTCCGCAACCCAAAGTCGACTCCACTCTATACTTCTCCACAATATGGCATGACTTGATGTGTCCAACCTCACTACATCAGTCAAAGACATACCTCGCCCTCCTCATCAGGACGCAATAGACTTGGCGGCAACCAGAGCGAGACACGAACTCTCTGCCAACAAGCAATTTCACAAGTTTGAAAAGTACATCTATGCCAAGATTGATTATTGTGGTCAGGTGAACACCAGAAGTAAGTTGACTCCTTTTCTCCATACCTCGAAGGCTACAGAGAACCAAGTACTGATATGAGCTAAAACATAGCTCTGGAAGCACTCTTCTGGAGAGTAAACTACAGCTGCCACAAGCAATGGCAAAAGGAACGTGCACAGAAGAAGCACCAGGTAGAGGCTTCCAAGCCTAAGACTACAGCTTCTGGTCTTTCTGCTACTGCTCCTGCTCCTTTCTTGACAATGACCAACCCTCCACCTCCATAAGCTCAGGCAGATCAGCAAGAGGAGATGGATGCTGTGTATGAGGACCCCGAGATGGAGGAACCTGATGGTGATGAGTTCTACATGGGAGATGTTGAAATGGAGGAGAGTGATGTGATGGAGGATGATGAGAAGTAGATGGAAGGCACTGATCTACTGTTTATGGTAACTGGGGAAGGCGTGGTGGCGGGAGAGCCCAGAGGGGAGGAATTTGGTAGTTGGCTGGAGAAGAAAGGTACCCCTTGGCAGTATAGTCTTTTCGCAGCTCTGATTCATGTAATCTTTAATTATTGTTTCTGTATCGATGATCTTGTTTTGGACTTGCTCGCTGTGTGGTTGTCAGCCAAGTTGTGTCTTCCTGGCCAAATATGAACTTTGACCCGAAAGCAAGGTTGTCGCAATCCAGGACTAGGGCGATACTTCCGAATCTCGGTGTCGTCTAAATTGCATTAAATAACCATCATTGATGCATAAGTAATGCAGAATAAGCCACACTTGCCTCATCGAAGAAAAGAAAAAAGTAGGACACGACTGACAGGGTCATACCGATTACAAAGACGTAAAGTCAGGGTCATACACCACAGCACAGACTTGGTCATCCCTCCTCACATGCCAACATCACAATAATTCAAGTGGCAGAGGCTGACGTTGCGGAAGAGGCAATGGCGGTCTGGTGCGCTGCGCTACCGTGGGATCAACAGTAGGATAGCGTGAAGATTGGAGAGGTAGCTTAGGAGGCTTTGACAGTTGTTTTCGGAGGGGTGTGCCAACATGGAGGGAGGGGGCTTGCTTGGCACGGAGAGTGCTGGAAGCTTGAAGGGTCGACGAAAGTGCCGAGAGCGGCGCAGAGGACTGCGGCAGTAGCGGAGGATCGATTATCTCTAGAGTTTCAGCAGACTGACACAAGGTCACGAGAGGTGCAACAATACCATCTCCACCAGGCTGAACGTCTTTGCCACCACCGGGATGAGCTGGAGAGCTTATAGCACTATCGATCTTTTCGCTAGCAACCTCTTCTTCTCCGGTACCGTAATCACTATCAGCGTCATCATCGTCTTCGCTGTCAGATGCGATTGCACCTGAAGAGTCTGAGCCAACAGAAAAGACCAGGACACGCGGAAATTGTTGCCTGCGGTATCTTTGTTGCGACCCTCGGCCTTGAGCAAACTCGGTCTCTGCCTCTCTGTTTACAGAGGCGCGAGTGGAAAGCAGAGATGAGATGATCGAATCTTTTCGTGCTTTGACAATCTCTTGCTTGCGGAAGCAGACAGGGATCCTCACGCCTTTATTGTTTCTGACTCTGGGTCTGATTGGCTCACAACGGGTATTTTCGTTGGTTGATTGGCATTGGACTTCGCATGCTGAATTGTCTCTGGTGTACTCTTTGGTGGTGGGCGAAGAGTTTGGAGGCGAAATGTCAAACCCGCGCTGGAGGATGCAGCCTTCTGTGGTGATGCTGATGCCATTGTCATCTTGTTTGTCCTCTGGCGAAGATGGCTTGTCTGCTCCTGATTGTTCAAACGCGATTCTGGCCAGCCAAACATCAGAGCGGATGCGATGCAAAACCTCCTGAGGAGGCGTGTTTGGCAAGGGTGCCATGTCACGCATGGCACAATGACCCGCAATGCGTATGGCACTTTCTCTGATGGCCATCAACTCATCATGTGTCAGATCTTGACGGTATGCGGTCGGTGGTCCGCGGGGTGCCAGAATCGGTGCAGAGGCAGCTCGGCCTTTCGCAGCATCTTGACCATCGATAGGGGAATTGTTGGAGAAATCTTGGCCATCGCGACCGTCAAACGGATCGGGATCGGTACCCGAAGGCTCCGAGGAGGCACAGATGGCTGTCTGCCTGAGATTGGCTCTCATTCGATCAGCTCTGTAGCGGATGTCCCCTTCAGTGTACTGGAAGGTCGGTCTTTTGACCCTGTGTACGATATGTGCTGTCTCGTGTAGGGAGGCGTAGACTTGGGAGGGGACCTTCTTCTTTTGCTTTGGAGGTAGTTGTTGTTGGGGAGGCACACTGCTGGTGCAGGACGTAGTGTGTTGAGCTGCAGGATACTGGCTGCTTCGATTTTGGTAGTTGGAGCAGCTTCGTTCGAGTTCTTTTCGACATTTCTCCAAGTTGTGTTTCCGAGCCAGACCTGATAGGAGAAGTCAGAAATAGAGAGCCAAATTGGAGGCAAGGAAGCGTACCAGTTCCAGCAATCATTTCATAGATAGTGTCCATTCCCAGTAGCTTCCAAGTGATTGTGGCAAGAGGGCTCGATCACGAGATAGAAAATCCAATGATGTTCGCGCTGTGAGTCGATGGCGGAAGAAGCGCACGGTGTGAGATGTACCTAGTGACCGGAACTGCGCAACGACGTGGTGCGCTGAATTGGCGACGGTCTAGGACAGACAAGATATGCTTCGAAGAACGATGCGAATGAGATGTCCTCGAGGAAGGATGTGATGCTAATTGAATGATGCTCGGATGTGAGTCTCCAGCAGAATGAGACTAAGTGAGAAGACGAGAAGATGCATTGGTCGCGAAACTAGTGCACGCTGTGAATATCCTTCGCGCTTGCCGAAGGAGTGAGAGATTCTGACCACAATCAGGGATGAATGAAGTGAAGACTCTGCGCACAAGATTAAGATAGGTGAGGGAAGGATGATGTGAAAAGAAATTGAATAGGACATGGACAGGTGAACAGACTGGTCCGACTGCCTGTCTGCGGAAGTGATGTTTTCTGGACAGTAAGACAGGAAAGCACGCCGTCTTGCTCCTTCTTACCTTCGATTGCGCCACAGCCAGCTCCATCTCGGCTCATGACTTACGGTCGTTGCATTGCAAAGCATCCACTTACAGCGAAATAATCCGCAGATTGGTCCTCCCCGTATGCGAAAGACCGTCACACTTGAAGCTGTCCTAAGGCACGAACTTCTTTAGATCTGGGGGCGATGCCACCGAGATACATCTCTTCAACGACTCCCTGCTTTAGATGTGTCGAGAACAGATATGACTGTGCCTTTGTACAGCTCGTCGTTGCCCTGCTTATCATTGCGGAGAGAGGGTGTGACAGTATTCTGCACACGGGGATGGCGGAAGGAGGTTCGACTTGCCCCACACGCGAGCTTTGATCACAGAGCCTCACGCTTGATTTTGAGTTGCCTCCGTGAGACTGGACACAGAACCGTATTCCGCCAGGAAAGCTGCGCATTTGCTTAGTTGATTGCGACCGGAAGTCATAAAATACAGACTAATGATTGTCACATGGGCACCGACGAAGGGAAGCATAATTCTGTGGTGGGGGGTATCATTATCCCTGGGTTTTGCTTTCTTTTTTCAGTTGTACGCTTTATAAAATGCATGACATGAAGCTCATTAACCCATCACTGACTGCGAGACATGCCGCTCTCATTGTGATCATTGCAACGAAGAGTTTCAGCGGTCTCGACCAGTCAAAACCAACACCTGGGATCAGATGCAGGCGATCTGCCGACGTGAACTCTTGGTTCGGTGCTGGATAAGCACTTTACAGCTTCTGCATGGCAGCGATATCACTGGACTGGACGTGGTCCTCGAACTCAGCGATCTGCTCCTGGAGCTCATCGAGCGAGACCTTGTCGTCCTCAACGACCAAGTTGATCTGGAGCTTCTTGACACCGTAACCAACGGGGATGAGGGTAGAGGCACCCCAAACGAGACCATCCTTCTCGATGGAACGGACGTGCTGCTCGAGCTCCTTCATGTCGGTCTCATCGTCTGCGGGATGTAGTCAGTATGAATTCGATACGCCTTCAGAGATCGAGCGAACTCACCCCAGGGCTTGACGTCCATGGTGACGATTGACTTGGCAGCGGGCTTCGTCTTGCCGGCCTTCTTGGCGGCGTACTCAGCGAGGCGCTCCTCACGGATACGGGCGTGCTCAGCATCCTCCTCCTCGTCATCGGAACCGAAAAGGTCGACCTCATCGTCATCCTCCTCCTCGGCGTTGGCGGTGGCCTTTGAGGGGTTGATGGTGAGCTCAGCGGACTCGGGACCGTAGGCAGTGAACTCCTTGGTGGGGTCACCGGGCAGCGAAGAGAACTCGGACTCGAAAGAGGCGATGTGCTTGTACCAGCGGGCGGCGTGAGGGTACTTGGCGACCTCGGGCGAGGACTTCAGGGCCTGGAAGGTCTTGACATCGGCTTGGGAAGGACCGTAGCTTCAGCTTGTTAGCTGGGTGTTGCTGGAAACAAGTTGAGATGACAATGTAGTGAGGTTGGTGAGATATCAGTGTTGCGACAAGCGCATTGTTTTAACATCGTGTAGCGGGGTCTTAAGCCGCCTCAGAAACACGGACCAATTTATTTACATCCTGCAAAGCAAAAAAGGGAGGGGTAGGTGGTGAGAGGAAGCTTTCGATACATACCCAACGATGTAAGAACGGGTCTTGGTCCAGTTCTCAAGGACTGATCGCAGGGTTAGCCCAATGCTAAATCAAGGCGCCGAGCATGACGGGAGGAGCGTACGAGTGAGGCCAGCGTCGGAAATGAAATCGATGAAACCCATTTTGTGTATGTGGTATGTCTAGATGAGAAGAGAGAAAAAGGGAAAGGATACGGGGAAGTTGAGGCAGACTGTTGACGAGGGGCTCGGGCGGTGACTTGCAATTTTTCTCCATCCGCGGTTTAACCGGATGAGCTCTCACTTTCGAGCCCGCTCTTGGCGTTGTTTCCGAGGAGCTTGGACTCGGTGACATCGACATTTTCGAGAAGCGCCTAGAAGCATCATCAATTGCCATCCTGCTGCTGTAGTTCTCGTGAAAGAATAAGTATATCAAGCTGCTTCCTGCACGGTGACTTTGACTCTTCTGTTCAAGCAACGTAGTCTCCTAATCATAATTCACAATGCTTGCAGCAAGAAGCAAATGTGTGTCGCGTGTTGCCACACTGCGCGCGAACTCATTAGCAGCACTGGCTCGATCCAGTTTACGACTAGTATCACATCCACACCCACCATCGACGACATCCCTCCAGCCTCTGTTCTCACAGATACGCACATATGCTCGCGGTGGTCGACCGCATCCTCCAGGAGGTACACATCGCATGAACTTGGGTGAAGAACCTGAAAAACCTGCCCTTGAACAATTCGGTATCGACCTTACCCAGCGCGCCAGAGACGGCAAGCTCGATCCCGTGATTGGAAGAGATGCCGAGATTCAACGAACAATCCAAGTCCTGTCTCGACGTACTAAAAACAATCCTGTTCTCATCGGTTCAGCCGGAACAGGCAAGACAGCCATTCTTGAGGGTTTAGCGCAGAGAATCGTCAGAGGAGATGTTCCGGAGAGCATCAGGGAGAAAAAAGTCATATCCTTGGATCTTGGTGCATTGATAGCTGGTGCCAAGTTCCGTGGCGACTTCGAAGAACGTCTCAAGAACGTCCTGAAGGAGACACAAGAAGCCGAGGGCAAGGTTATCCTCTTCGTCGACGAGCTTCATACCCTTCTTGGTCTCGGAAAGGCTGAAGGTAGCATTGATGCCAGTAATCTCCTTAAGCCGGCTTTGTCCCGTGGTGAGCTGCAGTGCTGCGGTGCCACCACCTTGAACGAGTACAGATTGATCGAGAAAGATGTCGCGCTTGCTCGTCGTTTCCAGCCTATCCTCGTCGGCGAACCCAGTGTTCAGGATACAATTTCCATTCTCAGAGGAATCAAGGAGCGTTATGAGGTCCACCACGGTGTTCGCATTACGGACGCCGCCCTTGTCGCTGCTGCAACCTACAGCAACCGATACATCACCGACAGATTCCTGCCAGACAAAGCCATCGACTTGGTGGATGAAGCTAGCAGTGCCCTCCGGTTACAGCAAGAGAGTAAGCCCGACGCGATCCAAAAACTGGATCGCGAAATCATGACCATCCAGATTGAACTTGAATCCCTGCGAAAGGAGAAGGACATCGCAAGTAAGGAGCGTCGAGAGGAGCTCGAGAAGAATCTCACGCTCAAGCAGGATGAGGTTGGCTCGCTCACCGAGAAGTGGGACAAGGAGCGAGCTGAAATCGAAGAGGCCAAGGGGATCAAGGAGAAACTTGAGAAGGCACGCCTTGACCTCGAGCAGGCCCAGAGACAAGCCGATCTCGCTCGCGCAAGTGAATTGCGTTACAGCACCATTCCAGATCTGGAGAAAAGGCTGCCGAACGAGAACGCAGAAGGAGCTGTCGATTCGGACGGAAATGCTCTGCTGCATGACTCGGTCAACGCAGACGACATTGCTGCAGTTGTCGCACGTACGACAGGCATTCCCGTGAACAAGCTGATGTCAGGCGAAATCGAGAAGCTTGTCCACATGGAAGACACTTTGCGTCTCTCCGTCCGTGGTCAGGACGAGGCACTGACAGCTGTTGCAAATGCTGTTCGTATGCAGCGTGCAGGTTTGAGTGGTCAAAACCGCCCTCTGGCGTCATTCATGTTCTTGGGACCCACTGGTGTTGGCAAGACTGAACTCTGCAAGAAGATGGCCGAATTCCTCTTCTCTACCGAATCTGCCATCACTCGCTTTGACATGAGTGAGTTCCAAGAGAAGCACACGGTCAGTCGTCTCATTGGTAGCCCTGCCGGATACGTTGGCTACGACGAGGGTGGTCAGCTCACAGAGGCTGTTCGCCGCAAGCCGTACGCGGTCTTACTGTTCGACGAGTTCGAAAAGGCACACAAGGATATATCGACACTTCTATTGCAGGTTCTTGACGAAGGCTTCCTCACTGATGCTCAAGGACACAAAATCGACTTCCGCAACACCATGATCGTGTTGACATCAAACCTTGGAGCCGAAGCGCTTCTCACCGACGAGAGCGCCAGCAGCGAGATCTCTTCAGAGGTCAAGCAGAATGTCATGGATGTTGTGCAATCTGCATATGCTCCCGAGTTCCTCAACCGTATGGATGAGTTTATCATCTTCAAGCGTCTATCACGCGAGGCATTGAAAGACATCGCCGACATTCGTCTCAAGGAGCTGCAGACTCGACTCGATGACCGCCGAATCAAACTTGAGGTGACGGACGAGGTCAAAGCATGGCTGTGCGAGAAGGGGTACGAGCCTCGTTACGGAGCTCGTCCTCTCAACCGTCTCATTTCCAAAGAGATTGGCAATGGTCTCGCAGATAAGATTATTCGTGGACAAATCAAGACTGGAGACGTGGCTAGAATTGCTGTAAGCTTCAATGGAGAACATTTAGAAGTTCTCGCACCCGAGTCCTCATGATCAAACAACTGTCTCGTTGGATGTTCAATGAAGTATAATGCATAGCAAGGAGTTTCGGATGACTATGGGGATAGCATGGTCTATAGACCTGATATATAAATACGTAAGATACCTCTCAATAACGAAGACATTATTTATGACAAACAGTTCCCCACTTCCTGCGAAACTTGAATGCACAATGTGATGTTTACGTCGGAAGGTGCAATCTGAGATGGTGGTCGTGCCTTCCCAGATACAACGCCAGCTCAACCTTGATCCTTAAGACTTCTCACTCCTCTATGTCTACACACATCGATATGCCGAAGAATCGACATGGACTCACAAAGGGGTTCGTCGAAGCGTGGCCGCGGAAGCTCATCTTCAACCTCTTCCAGAAGCCGCGGGGGTCGTGGTCGAGGTCGAGGTCGTGGTCGCGGTCGTGGTCGTGGTCGCGGCTCGGACTACACACGGGCTAATTCTGCTACCTCTCACACTCCATCAATCCAAGCGTTGCGACAGCAATTCGCGACTCCCTCAGCTGCTTCAAATATCTCAGGCTCGACCAACGCCAACCCTATACGCAATGCCCGTCATGGCTCGTCGGCTCCCGGCACCGTGCATCAAAAGCCGCCAACTTCTGTTGATCCCTCACAGCAATCTCGAATTGATACCGATGATGCTGACAACGACGATGCGCTTGACGAGATTGTCATGGCAGTTGACATGACACCTCGAGGCACTGTTGGCTGTGCGTACTACATAGCAGCACAAGAAAAATTATACTTTATGGAGGACGTCAAGCTGGGTGGTGCAGACGTTATTGAAGCTCGTGAGCACTGAAATATCTCTCTACTTTCTCACTTCTGATCATCTAGTCAAAATGTTCATCGATCCTACGATCATCCTCGTTTCGTCAAAACTCGACGACTCGGTGCTTGACAGGCTTGATCTGGAAAGAAAAAACATGGATGATGGCGACAGCACTGCATATGGTATGCCAGCTTTATGCTCACCTCGCCCGTCTTCTGAATTTCTATACGACTCCGCCAGATGCAGGCTTGCCGATCTCAAACTAGATCATGAAGATGGACCGAAAGTCACGTTTACAACGCCTGGAGACGTTGTGATTGGACGAGATGAGGGCTACATAGCTGATGGCGACGCTTTCGAGACTCGGCAAGGACAGCTGCTGAAGCTAGCTGGGTGGATTGACGTTGAGAGTCGCGTGACTGTTGGTTGCTCAGGAGCAGTCCTTGCTTACATTCGCCGAAAGCGAGCAGCCACGTTCCTCCCAGGAGATGCTGCAGCTCGAGCAATGCATCGCATCTCAACCATTGAGATGTTTACACTTGCAGGATCAATGTGAGGTGTGCCATTGCACATTACCGGCTATCGATCGCTGACCAGTGTTCAGGTTCGTGAACGCCGATACGCTGCTTTCGTTGCAAATAGTTCAGTCCGAATCGCATCCCCATTCTCACAACCAAGGCCCTGCAAAAGCGAACTCTGGATCGAAAGAGGGATTCTCCGTCTACGGCCTCTTTCACAACCTCGCGCGTACTCCGCAAGGCAGGGTTTTGCTTCGCCAGTACTTCCTGAGACCAAGCACCAACCTGGAAGTCATCAACGAACGTCTCGACACGATCAATTTTCTGCTCCGTACAGAGAATACCGAACAAACTGAAGCTCTAACCAAAAACTTGAGCAAGATCAAGAATATGAGGACTGTCATGATTAATCTTCGCAAAGGCATCAGCGGTACTGGACCAGGCAAGAAGGGTCCGCCAAATTCCATCTGGGCTGGTATCCGTCTTTTCGCATACCATGCCTTACAAATCAAAGATAGTTTCCAGGAAGTCTTTGGCGGAGATCGATTGGCAATTCGAAACAAAGTTATGAAACACTTCCATGGCACCCAACTCGCCGATGTTGGCAAGAGCATTACGGAGATCATCGACTTCGAGCTCTCGCTGGATCAAGGTCGCAATGTTGTCAAGCACGGTGTTGACCATGATTTGGATGAGCTCAAGCAGACTTATGAAGGACTGGAAAGTCTACTTGTGCAAGTCGCCCAGCATGTGGCTCAGTCTGTGCCCGAAGGGTTGAACACAGACATCAATGTTGTGTTTTTCCCCCAAATCGGATTCCTGATCGCGATACCTCAAGATCCTATCACTGGTCATGGCATCTTCGAGGGCCATGAAGACGATCCCTGGGAGAAGATGTTTACCACCGAGGACTTTGCCTATTACAAGAATGAGAATGTCATTGAGATGGACTCTTACTTTGGAGATATTTACGGACGCATCTGCGGTCAGTGTTTGCAGATTGTTGCTTGTAGGTTCGAGACTGACGGCGTACAGACAGAGAGATTGAAATCATACACGAGTTGGCGGAGAAAATTCTACAGCACGAAGACCTCCTGACAACAGCATCTGACATCTGTGCCGAGATCGATTGGTCAGGACCGAGAGACATCTGGCGGACTTTCAACAACTGCTGACATGTATAGTAGCATCCTGGCCCTGGTACAGGGAGCCAAAGACTACAACCTCGTGCGACCACGACTGACAGAATCTAATATTCTTGACATCAGAGGTGGAAGGTTAGTGTATCTCATCCTTGACGGAAGCATTCAACTTACCCTTCCTTCCAGACATATCTTACAGGAAAAGGTCGTGTCCAACTTTATTCCAAATGACACTCTGATGGCTGGCGGAGAGGGTCTGCCGTTGGCAGAACAGTATGAGCCCTCGTCCGAAAACTTTCCACGCCTCCATGAACAAAACAACATGTTACCAAGTATGGTCCTAGTGACTGGACCGAACTTCTCTGGCAAAAGCGTCTATCTCAAACAGGTAGCCATCGTTGTCTTCATGGCTCATGTCGGTAGTTTCGTACCAGCGTCGAGAGCGGATATTGGTGTTACAGACAAGATCATGACACGAGTGGCGACTCGAGAGAGTGTCTCTAGAGTATGTCATCCTTTCGACGAGATGGCTGATGCTGACGTTGAGCAGAATCAAAGTGCTTTCATGATTGACCTGCAACAGATCTCTGTGGCCTTGAATCTGGCTACAAACAGGAGCTTGTTGATCATTGATGAGTTTGGCAAGGGTACCGATTCGCATGGTAAGCCTGCCTGGACTATGTGTTTGTTTGACGCTCTCAACTGATGTTGTGTCAGACGGTGCCGGACTCGCCGCGGGCGTCTTCAACCACCTGCTCGAGAGAGGAGACCAATGCCCAAAAGTCATCGGTGCGACTCATTTTCATGGTGTGTATACAAAGAGCTCCTTCTAATCGGACGCAAGACTGACATCAGTTCCCGCAGAGATCTTTGAGAGTGGTTTCCTCCTGCCCCATGAACGACTGGCATTCGGTCACTTCGAAGTCCGTGTCGACCCACATTCTCGACAGATCAACGAGCAATTGACCTATCTTTACAAGTGAGTCACGACGTTTTCCTCTCCCCGGTATCCCTTTGTTCTCCGAAGTACGACAGCTAAGGCCTTGAAAGCTACAAACAAGGCCGTAGTAACAACAGTTATGGTACCGTGTGTGCAGCTCTAAACGGCATCCCTGTGGAAGTCACAAACAGAGCCGAAGAGCTTGTCTTGCTTGCTGCGAGGGGGGAAGACTTGGTGCAGGCTTGTGCTGTGGTGTCGGAGAGGGAGAGGGAGGAGCTTGAAGACGCGGTAGGTCCATGTTCGAGGAGTGACGAGTGGAGAACGACATACTGACAAGATGAGTAGGAAGATGTTGCAAAGGCTTTCTTTGCCATGAGAGTTTCCGATGATCCAAAAGCGTCGTTGAGAGAGCTGTTGGAAGGAAAGGGTTCATATGGCGTATTGTCTTGAGAGGTCTGTTGGGATGGGCCGGCGGAAAATGTTGCTTTCACCAAAACGAGTCAAATTGCTACAAACAAGATGAAAGACATTGCGACCATGAAGCTCTCTTGCTCCTCCACCATAGCCTTGCTCGAGTGGTAACCAGAAACTGCTGTGCCTAAAAAAAAGTATACATATAATACAACATCGATGAGACATATCCTTTGATCCTCACTTCTATGAAGTCAAACCTTGGTAGTAGACCTTTCTTACATCGACCAACTTGCGGCCACGTGCGCGTGCAACATCTTCGGGAAGTCTTTGCTTCATCAAAGCTTCGTAGGTGGCCTTGACGACGTTCATGGGATTACGACTGCGAGGGCAGCGGGCACTGAGGTCGGAGATTCCAGCCGCACGAGCCATTTCGTAGATGAGATGTTGACATCTGTTACCGAAGCCTTAAGGGGGAAAAAACGTGTTAGTCCACATGTGTGTCAAAAGTGTAAAGAGGAGAAAGGGTGTATAATCATACCTGGCGGACGAGAAGAAAGCTGAACAATAGAAGCACCCACTTTACCCTCGACCTCACCGAAAATAGTACGGTTCTCATAGCGAGGAATGGGCTTCATGTTTCTAATCGCAGCGTATTGAGCTTGACGAATGGCGTCTTCGTCTTCTCCAGACTTGCCCTCACCGATACCCAACATGCCGTTTTCGTTTCCGGCAATGGTGAGGTAATACATGCTTTGAATCTTGCCCATACGGGTTTGATTGACGACACGATGGTTTACCAAATTCTTGCATCTGATTCTGCGGATTTCCTCCTTTGTCATTCCTGTCTGTTGCATCAAGCGTTGCAAGTGAGGGTCGTCATCTTCAGACTCGAACTTGACGCCCAGATTCTTTACTTTTGGCATTTCCGGTGCGAGACTGTCTTGTTGTGATTCCAAGGTTCCCTTTGGCGAAAAGAAGAAGTTGTTTGCGTTTCCAATGAAGGCGTTCCATTCGGCGACTTCATTGGGGCCTTCAAAGTGTTCTGCGTATTTGCGCAGACGGGCGCGGCGTTCGTCGGGGGTCAAGGTGTCGCCGGGGTAGATGCCGGCTTCGATGCTCTTTGTGAGAAGCTCTTGCTCCAGAGCGTCGCCATCCATGCTTTCCATACGTGTTTCGTATTCTGTGCGCTTGCGGTTGAAGTCTTCCGTCCAAGCGGCAAAGCGATCGAGTACTTCATCCTCACTGCGCATACGAATGCCAGGATCGATATCTGCAGTGGGAGCGCGAACGGGCTTATCAACAAGCGGTTGGATCTTTGCCAAATCGTCAATGTAAGTAAGGGCGAAAGTGTCACGGCGGACTTTTCCCTGTACAACGACATCTCTGGGGTCGATTGATGCTTCTGCGGCTTCGATGGCGCGGACTTGGGCGGGCGTGTACTTTAGAGCTAGGAGCTGTTTCTCTCGTGGCGTGTAGGGTTTGAATGTGCGTGCTGCTTGGTCTACGCGTTGTTGCACGAGACCGAGATCGACGGCCGTGACATTTGGGTAGGCGGGTTTGCCTTTTGCGTGGGCTGCAGGCGTTGTGCTGAAAGCGCGGGTGGAGGGTTGAGATTTTGGAGTTGCTGAGGGAGTGAGCCGACAGAAGAGGCAGCGTGTCGTCTTCATGGTTGCGGATTTGGCGAGAGACGGCAACACCTCTGACAACGACAGCGAAAGCAGTAAGTGGTATACGCCCGCGACTGGGACGAATTTCCGAATGCCAAGACTGCAGGTTGCGGAGTTGATCGGAGGTGGGATAAATCGTGTATAATACTATGCACAGCAAGCATAAACCACAAAGGTCAGCAATGCATCTCCAGGATTTGCTGACCATGCGGCTGTGCGACTTTTTGTTCGTCCTTCAATGCTGTCACGACGCTTTTTTGCTGCTACAAGGTCTCTTCAACTCTTCTCACCCAGACCGACATTGCTGTTCCGTACAGCTGTTCTCAGGCCGACCATGGCCGACTCTGCCCCCACCCACTCCAACCAGCCCCAGAAGAGGAAATTCAACGAGGGAAAGAGACATTTCAAGAAGAACAAGAAGCAAAAGCCAACTACCGTCAAGGAGGGTTCCAACGAGGAAGTCCTGATTGCCGACGTCCGCGCCTTGCTCGAGAAGCACTCGATCAGCTCAAAGCCTGCCGACGGCCAAGCAGAAGAACAAGCTCCCATTGCTCAACTGCCAGAACCTTTCACAGAGTACGACCTGACCATCTCCGATCTCTCGTCTACTGGTGACGGTCTCGCTCTCATTCCTGGAACTTCTCAAGTCGCCGTTGTTCCCTTCACTGCTCCCGGCGACAAGGTCACGGTTAAGATCATCAAGCATCTCCAAGACACAAACTACACCTTGACAGACTTTGTCAAAGTCCTCGAACCCTCGACACACCGCGATGACTCTCTCGTCAAGTGTGGCTACTTTTCAAAATGTTCTGGCTGTCAATTCCAGTTCCTCCCCTACCAATACCAGCTGCATCACAAGAGAAGCATCGTCGAGAAGGCCTACAAGAACTTTTGCACCTTGCCTGCACACATGATTCCTACTGTGGGCGACACAATCGGCTCACCCCTGCAATACGGATACCGCACGAAACTCACTCCTCACTTCGATGGTCCTCCTGGTGGAAGGAGAGACAGACGCCAAGGTGTCAAGGCTGTCTTCCCGGAAGTGCCTCCGATCGGCTTCATGCTGAAGGGCACTCGCAAGACTATGGACATTGAGGACTGCCCTATCGGCACTGATGCTGTTCGCATGGGTATGAAGAGTGAGAGAGAACGAGTCAATGTCGAGCTGGACAAGTACCAACGTGGTGCAACTCTCCTGCTTCGCGAGAGCACAAAGCGCATCGACAAGAACCATCTACCTCAAGATCAACAAACAGACGCTGGTGCCGCCGAAGAACAACCCGTTGACACTCAAGCTACTGTCCCAACCCCAGTCAAGAACTACATTGACGAAGACCGCGGTACCCACATCCACCGCAAGACCTGTGTAACAGACCAAAACGCAGTCTCTACCGAATACGTCGACGATTTCCGTTTCGACAATCCCGCCGGTTCTTTCTTCCAAAACAACAACTCCATCCTCCCAACCTTTACACAATACATCCGCGACAACATCCTGCCCAAAGACCTTCCCGCAGACGCACCCAAGATCACAAACCTCATCGATGCATACTCTGGCAGTGGTCTGTTTACAGTAACACTCTCTCCCCTCTTCACAAACTCCATCGGCATAGACGTGTCTTCAAAGTCGATCGAATTCGCCTCCAAAAACGCAAAACTCAACAACATCCCACCCACCTCCGCCCGCTTCCTAGCCGGCGACGCCAACAACATTTTCGCCGAAATCAAGTTCCCGGCCAGAGAAACTGCTGTAGTCATTGATCCTTCCCGCAAAGGCTGTGATGAGAACTTCTTGGGACAGCTGTTGAAGTATGGACCAGAGAGAGTCTGCTATGTCAGTTGTAATGTGCACACACAAGCTAGAGATGTTGCTGTGCTGGTTGGTGGCTTATCTGGTGTTAACGAGGGCAAGGGGTTGTATGAGATTGAGAGTTTGAGAGGCTTTGACTTTTTCCCGCAGACGGGGCATGTGGAGGGAGTTTGCTTTTTGAGGAAGAAGAAGGATGAAGCTGCTGTTGATGCCCCTACTGCTGTTGCTCCTGCTGCTGTTGCTCCTACTGCTGAGTAGATTTAGACATGGTTCTGCAGCACGTAATGACTTTATCATGTTCCTCATATGAGGAGGCTTCACAAATCCGTCAATTCCTGGCATCTTCAATATCGCAACCAAAGATCTCAAGGGTTCAAGCATAAGACATCTTTACTGGAGGCTGGAGCGGCCCGAGAAAGCAGTAAGTCGAGACTGCATGGGACTCTTGGAAACGACTTCAATACTCGTGGCAAACAGTCGTGCTTCAGATAGGAAGGTACGATGGAAGCTGACCATATCTAAACTTCAAGTCTTGACAAGCCATCACATCCTCACAACACGAACATGCCTATTACTACCCACGAACCTCAACTGGCCAATGTTAAGACGCCACTCCATTCATCCACAAGAATCCGAAGCTTCCTTCACCTACCTGAGCGAACATGGCGATCTAAGCTATCTTCCCGATGGCGCCGCCCCTCTTCTAAATTCATCCCTCGACGATTCCCGACTGCAGAGGTCGACGAGGGTGTCGACAAACTTCAAGCGCTCTCCCTCCGTGCCCGCCGTAGCATCGACAGAAGAGCAAAGCATGCCAAAAAAGCCTTTCTCCAAAGACAGCGGTGGACTTTGTGAGCAGGCTCGTTTGGGCCTTCCAAGCACATGGGCTATCTATCCTACTTGTGCAAATGTATCTGCGTCCAAGACCGAGAAGCAGGATATCGATTTTGCCAGATTCGACTTTACGCGACCTCTGGAGTTTTCACTATCTGCCGAAAAGTCCCCTTCTACGGAGACGTTACCTGCCTATCGTTCCCGTACCAATTCTGTCGGTCAGCTTGAAGATACGCTACCTCCCTACCGCGTGGATGACGAACTCTCCTCTGTCGTTCAAGCCATCTATGCACAAAATGCCGACCTCCTCAAGAAACCAAAACTCAAACGAGCACGACCATTACCTCGCGACTTTACCGAACCCGAACTCCGAGAGATTCGTCGCAAAACCAGGCACCGCATCGGGGTAGTCACAAGAAACAGTCTCGGCCTCACCATAAACCTCGGTCTCTCTTGTGTAGCGCCACAAATGCTCATTGCAGCCGCAATCAATGGATTTTGTCTCGGTGTCGGCGCTCATAAACTTCATCAACATCTTCGCTTCCTCAAGTACAATGAGTTGCATGTTCAGAAACGGGACGTCTTTGTCGCTGTGGCTGAAGGTGTCGCCATCAAATTGGTTTTTCTGGCCATCACTCTCAACCACGATGATTTCCTCGTTCTCACTCATGAATTGGTGTCTACACATTCTGAAACCATCACTCCTATGCTCCATGAGATCCCAGGGCTTGGACACGTTCACCACGCTTTCATGGTTCCCATTGAGAAGGTACAAGAATTGCTCGGACTTTCCTCTATTGCGCAACGAGCAGTCGAATTTGGAGGTGGGGGTTGGTATGATCCCGCAGAGGTTGTGTTGAAGAATGTTTTTCTCGTGGGAGCTGTGCAGGTTGCCATGGAGAGTGCCATTGATCAGATACAGGATCGATTGAGCAGGACTACGGAGCATTTCAAGGAACACAATGCACATGCAAGGATTGGGAAGCAGAGGGAGTGTGAGAGTCAGGGTGTTGCGTGGAGTACGGATGTGGAGGTTTTGTTCAAAATGGATGGGAAGCGGTGATTAAAAGCTAAGTCTGCTTTAGGAGAGGTCTCTTTTTTTTTGGATAGGGAAGAAAGCCTTTTATTGTTTAAACATAAGTTTTTCTCTCCTTTTTCCCGTTATTCGTTAATGTGTTTTTGATGCTTGGTCCTGTTTTTTCGTTTGTACTTGGTATTCTGTGATAGAATGAACCCAGATATCAGATTGCCCTGCACTGTGTGACGTTGGCAAAGTTCTCCAAAAAAAAAACCCCCCCCAGTACAAGTCCAGAGTTCAACAGTATCAGTAGCATAATAGAACATAAAGATTTAATGATCAAGTGAAAGAATCATGATGATAACGCAGTAAGTAACTTTTGTTTCAGGAATGACGGAGAGTAGGGGGGGAAAACTCTCCCCCCCAATTCCAACACACTACGTCTATATAACTTGATACGAAAAAACAAAGAAACAAGAGCGAAAAGAGTAGAGAGAGTACTAGAAGTAGTGATCTCTTATAAAGTAGTAATAGAGAAGAAAAGAAAAAAAAGTATAAAAAAAAAAGCTACAAGATTTTGAAAAGATTGGAGATAAAGAAGGAGAAGAAGAAAAAGTGGCGATGCTGATATATAGAGCAGTATCTACAGGATTATAAGATATTTCTGAAAAGGGGATCCAAAAAAATAACCGGTGGCTCCCAAATGCAAAACGAAAATCACTTCGGTTTTCTTGCAATGCGAGAAATGAAAAGAAGAAAAAACACCTGGCCCATATGCAAAAAACCCCAAAAAACGACAGAAACTCCGTGTGATGATATGTACACAAATCCTCAGCTCTTTCCATCTTCTTGCTCTTCTTGCATCTTCCTCATCTTCCAAGAATGCATCGCCTTATCTAATGGAAGAAGTATTGACTCTCCTTTAACCTCGTAACATCAAAGTCGCCCTTCTCGGGCACCTCTGGGAACTTGAGCGGTAACCATACATGTACCTTTCTCACCACTTCCTTTTTGGCCGGTTTGGTTTTTGCTTTTAGTTCTTCGATTGTGGGCACGTGAACATTTTCACCACCATCTGCACCTTCGATGCCCTCAGCAACTTCGATACCCTCCTCGGCATCTTCGGCGGCTTTTGCAACTTTATCATCTGCTGTGGGATCAAAGTCATCATGATCCGCAAGCACGGGCTCCGTGGTATCAGCCTCCTGCTCAGCCAACTCACCCACATCGGGAATTTCTCCCAACCTCGCATTGACAATCTCAGTAGGGATAGTAAGCGCATCTTCCGCATCAGCTTCAGACGCAAACACCGATCCAGAAGTAACCATTTCCTCTCCCCTCGCAACCTCTTCTGCATCATCACTATTCAGCAATCGCAAACGTTCAACTTCTTCAAGAAGATGCACAATCAGTGCAGGTTGCAACTGCTTGCCTTTAGGTCTGGGTCGAGCTTTTTGAACGGCGAGGATTTTTTTGCCTACGGGGGTGCGGATGTCGACGGCGGCTAGGTACATGCAATCTTTATATCTGGCGATGAACTCTTGACGTAAGCGGCCGACTACATCTTCAGTGTGCATGGCGACAAAGGCGTCACGCAAGACTGCAGAGAGGGAATTTATGTCGCAGGCGTGGGTCCAGAAGGAGTCGTGGATACTGGCAAAGGCAATGTTGTTTTCGTTGCATTTGATGGCTGAGAGCATCATGTGTGTTGCATCCAGGGAATGGATGAAGTTGGGAGGGAAGCCTTGTAATTGCTTACGCTTACTCACAGGATCCACAGAGGTAGGTTCTTGCAGTGCGATGTTTTGGAGATGTGTCCTTACGATACGGCGTTTGGAGGAACGGTAGGGTTGAACAACTGGGAGGCGGAGAGGCGTGGTCCAGATGACGGAGCTGCGGAACAGTTGTTTCCCTGCTGCGACACGTTGAGTAGATGCTGCTTTTGTCTTGCCGCCGTTTGTCTTGACTGTGGCGGTTTCAGGGACCACGGATCGACCTTCTGCATTGTCCTTTGAAATGGATGCGATTTGCTCAGGTGTGACACAGGTAGAGATGCGATCGGCGCAATCACCCAACCAAGTCTGAATGGCCTGCGCACCCTTGAACATCTCTCCCAGAGACTTGAAGATCTTCTTGGCGACGTAAGATGCCAGTGTGAGATGGTCCAAACCAGCGTCAAGAGGATGGGGAAAGATTTCCTCGAGCTGCTTCTTGACTTGTGCTCTGGCGCCATAGTAAGTCACACCGTACACATTGGTCATGACTGGCTGCTTGACGACCTTGCGGGTAATCTTGCCGTGGAGAAATTGAGCCACTGGATGACCCGCAGCATTGTCTTTCTCAACTTCTGCCTTGACTCCCTCGGCAACAGCGGTGTAAACGTCAGATGGTCTGTCTCCAGGTTCCAGGTTGACTTGACGAGCACCGACAGAATCACCACCGAGTGCAGCGTAATGCTGAAGACCGTTACAAGTACCATCTTGATGTACCGGAAGGTAAGATATGTACTTGGTAGGATCTTCCTGATCCATGGCCGCCTTCAACTCGTAGCAAGCAGCCAAAGTCTGCCATGCATCCTCAGATTCGAGCCACCATCTTCTGCCACCCAAAGGATTGGCCACAGAGTCGCGGACATCATCCATGTGATCCATAGCGAATTGCTCTCTCTCCGAAAGACTGGCCTTATCGAACCCATAGACGTTAGCCAGGTGAATCTTGAGCCATCTCAGACCGACTTCACCCAATTCTTTTCCATTAGCGAAAGTCATGAGAGCACGCGCATTGTCGGCACCCATATGATTGAGGTAAGGAGGAATAGGGTAAGCTCTACCACGGAAATCGATGTTGTGGGGAAAGTAAAGCTTCTCCCTGCTGAACGCTCTCGCGATTTCAAGTTGGAAGTTTTGGAAACATCTTTGAGAATGGTAACCACTCTTGGTGTTCTCGGCTTCCTTTGTAGCTATCAACCAGGCACGGCGCGCATTACCATCCAACCTGTTCGTCGGCTCAGCAGGAGCGTCGATCTTGGGGTCCAGAGGCGCAAAATTGGCAATGGGCTCGCCACTGTTCCACGCCTCAATCTGTACACGAAGCACATGCTCGTTGATTTTCCATGGCACCTGACCAAGGACATTGAGAGCTTCAAACACCTTGTCGAGATCTCCTCGTTGGATGGCAGCGTATGCATAGTCGCGAGGTACACTGTCTGCTCCGCTGAAACGGATTACCGGCGTGGGGTAGTTGAGATAGCCACCTTTGCTAAAGTTTGTCCATGGCTTTGGCTCTATCACCATAGGGAGTCTCTTGGCGATAAGACCGCCAACAGGTTCACGCTGCAGCTTCTGCAGTAGCTCAGAGCTAGGACAAAGCCAACCTTGCTTTCTGCCTGACTCGTAAAGTGTCTTGTGAATGAAAGCTGGTTGAAGCTGAGTAACCATCTCTTTCGTTCTAGGATGTGATCTTGTGACTGCGATCTTGGCGGTATCAATGAGTTTCGACACGAGTATAGAACCCAGTTTGACACGGACATCACTGGGCCAGACGTGCATTTCCGTGTCGAAGCTTGGGTGTGATGGCTTCGCCTTCTTCGATGTACGGCCGAGCTTTGCCTTGCGCTCGGCAATAGCACGCTTCTTTGCAGCCTCAGCGTTGGCCTCGTCTTGCATTGTTCTTCCAAGTGTGGCTGTCAGACGGCCTAGTCTCTGATTGCTGCTATATGCGCCTGTTTTATTTTCCTTTCCGCCAGCGAATGCAGACATTACGGTGAGAATAGTGGTCGCAGCAAGTTGCTCGATAGGGACTGCCTCGATGAAAGGACCGTAGATGAGCTGATCGCTATGGGTTGGGATTTTGGTGGGCGCTTCCATGGCTGCGCGACAAGCGTCGACCTCTGCACGTAATATAGGCAGCAAGTCTGAATACCATTGCCACATCAAGGCGCCAAGTGGCTTCGCTTCCAGGGTTGTGTGAATACCAAGCTTTTGCAGATGCTCCTCATCGGACCTCCAGCGCGCGATGGCAGCTACACTGGCGCTCTCCTCGAGTAGACGCTGGCGATCCTCCGGTGTCAAACTGGCTCTCTCCATGGCTTCAGGAGTCGTTGCTGATAGGAGGGCGGGGCTTGAGTCCCTGAGGGATCGTTTCAATGAGGACAAACCCATGCCCTTCTGCGAAACTTCGAGCACTTCGGGAATGTCGATGAGTGCTGGCAGAGTTGTGGTACTTGGATCGAGCGTTTGTTCGTTCGACTCGGTCGTCTGGTCTGCTTGCTCGGCAATCCTCAACTTGATTGTAGGAATCAACGAAGCGAGCGTGGTGAACTCGTCGTCGGTGAAGTCGTCGGAATCACAAACTTTGTCGAGCATGCCAGGTCCTGAAGCATCTGCAAGTTCCGAGTAGCGGCGAACAGCGCGTTCTAGCTTGACACCTTGCAGTGTGTTCAGCGCAGCGCGGACCATGGTGACAAGCATCTGCGCGTCAAGCGGGAAGCCCTCTTGAACAAGGTCGTTCTCGAACCAATCCCGGATGCTTTCGTAGGCCTCGACCTTTTCGGACTGATCGTGGGTGTTCTCAAGCTGCCTCAGGCCAGCCGAAAGGTATGCGTTGTGGCTATGTTGCATCTCAAACGAGTCCTTGCTGCATCGTTCCCGTAGCCTTTCGATGACCATTCGTGCTCTTTCCAACCTCTCCACTCGAAGACAGGTATGTAAATTCTGGACTAGGTCGTTCGTGTTGCCAGCCATGCCTTGCTTGTATCTGGTTTGATAATTCTCTTCGGTACCGTGCTGTAACATCAAAGTGTCCTTGGGATTCAGCGAGTACTCGACACCGCCGAGGGTCCATCGTGGCGACTCGGGGCTGGCAGACTGTTGATCGGCAACTGTGGCTAGGCGTCTCGTCTGTGTCTTGTCGCTTTGTAAGGTTTGCAGGCGTGTGGGCGTTCGTGATTGCGGGTGTTGTTGTGAGTGTGTCGAGTTCCATCGTAGCTGAGCAGGACAAAGAAAGGGTAGATATAGAGAGTCGGCGAGCTGGGTGAGGTGGACAGACGTGTTTCGCCGCGTCCTGCGACCTGCTGCTCGGACGAGCATCCTTGAGAAGATGGGATGTGAAGTAGCGTAGGAAAGGCAAAGGCGAGCGGTAGAGACAGAATATGCAGGCTGGATGAGGCGATAATAAGCACAAGATTCAAAGGGCGACGGCGAGGGATCGTGGTAGTAGCAAGATCAAGATGTAACAATTTCCAGGAACAAAATCATCATCGATGCTCGGCGGCAAAGCCAGAGTAAAAGAAAACCCCGGACGAGCATCATCATTGACGCCAAGACTTCGACCCTTGCCTTTTTTACCTCGCCGGATCTTCTGCCTGAGAAATACCTCACGTGCCTTGCTCTCTACTCTGTTGCAATGGCTGATTGGATACTTTATTGATCATCGAGTATCTTTTATGGCTATCGAATCTTGTTTGCATCATCCGCACATGTGTAGAGGGGCAGCTATGCAGATCTTGTCGGACGACCTTGATGGTGGAGCTGTTCAGCTTCATACACTCTCGCACCAGATACACACGAATGCAAGAACAGCGCTCGAGTAAATGCCTGAATGAGATGCAGATATGCTTTGTATGTTTCCGCACTACGAGGACTATCAACATGACCACACGCCAACGACACCATCTTTTCTGCCTTCAACCAGGTATCCGTCCTTGATGCGGACGCGCTCAATCGCCGACAGCGGCCCTTGGTCCTCCTCTCCAGATGCGCCAGGCCCGCAATCCCATTGGTTGCCGTCAGTCTTGTCGTATACCTTGACCACTGACTCACCAATCGCTGATACAATATGTCTTGCGTCGACGGACGAGTCAACGATGGGAGAGTCGTAGGCAAAGGCATCGATAATTCCTCCGGTACGAAGGTCCCAGATCTGTCGATAGCGTCAGTATGTGTTATAGGGGAACTCTCGGAAACAAAACTCACGCGAACACTGCGATCAGCGCTGCCAGTCACCATATGAATGCCAGAGAAAGCCAATGATGTGATTGGCCCAGTGTGGCCGACCAGACTGCGGTGCACACTACCGCTCCTCAGATCCCAAAGTCTAACCATACCATCGGCGGTACCGCATGCCAGCGCTGTTTCGAACACTTGGATAGCACCGACAAAGTCTGCCTCAGCAGGAGGAAGACGGCCTGCAGCAGGTCTCCACCATCCTTCGGAGGCAGTAGGATCAGCAGCAGCTGGTGAAGGAGCGCCGAAGCTGTTGTTTGACACACTAGCTTGGGCAGCTGCCCACATTACATCGAGTGTTTGCACGCAACGACCATTCTCGAGATCCCATTGACGTAGTGTCTTGTCGGCTGAACCAGAAACAAGAGTGTTCTTGTGGAAGTGAAGAGCAGTGACTTCAGCTACGTGAGCAGAAAGTTCGGCGACCAAACAATCCTGCATGGAAGACGTCGGTGCGATAGGGAGGGGGTCCAATTCAGAGTCAGAGAACATGTCGGCATCATCTTCTTCATCCTCGGGGTCCTTGTCATTGCGTCCAAATCTGTTATTTCGCGTTGGCGGCGGAGGAGAATATTCGGCTTGATTCAAATCCCAGAAACGAATGCTGGCGTCCATAGAGCCAGTGGCCACAAAGTTGTCCGAGACCTGTAGACAACGAACGGAAGAGAGATGGCCCTCGAGAAGACCGATGCATCTTCCAGCATTCAGATCCCACACGCGAACAGTGTCGTCCAGGGCAGCAGAAACCAGAGTACCAAAGGGAGCGTCAAAGTCGAGAGCAGTGATCATGTCGTTGTGTGCCTGGAATTCACGAATGCGAGAGCCCGTCTCCATGTGTTCGTGCAGCACGGGCATGGACTTGCGCCTGTTGACGCGACGCTTCTTCCTCTCCTTTTCCTTTTCCTTTTCTTTTTCCGTCTTGACTGGTGAAGGGTCGGGCAGTTTCTCGTACACAGATTCGGACATGAATGTGTCGGTAGACTCGGCCATATCGTTTGGGTCGGCAGGAGGGTCTGGCGTGGTTTCCAGTGGCGGAGACTTTGTGGCCAGAGCAGCAGCATCTTCCAGTTCCTCTTGCATTTCCTGAAGCTTTTCAGCCATGTCCTGTATCTCGTTCTCGAGGTCGACCTCTTCCTGCTCATGACCAGCCAGTCGTTGGAGGACAATTTTCCGCATGGTGTTGAGATTCGCGATCTTGGTGTCGATTTCCTTGATCTCTGAAATGCACATGTTCTTTCTTATACCCATCATTTCTAGTCGGTGTTCCGAGGTGGCTTTTCTGCCTTTGAGTTTTTTAATATTGCCCGCAGCAGATGGGTCTGCTTCATCGTCGCTGTCGTGGGCCAACAGCTTCTGACCCTTGTCATTCGTGCGAGAAGACTTCTTCTTCTTCTCTTCTGGTTTCGTGGCTTGGTAGCCTTGGAAGAGCGAGTAGGTGCTGGAGCGTTCGGGGATGTGGCGGAGGAGGTCATCGGGCAGGTGTGCTAATGCGCGATGTTGAATCTCAGTGGTAGAAAAGGTGGACCTGACGAGTTCCTTGGGCGAAGCTTTGGCAAGCTCAAAGACGGAGCGCTGGATCAAGGGTCGCCGTAGCTCGCGGTGGATGTCGCCCATTGCATTTTGGTAGTGGTGGGGTTCGCCAGCAGAGGGGCCCAGGAAATGGCTGGCTGTGGCATGGACGGTGCGGCCAAAGGCTTCAAGCTGTCGCGACTGTTTTGCAGGAGGTCAGAGTTGTTGTAGCATCTTGTTTCTTGTCAGGTCAGCGACATACACCTAGTAGGCCTTCATCGTCGTCGTGCGGAATGTTGGCAGAAGCCCTTCGCCTGTGTGACGACGACGATGGCTGTGGAGGATTCCGGCCTCGTTGCGTAGACATGGTATGCGACCAAGACTATGAAGTCATTATCGAATATGGGCGATATGGCAGGAAACAGATGTCGCGTGGCCAAAGACGGGAAGCGGAATGTTTTTTAGATCGTGACACGAGGCCGAGGTTGTTGATGATGATGAGCTTCACGATTCGTTCGAAGCAGCAAACACTCCAGTCCCCAGTCTCCAGCGCGCCTCGACGCCGGTGTCGCTGTGACTGCCATCCATCTCTCTGCCACTCTCTCCCACTCCACCTCCCTCTGCCTCTTACGCACGGTTCTTCCACCAGCACACAACACACCCAACACTATGGATACGGCAATCGACCTCTCCGACGCCAGCAAGGCGCTCGACCTGGCCAACATCCGCTTCCAATTGATGTATACCACTCGACCACCCCCACCCCTGACTACACCTCGCTGATGCTCCGTCAGCCGGCTCGAGGACACAATCACCTTCCACCTAATCGAGCGCGTCCAATTCCCCCTCAACCCCTCCATCTACAAGCCCGGCGCCGTCCGCATCCCCGACTGCGACTACAGCCTCCTAGACTGGATGATCCGCGAGCAAGAACGCTTCCAGTCCCTCGTGCGCCGCTACCAGTCCCCCGACGAATACCCCTTCTTCCCAGACGCCCTGCAGGAACCCATCCTGCAGCCCATCCACTACCCGCAAATCCTACACCCGAATCATGTCAATATCAACACCAAGCTCAAACACCACTATACCGAGCACATCCTGCCCGCTGCGTGTATCAACTATGGCCGTGAAGAGCGTGGTGAGAATCAGGAGAACTTTGGCTCGGCCGCTACCTGCGACCTGAACTGTCTGCAAGCCCTGTCGCGTCGCATCCACTTTGGCAAGTTTGTCGCAGAGGCAAAGTTCCAACAAGAGACGGACCGCTTTGTCGACTTGATCAGGCGTGAAGATCGCAAGGGCATTGACGAGGCCATCACAAACGCTGCCGTGGAAAAGAAGGTATTGGAGCGTCTGCGCCTAAAGGCAAAGACTTACGGCACGGATCCCAGTATCTCGGCTGGCGAGGCCGATGGCGCTGCTAAAATCAATGTGGATGCCGTTGTTGCCATGTACAAGGACTATGTCATTCCCTTGACAAAAGAAGTAGAGGTCGATTACCTCATGCAGCGTCTCAAGAATACCCAATGGGAGTAATGTCAAATCCTATGAAGTATTTAGTTGTATAATCATCTACCTTTCTGCCTGTACAGGAGGCCAACCACAACGCACTTGAAATCTCCCTAAGCGAGTTCCAATGCACCTGTCTTAAGTTACTACGAATTCCAAGTCGGTTGAAAGTCGAGTCTGAAATGAAGACGACATTTAAGCATAAAGGATGCTTCTACTGTGCTTTAACCCAGAGGACCTGTCTAGTGAGCAAGTGCAGGTGCTAAGCAGAATCTGCAGGCCTTTTGCATTACAACGAAGCACATCATCACTCCGTTTTTGCAGGCATCCAGTCGTCTAACCTATAAAATACTTCCACACGATATTATTACGTGTCTTATTCGGTATATCAAGAAGTCACACATGGCAGAAGAGTTTATTCAGCAGCACAAGGCTAATAATAAGAAGTTGTTATCACAAGGCAGGGTCATCCTCTTAGCCAACAATCATGACAAAATGCAGAACTCATCAGTAGTCATGCGATTAAAAGATGAGGCATGTAAAAAAGAACCAACATGATAGTAACATACGTATCATGACTCAAAGAAGTAGGGGGTATAGATGTGGTGGTGAAAGAGGATGGATGCTCGAGTATATCGATAGAACGGCGGATTATGCGTGTGCGAGCACACCTCTTCGTACGCGGTCTCGATTGTCATGCCGGATCACGATTCTCATGGCGAGGACAACATTGCAACAGAGTAAATTGAAAAGAAGTAGGGAAACACTTCAAGATCGAGAAACGGCAAGCAACCGGGGTGAAATACTCGAGCGTCAGTCGAGGGACATTCTCAGACGCGCAGCAGGCAAAGACTTTGGAACCCGGGCCAGGAGACTTTTGGTATGAGCATTATCCTCAATGGGAATGAGCCAGCTATAAGTGTGCTGCTTTTTTGTTGCCACAAAGAGCTCGTGCTTTTGTCGAGAGGCTAACATGTATGCCTGTGATGCGTACCTGCATTATGAGGCATGTACGCAGATCACGAGCCATGTTGCAACAGCATACACGCATGTACCGAAGGCGTGAACGTCGCGTACTCATACTTGATCTTACCAGCGTCGTTCTCGGCTTGCTGCCCTCAATACCCCCTGAGGATGGAGTCGCTTGGCTGAGTAGTCTTTGTGGAGCCGAAGTACTTCATGGCATAAGTACGAGGTTGAAACCTGCGAGACGGCTGGGGATAGAAGGCTACCAACTAAATAAGAAGTGTCCACCAAACTGTTGGATTATCGAAAACTCGGGTATATGCTTGTATAAGGGGCTTCGCGACTCCACCTTGATATAGCATTGCAGATGACAGGGTCTGGGAGTTGTTCTGGTCTGTAAGCGAGGCCATGTGTGAGTCTGCGACAGGGCCTCGGCTTTGGATATGTATACCAGCCAGTGCTGTGTCGCCGCAAGGATAGCACTTGCGTCCAAAAGACATCAGAGGTGGCAAGGCTGGGTCGGTGCTGCAGAGCTATACAGACTATTGCCTGCTCCAGAAACGGTCGTGGTTCTGAGGTATCTTGGTGTCCGATGGTCGGTGGTGACGCATGCCGGACCAAGCTCGTAGTCCAGGTCGGATGTTAAGGTAGAGGCACGGTCCGGGATGTCATGTTTGACATGTGTTGATGCAGGGGATCAAGGGGACTGACTCAAATTTAGGTATAGCGACACCTTTATTGGTCAGGGATTATGTTTGGACGAAAGTAGAATCCACTGAGAGGAAACCATGACGAGGTTGACTTCGTATCAAGAGAGCCAATCGCAAATGAACGCAAGACCGTCGACATTGGGGGATCATGCCCTTGATCAAGCTGATGCTCATGCCGCTTTAGCGATGTTGTATCGAGCTCCTGAATCCTGCATTGGCCTAAAAGCTTAAAGCTAGCAGGCAAGGTGATCGCTGGCTGAAACTTCAGAACGTTGACTGCGATGAAGACTGGGTTGAGTTCTCGTTCAAGAGATCATCAGGAACTTGTCAAGATTCAGCTCGTAGCGAGGTCAAGGAGGATTGGAGTGCATCAGACGGCGTCCCTCCACCGTTGCTTCTCAGCACTCGGCAGACGAGCGAGCTCTGCTATAAACAGGATGTGCGGGGCTGAGCGAAGACTATCATATCTGGGAGGGTGTCGAATGATGATCAGAAACCTGGCAGTCGGCACTTGATGGAAGCAAGTGTAAATCATGATTGCGTGTTGCGAACAGCAAGATCGGGCGAAGATGTGTTTTGAATATGGAAACTCGTGCAGGAGAATAATCAAAGTATAGAAGAAAGCGAGGTCGAATTGGTGAGGTGCATCATCAACCACCAAGACGGTAAATGGTTCTGAGTCAACAAATGGGCGATCAGGATGCAACTGGGTTCGAAATCAGACATGATGTCTCCACCCGAGACGATAATTCAAGCAGCTTGGGAAGATGGCGAGGACGCGAGCAATAATTAACGTGGATTTCGTGCAGTAGCGCTGGACGCGGCGCGGGCGGGAATGTCCCGTAGACGGCCCACCCACAGACTTGGATTGCTCCTGCTCCCAACAACATCGAATCTTGCAGCTGCCACATGTGTCTTCTCTTTGTCGTCAAACAATACATCTGGGTCGTGTCTTCTTATCGCTGTCAGTCGCAGCACCGGAATCGAACAGACGCCCCATTGACGCCGCCCATGAAAGCATGGATTCAGACTGGATCAATGACAGGATCAGCAGGGTTCCACGAGCTCCAGTGCTCTGCCAAACTATGCCCAAACTAGCTTGACAGCTAACGTATAGTCAAGAGTGTCTGGACTCTTGTCACGCAAGATTTGACGTGACATGCCCCGGGTTTGCATCGGCCACATTAGTCCGTCTTGCCTCGGACTGAGCGCCTGCGCCGACTCGCTTGCTCTCGAGTACTGCACCTATCCGCTTCGTGGAGGGCGGTTTGAGTAGAGTTACGCCAACCTCCTTGACACGGTTTTTCCGAATCTGGTCCCGCCATTGAGTGAGCCGTCAACGATCGTCTCGGAACCGCCCTAACCTGGTGCTAACAGGACCTGCATCACGTACTAAGTGGTAGTAAAGTACTCTACTGTTGGACTTGGTCGGGAATACGCGCATAAGACGCACGTAACCACCCAGCCCTTAACACCCACGCTCTAACCCATCATTATTGCATTCCCCAGTCAGTGAGCACCTGCATAAGCCTTGACGGAAAGGGCTTCTTTTAGCGCAACATAGTCCGCAGTAAAGGTCTCGCCACAAGTCAAGTCTCTTTACCTTGTCCACCTCGTTCCATATTGTAGCCGATTTACCATACATGGTGGGTCTGCTGTGCAGAGATAACTACAGATCAAGTCCCTCTTATAGACCCTACTTCTGTCTTCTCAACGGTCTCCTGTTTCCTCCACCACGTTCCCTCACCGTCCGTCCGTGCAACACAACTGCTACGCCTGCCACTCTATCTCACGCCTCTCCTGCTGCCTCTCATATTGGCAGTGCTCAGCTCCTTTCACATCCGGATTACTATCCATCGCCATCATCATCATGGGTAGCGACGCTCTCGCGATAGAAAACCGAAAGGACCTGGTCGTGGTCGTGAATGTCATTCTCTCCTTCTCGACCCTGTCGGCCCTCTCACTACGATTTGCCAAAGTCACAGGAAATGCAAAGCAACGAAAATTCGATGCGCAGAATATCATGATCTGCTTGGCGGGTGTAAGTAATCAGCTCATTATTTTAATCGCTCGTACTTATACGAGTCTCACAGTTCTGCGGAGTTATGATGTCTCTATTACAATGTGTCGCGACAAAATATGGTCTGGGCAGCCATGACTGGGATGCTCAGACATCAGACCAAGTCACATTCTACAAGGTGGGTGTGAGTTTTCAATTGGCCCTCTTATCCCTCATGGAACTGAGACTGACGCTGGGCGTCAGTTATACATCTCAATATTCTGCTTCTACTTGGCATGCAACATGTTTGTCAAGTTCGCCCTTCTCTTCTTCTATCGCCATACGACCTACGAGCGTTGGCACCACTGGGTGATCTGGTTCATGGAATTTATCGCTTTCGGCTTCGGCGTCAGCAGCATTCTTGTCATCATCTTCCAGTGCGTGCCTATCGCACATCTTTGGGATCCAAACACCCCCGGTACCTGCGTCGACATCAAGGCTTTCTTCTACTCCAACTCGATCATTATGATCGTCAACGATATCATCCTCTACGTTCTTCCGATCATTTTCACATGGAAGCTCCAGCTGCGTCTTACTCAAAGGATTGTTCTCAACATGCTTTTCGCTTTGGGTGCATTGTAAGTCTTCTCAGCACTACGCTGGCGATACTTATCTGACAGAACCAAAGCGTTGTCGCTGCTAGTTTCATTCGCCTGTACGTCGTCTATCGCTACGATCAAGATGGTGACCTCTCGTGGAACATCGCCTCATGTCTCATCTGGTCTTCTGTGGAGAATCATCTCGCTGTTTTCATCGCATGCTCGCCTTCCATCAAAGCAGTCGTCAGCGGTGTACTCTACCCACTCGTCTCGTCACAAGTTTCGTCATTCAAAGACAAGATCAAGAGGTCAAGGGGTAGCGAGGGTTCTAGCTTGCCAACACACAAGTCTCCCTCTCTCACCCTGGCAACCATCGGCTCTCGTCCCAGCCGCTTTGTGCAAAAGGTCAGAGACCCTTTCGCCGCCAGCGCCCGTAGGGACAGCTTTAATACTCTGGACTCAGGTTTCGAGTTCGTCAACCGCGAACGCCATGAAATGGACCCCATTGAGCGAGCAAACTCCGAGGCAACCTTGAGTTCCGCGACGTATCGAAAAGACTCAGAGGCATCGACTTCCTCCAAGGAACCTCAAGTACAAGTTTATGCCGTAGATGAAGGTGTTAGTCCTACTTCATCTCGTTTCCCTCTACCGACGCTGGATTCGTCGAAGTCCCATAGCCATAACTGAACGATAGGAACGATGTGGCGCTTGGGAAGATTTAATAACGGGTTTGGTTCTTTTCAATGCATTCTTCATACCCCAAAGGCACAGTCATGGAGCCTGGAGCGCTGTTTTCAAAAATAATCATATCCACGAGCGGTTGTATCGTTTGGCATTTCGAGACGACACTCTCGTTGATGTCCTTTTTCTATTTTCTATGTACCTTTTATTCAGAGGCCCCTCAAGAAGGGAAGATCAAATATCATGACCAAATCAATGCAGTCTGACAATTGACTGACACTAAATTCAATACTATCTTCACTGTTGACTCCTTTTTCTCCTCCAGCGCAAGTTGGTGACGATAGTGGATACGGAGGCCGCAGTAGCGGGCTTGTCGAACAAGCGCACATGCAACGATCATGCACACGGAGCACACCGCATCAAGGTCCAACATAGCCGATGTATCGTCGGACAGAGGACACTTGTCCGACCATCCACCAACCCTGCGCGATGTTTGGACAAACAAATCCTGCTCATCCATAGCGAAAGGATCGGTGTGGTGGAACAGTCATTATTGTTGCATGTCCGACTGTACATGGGTGAGTTCCAACAATATGGGCACATCAGCCGCAAGCAGATGATTTTCAGATTGGCCCAATCAATCTCGAGTCTTGTAATGAATGCTGCTTTGGCCAGACCGATGACCATCTATCGTTGATGACGAGCAAAGAAATCGTTCTGCATTGAAGAGGCTTGTCGTCGCGTTGCGAAACCTCGGTTCATGCGTGCATCTCGAAAGAGAATCCTCCGACTTTACAATTTTCGCAAGCTCCACACCAAGGACCACGCTTGAGAAGAAAGAAACACTTTGCATATCCGCCGCACTTTGATTTTTCTAGTCGCTCATTTCCGTCGGGATGCGAGAGCACACGTTGTAGATTCTCATATTGTTTTCCTCACAGTTACGAGAAGATCCGGAGTCAGACGCGACGTCCCATAGGGCTACTTCAGAAAAACACGACTGCTTGGTCGGTAGATTGTACTCATGACCGATCGTGAATATCCAATCACCTACTTTGCCAACCTCGAGCTGACAAGCTTCGGATCGTACCTGCACCGAGTTGATTCTCTTTGATGATAACCCAAAATTTCGACTGCATATTCAATCTATCGTGGCAATAGCATGACTCTCATAGCCTGCTCCGTTCTGCATCATTCCAATACAGCGCTTGGAAAACCAGCAGAACGGTCCAGCGATGCATGTGCAATATACATAAATTAGTCGGCTGCACCTTACTCGATCTTTCCAACAACCAATCTGGGGAGGAGAAAGGATGCTGCTTACGGTGTCGATCACACATGCTTGCGTCTTCCCACCATGGCCATTTCTCCGCCATCCCGGGCCGCACCTGTCAAGAAGTTTCCTCGAGGAATTGCGCCTTCCTGTTATTTCGGGAATTGACAGCCGCACGGTTCGAGTTGGGTGCAGACATAGCTAAGCCGTCAAGCCGTAGGATATTTCCCACTCGGCTCACCACTCTTGCACTAGATATTGCTCGTTCCAACTTACCTTACCGACTCTCACTCCCTCGAGCTGCTACAGGTAGTCAGGTACATGTCGTTCTTGATACCAAAGCAACATGCTGACCGCTCCGAAAGATGATCAGCCTATCACAGCCTGAGATTCAACATATCAATCAATCACCAAATGTCAGCCCAACAAAGAATCCACAACGACAATGTATTACCTATTTAGAGGACGAAAACACTTCTACGTTATACCACGCAAGCCCTGATTGAATCTCGAACGTGCTTCTCCGTCCGAAACACACCACGGATAGCAAATTCCGACATTGCGAAAGTGGCGCGGTCCTGCTTCCGGACGACCGTCGTATGATCATTGATGGCACACACATAGAACTGGTGTGGTGGCACACAATCCCACAATTTGGTCGATAGACATCGGAAGGCTTTCTTCGAACCCTCGCTTCGGCGCTGTACCATTTTTGTTCACGCCGCCTGACTCGGTACATGGATACGGGAGATTCTATACCGACAAACGAAAATCTGCATTGATCTCATCGTGTTGGACCGAGCGCGAAGAAGTCTTCGCTCTTGATACCGAAGTCCTTCAGGTTTCTAACCACTGGACACGCTGGAACTCGTCTTGTGTACATCATCGTCGCTTCGAAGTGGCCCATGACTATCGCATGAAAATCAGCACTGGCTATGTGAGGTACGCTGCTATTGGAGCGCATCACAATCGTGATGCGACAACCGTACGCTTTTTCTCGTTGCCTCCGCTGCCATGCAATTCAAGGCTTACGTATTCGAGACGCCTCCAGCGCATTTTTTTTTTACCTTTCGATCACAAATTGTCGTGTGTTGAATGAGCCGTGATTGGAAGCAATCGAAGGCAGACGTTGACTCCAACCAGAGCAGCGAAGGACTGATCGCTTCGTTGACGGATTGTACGGGATGCTGCACAGTCAATGGGACAAACATCCTCTGCTACCTGCCCATGAGCCTGTAGACTTTGCTTGCCAGTCGCGACATATGATCAGCATTTCGGAGTCGTAGAGAAGGACCAACGTTGGGTCTCATTCGCAACTCGAACAAGATCAAGGCTCTGGATGATACTAAGACGATCGTGTAACGAGGCAAGACAGTAATCAGTGTCTTGGCTGTAGCAGAGCAAAGTGAGCGTAAACAGCATAGTAGCTCATGGATGCAGGAATCGTTGTCTTCAATATCAGTAAGAAACGGTATCAAAGCAGCCCAAGTCAGGGCTAGATCCCGCAGGATAACCATGTGCCTGCGAGACTGGATTAGCAATCATCGTCTGTCAAGCCAAGTGCTGTTACAGAGACTTACCAGTGCGTCAAGATCTAGCCAATCCGAAATTTGCCAGCCTTCTAGAGAGTGGTCTCCGGTAGCAAGGCCTCCGATATCGGGTGCGGGAGCTATGTTGAACGTTGATGCGGCATGATTCCCAGTTGTGTCTTCCGTCGTAAGAGAAGCCTGATTGTTTCCGGCTTCTGCCCGCAGTTCCTCCAAAATGATGCTGTACCTTCTGCTTGGCGAGTTTGAGGCCGTCGCATGTGCAAGATGAGTCTGACACCTCTCGGCAAGCCTGAACAATTGTTCAGTGTCAAAGCCACCGTCGATAGGATGTCCATGAATCTTCCAAACGTAGGCGATGCTCAGAGCGCAAAAGGTGACATAATGTGTCCACCAAAAGGCATGGAACATACGTCCTGAAGTCGCAATATTGTCGGCGGTGCGGAGCACTGCGAGAGCGGCAGCCAGACAATGCTTGACGCTGGCCTCACTTTCTTGGCCCGCAAAACGCAGTAAATAAGGTCGATGGAGATGCATAACGGCATGAGAATGCGCCATTCGTATAGCCACTGACTGTCGCTGCAGACTACGAATCAAACTTGATGGTTTGACAGTACTCAGAAACGGAGGAAGAGCGCGATGCCACTCGTCAATATCAGTTTGTAGTTGCTTAGTCAGTTCCAGTCTTTTGGTGCCTGTCAGAGCTCGAGTGGGATACAATCTGCGGGAGATTCTCCCGACCAGTCGAGCAAGCTTTGCGTTCTGAACGAAAGCTTCTATCAAGCAGTCATCAGGATCTTCAGTGGCATCGCAACCAACAGCGGTCATGTCCTCATCATTGACACAATCTGGGAATTCTTGGTCAATGTCGTCGTCGTGAAAATGTTGCGGTCGACCCATTACGACTCCTAGGTACTTGTCGAGAATGTAGGTCGTCCAAAATGTACGCTTTTGACACTGTCGATAGACATAGTCTCTTTCCAGTCTAGCTCGCCGGACTTTCCTGTGCAAGCCAAGCGACGATACGAGTTGCAGGACAGTGCCGAATGTAAACCATGCTTGATTCATACGACATGTCATGAGCAAATAGAACACTTGGATGAGTCTGGCTTGCGCTGAGTCGAGACGTGGTAGGCCAACCTCCATGTTGGTCAGTCCCTGTGATACCTGGAAAAGAGTATCACTTTCGTTGAATGAAAAGTCCTGCGTCTTGCGCCTGTGATATGATGCTACAGCAAAGACAGCGAACAGAGTTGATAGTTTGGCATGACCCAAGTTGCGGATCAACGGTCGTTCAGCCTTGACGTTTTGCGATGCTTGCTTGTGCCATGCGTCCAAAGTCGGTCGATGTAGTGGCTTGTAAGTCGCAACACACACGTCAAAATACACATCCAGAAGTTCAATTGCATCATCCCCATGTGGCAGTAGACCAGTCATACTAGGCTGAATATCTGGAAGGGCGAGAGGTTTATCACCCGCATTTAACAAGGGTTGTTGCCGATAGCTCCAGTCCTCGTCTTGAGCACAGTCCGATAACGTTTGATGGGACGAGAAGCGTTCTCGAGCACGCTCAAGAAATGACAGTCCTGATGTGGGATCTACGTATTGGCCTTGGATATTGGTCGAGTCCATCTCCGGTGAATTGCGTGAGCTGATGCCAGTATCTCGGGGAGCATCGTCGACATCATGGGCATAGGGTGATATTTGACGATCAGATGGTGCATGCGGGCTCTGACCCTGAACCAGAGTAGATAACGGAGGTGTCGGTGGGCGTCCTCGCATGTATTGACTATCATATGAGCACACGGCTCCGCGTTTCGAGCAAGCAGGACATGGCTTTGTGCCTGTGCAGCGCGCCTTCTTCAGCTATACTCAAGTCAGTGCTACCCGGTCACGCAGGGGTCAAAGCAAATCAACGCTACCCACCCTGCAAGCGTCACATGCTCGAGTGATTTTCGGTATCCGCCTTCCTGACTGTGGCGACGCCATGCGTGCTCTCTTAGCATTGCTTTCGGTCATTAAGCCAGGAGGTCTTGTCGCGTCTTCCGTGGTGTTCATACTCGCCGCTTCCACCGGCAGCAACTTGTCAGACTAATATTTGTGGTGCATGCTCGACTCACGGAAAGAGCATTTCTACTGGACTGCGGGGAAGTGAAAGACGAAGGATTGCCGCGAGGCATTACCGGTCATACTGGACTCGAGACAACACATACAGTCTACATGGTCTTCGGGCCGGCTTGCGCTTGAACTCTGCGAACTCCACATGCTGTATGCGCTGACAAGAGATAGAGACTCTGTAAGTCGAGCGATGCGGTGACCGTGGTCGATCAGTGGCCACGGCGCGGACGAATCTCGGCACAGAACGCGCTTGCTCAATCGTCCTTGTTGATGCAACCTGCCTGGAGTATTCTTTTCTATATACATCGGTCTACAATGTGTATTTGAACAGCGGGCTCTTGTCACCCATCTTATCCAATTCTTCGTCGGAGTATCTTTCTCTGACCTCGTCCTCCGAGAACTTCTCATTCTCGCCGTTGCTTCTCCAGAGAAGATATTCAAGCACAAGACAAGCCACAATGCCAGCCGCGGCAAACGCCAATGAGCTTCCAAAACCACTGGGATATTTTGGTGCTTCTTTCTCGATGAAAATGAAACTTCCGGTGATGCCTAAAGATCCATTTGTTAGTCATGATCGCGCTGAACTTCAAGTCGGCTCGTTCTCTTACCTCCCATGTTGCCCACACCAGTGAGAAAGCCGATCCCCATTGCTCGCTTTGAAGGACCGGCAAGGTTGTTCATGTTCCATGCTTGAACACCAGGACCAATTGGATATAATCTGTGCGCTGTCAGCATCTGAGACACGGTGCTCGGACATTCCTCCTACTTACCCAAAGCAAGCGAGACAGACGGCGAAGTAGCACACTGCAATGTTGTCTCTGATATCAGCAGCTTTTGCAAACAAGATTGCATAGGCAACGACTACAGCGATCTGTGGTATCACGATTGTTGGCATGCGCCACTTGAATCGATCTGAAACCACGGAGAAGCTGTATGCTGATATGGCACCAACTGTGTATGCCGGAATGGTGAGCAGCTGAGCATTAGCGCTAGAGTAGCCCATGTTTTTCATGATCTGAGGCATGGTGAACTTGAGGCCGTAGTTCGGCGTAACGTTGGACCAGAAGGCGATTATGAGGAGATATATCTTCCAATCTTTCAGCACAGTCAGGAAGACTCGCATGTCGAAATGCTTCTCCTCGTGTCCTACAGGCTTGACCCTGCCAACCGCTACTTGTCTCAGCTCGAGATATCGGATCTCGTCTGGAGTAAGCCAGCTGGTTGAGAGCGCCGGCGTATCGATCAAAAGCCAGAAGCAAGCCAGACCAGCGATCGCCGAAGCCAGGCCCTCGAGGATGAAGATCTTGAATGGTCAGTCAGCATTAATCAATCGAAACATCGTTCCACTTCAACATACCCATCTCCACCCTTCCAGCCCTGCGACACCGTCCATTCTCACGATACCGTACGCAAGCAACCCGGAGAAAGCACCAGCTAGCGCGCTAGCGGTGAAGAATATGGCAATTCTGGTCTGACTCTCGTGAGGGAGATACCACTTGCTGATAGTGAGGATTGCGCCTGGGAAGAATCCTGCTCTAAGTTCCCTACATTAGCTCAGGCTTTGGTCACCACTCTTGAGATGAAGCTTACTCAAAAAGACCCAAGAACACTCTTGTCACACATAGCCCGGCAAAGTTTTGAACAAAGCCAGTGCACATTACCACCACGCCCCAGACGAAGACAATGGTGCCCATGAAAACGGAGGGACGATTGAACTTGTCGAGGATCATGTTGCTGGGGATCTCTAAGCGAGCATGAGCTGAGATTCTAACTTGCAACCGTCGAACGACTTACCAGCGAGAGTGTACGGGATGAAGAATATTGCTAGTGCAATGTTATACTGTGTGCCTGTCATATTGAGACTTGGTAGTAGGCCTTCGATCTTTGCATTGCCTATGCTAGTCAGCACGCTTTGTATTGGTAGTGTTGAATGACCTTGACTGACCGATGTTGGCTCGGTCGATGAACGAGATGAGATACAGGATCAGAAGCATCGGGACAAGCCTCCAGTCGACCTTACGCAGTACTCGCTTGCGTTGCTCATCGGTGAAGCCTACCAGGAAGTCTGCGTCGACGGCCGATATGTGTTCGTTGGGGCCTCGAGCGTTCTTCTCTTGGGGTACCATCTCGTGTTTCTCTGCATCGATGTCCTTGAGGTCGTGGATTGGGGTTCTTGGAGGCATGGTGTAATAGTATCGAGGCCCGCTGAGACAGTGGATTGGAGAGATATGTTTTGACTGACGACAACCACGACCATACTGACAGCGTTATATAGCCTCTAGCGGTGAGAAACCCAGTCCACACTTGGTGACGAACTTTGCAAGCACTTCTCCACAGTCGTCCCCAGGTTCATGACTCCACAGAACGGGTTTATGGCCGATGGTGGATACAAGATAGATTGTTTTCTGGATCCGGAACGCCACACCAATCTTTTGCATGAGTCCGAGCAAGAATCCGAAGCTGAGTAGCTGGATATCCGAGAATCCGGCATCTCAACCCTGCCTCCGCTTAGCGGGGTAGAGAAGTCCGACATATCCGGCTCACCATCGCTTCCAATCTTGTACTGTGTAGTGCGGGGCACTCCATCTTTCCATCACTCAAACTCCGCATGTATGTTACAGCGCGGTGCAAGATGGCGCCTTCGGGCAACAGAGCGACAGATGGGTCCGCAGATCCCTGAGGCTTCGTGCAAAAGACGACATAAATTGGAGACATAAATACAGACTAGCCATCCACCCAACTACCGTCCCTCATCACACTACATTCTACCCTCACATCTCACACACTACGACAGAAAGTAATCCAAGATGAGCGACTCAATCAACATCGACCTCAAAGGCTTGACCCCTGCCCCCGTCACACCCTTCAATGAAGATGGCTCAGTCGACTACGAGGCCATCCGGCGTCTCGGCTCCTGGCTGGGAAGTATCTCCGGGGTCAAGGGTCTTGTGGTCTTAGGCCATGCTGGTGAAGGAACCTTCCTGACCCAGGACGAACAAGAGGATGTCATTAGAGCCTTTGTTCGTTCCGTGGACGACAAGATCCCCATCATCGCCGGTATCACTGGTGAAGGTACAGAGGTCGCAGCACTTGAAGCTAAGCGTGCCAAAGCTGCCGGTGCTAAGGCTGGTCTTCTCTATCCTTCCCACGGTTGGTTGCGCTTCGGTTATCAAGATGGTGCACCTCAAGATCGCTACAAGGTCGTCTTCGAGACTAGTGGCCTCCCTCTTATCCTCTTCCAATACCCCGACAATACCAAGGCAACCTACAGCCTGCAGACAATGCTCGATATCTCTGCACAGCCTGGCGTTTTTGCGATGAAGAACGGTGTCCGCAATATGCGCAGGTGGGACGTTGAGATCCCTATCATCCACAAGCAGCGCCCCGACCTCCAAATCCTGACTTGCCACGACGAGTACCTTCTTCACACCGCTTTCGACATAGATGGCTTCCTCGTCGGATACGGAAACATCGCTCCCGAACTCTTGATTCAGATGATTGAGGCAGGCAAGGCCAAGGACTACGCCAGAGCTAGACAACTACACGACCAGTTATTGCCTCTCACAAAGGCTGTATATCACCGTGGTAGTCACATGGAGGGTACAGTCGCATTGAAGCACGCTCTGGTCGCCAGGGGTATCCTGAACCACGCCACAGTCCGTTCACCACTCATGCCTCTTGCCGAAGGCGCAGATAAGGAGATCCATGCTGCTGTTCAGTTTGCAGATCTGCCTAAGATCAACGTCGACAAGCTCCCATCAAATGGCAATGGAGTAAACGGAAGCAATGGTACTAATGGATACCACTGATCCGTATGAGGTTCAGGGGAGCAATTGATAGTTCGATATATCATTTTCTTGATTTCAAATCCATCACATCATGTTGACATCACAAGAAATATGTACCAATCATTGAGAGGCCACATACCCTCATCAATGCATTAGATCCAGGCAGGACCAAATTCGCCAGCTGGTTCCAAAAACATCGTTTTCGACATTTGCGACGACAGACGATGGCTTACTGTTTCCAGTATCTCGAACATGTCTCAAGGTAGCTCCGACTTTCGTCTTTCATTTGCTCCATACGATAGAGTGCAGTGATCAGGATGGAAGATGTGATGAATCACTAGTCACCGGGACAACCCTGGCCGCATTTCGCAAGCAACGGCTTAATCTCAAGCCTTTTTCGTATCGATCTCACAATGTTATTCGTACAACTGGGAGCTTCCATCCTTGCGGAACAGCATCGTGCCCGTGTGGTGTATTAGCCTGAGGTATATCACTGTATTTGAGGTTGCGGCATCCATTCGACTTGAAGGTCCGCGGTGAAACTTAAACTAACTGGTCAGCTTCAACGTCTCGAATAGGTGGGGTATGGCTTCTGGCTTATCCCATGGTGATAGCATGTATACATGTTGTATCGGCCGAAATGCGATGATGCAGGTGTCGTGATTGTCGTGGTGCCACCGCTGAGGGAGACAATTTCGCCCGATGAGTAGCGGTCGCAACGGGGAAGCTGTTATACGTCATCGGGCGCTGCGATAAGCTCCATCATTATTGCACCGCAGAGCTTAAGTCCGGGGCAAAACATCATGATCATACGATGATAGGCAGTTCATGATCATGTAAGGGCCGCGGTGACATGCTCCGCTGCGTCCCGCGTGCTAAAAGGACGGTCATACCAGTAACTCCGGCCAGAAGCTCTAGATTTGTGTTCGACGATGAGATCACCAGTCTTGGAGCTGTTTTGGTCTCAGATGATAAAGGGGAGGCACCGTCCTTGTGCTTTCCAACATCGTTTTTCGTCCATTGACATCAACCAACCCTTTCTACCACCCGTACACCAAATCTTTCCAAAATGTCTACCGATTACAAGTTCGAGGGCTGGCTCGGCCATGACTCCAAGTCTGTTGAGGGCAACATGAAGTGGGGTGAATTCGAGCCCAAGAAGTGGTCAGAGAACGACGTCGACATCAAGGTCTCTCACTGCGGTGTCTGCGGTTCAGACCTCCACACCCTGAAGAGTGGTTGGGGCGAGACTCCTTACCGTGAGTCTCCGGTCGCACAGAATGCCGCTTGAACAATCTACTAATCCGTCTTCTTCAGCTTGCTGCGTCGGTCACGAAATCGTCGGCAAGGCTGTCAAGGTCGGAAGCAACATCAAGCACGTCAAGGTTGGCGATAGAGGTATGTTCAATCCTCAATCGAGATTCGCCTGTTTCGAAACTGACTCTCTCTCCAGTCGGTGTCGGTGCCCAATCAGATTCCTGCGGTGAATGTATCGACTGCAAGAATGGCGACCAGAACCACTGCTCGAAGACGACCAACACATACGGCGACAAGTACAAGGATGGTTCTGGCAAGTCATACGGCGGATATGCAACATACGCACGTCACCCTGGTGCCTTTGTCTTCCAGATTCCCGAAGGTCTCGACAGCGCAGAGGCTGCTCCCATGCTTTGTGGTGGTGTTACTGTCTACTCGCCCCTGAAGAACAATGGCTGCGGACCTGGCAAGAAGGTGAGTTGAATTCCGTGAACCTCGGCAAGCAAGTCTAACATGCATCAGGTCGGTATCGTTGGTGTCGGTGGTCTCGGCCACTTTGGTGTCCTGTTCGCCAAGGCTCTTGGTGCCGATGAGGTTGTCGGTATTTCTCGCAAAGCAACCAAGAAGGATGAGGTTCTCAAGCTCGGCGCCGACAGATACATTGCCACCGACGACGACAAGGACTGGAGCAAGACTAACGCCCGCTCTCTTGACTTGATTGTGTCGACCGTATCTTCGGGCAAGATGCCCCTCGATGGCTACCTTGCTCTACTCAAGGTCAAGGGTACGCTCATCCAGGTTGGTGCACCGGACGGTGGTGAGCTGCCGAACATCAACGCTTTCACCCTGATTGGAGGTGGTATCAAGGTTGGCGGCAGCGCTATCGGTAGCCCCGCTGAGATCAACGAGATGTTGAAGTTGGCTGCTGACAAGAAGATCCACCCCTGGATCCAGAAGCGCCCCATGAAGGATGCCAACGCCACTGTCGTTGACATGGAGGCCGGCAAGGCTCGCTACCGCTACGTGCTTTGCAACGACGAGTAAGATCTCAATGCTTTTATGATTTGAAGAACCCTCCGTTTGGAAGAAGGGTACATCTCTTGGAACTTTTGGCCCTACAATAGAGGTAGATAATCGGTATGATATATTAATTATGATCTCGAAAATTCTTGACAAATTGTATGTGTTCGCTGGGGCTTTCGCTTATAAGACATATCTGAAATGCAGGTTCTCCTTGTCAGTGAGATCCCTGAAAGCGAATCGATCTGCATCCTCTTCATTAAGGTTGAGTCTATCCCTTCGTTGGTTCTCCCGCCACATGACATAGTAGAGTGCCAGAGAAGCAGCGATCGCAACGCAGTAGAAGATGATCAGTCCAGTCCAGAGCTCAGGATAGTGTTCGCGACGAGTCTCACTCTTGATGAGCTGTGGGCCAACGATATTACCGACACAGTATGCGACGAAGATGGCAGCTGACATGAAACTCTTCTTGGTCGCTCCTGCCACGTTAGACATACCGAGTGCGATGATGAGTGATACTACAGGGCCGAAGAATCCGATGATAGAGTAGCCCACCACCGGGGCGGCGGCATGATGTGTCCAGTCTGCTTTCCAAATCATGGCGCAGCCGGCAATAACGGGGAAGCAGCAGACCACTAGGATAGTGATTCTGATGTTGCGAACATATAGTGGTATGAATCCAGCGAGCAGAATTCCGAGCCAGCTGATGCCACCAACAGGAAATTGTAGCAGGATGGATTGAAGAGTATTCCAGCCAAACGTGCTGACGATAAGAGGTCCAAAGCCGGCTACAGCGCCATTGACTGTGTATGCGCAGCCCATCATGATGAAAATCAGGTACACTTTGACATCCGTCAAGGCTTCCTTGATCTGGTACAGCTTGATTTCCTTGCAACGGACCCCGGTCTGGCCCTTACGAAGTCTCTCCACAGCGACAATCCGCTCTTCCGGAGTCAAGAACCAAGCACTGACGGGTGAGTTCGGTAACAAGAAGCACCAGCCGCCGAAGATAATTGTAAGAGCTCCGGCAAGCAGATAGATGTACTGCCATCTTGTGAGGTCACCTCCTGTGATTTGCCCGAATCCGTAATTGAGAGCACTGCCGATGATAGTAAAGAGGCCGGTCCCAGAGAACCACCAAGCTTGTCGGAAAGTCTGTTCTCGCTGAGTGTAGTAACCGGCAACGATGCAAGAGAACCCAGTAGGGATGATGCTCTCTACGAATCCGAGGAAGAATCTCTGCACAAACAGGCCACGCCAATCTTGAACGGCAGCAGTCAACATGCAAATAGCACCCCAAAGTACGACGATGGGTCCGAGAATCTTCCCAATGTTGAACTTTTGCAGTGCGAAACTCATTGGATACAAACCTGCCAGCATGCCGAAATAGAACAATGAGGTCGCCCAGCTCAAGCGATCTGTGCTTGTCGTTGGCGGAGTAGTCGTGCGGTCAACAATCGTAAGGTGCAGATCCGCTGTCATACCAAACAGAGCTGCACTTCCGAGGATCGCTTTGTCGTAGTATACAAGTCCGTATCCAATGACCATTGGTGGCATGAGGAAGAGGTCGATTTTCCTGACTACACGACGTTCGATGGCTGGATCAATTGCTCGCGCCTTCTCACCAGCTAGTGCCAGAGCTTCATCTTTCGTTCCTGTAGTATTCGTTGTAGAGGTTTCTGCAGAAGGTCGCACTGGTGACTTCTCTCGTAGCTGGGCTTCAGACGCTGGCTCCATGCTGCTGATTGATCCCTGAGGCAGAAGGAATCCCACGAGAAAACGCGTCAACTTCTTGTTGTGATCAGATACTTGGTCTAAGTCTAAAGACTCTATGATCTGTATCTATGCAGTGACTCAATGCTCAGGAAAATTTGCTGAGAATCTACCTTAGTGGTTTTGCATGACCTGTGCTTGGCCAAGTAGAAGAATTGGCAGCTTCAGCCTTGTCAGATGCGTTGAGCAGCTCCGGCGTCGGCGGCTAAATCCAAACACAGGCTTTCTCTCATGTCGATTTCCTACACTGGTTGCTCGATATCCTATCAAAGCGTTTTTCTGTTATACGCAAAGTGCGTGTCCATCCCAAGATCGCTGCCCAGAAGCGATATCTGTAAGTATACCAGAACGCTGGCTTTGAGGTCAAGCAATGTGGACAGCGTTTGCGTCATATACGACGTCCCATCTCAGCATCAATACACACATCAATGTTTGGTTCTCACAGTTTTCAGAATTTCATGACGACCGTGGACGACACTGCGTGGATATATACATGTCGTATGCATGAGATGACATGCCCATGAAAAGACAGGAGGCGTTCCAAGATCTGCCCAGGTCTTTTGCCAAGAGATATTTCCCCCCTTCCCCGCTTTCTGTCTATTTCCGGCTGTCACCCTGTTCTGTGTTCATCGGCTTGTCAAAGGAGCAGGCAGCAGGATTCCTTGAGGCTGAGGCTTCGAACGGCCGAGTATTGTTGTTATTGGTTATGACAGATTTGAAGGTAATCAAAATTCTGGGCATGTCATACATGGCGCAGCCAGCCAGAGACCTGGCCTTCTTCTCCTTGAACACAACTGCGTCAATTCTTCTCGATTCGAGTATGCGCAAGCATGAGAATACCGTCATGTGCGATCAACGGTGCCTTCAAGAGATACGCGCTTGCCATTGTCCTGGTCTTTGCCCTGGAAATCTGGTTCCACCTGTCGAGCTCATCAACACAGCAGCCACTGATACACATCAAGGCACCGCATCCTGGTTGCCATGCAGTGGAACAGTCTCCGGATCACGCTCCAGCAATCGCTCGACAGAACGCTACCATCCTCATGCTCGCTCGGAACAGCGACCTGGACGAAACTGTGGATGCCCTGAAGTCTTTCGAATCACAGTTCAACCATCGCTATAACTATCCGGTCGTATTCCTCAATAACGAACCATGGACCGACGAGTTCAAGCAAGGAGTATCAGGCATCGTCAGTGGTCAATCCATCTTCGACACCATCTCCTCGGACATGTGGGGCTATCCAGACCATGTGGATCAAGAAGCTGCGCGAGCAAGCATCAAAGAGCAAGGATATAGGGGCATCATACACGCGGGACAAGAAAGCTATCATCATATGTGTCGCTTCTATTCCATGTCGGTATACGCAACTTCTTGCTGCTTGGTTGCATGACTGACGCCTTCTACTAGAAAGTTCTACGACCACCCTGCTATGCAGCCCTTCAAATGGTATTGGCGCATGGAGCCAGGTATCTCCTTCGAGTGCCCCATCAATTTCGACCCCTTCGAATACATGTCGCGCGAGAACAAACGATACGCATACGCGATCGCATTACAAGAGGTCGGATCTACAGTCCGCAGTCTTTACAGAGCTGTGAGCGACTACAAGGATCAGATGCACATAAGAGCTTCGAGATATTGGGACGCCTTGATAGATCCGTCTTGGGCCCCATTCCCAATTCGGTGGCTGTTGCGTCTTGCGCCGTACCGGGATATTCACGGCGATGAGTGGAATCTCTGCCACTTCTGGAACAACTTCGAGCTCGCGGACTTGGACTTCCTCCGCAGTGATGAGCACAGACATATGATGGAACATCTCGACAAACTCGGAGGCTTCTACTCCGAGCGCTGGGGTGACGCTTCAGTGCGTTCATTTGCTGCCACTTTGCTATTGAAACCAGAAGAGATACATTACTTTGGCGATGATATCTGCTACTGCCATGGCGACTTCTGCTCGCCGGGTATCAACTTGCTCACAGCAGACCAGGCATGCCCAGTCGCAGAGCCTGTACAAGAAAAAGACAAGAAAGGCAAGTTCAATGAGATGTGCCATGCGAGGTTTAGGAAAGCACACGTGCTATGAGTGATTCGAGAGTAACGATAAAACCACCTAACATGTATCGACGTTTTTTTGTATAAACAGGTCTATCTGGCGCTCGATTGCCTGTCTGTCTCTCAGTGCGAGTTCGTCGACCGCGGACGCCGTCTGACAAGAGCATAAGAATGTAGCTCACAGAGCCGCTTACGTAACGCCGACTGGTGGACTCATGGAGCTGCCTGAAACGTTGTTGGTCACACTCGGTCTCTTTGTCAATCATAGTAATTAAATCCCGCCTGGTGTGGGATTGTGACTTCCCTGCTCTTCGCAAGACCACTTTGGATCATCAATTACCTTACAATTTTCAGGACGATGCCTATTAGCCTGCAGAGCCAAAGACGATCGATGCATTTGCAGAAATGATAGTCTCATGCGCAGAAGGTCATCTCAGTCCTTTCACCGCTGCTCAGAACATCACAGACGCACTAGCTGCAGACGCGTGGCAGAACAAAGCGGACATTGACTCCAATGACGAGGACCGACCATATTCTACAAACACAGCACTAGTCGCTGTCCTGGATGGCAGCTGTGTCTCGTCCATCCCGCCGCGTAGCCCGGTGCACAATAGACTGTTCGATATAATCGACAACTTCATGAAGATCGAGACGCGTCAGATACCAAATTACCTTTTGAACTCAGATAGTCGGGTGCGAGATGGCTACGAGACAGACGATATGAGACCAATGGTCCCTCTTTGGGAGAGCTTGAGCCCATTGTTCTTATCGAGTTGCGAGCGGCTAGCGGATGTTGGGGAAACTTGGACCGGAGTTGAAAACTGCGGAAGCCAGTAACAACAGCGATGGCGCAATCTTCTCACTTCTTCGCCAGATTGACAGTAGAGAACGTTGAGAGCATGGGCTGACGGAGTCCTCTGCAGCGATTGCCGCCCCAATATGGGATGCCGGACAGGACAACCTTGGGATGGTCTGGGTATCTGGCTGGCCAGGTCTTTGCTGCGGCTCAATGGTTCGTGCCTGGAGAGCACGGACATTGGGTATGGGAGGCTTGCTGTCGAAACATGGGATCTAAAGACACGATTCTGCTGCACGATGCGCAGAGTGTAAGTCGTGATCTCACAGATGACGAAGGAGAAGTTGAAAGCGGTGAAGCTTTAAGGAAGGACACGCATCTAGAAAGCTGGTAATGGAATCTGGAATACTGGCAAATCTGGAAAGCAGCCTTCCAAGACGTGTCAGAGATGGTGGATGACCAAAAGGTCCACGAAGTCGTTCGTCTTGAAGCTAAGAAAGCTTTGAAAGTCATGGGTGCACTGGAAGCAGATCGGGTCTCAGGATGTGCCTAAAAATGTATTCGAGGGAGAACATTTGTCGGGAGAGTCGAGGAGTAGACCCTTCTTGTGGTCCTTTAATAATTCTTAGATGTGTCTGCTATTGCCGGATACTACGATAAGAGGAAATGGATTGTCGAGCATTTGTCTGCAATTGGCAGGAGCGGATTGTCGATGCCAAGCGGCACCCTAAAATCTTGAAGCCTGTGCAGACCCCGGACCGAGGAATCGTAAATCCTTCGACGGCAGTCGTTATGACTTGTTGTACAATTACAACAAAATATTCGTTGTTCTCGCGGTATATCGATTGAACTTCAATCCATGACTATGACTGAAAGACTAACATTCAGCCCGTGCGGTAGATACCTCGCAACCAATTTGATAACGAAGCTCAAGGACGGTTTTGTTATATCTCGAACAATTCCCGCTTCACAATATGGCTGCCTGGATTCAAGATGATATAGCGGCGCAGCAAGTCGAGCAAACCCTAAACTCCTGAGAATGCGACAGCAGGAATGTGAGAATCGTCACGATTTGGACAAGTACGTACGTATTTGCGTGGAATTTCGCTGCCTCGAATACGAGGTATTAGTCCTTCACTGCTCGGATAATCAACGAATCATGGTGAACACATACCAGCGGGCGAGCTCGGGCGTCTATGCGCAAAGACCAACAAGCCTTTATCAATTCCAAAATCGTCCATGGTACTGGTCTTGGCTATAAGCTCATGGCGGTAGATCGACCTCGTCCTTCTGATCTGGCAGCCTGGGTACAGGCAGTTCGCCGATGTACAGCCACTATATGCGCACTGCAACGCAGTTGCACGGATCATGTGTAGGTAACGTGCCCTAGTGTCATTCTATTATGGCTGCTTCAATTGTGGCACAGAGAGACCGAACCTCACTCGCAAAGAGTGTAGAGCTTCGTCATTCAGGAGCCCGGTCTCATATCTCTTACAGTGTCTGTACCATGCCCTCTCTCAAAATCCTCTTTCAATCATTCATCTTGACTTCTGTGAGATATCATGCCGGAACAACAGAAAGAACTGTGTCAATTGGATCATGAGACCCACGGAGGAGCCTCTTGGTTCACCACCCTTGACCACAGACTAGTACGGATTATCTCTTCGGCCATCGGTATCCTCACAACAAGAGCGGTGTTCACCCAGAGCTTTCACTATCCCCTTCGACTACTTTTCTTGCATCTCTCCGCATCTCTTCTGTGGGAGGCCATCCGATGGCGGTCGACATTGAAGAACAACACAACACTGGATGCCTCGGACCATACACTCTTCAGCTTCTTTCGAAGCAAAAACATATGGTCGATCGCTGGTATGAGACTTTGTCTCCATCTAGTATGTGTTGTCGGGGCATTGTTCTGCGAGTACCAAGCCATCTACCACTTCTCGTCTCTGCCCGCGCTCGTGATGCTTTTTTCGCCAGATTGGAAGCAGGTCGCTCGCTTCGCAGCGCAGACAAATATCCCTGCCTGGCGTAAAGTCATCGTAAGTTTGACATGTCTCACAAGCATTGCAGCGGTGCTCATCTTCGAACATCGATTATCTGGACCTGGACTCAAGTTGTCCATCATTGGGATAATGTTGTCGGCAACCGGTCAACTGCTACGTCCCGAGAATGAGGCGAACACGCCTTCTCCTTCCTCGGTCCCAGACAAACTCATCCTACTTCCTCTGTTCGTCTGTGTTACTCTGGTAGCGGTACGCAAGCACGAGTCTATGATCTACAGCCCGTCACCTTGCCCGCTGTTACTCGTAGCTGTCGCCGTGAGCACACTCGCTGCTATTGTGACCTTCCACGACAGTACTTCATACTTCCGACAAGATGAACCGCGCGGTCTACTCCACAGCTCTGAGGGAGTTGATTGTGACGACGATAATGAGGTGGAACACACGCTCGAGGCTATTTGCTTCCAGACCTTGGTCAATTTGTGTACTGTCGTTTTCGGCTCGTATACTGCGATGTCTGTCTGGCAGTATATCGGGTTCTGGCTTGGCACGAGTACACTCCTTTGGGTCGGTCGACAACTTCAGACTGAGATCGTGGACAACACATACTACCACCCAGTCATGCTACCGCGAGATGATAGCATCGACGATTGCGAGCAAGGTCCAGACGACGTTGGCACAAACGAAAGGCAAGGAGACGCCAGATCGAGCACCTTATTGCAGATCATGTTCATCGCGGGTTGCATGTTGCTCTCGTTGCTGAATCTCGGCACTCGGGTGTCACTTTCGCGATGGACGACACCTGGACATATTCACCTCATAGACTTCAACACGACAAGCTCCTTCGACTTCGTGGTGTCCAGATATCATGAGCCAGCCCGCGTGATCGCGCAGCAGATCAACCGTCTTTGCGAGCTCCCTAACACCAAGTCTCAAGATGTTCGCGTCATCGTCTACAGCACAGGAGAAGACAACATCGTTAAGTTCAGAGCAGACCTCCAAAACGCTCTCCATCCCTCTCTTGAGGTCATCGTCGAGGCCCGTAAGAACATCGGTCGGGAAGCAGCAGCATACCTCCACCATATTCTCCACCGTTACGATAACCTCTCCGACCATACACTTTTCATGCAAGCCGAAATGGATTACCCACACTTACTCCAACAGAGAGCGAAGGATTACCTGATCCCGCAAACAGGTTTCCTATCTCTCTCTTCGACACAGCAATATTGCTCCAGCACCAACGACTGCTGGGATCACTCTCGCTGGGGTGAGAATCCTGAGATTCTTGGCGACATCTATACACGCGCGAACCCTCATGCTATAGCTACGGACTTCACATTAACGTACCGAGGGCAGTTCATCGCCTCCCGAATTAGGATACTGGGGCAGGAGAAACAGCTATTCGTTGATCTACTGGATTTGTTGACAAACTTGAAGAGTGTGGCGCATAGTGAGAAGTACATCAATCAGCCATGGCTGCCGAATAAGAAGGATAGCCTCAATGCGCCTCTGTTCGGGTATACGATGGAGAGGTTATGGGGAGTCATCATGGGATGCGAGGGGAGGAGGATAGCAGATAGATGTCCGAGTCAGTTATCGAGCTCTTTGACCTCGTTCATAGGTTTAGGGATGTATGGCAGAGTCGAAGACTGTCAGTGCTTGGATTGATGAGACGATCGTAATGAGAACGGTACATTCCCAGTCCCTTCACAAACGTCTGGCCACAGTTTCTATCATTTCGACATCAAAACCGAAGAGTACCCAAGCCCTTGAACAAACCCACAGGGTACGCAAAGTCACGATATATCGAGAGTCGCTAGAATGACCAATTCGAACCGATTGGGTCGTTTTGTCAGCGGCTTTGGTTTGGGAGTCCCGTTCGACCTTCCCACACGGGTCGAAGAACAGAGAAGAACTGATCGGACTAACTTTGAGAGCTCAAGGAACACGGCTGGAGGATCAATGGTCGAGGAAAGCACTGGACGCGGCTCAGGGGGAAAGAAACACCGTTCGTGTTGATTTGAAAGAGATTATATTCTCATGAGCAGAAAGAGAGAAGCTCAAGAGAATACCACGGCACCGAGAATATTACCGAAGGCGCAAGGGGAAGAGGCTCGCAATTAGCGAAGACAGAGAACTTCAACCCGCCCAACTTGGATCAATATCAATGTTCGCAAAAGCTAAACTCATCACTCGCATACATGGCATTGACGTCCTTCACAAATGCTCTCCTCTCATTCATCAATTCCTCCCTTACCACCTTGGCCTCTTCTAGACTGATGGGGAAATCCCCCACATCAGTCATGACCTGATGACGAAGCTCAGGAGGCAGAACATCCAATTTGCCTTCTAACCCTTGCACAGCTTCTGCCCACCACTCTTTTTGTTGCGGGGGCACATTAGCCGTGCTGATGACACGCTGAAACGGATCGACGAGGAAGAGAGCGAGGATCTTGCGATGACCTGGCTGAGTAGGATCCTCAAGCTCGAAAGGCTGAACTTGATGTTGCAGTACATTTGGGAATGCGAGAAGTCTCCCCTCTTTGGTCTCCACCTTTCCTATGCTTTGGACACCGGGACCATCCCTTTCAATGTCGAAAAGGTAACAAATACCCTCATTGTCATCTTGAGCGTAGTCTCGTTCCGTGATGTCATCAGTGGATACTTTTGTCCTGAAAGCAAGGGCAGAGGAAGTGATGTTGTGGCTAGAGTAGTAGTACAGAGATGTCGCGGCAATATGTTCGTTTAGTTTTCCTTCTATATGCCAGGAGCCTCCAGCGTAAGAGGGAGAGGAAGGATTAAGGTGAATTGTGGCGAGTTTGACAATTACTTGGAGGCCGCTGTTGGCGAAGTGGTTTCGTAGATTGAGAGGGCATACCGCATTGTTCTTGGTGGAAGTGGCGAAGTCACGTGCGTCTGGTTTTAGGAGGACACGGTTGTCGCTGATCTATTTTATCTTGTATTAGCAGCGATCGACCCATCGTTTTTTGAGGTGCATGTGTTCTATCGGACGGACTTATGTGAGGAAACGGCTTGATACCCAATCAGTGATACTATGATAACCAAGACGCCGAAGCGTATTCTGTATCTTCTTTGTGTTGCGACCTCTGCCTTGATAAAGAGCGACGACTGCACTTACCCATTGTGCGTGAGCCTCACACCACTCATCGCTCGTTTCTTCGAATTCACTGCCTACGTCTGGTGGAGGACTTTCGCCAAGTGGCCATATGTACTCGGTTCGGTGAAAGGGAATACGTAAGTCATTAACGTCGAGTCGCATGTTGTAGGAGGAGAGTACAAGATCCCAAGCAGGTATACTCTTGGCGATAAACTTCTCAATAACTGGATAGATGGATCCGTGGTGGATGGGGTGGAGGTTGTTGATGTAGCTTGTGATCTTGATGGTATCGTTCTCCGTGAAGAACACATCGCTCGGCAGCCATTGGAAGCGGTTGGACCAGTATTCAGTCGTGCCAGTACCTTGCTGACTGAGCCAACGCCTCTTTTGACCAAGCCTGCACTCGTCCTGACTAGGCTCGGGGACTATTTCGCCCTTGCCGGTCATTTGAACACAATCCTCGAGGGTAGTGGTGCCGGTAGAAAGGACCCTCGATCGGCCGTAGATCAAAGGAAACAGCGATGGGTGAACAAGATCCAGTACTTGGTTATTTGAGCCTGGGTGCCAGTCCTTTACCTCTTCGGGCACGTCTTCCAGGGGTTTCACTGCGTCCTGAAGCTCTTGCTTCAATGTTGCGGATATGATAGTGTCAGACTTGACAACAGCCCACTCGGAATCGAGTACGGCAGTCAAGCCACTCTCTTCGTTCTGCTTAGCCTTGTGCTGTAGCTCTGCAATGCACTGATCAAGTTAGCAAAAGATTTAGCACACACATTGTCCGTAATGGGAGCTCACATGATCGAACATCTTCTCTGTAAACCCTTGTCCCTCCTCAGTGATAGCTTCAGCGCGCCATTTTGCAATGATCTCTCCGTCGAAAACTTTTCGTCGCCACTCAGCTTTGTCGGTGATGGAATTGACAACCTGCATCATATTCTTTTCTCGCACGGTGATGGGCTCCGGAGCCCATTCCTGGAGCGCATTAGGACAACGATTGATCATCTTTGCCGTAGGTGGGTAGCGGTCGCCCCAGTCTTTTTGCTCGAGCACTTCATTCACGGGTCTGCCGAATCCAGGCAGTGACAACTTTCCATCTTCTGCGATGGACGGTCTTGTTCGGGCGAGTTCGTCTTCAGTTTTCCATGACCAGTCAGGTTCCTTGGGGGCGGGATTTGCTGCTGCGGCAGCTTTCATCATACTCGTGCGAGCCATTGTGGTCGCGCTGAATGTTTCGATGGGATGTCGCAAGGAGGGGTGTTGGTCGCGGTATGGCAGAGGAAAGGGGGAAGTGCTTGAAGTACTTATTTGACCGCGTCTGTGCTTAAGGCAGAACCCATTGGCTAGCCCATGATATTGGACGTGTGCGGCTTGAAGCAGCCTGATTCCGAGCTATGTCTGGCAGTTGGAAATTACTCTAGGCTTTCCTCTGGTTCACGCTGGGAAACTGCCTGTTTGTTGACTCGCGGCGCGTTGGTGTTGAGGCAGCCACGGCGATGTGGGCCTCCGGAGTAGGGACGCCACTTGGCTGAACCCCTGCTCATGAGCGTCACCAACTTTGGGAAGCCCCTCCATCTATACAAGAGCGCTGAACCCAACGGCCTGCCCTACTTCAGTCAGACATTGCAGTATATCATCTCATTCTTGAGTGATTGTGCCACGGCTACGCAGATCCTTCCCTCGTAGCGTTGATGATCAACCATGTATACCTTATGTAGACCTCGCCAAGCATACACACCCGAGGCAGCAATATAAGGTTCTACAGAGTCCCCAAATTTCCCCTCATCTATATACCTCTCAAATCAAGTCAAAAGCACCATCTTCTCTTTCGACTGTGTCGTCAATCGTCTTGATTTCAACACACTGATCAATTTTCACATCCTACAAGCATGGCAGCAGTACAATCACTCCTCAAGCCCGTCTTCGCCCTCGTCGGCTGGACCTTCGCAATGGAAGGCTGGATGTACGCAACCCGCTTACCAGCAATGTCACAATACAAAATCAAAACCGATTCCAGCTTCTCAAAGGAGAAGCTAAACAACCAGATCCCTGCTTCTGTGAGATGGAAGGGTAAATCTGCTCCTTCTCAGATCATCATGCTTTTCACAATCCTGATGCACTTCGCAGCCGACAACTATGACCATCTCCACGAAGCACCCACACGCTTCTACGCCGTCGCATTGGGATTAGCACTTTATGCCAGTACTTCCCCTGCTGCGTTGACTAGCAAGTTTATGGCTAGTGAGGCCAAGTTGGCTTGGGTTTACGTTGGGCTTAGAGTGGTGCACAGTGTTGTGCAGGCAAGTGCTAACCCGGTAATGGTGAGATTTTCCATTTTCGTTGCTTCAGAGGTGACGATGTTGGGATTGTTGCTCAAGGGTGTTAGTGCTGTTTGGCAGGCCAAGGGCACTGGAAGTCTGATCTAGAGAGTCAGAACTGTGGATGATGTAATGGAGATAGTGGTAGGACGATACGGTGTCATTGAGACTGCGATCGCTACATCGCCAGATGAATCTTCCGGCGACCGACCGGTATGACCTTCGCATCAATCGAAACAGATTGCAACACACGATCATTCATGGCTGCATAGATAGTATGAGCTGTGTGAACGTACATGTATGGTTTCTGACCTTGATCATGCATCCCTTTCCTCCCCGTCAAGCTCCAGGGGCAGGATACTCTGCATTGATTCGATCAAGCACTTCCCCATCGATCGGGTTCTCGAAATCGTATTTTTCTTCTTCAGACCACACCTTGAACCCGATGCCGGCCTGATTACACATCTTCTCGAACCGGTCGCGGATGGCTATCCAGGTCGAGCGAGCACTCTTCGCTCGTTCGAGCATTGAGATATTGAGCCGTCTCGTCTTGACGAGCTCGATGTATTTGAGATTTGGAAACTCGTTGTAGCTCTGCATGTCCACGAATCGTGTCAGGTAAGGAGTCATATCATCTTCCACCCAGCGAAGGATCAGCTGCTCCACGGAAGAAGGTATTAGGTCATGGAACTTCGGCTCCGGAGTATGCGTGCCAGACTTAGGTAACAAGGCGCGCTGGCTGATCTCCAATAGCTTTAATTTTATGAGACGGCGGACGTCAAAGAGATTGTCAGGAAAACTTCCGTAGTATTTATCAGGTATGACAAGTTGCAGGCTTTCAAGTGTCTCAGAACGCTGTGCGAGCTTATCAAGGAAATCCTGCCTGATGTCAACATTGTCTGCCATTTCAGGAAACAAGAGTGCCAGTGATCGAAGGTGGCTGCAATCTTCAACGAGAGAGCTCAGAGCCGAGGGGCCAATATTCATGTTTTCCAAATGCAAGTTCCGAAGGTTCTGGAAAGGGAAGTGATATCGTGCTGGGTCTTGATCGAAGCATATATCGCATCCATGGACGAAGAGTGATTTGAGTGTAGGTATGGTGATCATGTTTAGGCAATGGGAGAGGTCAAGGCTGTCACTGAATTCCGCTTGTCGCATGATCAGCGTCTCCAGACGAGGAAGTATTGGAGAAGACCCAGCAAGTAGCTTCTGGTTCCTCAAAACATAACTGGTCATGGCGTCTGAAGCTAGTTGTTTGTCTTCCTCAAAGGCCACGTTGCCGAAGATTTGTTGGAAAAGTGAGTGGATATCTCCTCCAACATCAGCCGTGCACGTCTCGACGTCCAGCAGTTTCAGATCATGAACCACTGTCAGGAGCAATGTGGCTTCTGCGTTGACTAACCCGGTAGCAAGATTGTTGCGCCAACGTTCTTGCCATTCGTGATTTTCCGGTTGATGGTCAGAGACTACCGATTCAGAGGTGGCCGCGATAAAACTGTCCAGCAGCTCCTCGTTCGGAGACGAAAGCTCGTCTCGGACCTCTAGTTCTTCGTCCTCAACTTGTAAGTTTTGTAGCCGAAGAGAGCGCACTTGGCCTGCAAGATCCGGGCGGTCCAGCAGGGTACGAAGGAAGTACTCCAGGGAGGTGGGTGACCTCAGATCAGAATCATCTTCATCAGCATATTGCTCAAAGACATCGTAATCGTTAACAAATGAGCGATATAACACAGGCTGTGCGAAGCTGCACATCGTTCTCGACACCAGACATAGGTTTGCGAGCGTTCTCGTGGCAAGCTGCCATTCTTCAAAGTGCTTAGGCGGTGTTAGAGCTTCAGCAGAGAGTTGTTCTGCGATACCTAGCAGGATCTCATCAGGGAGAATTGACATCTAATAGACTCTGTTATTCTGAGCTGACTGTGTGAGAGAAGCATGTACCTGTAAAAGATTTAGAGGAGTCCTTGACGGCGTTCAGGTGATACCCAGTAGCCCCGCTCGAAGCCGATGCTGCGCGTTTGCAACATGGCTGTAACGGGCAAACGGTTGCCAACGTAAGAAGCACCTTCTGCTTCATCCGAGGTCCCTACCTCACTCCCCTTGAGTATCCTCAGTGTCCTGAAATCGTCTTTCGATGACAGCGCGTATCAACTGATGTAGCGGAACTGAATCTGTAGCACTCACTCCATCAGGGACTTCATAAACGTTCCTAGATCCGCACACTTCACAAAGCGCCATTTTGGCCAGTCTATGGAGTCGAAGCCTTCTTCGTACCGCTACTTCGCACCTTCTGACCATATCTTATGTCGTAACCCCTCATACTGGCATATTCGTAGAAGCTGGTCGCGAAGTGTGACTCATGCGACTATGGTCGACTCTTCCTACAGACTCTTCGATACGCTAGGGTCATAAAACTCCTCGCAAGTCTTCGCCTCGACAAGCTCGACGTATCGTAACCGCGAGAAGTAATCCTTATAGTCTTGTGTTCAACAAGAGCTGACAGTGGAGCAACGAGTGAGTGATCGACTTCCCGTACTGTCATGTGTCGTGCCATCCTTGCATCTCGGACGTGATGTCGGGAGTTGCTACGCAGCGTCTCAAATCCGAAAACCTGTTCATGAGCTTCTCATCAAGCGGGACTTGCGGCTTGGTGTAGTCAGCGTAGTAACATGATGGGCAGCTGATGTCACAGTGCTGTCACACCTTTGACCAAATTCCAACGTTTCAAGACAAAGAATTTGGGACAAATCCACGCACACCACTCAGACAACTCCAAACATCTACAAGGAACACACAGACGTTCAAGATACTCTCAGTACAGACGACAAGACTATAGATCGAAGACTGTAGGTAACAGAGCAGAAAAGCTGCTACGAGTGCTCGTTTCCAGGGAGACCCTGGCTCAAGGCTCCGTACCAGTGATGTCATCGAGTCATTGGGATTAGAAAATCTAGCAGGCAAAAGCCAGAAGATGCTACGAAAGTAGGACCAGGTATAGATATACAGAGCTCGGCGGCAGAAAGAGTGATGAGATGCAGATGAGACATGGACTCACTAGGTATCTTACTATGAGTTTGAATATTCTGATTCGACATCGGAATTGACAGGGTTTGGACTTGTCCTGGGTAGGTAGGTGTCATACTATCTGTTCTCGTCGTCTAGTCATACATGGAATGCATTTTCGGACAAATTCTTCCAATCGAGATGTGTGAGTGCATAGCTCGGACGATGTTAGTGGTCCTTCCGAGACATGAAGCACGGCTTGCTTGCTTTTACTCGTGAGGGAAGACGGGCCAGGACACTGTACACGTATGCAAGGTGCCACATCGGGTCCAGAGATGTACAGGAAGACGTATCTCCCTCATTGCTCACCGCCAAGTTCTCCAGTAACCTTCACAAAGGCCTCCCACTGCTCTTTAGCACCACCGCTGGAAATGCACCAGCGAGCGCGTCTGACGCCCTCTTTCCAGCGCAAGCCTCCAGGGCCACGTTCGGTGATGACTTTCCCGTCGTCTCCAGGTCCCATGTCGCTGGTCTCGGACTCGCAGATACCGGAGGTGACCAGAAGGGCAGCGGTGTTGATCAGGACAAACGTAAGAACGGGATCATTGGGATCGATGGTACCGTCAAGGATGCTCTTGAGGATCACGGCATTTTCGGCTGGCGACTTGCCTCCAGCGACAAGACTCAACGGTACAGGCTTCAAGCCAAAGTCCTCGGGTGATACGGTAAAAGGGACGATGTCGACTGCGGAGTCGGCAGCATCGGACTGCGGTCTTAGCACCCAGCAGTATGAGGGACCAGCGCAACTCAATTCATCCAAGTCCTCAGCACCACAGACGATCAAAGCCTTCTTTGTACCAGTCAGGCGCATAGACTCGGCAAACACAGAGCCCATATCACGCTTCGCGACACCCAGAATGCGAGCCTCGATCAGGTTGCTATTTTGTACCGGGTTTGCCAAAGGGCCGAGCAGGTTGAAGATTGTACGGAAAGGCAACTCTTTGCGGACAGCAGCGGCATGTCTCATACCGGGGTGCCATTCGCGGGCATACAGGAAAGCGTAGTTTGTGCGGGAGTAGATGTCGGGTAGTGTCTTCTCGGTGGTTGCGGCGATGACTGGGGCGGGCGAGGCAGCGAGTAGAAGGTCGGCGGAACCAGACTTTGAGGTCGAAGCGTTGTTACCGTGTTTGGCCATCATAAGCAGGGCTGAGGCGAGGATACTCGAGGTTGTGCTGACGTTGTAGGTGTTGTGGCTGTCACCGCCAGTACCGACTATGTCACACTTGGACGTTGTCAGTGAGTTGACAACAAGAAGTGATTGCTTGGGCATACCATACCAGACCTCCGTGGTATTGGCCCTCCTTGCGCGCTCGTGTTGAGACAGCCTTTGCGAGAGCATCAGGGTCGACTTGAGCAGCGGCATATCTCATGGAACTGGCGCATGCTGCAAGAACATCCGGACGACGATCCAATTGGGTCGTGTGAAGGGCATATAGAAGGCAACCTGTCTGGACAGGTGAAATGCTGTCTGCGAAAATATGCGACACGGCGGCAGCAACTTCCTGGGCAGTGACGCTGAACAAGGTCGTAGTGGGGTCAGCCAGCCGGAGGAGCAGCGGTGATATCGAGATTGCTGCTTTGGCTTCGCTCATTGTGGCTGCTTTCGTGATTCTGAGAAGTGAGCCAGGAGAAACAAGTCGCATGCAACACAGAGTAAGAGCAATTGATTCGAAGGATTTGAGAAGGAAAGAGCTATTGAAGCACCGAATAGTATGACTGGAATGCGGCCTCGAAACTCGGGTCTTGCCGAATGTAGAAAGAGCGACTCCAAGAAGTGGCCCGTGCGAGATATTTCCTGAAGATGCGGAAGTCGTGCTGGAACGGCAAGACAAGAGTATCCGCCAGTCGCTCCTTCCACTTATTATATGTATGTTAGAGTCTGTTCACATGCTAGTCGGACAAGTGATCTGACTTAGCCAGCCCATCTCACAATGCAACCGAGGTTACGACTACACGCCAGCAAGCGCTTGCGCCTGAGCACACCCACCATCGCATACCCTTCATGTCAATGTCGCTACGCTTCCCTGGCCGCTGCCACGACTCCGGCTCCTTCAATTGAATCAACAATGCATGTCTCGACTCCCATCACTCGCCATCCTCCTACTCAACCGCCACCATACAAACCTGCCGAGTTCCGCAAGACACAACTTCACCGCATCTACACATCCCTGATCCGTTCGTCACCCTTGATGCTGGTTTTCCAACACAACAACCTCAAGGCTTCTGAGTTCTCAGGCATCAGAAGACAGCTCAACTTCGCTCTGGAAAAGGTCGACGCCGAGCTGAGTACTGAAGCTTCGCCATCTATCATTGGAAAGTACACGGAGCTTCAAATTGTTCAGACTGGTATCTTTGCCTCCGCCGTCAAGGTCGCCGAATCTTTCAACCCAGACTCCTCCTCAGACACGCAGCAAACACGCGCTACGAATACTTCCCCGCAATACACACACAGCCTGTCTAAGTCAGCATGGAAGACCGCTAGAAGCGCAAAGGTCCAGACTGGTCTGGAGCCCTTGTTGTCAGGCCCCCTGGTCGTTCTCACCTTCCCCCTGGTCTCTCCTCAGCACTTGAAGGCTGCCATGACCATTCTCGCTCCCTCCGAGGGCTTCCCTGCTCCCAAGAGAAAGGCAAACCCCGGTCTTTACGAACCCAGCATCCAAAGCGGTCTCCAGAAGCTTATGCTCCTCGGTGCCCGTGTAGAAGGCAAAGTGTTCGATCTCGACGGCACAAAATGGATCGGCGGTATTTCTGGTGGCCTGGACGGTCTCAGAGCCCAGCTTGTTTACATGCTGCAATCCTTGCCTGCTACCCTCACAAACACCCTCGAGGGTGCAGCAAAGAGCTTGTACGTCACCGTCGAGAGTAGGCGCCAGGATATGGAGCCAAAGGAGGAGAAGACAGACCAGCCTGAGGCAGAGCAGAAGGCCGAGTAGACCATGTATGTCTGTTCTGTTTGTACCATCACCCACATATCTGTACAGCTTTTCTTTATTTCACAAAATGATATCCCTGCACACTTCCGCCACGTACGACGTCGTTCGCAACAAATCTTTTTTGATCGTGATTCGTCGCTTTGAAATTTCCGTCATCTTGTTTACTATCTTCATAGACCGGGCTTTCACGATTGATCACTCAAGCCAAACAAATATTTTGCGCGCGCAACGCCTTATTCTTCATCTCAGTGTAGTCTTTCTTTACAATCTCCAACAACATGGTTCTCAGCAACGTGTTCCATGCTCTACACAACAGACGCCCCTGGCTGGAGGCGCCCGAAGTCGCATCGCCTGTGTTGCCAAACTCGCCATCAAAATCAACCACGTCGAACATGCCTACCCTGACCAACTCGATCAGACGCAGCCGTTTGATGACCACTAAAAAGCACACGCTCCATGATCCTCGTACTCCGTTCCCGACCTTTCTTGACGATGTTGTGTGGAATGGTCCTCAGTAAATGGCTGCATTATCCACAAGGCCACGCAGATGCTAATCTTTGATGTGTAGACTCTGCGGCAACATCGTGTCGTTTGACCTGAACGCACCCTCGACTCCTACCAGACAATGTACCTCGCCACTTGACCCAGCTTCGATCGAGGAGGAAGAGGAAAGGACGAGAAAGACGACGCCAAGTTCTTCGCTCACACAGAGCTCGTCCGACCTGCTTCTATCATCTTTGCCAGACACCTCTCTCGTGGACACTCCGTCATTCTGGTACCCGGACAGGACCACGACGCCATCCAACTGTTCGTTCGCTTCCTCTACTCCGGAAATATCAACAGCAACGTCGCCGATGCTTGCTCGTTCAAGGGTGGCTGTGAGACACTCAACTTCAAGCTGCATGACAACTCCTTCACCCAGCTCATGACCCCCGACGATGAAGAGAAGCTTCTCGTGAAGGCCTACCTTTTCGGCTACTCGTGCAGCTGCTGGACTTTCTGCGACGCCGTCATCGACACTTTGATCTGCAAAATCATTGGCCAAAAGAGAAGACCCGTTCTGCACAACCTCCTCGATCTCAGCACGAACTGCGGTTCCTTCTATCCTCTCAAGGTTCTCATCGCCCACCTTGCGCTCCATACTTGGACGGACAACCAGTTCTGCGGCTTTGCTCTGGCGCACAGATTCGACAGGATCGATCACGTTAGATTCTGGGCTGATGTTGGAGACTACAATGCTGTGCACAAGACCGGCACTTATGGCTTACCCAAGGCCCCATGGCGTAAGAGCCCATGCCACTATCATGTGCACGCAAGCTACCCCAAGATGAAGTATACTTGCTACACTCAAAGCCGCCAGGGATGAAAGAGCTTCAATTCGCGGACTGATCAGGGTCGGTCTGATTGGCACATTCTGCAAAGCGCCTGCCGAACGAAGTGAGACGCTTCTATCTTGGTTATCACTCTTGAGAAGTTGTACCCGCTTTCGTTGAGCTCGATGAGCTGTTGTAGTTGCATAATTGTCTCAATAATATTCTGTGTGCACTTCGAGCGATATGTCTTGTTAGACACTCAATTCCACTCCCTGCCCTATCTCGTCGTTGTCGTGATTCGCTTAACTCCTCGTTCAGAGCTCGCCGTGTATGCCCCTCTTCTCACAGGCTCCGACGAACAGAGGTACGTACGATCACAACTCCATGATCTCACTCTTCGAGCACCTCGATCTTACGCTTGTCGACACATCGTCGACGATATCGCTAGAAGTCTGAGTTACAACAGTGTCGAACTATTCGCTTCGAATCGACTGTATCAAGCCCTTTCCAACCCGCTGCCACGCACCGCACCCTGAGAGTGATGAGAACAATTGACTCTTAGAATCACATCGTCGATGACCTCGCTAAGACTTTGATCAACACTGGTCTCGAAGATTTCACTTCCCATCCGTCATAAAAATCCCTCTTTGCACTCACTTCGCCGGAACGCAAGTCTATTTTACTCTTATGACATCGTCAACAACGTCGTTGAATTCCAAGCACACCAGACTTCCTTCCGCCTTTTGAAAACGACCTCACGTTCTCACACTCTGTGTACTTCGCAGGAGTATCAAGCGACGACATCGTTAAGTCTTCGATCGACACTGTCAAAAGTCTGGACACAGCCTCTCGATGTCCGCTTTACTACCCCTCAATCGCCATGTCAAAGGAGCAAGCAAGAACGCCGACCCGGAGACGCCAGCTCCTTCTGTTCAGGCCCTCCAGAGAGCTTACAACTCTTCTCTCTTGGAATTGGTCGAGAAGGGCAACAAAGACCGCAAAGTCAAAGCTCAACAGCGTCAGAAGGATGGCCTGAATAATCTCGATTACGGAAAGACTCCATTTGGGTATGTTGATATCGCAGTCTCACGCTTATCGAGTCTTGAAATCTGTTCAGTTTACTAACACTCTTGTAGTGAAGATATGGTAATCGTCAGAAAGTTCAGTCGTATCCTCGCCCACGTACCACTCGCAAAGTTCAAGAAATGGGCACCAGAGATCTACAAAGATCTTGATCGAGTTGATCAGCAATACCAACAACAAGGCCTCAAAATCCTCGTCTTCCAACCAAAATGCTACGTCTCAGGCATCGGTCTCAAGCAATGGGCAATCTGGCTAAGCACCCAAAACATCAAGAAAAGCTTGGGAGGCTCAATGGCTTCTTTCGATACTATCCTTGATGCTCTGAATATCGCTTATGCTTTGCAACATAATGATTACCATGATGCTATTATGGATTATGCCGCATATCGTCTCTGTCTCGGTTTTAGGGAGAACCTTTTCACGGTTCACAAAGGTGTTGATAAGGATATCCAAGCTAGTCTCCGTCAGCTGGCACAAGTTTTTACGCCTTCATCTGCCAACAGTATGCTTGAGAAGCTTTTCAAAGTTCTTGTCTTGCACTATGATGTCGATGGTGTGATGGCTAGGGACGTCTACCCCTCGGCTATAAACGATCACGTTACTGCTCAGGTCTTTGGGTATTGGCAGCACAAAGACGAGGAGGCGCTTCCTAGAGATCCTGTCAAATTCGAGAGGCTGGAGGAGTGGTGTAAGCCTTATCATCTGCATAGTAAAGAGGAGGTGTGCTGGATAATCAAGAAGTCCTTGGACGATAAATGCTAGATCGCAAACCCTACACCGAGAAGGAAAGTCTGAACGAGACTTTTGCATAGTTGCCCACCGAGGATATGTGGGTGGGGGTTTTGGGCTAGACGCAAACTTTATTTTACATTTATTATGAAGCGCTCCCGAGTCACAGTGACGCATGACATGTAGAGCCGACCTCATACCTTCAGTTGATGATTGAGAAGCTCTCTCTCCATGCGAATGATCGATGATTATCTGAGCTGACAAAATGCAGAAACATGCTTGCTACTGACAAGAGTCAGAAAGTAACAACAGACTCGGAGACCCAGGGCGGCTTATTGAATATACCACCTTATTCTCAAACCCATATTATCAAAACCCTGACCTGTCTCAATGCAAAGACTGATCTGGCCACAAAGTGATTGGCGAAGAATTTGTAAGAGTTGGACTTTCCTCATTTGTCGGGATTATCTTTTCATACTGCTTATCTTGAATTCACGAAAGCCGGATTTCATTTCGTCACAGCCTTACGCTTTTGCTCAAACACAACAATCATTGACCGCTCAACTTCACAATGACCAGTAAAAGAGTTTCAGACGGCGATGACACCGCAAGGAAGCGTCAAAAGACCATGGAAAGTACCAATAGCATGTCTGTCCACGAGTGAGCAAAAAGTCGCACTTGCAGATTGGCGCTTCGATACTGATGTGTATTGCAGCCTGGAGATTGTCGTCACGAAACACCGCACTGGTGTCGTAGTCGGCCGTGTGCCTTTGGAACACTTCCGAAGACTCGCCTCCGAGCACGTCAGGAGTTTGCACATCAAAGTGCTTCAACCTCAACACCTGATGATTCACAACTAAGTTTCATCGAATCTTACAATCACACATGTTTCTCATTGGACAAGCTGGTTGGTGCACAGAGACCTCCGCGCTCTTGCGCAAGACGAGCTTTCGATGCTTTGGGATCTAAGACAGTGTTACACTGCTGCCAATCAGTCGTCAGATCTCGACTGGTACAATGCATTGACCGGCATCGCAATGGATTGGCTTCAGCACACTCTCCCCAGAGCAAAGGAGAACATCGCTCGTCTTCGCAGCGCCAGCTCTACGATATTTCATGACCGAATGGAGGCTTGCGGTTGGCTTTGGTATTCAATCATGATCTCCGAAGTACCCAAGGCGACGAGGACTAAAGCAACATCATTAGTTCTGAGCTCTTCGATCTTCTGATCAAGAATGTTGAAAACCCCAAAGACAACAGAGATAAGCTGATCAGTCCTCTCATGTGAAACGCTGAAACTTTCTGCAAGAAATGCTACCTGCATTCCGACAAGACCGTCCTCTGCAAGAATGAAAGTCTGGGTTTCGGATTCGACATCTCATTACCCTCAGGTCACGACCTTCCTGGAAGTACCACCGGCAACCGAACCATCGTGATTCCTGTCTCATTGCTTCGCATGAATGTCGGAAGATGGAGCCGATTGTACATGGTGTATTTGGGCGAGCATAGGATCATGCACTTTGAGCAGGACTCGAAAGCTCACTCATGGAGGCGTGAAAATCCAGCGCCGTAGCCAACACGCCAAGGTCTTGTTTTACAGTAGGAACCTTCCGACAGAATTCTTACTATGGGACTCCAACGATGAGTTTTCGCTTGGTCGAGTCCAAATTGGCTTTCCCTCAGCAGACTGTTGTGTCGCCTTTCTGGATGCTGTTGCCCAGATAGATCCCGATCATGAAGTTGAAGAAATGAGCAAAGAACAACTCCGACCTGTTCTCGAAAGCTCAGAGCGTTTCTTCAGTCCAGCATAGAACAGATGATGGTAGGGTCGAGTTTCCAGCTCATTTTCGTCGGTGCGCCATGGGAAAGCACGTCCAACTTCGCTATATCTTTTCCGCAGACATCAGATCAGGCACTAAGCTAAAGGTGCATAATAGCACGCGTCAGACATTATCTTGCTTATACATCGATAAAATTGCTTTCACAGGCCTGTGTCGTGATTATCTTGCTTCAGAACCGTTTGCGAGTGGACACCAAACATCTGTGATATAGTATGCCGTCGAGAGATGTATCCGGTAAGTTGAGTAAGATGCCGGAGTAGTTCTGGGATAGTGAGTAGTACAAAGAACATGGACAGATGTATTGTGAGAGATGTCATTGTGATTTGTCGTCCGAGCGTCAAAGATCGGCGGTCTTGACCTCATCTCCTGCTCACAGCTCCTATAACTCATAGCTGTCGAGATGCACAATACGTTTGGGTATCGAAGCAGCATTCGACGGGATGCAACAGCGCCTCAGCTCTTCTCCAATGTCTCTCGTATAGTGAGATCAGCTAACCGATTGCTTGATCAAGTGTCTCAGGCGCCTGCACTTTAAAGGCATCGCTACCTGTGGTGTTGTCAGTATCGTGGAAAGCAAAATCCGTCATGTCTTTGGAGAGACATTAAGCTGGGTCGAAGGACGATCATCCATCATCAAGATTCTGGCCGTCGTCCATCTGCATCATCTCAAAGACCGGCTCACTAAGGCATTCATGCGGTCATGGGGGAGATTCAGACACCTCGTCTTCATGGGAAGATAAGAGCCCAAGTTCTGAAATACCTTTTGGATAACGTCGAAGATCCGTCGTCGCCACCCAAAAATATCCTGGCCGACGACTTCACTGATCATTGTCGCTATCATCGCCACGGTGAGAAAAGGTCGGCGCAGCGGTATTGTAGCAATCCTCCTTGCCAAGAGCATGAATCGCATTTCAGTCACACAGTTCCCCTCGAGCCTGGAGAGTAGAGTCATACATACTAAGTCATGCGTGCTCGGGACGTGACGGACTATGTGACTTTTGTGATACAATAGGTAGAAAGCTCGAACGAGGCAGAAATGTGCAAGACACGTAGGAAACGAAGGATTCGCTAGCCCGTTACAGAGCTCTTTTTGCCGATTAGCCTCCGATTGGACCCCTGACGTTCACTGGTGAGAGCGACTGTCGTCATGTTACTCTTCTGGCGTCAGGGTAATGATCAAGTAGGAGATGAGTGATTCGCGAAAACAAAGCATTACGGTTGTCGATACGTGCAATTCGTATGAGCATCGTGGCCATAGCAAATAGGCGACCCCGATGTCAAGCTCTGTGTCCACCAGCTACCTACTCATAAGGTGCTGATCGTGATGGAAATGAGCTTCCCAGCAACAGTAACAACACCCACTCTTGTGCATGCCACACCTTCATCTGCTTCTAGTGTGACCCCCTGAATCCCCTTGTGCCCCTTTCCCACGATCAAGACTCCCCTTCGACAAGTTCGGCCTTCTAGAAAGGCTCTTCACGTCGACACAGCACCAGAATCTCTCCCCTACGGTCGTGACTTTCAGACGCCTTCAATAAGTCGTGCCGGATTTGATGTCGGCATCTCCTGAGGCTGAGCCATCGATAGCTTCTTCGCCATCTCGTGCCAAACGATCCGGGACGGAGGTGATGGAAGATCGTACTGTGGTGGCCTGCTGCTAGACGTGGTAGTGACGTCGCTGGCCGCTGGTGACGCACCGGCTTCGCTTGCCGAGTAAGGGAAGAGCGACTGTAGTTGCTCCAACTTGTTTTGTAGGATGTCTTTCTGAACTGGATCGAAGCTTGGCAGAGAAAACAGGAAGCCCAGTAAGAATGTGAAGTCGTCAACACGACCTGCCGTCTCTTGGACTGTTGACGCAGGAACAGTGATGATGACATTAGCGATCGTATCCGTCAGCTCAAATAGCTTTTGTTGAATGCCAGAACCATGTATCTCAATGGCTTGACGAGAGAACCGCGTCATTAGTGCGCGGAGTTGTGTTGATAATCGTACTGGGAAAGAAAGCGATAAAGATTCTTTTGACGAAACGGAGCTCAGCAGACATTTTGACATGGCCATTTGCCAGACCAGCATCCTCAGCCAGTGTTTCGTAACAATCAGGTCCGCTTGTTGCATGTCTGTCAGCGGTGTGACACCGACATGGGCTTCGTTTCCAACCGGTTCTTCGTCAATCTCCTTGTGCTTGCTGTCGATCCATTCCCGCGTGACTGTGGTGGTGCCGAACCAGTTGGCGAGGAAACCTTCATCGATCAGTCTGAAGAGCCTGATAATTTGTGAAAAGCCTTCGTGGACACCCGGGGGTATTGACGGGTCGAAGTCTGGGAGCTCGTGTAGAGGAGGCAGCACTACCGGACGATAATTGGATATGGCCAAATATCTCTCGTGGATGAACACTTCCCAATATAACCTTTGCCTGCGCGCGCGCTCGCTCGCATTTAACTTCTCCATGGCTTCCGGATGACCAATACGTAGCATCTGAATCATGGTTATAGACTCCCGAACATAGTAGAATGACATGTCCATGTTTGCGAGACACATGAGAGAGATGTGAGCAAACTGACTGATCATGACCCTTCGGACAGACATCTTCTCGTCAAAGGCAATAGCTGCTCTGGCTTTGATGAGTTCATCTAGCCAATATCTGACTTGCGATTGAGAGTCACTGGAGCTGTCTGGACTTTTATTCGTCAAGGCAATTGTGATGGCTGTGTACGCGTAGACAAATGATTTGGCTTCTGCGTTCTGGTCCATCTCCCTGATTGACGCCAACACATCATCGACAGTCATGATGGGATTGACAGGATAGACTGACACCTCATAATCGTCCAAGAAACTGGTGAAGAACGGAGCATCGTGAGTGATGACGGAAGGCGATGGCTGAGCTGGACTCGATTCGGAGTTCTCGGCGCGTCCACTGGTGTTTTCTTTATACTGCGCAATAAGTTTTCCACGCTTCAGTGTCTTCGTTCTTGGCTTTGGCGCGGAGTAGACACAGCGGAGGTTAAGATGATTGCATTGCTGGCATTTTTCTTGACCGTTGCATTTGACCTTCCTCAGTTTGCAGGCATCACAAGCTTGGTTTGTCCGACGAGTAGGCGGCAGCGAGAAGGATGTGTTCATTTCGGGATGCATATCAGTTTGGAGTTGAGGGAAAGAGTGACAGGATGGTCAACCTCACCCCAGTCTGCGGAGAGCGGAAGCCCGCACGTCCAGCCAGCTCGCGCATTGACCTCGGCCCGCTAATTCAACGGTCCTCCAAGAACGACTCTTTTTTGTACAGTCATCTTTGCCAACGCGCGGAATCAATTATTGTCAAAGCTGGATTTGCTGAGCTGGAGCGAGCATGTCTTGTCTCTGGATGGCAAGACGGACCTGGAAAGTCGAGGCCTTTATTCGTCTTGAAAGACCGGTATGCACGTCTGACATGGCGCCTTCTGGGGACTCAGGCAGCGTGGTACATTTATGCAGGAGACCTCTCCCGCTCAGTGTCTCGGGGTGCGAATTCATATTGAGTTAGCACTATCCATTCGACGACATTGATGGTTGAGAAGACAACCTGGATATCAGTCCCCAGCTTGACGTTGTACGGACCTTAAGACTCCGACTTGCTGAAAGTACCTACCTGACCTGGCTAGGGCTGAGGAAGGAATTAACAACCCGCATCACCGTGGACTTGCCTCCTCAAGGCTTAAGCACATATTGATTTACACGTCAGTCCATGTCTTGCTCACACCGGTGACCTCGGCGTCTACAAAGCTTTACCAGAGACAAAGTACCAGATGTATCGCTGAACTACGACTTTTGGCCACTCCGAATCTTCCTTTCGCTTGCCAACTGTGAAAGTGGACGCCGATCACGTACCATCCGCAAGCTACAGCACCTACACCTGGACTTTTGTCGATGTATCATGATCACGGGATGCTGCTTGGTCTTCTGCATTATGATTCTGGTTACATGGTCTGACACTTGACACGGGCGTACAATGCGAGAACCCGCGAGTCAACTTGCCTGCGCGTTTGTTGCATACCTGATGCTTGAACGAGATTTACGGGTGTCACGACGATGTTAACGAATGGGTCGATTGAGGCAATCAACCAAGCGACGTAAATTGAGGTACGAGGGGAAATTGCAAGTGCCCCAAGCCAATCGGCAATCATCGTGATGTTCATAGTAAGTCACGACAAGGGGTGTTGTTCTGTAGGTCCCCGAAAAGTCGGCGAGCAGAAGAAGCTAGTCTCTCTCGCAACGACATCCGTATACCGTTGACCCGGCTTTCATTGTTCCTTAAAAGTGGTCATGTTTGCTTCTTCAATTCCTGTTCCACATCTTCATCCTGTCTGCTTCTTAGCCTAGACATAACCAAATGTCTGCTAACGTGTCTTCGGACACAGAAAGACAGACTGGGCATGAACAGCACATGTCCAATGAAATCGTTCACACACTCTCGTGGTCCAACATCACACAAACCGTCAAAGACCGGTCAACCAAGGAGCCCAAGCACTTGGTCAGAGATGTTGGTGGTCAAATCAAGGCCGGTAAGTGCTAATCTGACTTCTGATGACCAAAGCGATGTTAACACTATAGCAAGGCGAGGTACTTGCCCTGATGGGCCCATCTGGCAGTGGGAAGACCACTCTCCTTAATATACTTGCAGGCCGCACTTCAAGCACCAGCGGTAATGTGGTTGTCAACGGTGCTCATGTGTCAGCACCAGTCTTCAAGAAGCTCACATCATTTGTCGAGCAGGAGGATGCTCTTGTGGGCTCTTTGACTGTCCGCGAGACGCTTGACTTTGCTGCTCGTTTATCTCTTGCAAGGTACGCTCCGAATCCCTGTATTGCTGATATCCATCACTAATACGACAAAGATCTGTCATTAAGAACGAGAAAGGGACTCGAGTGCAGAGTTTAATCGACAGCTTCGGTCTCAAGAACCAGTCTGATACCCTCATCGGTACACCGATTCGCAAGGGCATCTCAGGCGGCCAGAAGAGGCGTGTCAGTGTTGCCAGCCAGTTGATTACTGCGCCCAAAATACTTTTCCTCGATGAGCCCACGAGTGGACTTGACTCTATGGCCAGTTTTCAAGTCATCTCTCTGCTCAAGAATTATGCTCGTCAGCATCAGGTATGACTTTTCACCTACTATGTCACAGCTTCAGCTGACCCATAATCCAGCTACTTGTTGTAGCCAGCATCCATCAGCCGTCTGCCGCCACTTTTCAGCTCTTCGACAAGCTTTTGCTACTTTCTCAAGGCCACACATGCTACTTTGGTACCGTGTCAGGTGTTGCTCCATACTTCAGCAACCTTGGCATGCCCGTTCCCGAGTTGATGAACCCTTCTGAGCACATACTCAACTTGACGAACACCGACTTCGACCCCGAAGCTGGCGTGGTAGACACTGTTACTCAGTGCCTTGCAATCCAAACTGCCTGGAAGACTCATGAAAATGATGTACACATTGTGACCTCAGCTCAGGAGAAAGACGATGCTCTTGTCAATCTTCAAGGCCCAGGTTTGGTCCATGATTTGGGTATACCTATCACGCTCCTGCATCGTCTTTTTCTCAAGTCGTATCGCGACATCGTCACGTACTGGATCCGTGTCGCTATGTACATGGGTCTCGCCATCATGATGGGTACCGTCTGGCTGCAGCTGAGCACCATTCAAAAAGACATTCAGTCGTTTGTCAATGCGCTCTTCTTCGGGAGCGCATTCCTTTCGTTCATGGCTGTTGCGTATGTACCTGCCTTCTTGGAGGACAGAGCCATCTTTGCCAAAGAGCGTGCCAATGGCCTCTACGGACCTCTGTCGTTTGTGGTTTCCAATTTTCTCATTGGTCTGCCTTTCCTCTTCCTCATTTCCATCTTATTTGCAACAGTCACCTACTGGCTCATCAACTTACGCCCGGATGCTACAGCCTTCTTCATACACGTTATGTGGCTATTCCTCGATCTGGTCGCCGCGGAGAGTCTGGTCGTCCTTGTCTCCTCTATATTTCCCAACTTCATCATTGCTCTCGCTCTCGTGGCTTTCGCCAATGGCCTCTGGATGTCTGTCGGTGGCTTCCTCGTGCCTACGGGCAGTCTCAATGTCTTTTGGCGCTATGTCTTCCACTACATTGACTACCAAGCCTATGTCTTCCGCGGCATGATGGTCAACGAGTTTGATGGCCGTATCTACCGTTGTGCTGGCGATGTTGTTACGGGATGCTCGTGTGCTTACGAGAGCGAGCTTTTGGACCAATGCAAGATTGATGGCAAGGCTGTGCTGCGATACTACGACTATCCCACGGGACAGCTAGGGAAGACGGTAGGTATCATGATTGGCATCATTGCCGTCTATCGTGTGCTCGGGTACCTGGCTCTGCGCTTTAGGAAGTAGGAATTGAGCAGAACAAAGCTGCAAAGAGAATCACGTCTTGTGGTGGATACAGTGGGTTGAAGAATCCCGCGTAGGGTCATACGTAGGGGATGGGATCTCGACAAGAGTTCATAGTCTATGTATCACGCGCGAAAATAGAGTAATCACCGACACCAAGGCAAGCTATGATGGAATGACGACAGGTTGGCGCGTTACTCATACTCCGTCCAGGTACCGGTAAGCACTGTAAAGAACCCCGTTTTTAGATTGAAGCTATAGCTCCGGCACATCGAGTTCGCTCTAGAATTACCGGATACAAAGCATGAAGTCATTGGAGATTCACGTGTTTGGGGAGGCTCTCGCTCGTACCCCAGTCATTAGTATTCAACATGGAGGCACGTCAGGAATGATTCCTGATCGTCACCCAAGCCAATTCTGGCACACTGTCATGTGGAAGAGTGAACTGGAACTAGAGATCGACACGTCGTGATTACCATTGACTGGACCCTTGAGATAATTTCTGATGCAATGGTCACAATCATGATAGATGGTGGCTTGTCGGAACGGGCGGGCTTATAGTCGGTCGTCGGCAACAAATGCATCACGGCCCACGGGCTGTGAAAAGCGGTCTGTGCAGAGATGACGAGATGGCAGTACAGTGTACGGTGTACGGCCATGGAACAGACCTTGATGGTTGGCTGTCAGGCCATGTGCATGATGTTACAGACTAAGCAGACTATTTACCCAAAGCGGTGTTGTACAGACATTTGGTACAGAGGAGTTTTTCCCAGCTCAAATTGCGACGCGCAAATCTCTCAATCGTCCGCCGGGCGCAATGCTTGAAACTCCCAAACACATGTTCTTCACCAAACGGAGAACAAGAAAAGTATCGAAGCCCGGGCTTCAGGGTTTTGGAAAGTCAAAGAAGGTTTGATTACACTATCAAGGACCTGAGCCAAGACTGGCTGGTCGATGTTGAAAGAGTCGAGCCGCCATAACGGGGAAGGAGTGGCCCAAGGATTGAAGGATTCAGAGGGCGGGGGGACTAACCAATAGCAGCGGTTTATCTGTGCAGCTCGATGCATACGAGTTAAGTGCTGCCTAACTGCTTCATCGTATCTTTCGGTCGCCAGATCCAGGCGCTTTGTCTCGATATCCTCAGAAAAGGCTGATTCCATTGTCCGGGCCAAATAGCAGGCGAAAACCTCAGGTTGGCTTCTCGCAGCACCAGCAAGCATGCCGTCACCAGACGAAGCCGCGTCCGACGGCTACTTCAATGACCTTACACAACAACTCCCCGACCAGCCCAATCAGTCGCAACAACCAAAGTCCAAGCGTGTAGCTTGTGTTCTGTGTCGCAAACGTAAGCTCCGTTGCGACGGAGCGAAACCATCTTGCGCGACATGTAGCCGACTATCTCACAACTGCGCCTACGATGAGGTGCGAAAGAAGAGCGGGCCCAAGAGGGGTTATGTCAAAGAGCTGGAAGCCAGACTGGCCCAAGTCGAAACACTTCTCAACACTCATGCTGCTGTCGAGATGCCGCTGAATGCCATCGACCAACCCGTCATCAATGGCGAAGATCTGCCAGACTTTGGCGGCATTGACCCTGAGCAGACGCGTCTGATGCAGGAGATGCATGTTGGCCATTCTCCGCCTGCAAGCAGCAGCGCCATGCCCGGCACACGACTGCCCTCAATGTCCGACGGCTACGATGCCGAGCTTCCTCAACTCTGGAAGGGCGATATCGATCCCCAAATCCCGACATGGGCTCCCAATCTCTCTCTGCTTTCCACAGGCATGGAAGAACCCCTGCCACCTCCAGAGGTATGCGCCGACCTGACAAGCATCTTCTTCGAGCGCTGTCATCCTTCTGCTCCGCTCTTACATCGACCTCGCTTCCTCATGGCCATGCAGAACACATCGCCTGCGGTACGTCCTCGCTTATCTCTCCAATACGCCGTCTGGACCTTGGCTGCAAGCGCTCATCCTAAGTACGAAGATATGGTCGACACTCTGTACCGCCGTGCACGTCACTATCTCGAGCGCGACGAGATGTTCGGTGTTGGTGAAAGGATGATCAACCTCGCTACTGTTCAAGCCTGGCAGTGCATCTCTGCTTACGAATTCAAGATGATGTACTTTCCTAGAGCTTGGCTCAGTACTGGAAGGACGAGTCGTCTCGCTCTGATGATGGGTCTGCATCGTGTTGATGGCCCGAATATCGATGTCAAGCAATGCTTGCCCCCACCAAAGGACTGGATCGAAAGGGAGGAGAGAAGACGTTTGTTCTGGCTAACCTTTGCTGGTGATCGCTACGCGAGTATTGGTACTGGCTGGCCCATGACCATTGATGAGAGTGACATCTACACTGATCTGCCTTCCTCTGAGGAAGCCTTTGAGTATGGCAACCCGGAGCCTTCAATGTCTCTGCAGGAAGCTCTCACCCCTGGCGGTGCTGACACGTTGTCTTCTTGTGGTTCTGTGGGTGTCATATCCGCTCTCTTTGGTCGCAACTTGTTGCATCTACACCGACAAACTCCTGATCAGAACGATGGCGATGTGAACGGTGTATTCTGGAAACGTCACCGACAGATGGATGGTACAATCCTCACACTACTACTTGGGCTACCTGAATCATTGCGACTACCGCTCGCCGCCTCCGATCCAAAGGTCGTCTTCATGAACATGTGTGTGCACACTTCCGTCATCTGCTTACATCAAGCGGCAATCTTCAAGGTGGAGAAGCATTCGCTGCCCGCCAAACTTGCTGCTGAGTCAAAGATGCGCTGCTTGACTGCTGCAGCTGAAATTTCGAGTTTGATGAAGATGACGAGTCACCTGGATATGGCTCAAGCGAATCCGTTCATGGCTTTCTCTCTCTACGTGGCTGCCAGAGTATTCGTCCAGTACCTGAAGTCACGACCTCGCGACGATACTGCCCGAGGATCCCTACATTTCCTGCTTTCTGCTCTCCAAGCCATGAAAAAGACCAATCCTCTAGCCGAATCCTTCATCGCACAACTAGACGTGGATCTAGAAGTCGCAGGCCTCGAAGAACTCCGCTCTCTTCGCGTTCGAGCAGCTCGCAAAGCCCAAGCTCAAGCCAATGCCAACATGTCATGCCCTTACGCCGAGAGTAACACCAAGAACGGCGGTAGACCGACTTTCGGTGATGATGGCCTAGCTAAACACACAAACCCTAGAGGCAGCGGAAACCATCCTTCTGGTGGCAACTTCCCTCCGGAGATTGCGGAAATGATGCAACAACACAGTGGGAACTTCAAAGGAATCTTCCCCGTGAGAATGAACATTTCTTCTGATTCCTCGACGGCACATACATCGCCTCAGACATTGGACAGCAGTGATGGCGATGTGATGGAATTATGCAACACTGGTGTCTCCCCATCCGATTCATCCTCGTCCTCACAACCAGCCAATCACTCCGCCGTCGTATTCCGGCAATCAAGTAACAACTGGCAACCCCTCGGCCAATCCCAACAACAGTCTCCCGAACTCCTCTACGCCACCCAACCACCACAACAATCACCCCAATTCAACCAACAACAAACCCAAACATCCCAACAACATCAACCCACTATTTTCGGTAACATACAAGATACACCAATGTCTACACTACTACCACCACATTTGTCAGAGTTTGGCAATACGGAATTCTTGAATTTCAGCAAGACGGCTAGTGCGACGGTGTTGGAATTGGGTGCTGTGGATGAAGGGCAGCTTTTTCAACTCAGTGATGCCGAGTGGGGGCAGGTTATGGGGGAGTTTGGGGATGATCTTGGTGGTGGTGGGAGCATGGGGGAGTTGCAGTGGGAGAGTGGGGTCAGAGGGGCTTTTGGCAGTTGAAATTGAGCAAAGGGTAGGAAGGTTATGGGGGGAGCGAAGAAGGTAGAAAGGGTGGGGATTTTGGGCAAATGTGTGTGTTTTTTCTTTTTTGGGTATACCATTTGGAGAGATTTGTATTATATGGAAGGGATATTGGACAGGTTTGGAGATGAGGGAAAGGAGCTATTTTTGGGAGAATGTTTGTTTTTTTATAGCTCTCTACTCGTTATATAGTGTGCGTTTTTTTTTATATTCATGAATGTAATGAACTATGATAGCTTTTTTTCCCACTCTTCTTCTCTTCTAGCCAAATCTTTCCACGTCACAAAGTGTGACACTTGAAAGTTTGGAGCATCGTTTTCATTGATGATTTATCTACATGATGCTAAATTTTTCATGCTCTTTTTTCTAGTTCTCGGGCTTCATGGTTTCATTTCTGGTTCTGCTCTTTCTTGCTTCATGCAACTTTTTGATCTCTTGATTGCTTTCCTTGTTTGCTTTGTGACCCTTGACGAAAAGGACAAGGAAATGGATGAAAGTACGTGATTCTCTCCCTCGTTTCCGTGACCTTTCTCTCAAGTCAATGCAACTATTCCATGGCAATCCTGTCCCAGTCCTCTCCCTACTTCATGTATGAGAGAAGAAGAAAGAGACTAAAACAAAAGTCCCTCACAAATCCGCCATGTCAACATCCCCATCACTCTCCTGCCCAGCAATAGGAGGCATCTTCTTAACCGGCACACTCCCCACCCCCAAACTAGTCTCTACACCTTCCACCCCCTCCGGCAGCACACCCACCATATGCAAACCCGGCATAAACACAGCAGGACTAGGACTCAATGCGGTAATGGGTGGCACAACAGGGGTTTCCGCTGCACTGTCTCTGGACAATGGGCGAGGGGTATCGTGTTTGGTGGGGATGAGGGGTGTGGTTCCGGTGGGGAGAGGGGGTATGGGCGAGGTTTGCATGTGGGGGTTGTTGCGGAGGAGGGCTGCTGAGGCGGGGGTNACGGTGGAGGNTTGGAAGGNGTAGGGGGTNGNGGNGGNGGGGGTGTTGAAGGGGNGGGCGTGGGAGGGGGAGGAGGATGGTTGTTTTGTAGGTGAGTGGGCGGCGGCGCGTTGTTGTTGTTGGAGTTGAGCGGGAGGAGGGAAGGATGTGTTTGGAGACTGAAAGAGGCGTTGGCCGGATGGTGAAGGGCTGTTTCTGGACGGGTGGATGTGGTGAGGTGTGGCGGAGCCGTTTGTACGGTGTTCTGGGAGGCCGTGGGAAGATGACGGGCGAGAGCTTTTGGTCGGTGAGGGAGGACCCATCTGCAGGCCATTGGGCTGGAGGACGGGAGGATTGATTGAGTGTGACGAGACGGCGCCAGCGTGAGCTTGGGCGTGCAAAGTGGAGAGGTCGCCATCGTTCGACTTTTGTGTAGGTGGAGGAGGAGAGCTGCCGTAGTTTGACGACGGACGAGCAGGTGGAGGTAGTGTGCTGCCGTTCCACGCTTGCTGAGGAACACCAACGGGAGGAGCACCAGCAGGACGGTGGTAGCCAGGTGGGCCAGGGCTTTGACCAGAAGGCGAAAGTGAAGGGCCATCCAGCAGGTTGTAGCGGCGGGCAGCTGAGCGGGGCGTCGAAGTTACTGTCTCGACAGCCTCAACTGGACGACCGCGAGAGGCGTCTTGTGCGGCTTCCTTTTGGCCTGGGAAGTGCAGGTGTAACGGCGGCAGCTTGGGCTTTCTCTGGCAGTCCGAGCAGATGAAGTGGAAGTCGTCCTGTTCGGCGTCCTTCTCGTCGATGCCGTGACACTTTGAGTGCTGCCAGATGTTGCACTTTTCGCAAGCGATTGAGTGTGTGCCGTCGTCGTAGTTCTGGCCGTGCTTGCCACAGACTGCGCAGTCAAAGATCCACTCGCCCTCTTCTTCGGCCAAAGCATCCAACTCTTTCTGTCGTCTATCCATCTCAGCCTTGAGGTGGCGCTCCGACAGCCGGCCCTCGATCTCGTCGCCGTTCTCGAGACTCTTTTGGTTCTCCTCGAGCTTACGGAGCTCTTCTTCGTGCAAGATGCGCTTGACTTCGCGCTCCTTGAGTCGTTGTTCCCTGGTGAGCATACGCGATTCGCGAGCCTGTCTTCAGTCAGTATTTCGTTGCTCGTCTTCCATGACACTCCGCAACTCACGTGTTCCAACTTTTCCTGTTTCTGCTGCTCCTTGCGAGCCATGTCGAGCTCTGCTTGTCTTCTCTTCTCTGCTTCAGCAGCCTCATCTTCCGCCTTCCTCTGCTCTGCTTTGCCGGCAAGTCTGCTTGACCTTTTGGCAGTTGCCATCTTTTGCAGGTTCTCTAGCTCTCTTTGCTTCTTCAACATCTTTTGGCGCTGTGCTTCTACGCGCTTTTCAAGGATGGGCATGATTTGTTCATTGATGCGCTTTACCAGAGCCTTTTCGTTGGGGTCGCGACTCTTGCGGAGGGACTCGAGGAAGACCGTGTAGTCGTCGTGTGTGACGGCGATGCATTCCCACGTCATACCACCGAAACCGTCGTCCTCGGCTTCCTCGTCATCCTTGATATCCATTCCGGTGGTCTCTTGCTCTTCTCCTTCGGCTTCGCTTTCTTGCGCAGTGTCGAGCTTGATGCGCTTGCTGGCACGAGAGCCGCGTGATCTGCGTGCCCTGGCCTTTGCTTTCGGCTTGGGTGCGGGAGGGGGCGGTAGAGGTGCTTCGGTACGGCGGTAGAGGCGGTCGTCGTCAAGGACGTAGTAGGAACGGTCTTGCGAGTCCCAGCCGAGCTCTTCGATGCGCTGTCGGCAATGTCAGTCAACAGAAAGTGTCATCCTGCAGCAAGGACATACCCATTGTGTCTGCTCATTGTCCTTTTCCTCCATCAAGCCGCGCATGCGCTCTGCGTTGTTGAGGGTCCATGATGAGAGCTGGTGCAGTACGCGAATCTTTGTGAAGACGTCGAACTCGGCAAACTTGTTGGGCTCTTCTTCGATGCCGTAGGGGTTACGTTGAGGTGCCTTTGCGACAAATTGGCGGCGAGTGTACTCATCATAATTGTCGTAGCTGATAGGGGTTAGTGGAATGTTTCATAGTCAGTGGCTGGCTGGACGCACTTCAGGCCTCGATGCGAGGAGACGAATTTGAGGAGGGTCAGGCCAATCTCTGCCAGCTTCTCGGATGCTTCGGGTCTGAGACATTCGTGCTCTAGATCCTGTTCCTTGGTCAGCAATTGACGGGACGCGTGAGAAGCGCCGGCGCATACCTCCATGTCGAACTCGGGGTCGATCTTGACGGGCTTGCCGAAGATGTACATGTATTGCATCAGGGCGGCAAACTGCCACATGTTCCGTAGACGGACGAGAGTCTCATTGTGAGGTTGTGCCTTTTCCACGGCGACAATGCTGCTGTCCAGTTCGGCCTCCTGGCGGCCGCGCTTCCTGGCAGGCATCTTTTCTACACAGGGGCCAAGCTTCTGTTTCGTGATGCTGCGAGTTGGACTTGTGCGTGCTTGGAGGAACTTCTGTCAAGGATGAGGAGACTACAAGGAACAAGGATGAATGAAAGCTCGTCGAGACAGTGAATTACGGCAATTTGGTAGTGCAAAGATAGTGAATGCCACTTGTAGACGCGCATGCGACGTGAAGCTGCATGGGCCCAATGTAGAGGTGACGGTGCCAAGGAGTGAAGTTTCCAATCCGCCGCCCACCAGGGTCTTTGGCTTTCTTCACTAGCCCCGCATTTATTCTCCTGTTTCTTTCTTTTTTCCTCTCGTCTCTCATCACTCCACTTTGACTTTGGTCTTGATTGCGCACTTCATTTGATCTCTGTCTCCTCAAGTGACACATCTTGCAATCCCAACATGCTTCACTGATCTATCGCTATCATGTCCAATTCTGAACTGCCATCACATCACGTCCGTGCGAAGCTCTATGTCTCACACTTTCTGTCGACATGGAACTCTCGTCTGTTTGAATTCGGCGCTGTCTTGTTCATTTCAAGAATCTTCCCCGGTACCTTGTTTCCTGCTTCTATCTATGCTTTGACTCGCTCTGCTTCTGTCGTCGTCTGTTCGACCATCATAGGTCGTCTGATTGACCGCTCTGAACGCATGCATTTGATTCGTTTGTCAATCAGTAAGTTATCTAGTCTCGTCAATATCATCCTTGTTCTTCAATATTTCAAATACTGCTTGTTGTATCTGCTGGGTCTGCTGGCTCTTCCTTGGCCATCTTATCCCTTCTTGTCTCTTCTCCTGAATTGTGTTGACCGGCTGTAGTCGGACAAAGAGCTGCGACTGCGACATCATGTGCCCTGTTATGGCTCCTGTTGTACTCGGGATACACCTCTCTTGGCTCCTGGTCTGCAAAGGCTGCTTTAGCACTTCTCTCCCTTCTTGCTTGCGTCGAAAAGCTCTCGTCGGTAATCAACACAATATCTATCGAACGAGACTGGGTTGTCGTAATATCACAGAAGAATGCGGACGACCTGCAAGAGCTCAACTCCCAAATGCGCCGTATTGACTTATTCTGCAAACTGGTCGGACCTCTTGCCATAGCCTTGGTCGATGGCTTTTCGACCAGCATAGCTATCCTCGTCACGTTCTGCATGACTGCAGCCTCCGTATTCGTCGAATACTACGCAATCGCAAGAGTCTACCACCGGGTCAACGACTTGCAGATACGTCCCACAGCTTCGCAAGACTCCAAGGCAAACAACGATAATACCATTACTTCAGGCACAAGCCGCCGTGGTCGTGAAACCTTCCGAACATGCATCTCCTATGTCCAGCATCCGGCGTTTCTCCCCTCCTTCTCATTGTCGCTGCTCTACCTCACCGTCTTGACTTTTGGTGGCCAGATGGTCACCTACCTCCTTTCAGTTGGATTCAGTTCGATCTCAATCGGTCTTTTACGCACTGTATCCACATTCTTCGAGCTGTCATCAACATGGCTTGCACCGAAGGCTATGCACAAGATTGGTGCCATCAGATGCGGAATATGGTTTCTCAACTGGCAGATTGTCTGGGTCGTGATTACTGCGACTATGCTCTGGGTGGAGCTCCCACCGAAGTATGCTGTTGTGGGTCTGCTCGCTGGTACAATTGCCAGCCGAGTTGGTCTTTGGGGCTTTGACCTGTCTGCACAAGTCATCGTTCAAGACGCCGTCGAGTCTGATCAACGAGGCTCCTTCTCGGCCATGGAAGCGTCGGTTCAGAATACCTTTGAGCTCTTGTCTTTCGCTTCTACTGCGGTTTTTGCTCGTCCTGATCAATTCAAGATTCCTGCTGCTGTTAGTGCTTCGGCTGTTGTACTGGCTGGGTTGCTGTATGCCTTTTTTGTTCGTCAGCGAAGAGGTCACTTGTTCCATGCCTCCCAGTGTATGCAGCGCAAGGATCGATCGAAGTGGCAACCATTGGCTCAAGACGAAGAGATTGAGTTGAGTTGATATATACACAGGTCTCGCCATGTCCAGGTGCTGAAGTCGGTCACGATCGCGGGAACAAACGATTTCATTAGATGGCTACATTCGCCAGGCAACATACGATGCGTAATGCTAAAATGTCCCTACCATGTCTTTCAGCTTCCAGCCGAATGCACTCCGTCTTCTCAAAGATTTTCAGGCATGAAGTCTCTGAACGGGAACGTGGCTCCTTCGAAGTCAAACACCCTCCCTGGATGCCTCTCCTCTTCTGTCAGGTCCTCATGAAGACATTTCAGCTTCGTGTGCCTTTCTCTAGCCAAGCTTTCAACAAAGTACTCCATTTCCTTCTCGGTCGACAGTGTCTTGAGCGGGCACTTCTCAAACCGTACTTCAGGTGTGTCAACTGGCAGTCTGGCGTGGTAACTGGCGGTCGAGGCCCACGCGCCCTCTTCTGCGAACAACTTGAGCTCTTCATTATCTCCCATTGCAAAGACACCATGGCGGTCGATCAGAGCACGATCCTTGTCGTGGCTATACATGCTATTCGAAGGGAGGAACTGAAGAGCATGTGTTTTATCTTGCACACAATCTCTGATGATCATCATTTTGTCATTTTCCCTCTTCGACCATGCCCAACCGCGACGATGTACCTTCTCTGGTGTAACGACCTGGATACTTTTCGCCTGAGGGAAAGCCCCCTTATGGCGCGCATCTTGAAGAGCTCCAACGAATCGGATCGTGCTCTTTTCGTCATTACCACCTATAGAACTGCCGGTGCTCATTTGTACATCATGGCTCATGGCTGAGTGTGTCGTTCTGCAGATGTTGCGAGCGTACATCAAGTCGAACCAGTGAGGGTCATTTCTGCGCTCGAATGATACCAGGAGACTGCGTAGATGCGGCGCTTGGACATAGCTCTTCTCACGGGTCTTGGAAATTGACTCGATCATGGATTCACAGATGTTGGACACTCTAAGTGATAGATGTTGCAGTCTGGGTATCATGTCGCGAATCATGGTACATATGCGAGGCGACATTGCACTGAACTGAATCTCGCGACCATTGGTGTCGAGCTCGAGGTTGATGCAAGATTTTGGCAATGACTTGACAAGCTCGACAAAGACTCGGGCGTCCAAGAACCCAGCACCTTCCCTCTCTAGCTTGGACTTGTCCTCAAAGAAAGGATCTTGAGTGAAGATGGAGAAGGTGTCAAGTCGAGGATATTGTCTTGGTAGCATGCTTGCCAATCTCATGAGCTGCACATCCAAAGGAGTCAGCTTACCCCTCTGTCTGCACGTTTTCTCATCTCGTGTGCTACCGTATCCTTCAGGTCTGACATTCAGTGTCAAGGATTGAACCTGCTCCCACGTCCTCTCACGATTGCGAAAACGCTTTTTACCCAGTCCAGTCCTCTGCTCTCCAACAGGAGGCAAAGGTTCCGCAAACATAGCCTTGGCTTCTTCGAAAGTGCTTGATGCATCTCTCACACAACTCCCGTGGGTCAGGCACCACATCTCATGGAACTTTGCAGTCATGCTCCAGATGTCGACATGTGTGTTGAAAGTGCTGTCGAGGAAGGAACTGATGTTTTCGTTGTGAAGTACGACGTGTTCGTAGAGAACTGGGGTACCTGCGTCGTTCCAGAGGCGGGAGACGCGAAGGGCGTTCTTGAGCGTACTGTAGCCGCCTTGTTCACGAACTTGCACCAAGATCTGCTTCAAGATCTCATTGGGAATGTTTTGCATAGTGACAGGCATGACTGCTCTACTGAGATGTGTTCGGCAGATGTGACACCTGGATGGTGGGAGCTCTGGAGTCTTTCCCAGAAGACTATCGCTTGACCAAAGCCTTGCACTGATGTTGAGGAAGGAGGGAACAAAGCGTAAGGGTAGAAATATCCCTGCTCTTATGACTGAGTACAGCTCCTTCCTGATCAGTCAAATATTGCTGCCTGATCTCCTCGCTGGACAATACGTTGGGGTTTTGTGGATTCCTTGGTATTGTCGTCTGAAAACAGGCCTCTTGTTCGAAGTCTGGAGGCTGCCTTGTCGCTGCCTGATCGATATTGCAGCGCTGTTCACTGCAAATTCCGCAAGTAGAGGCTCAAGTATCGCTGGGATCGGATCTTGCAAGTAGCTTTCTGGTCAGTGTCGTATTGCTGCTGGATCTTGGACTCGAATACGCCTTGTGAAGCTCATAATCCGACGTCAAAGCACTTGGTGGACATTGAATATGAACCTCGCACGATCTGACTCAATGTTTGGTGGCTTATCCCAGGCTCTATCTCAGTAGTCAGAGTTTCGTCGGGGTTCATTCGTGATCCTGATGGCATCGATAACAAGCAAAGGGGTGATTAAAATGAGCGTTTCCCAAGGTTTTTTGTATCCTCTGACGCTCTCCTCCCAAGCTATTTCTGTTCGTTGGCTGTGTGCGCATGACTCTGTACCCGACGTCGCAAAGTCCACACTTGTGTCTTATATCTTTCGAGGTGAATAGCCGTCTCAGATTTGAGCTTCGACTTCGACGCAAGCTGCAAGCCGCAAGCGCTCTCATGCAGCACAAACACGTGACATGTGATCCATGTCTTTGGCATGTGATTGCATACCTCCGACATTCCCTTCATAAATACCAAAACCAAGCACTTGGAATGCCTTAGTATAAAACAGGAAATCGCTTCTATACTGGGTTTTTCTTAACTATTCAATCGAGATGTCGACGCTTCAAGCATTGCAATCGTGATACTCTCCAAGCTTGAACAGCTTCTTTGCGTTTTCCCTTCCAACATTCTTATACGCTTCCTCTCCACCCAATGCCTTTGCAATGTTCTCTGCATCTCCATCCCACCATCCACATCCATTCTCAATAGTCTCATAAGGATAGTCTACACTAAACAGCAATCTCTCAGGACCCAAGTATTCAGCAACATAGTTCAACGTCTGAGTACAGAAATGTCCAGAAGTGGTCAGGTAAATGTTCCTGTTGAAGTAATCGTAGATTGTCCTTTTGCACATGACGTCTCCAGCTGCAGCAGCAAGAGGCTTCTCGACATCTTCGAGCCAGTGGTTTATACGCCAAAAGTCAAAGGGGATGTGTTCGCCGAGATGACCAACGATGATTTTGAGAGAGGGAAAGCGGTCAAAGACACCATTGGTGATGAGACCGAGGAGGTGAAGGCTCACACCGTTTGCGAAGCTGAGGGGTGGGCCGACGAGGTACTTGCGTTGAGCGTACTGCTGCTCGTAGTATTTCCCCATGGGAGCGGCTGGGTGGATGTATACAGGGACATCGAGCTCGACTGCTACTTTCCAGAAGTCGTCGTAGGCGGGTTGGTCGTAGAAGAGGTAGGATTCTCCATCAGAACCGGCGTGCTGGACATCGTTCAGGAGGGCGCCGTGGAAGCCGAGCTTGACGCAACGGCGGAGTTCCTCAGCAGCCTGTTTGGGGTTGTGCATGGAGAGTGCTGCGAAAGCGCCAAGACGGTCACGATGGTCTTTGATCTCGTTGGCGATGTATTCGTTTACTTCGGTGGCGTGCTTCTCGGCCTCGGTGGGATCGGTGATGCCTTGAATACCGGGGACTGTCAGGGAGACGATGGTGTAGCCAATTCCATGGGCGTCCGAGACTTCGAGACGCTCGCCGGTGATAGACTTTATCTGGCGCATGTAGCGGTCCAAGTCCTTGGGGGCGATGTACAGAGCTGCTTGATCACGGCTCTGGTCTGCCAGACGAGGGATCTCGTAGGCCTCTTCGAATGAGACTTTGCCGAGCATGATGAAGAGGTGATTGAGAGGGTGGTAAAGATGACTTGTTGGTTTGCGAATGTAGAAAGATGTGATGATATGATGCCGTACATTGTCGACGGGGCTGACATCTTTTATAGACCTTAGCTCGACTCGAGACTGCACGCCTTGCTTCCTCCTCCTCGGACGTGTTCTTCTCAGACGTCACTGCAAAGTTAGCATCCGGTCCCCTCAACATGTGGCGATACATGGTGAGATGTTGATGGTATGGCATGATCACAGACGTGGTATCGCTTCCGAAGACGATCCCTGCAGTGTCTGACCCGACTACCACCACGGGGTACCGCAGACTGGATAGTCTTTCGTCGGAAGTGACTCGAAAGCCTGCTTCCGAAAGCTCCATCGCGGCATCGGAAGCTGCACCCCGAAAGTTTGATGTGCTAAGATCGATCTTATCTGCATGAGCAAAGCAAGCAAAGGCTAAAACATCAATTGATTGAGTCAAAAAATCAATGTCGATGATGTAGTTGCGAGATTTAGTCGTTCGTGACGAGGATCGAGGCCGAAGTCGACGAGTTTCAACAGTCTATTTTGAATAATCACCGAAAACAGTTTCATTCTTCGGCGCGAAGACTTGGCTTGATACACGGTCAAGGGACGCAGTCTTAATATGGAGTCATCAGCGTAGCACTTTCTTTAGCATGAGCTTGATGGGGAATTGCTGTCGAAAAGCATAGCACTTTTCGGATTGGGTCGAGTTCAGTGGAGAGCACTACTTTGTAATATCTCACTACGCACTGACGCTGATCCTGGAAACGTCCCTGCCTTGATACAAGGCTTCTAAGGTATCTCGCAAGGCACAGGGGACCATGTACAGCTTCTGCAATAAATTCACATACAGTATGAGGTCATCAGTGTCACACTTCCTCCGGCAGAGGACTCGCTGAGAAAATACTTAGCTGTCGAAAGGTAGAGTACTTTTCACGTCGATCAAGTTGTCAATGAGAGCGATGATTCAGAACATCCCTCAGAAATCGAATACTACTCCTGAAGATGGCTCTGCCTTACTACGGGGCTTCCGTTTCATGCTGCCAGGAGCCACCGAGAATTGCGATTTGGTCTCAGTACAGCATTCTCGGCGTCGTATCGTTGAGTGCGAGGAAAGTGCGACCTCTTCGAGGCGTCACGCTCAAGCTTGCCGCTCCGACAATGATCTAGTCGACTGTTGTGCGTTTGGCAAGAACGACGGGAGCCAGTATGCCACTTGTTTCTCTTCTCTGTCAACAGCTCATCTTCATCTCATCACAACATCGACATTCGACAAGACTCATCTCTGCTTAGCCCATTGCACAACATACCATCCAAGCAGCATCATCAGCAAATATGCATCTCTCTACTATCAGCATCGCCGTCGCCGCCGTCATAGTTGGTACCGCGTAAGTCATCTCCTCCAAGCACCTCCGTCGTCAGCTTTGCACTCTGCGTTGCATCAGCCCTTCCCTCGACATCGCGATCATCATGGAGACAGAGTACTGACACCTTTTTAGCCTCGGCCTCCCTCAGGGATGCCTCAGCTCCGTCACTGTCAATGGCACAAGCGTCTGCAGCATGCCCAAGTCCATCAGCCCCATCATCGGCAAGGTCAACGCCAATGCCTCAGAGACTACCACAGCTACATACTACACACCGTCCCACGAAGAAGTGTTGTCGGCTCTGGGCCACACCTCCCCAACTTCATCTGACGATCAGGTCATCCCCAAGATGACACCATCACCCGAATCTTCTGCCATCAGCATCGCTGGTGTTGTAACAGATCTGCACAACTACTATGATCACATGGATTCCGTCATCAGTACCACCTACCGGACATTCATTGTCAAGCACATCTCGGGACCAACATACCACACAACCATCTCCAGCGAGAGGCCTACCAAGAGCAAGTCCAAGGTCACCAGCTCCACCAAGAGCGAGTCCAAGGTCACCAGCTCCACCAAGAGCAAGTCCAAGGCCATCAGCTCCACCAAGAGCAAGTCCATCAAGAGCTCTCTGCTTTCAGAAAGGACTCCCATGACTGCCACACCAGTTGCAGCCGCAGCAGCGACCTCGTCGAAGACCACCAAGCGATGCAGTACCAAAGTTCGCATCGATCCCTCCGGTTGCACCACGTTCGGCTCCGAGGTAACCTCGACGAGCTACGTTGATTGTCGAGGATGCGAGCTGGAGGTGAAGACCGAGAACGTTTGTCACCCCCATACTCACAATCCATGACACAAGCTGACGATAAGTAGCACCATTGCCTCTGGCACACGACCTCCAGATGGGAGACCGGAACCGCGATTACAGTCAAGTGTATGGAGACCTCCAGCCCGGTCATGGACCTTTAATCATACTCACAGCTTCGAAGTTTGGTTCGGTGGTCGGCGTTTTTCTTCTCCTTCTCTTTTCTTTTGTCCCCCCTATCGATGACTATGGCATTAAGCTTGGCAACATTATTATTACCCTGGCGGAGAGCACCTCCTGTATTTGAACTTTTACCAACGCATACTCGAGCATCATGTGCCCTCTCACGGGATGGTGAGTGATCCGTGACCACCTGTCGCAATGCACAGTCCCGTTTAAATGTGTGATGATCGTCAGGAGATCTTGTAGAAGCCGGGCTCCCCGAGGTGGACTGATGATTGTTCAAATAAACTGTGCCTCCAATCAGCCATGGTGCAGCCCCTCCTTATCAAGCAAGGGAGCTAGAATAAATTCTGCCTTCTTGTCAAAGGCACCGCTTTGGCCGTCTCAGGTGGCTTTGCGGAACGGTATGAACATATTAGACTTTACTTTTGCTGTACTTCTTATCAAACTCATCATCACTGTCAATTCCTCGTAAGCAACACACGCCACCGTCTCAATATTCGACTCTGTCTTTCCAAATGGGAGCTTTTCTCACATCATCCTCATCCCATACGATTTTGCCCTTTTCATCGAATCTAGCCCCCTCATCCGAGATCTCGATGACCTTTTCAGTTTCTTTGATTTCTTGTGCAGAAACGCCTACTTCGTCCCTGACGATCCAAAGAGTCGGTGGTGTTGCCGTGATAGCAGGATGATGGTATGCATGTTCCAGCACCTCCTCTGGGATACTAGGAGCAGGTTTTCCAGGAAAGGAATCCCAGAGTTGACGGCGTAGAGCAGGATAACTTGACTTGTTACCGTTGAAGAGGAAAGGAGCAAAAAGCCCTCCACGCTTGAAGTGTGAGATAAAGGCATTGGTTGTGGCATTTTGAGAGTACGGGGATGTGGTTTTTGGTTGTACTGTTTCGCCTGCGTGGATATCGATTGGAGGGGTTGCGCCATCTTCACTCGCTTGTGCGAGTGCTTCTTCTTCATTTTCGGCCATCAATTCGTCGTTTAGCGAATTTGAGAGGGGTGCCAGGACAGCGTTGAGATAGGTTTGGTAGATGAGGGTGAAGATTAAAAGTAACAGCATCAATTTCGCGGGACCGGTGGCTTCGCGGGCGCTCATGAGGCCGATGAGACAGATCTCCGAGAGGTAGACGCCGACGCTTAGATGTTGGAGGGCGCGACCGTAGGCATCACCCTTGGTGTCTACGGCCATGGTCAGGACGTAGAAGACGTTGTAGCGAAAGGCGAGGTAGAGGAAGAAGATGCCGAGCAGAGCAAACCCGAGGACCAACGGAGCAATGCAAGAGTAGGAGATTGCTGTCATGATGTTAGCTTTTTCGAGTGTGAGTGACTATGCTAAATCTTACCGATAACAGCAAATAAGGTGAACTTGGGATAAGTATCTCCCCAGCTCAGTCCCGTGAGCGTGATGAACCTCTCGAACTTTCTGCGAGGTGTCGTGTCCAAGAAGGGCGACAAGATATTAAACATGAGGAACGGCACGATTTGAAATATCGTCGAGGCAGTGACAGCAACACCTTGCAGAATGAAGAAGGATAAGTAGAAAGTGGAAGCGGTAGGCAGATTGTCGGCAAGTAGAGTAGGAGCCTGGGCAGGGTCGTTCCAGATTTCTTCTACAGGTGATATCAGTACCTGAAACATTCGAAAGACAGGAGGAAAACATACTAGCAACGGTCGAGGCGCCTGAACTGAAGGTTGTAATGAGGAACACCTGTACAACCTGGAAGGCAAAGTACCAGCCTTGTGTACGGAGCTCAATCTGAGCAAGCGTGATAGATCCAGCTTTTCTGGCAATGACTACACAGTTGTCAGCTAGTTCAAATCAAATTGTGAACCATGACTTACAGCGACAGATGATAGGCACCAGAGCCAGGATAGCAGAGATCAACAGAGTAGGGAGAAGACCTCCTATAGCGCCCTTCGCCCCAGGAGAAAGCTTGTTAACGAATCCAAGAGGAGGGAAGTTCTTGGAGAGGTTGTCGATGTCTGCAAGTGAACCAACAAGGCCCACGGGTACTGACCAAAACACAATCAAGAGGACGATGACCGCGTTCGCTATTAATGTGCGAGTCCAGCGCTCAGGCTTACCCATTGCCAAGTTGATCCATACGATCTCCTTTGGACTTGCGAGGCCAATCGTTGATGCCTCCATCTTGCCTGGCTGCTTCCAGAAAGGATCCGAGTAGGCAAGTTGTGCAGCGCGTTGCGTCTCGAACTCGACAAACACTGCAGGGAGGAGTTTCTCATAACCTTGTACATGGCGTTTCTGGAGAGCCTGAACCTTTGGGATGGCTGTCTGCAGCTGCTCGCGGTACATGTGGATGGCATCTTGCTTTCTGCCGACCAATGCAATGCGCTTCGAAGGTCTCTCTTTAGGAGCGACCCACTGCTGAGTAGCAGTACCAGCTCTCTCAGGGTCGTCGGCGAAATGCTTCTCCCCCTTTAGATGTTTCTTGGTGGCAATGGTGGACAGCTTGATCTCTGCCTCTTCCAGCGACATAGCCGTATCGTTCATGTTGTCGACAAGACTCTCGAGTTCAGTGCAGTCTGTGGCCAGCCAAACACGCTTGACACCATAGAAGTCGGCCTTGATCCACCTCTCGTGGCGCATATCTTCTGGCACTCCCGTGAAGAGCACGACACGAGTAGAGATGCGAGTAGCATTACGGGGAGTGGTGAGATATGCTTGGCGCAGATTGACATAGTACAGAGTCTCCTTGGTGATGACAAACATGACGAATCCAAGGAAGAAATATGCACATCCTGCATGCCAGTAGAATTTGCTAGGATCTGTAACGTTGCTGAACGTGAACATATCAAGCTCAGACTGGTCACCGCCGCCACTGTAGTTGACACGAAGTAGGAAGACCCAAGTGATGATTGTTCCCACAAGACATATGTAAGTGAGCATGCGGAAGTAGCGTATGAAGAGGTAGTTGTCCAATGTCTGGTGGTTCAAGACAAATTGGTCTGGAAGTTTGCTAAAGGCAGATATCCAGTCGAACATGCCATATGCTGGTCTGGGTGTTTTTTCTCTGTTCTTGTCAGCTTTTCCTCCGCTGCAAATCAGTACCCAGATGTTCGTACTCATCTTCCAAGGTGTTCAAAAATGTTCGCGGAGCATATATGCGACGCTGTTTCTGTCGGAGATACAAAAATGCCAATACCATGGGTATGGCGATGATGAGCAGAGGAATCACAGTCGATAGCAACTTGTTGTACGACGAAGAACCTCCACGATTGTCACCCTCGCTCTGAGCATCTTGTAGAAGAAGTTAGTATATTTTATCGTGTGTAACGACTGTGCAGATTTTGAACTGGAAGTTGGAACATACCTATCGCGTCGCTGGACGCACCCATATTCAACACACTCTGATCACTGAACGACATGTTAGTCGTCGCCGGAACTAGAGCAACAACTGTCAAGTGTGATGTTTATATTAAACTCAAGACCCTTCTGTTTTGCCAGAATGGTTCGCGTTTCGTGGCTGGCGAGTCGTGACGATTGGTGACGCAACCCCAGCCTTCTGCGGGGCTGCCGGCCAACACTCCGACCTTGGAACAGGTCGACGCCACTTTTCTCTCCTCGAAATCTTGTAAACAATTGACCTATGTTGCCAACGCGAACATATATCCTGTCTCGACCTCTTATGAAAACTTGTACATGGATCGATCATCGCACTACAAGGACATTGACTACTCAAATAACGGAGCCCACTCGACATGGCCACAAGGACTCTTGCACTCAGATAAACATACAAGGCTTTGGCTTGCCCGGTAGCCCATAGCGTTGATATGCAGACCAGTGGTCGACTTCCTGACAACCGTCTGTACCGTAATGCGGTTCGTCGTAAATCGTTGGTTCACGATCTTGCTCAGCTTGGACCAGCGCGCCATCGACCGATTCTGGGATTAACGATGTCGGGAAACGGCCATACCAGTGAAGATCTGGATGCTTGAGAACTCGTTGTCTGAACTCGGACGGAGCTTCTGGCAACCCCTCTGTGAACCATTGGCGAGGGGAGAACGATAGCTTCGAGTTCTTGTCGCGCAAAAGATGTGGCCGATCACCGCCGAGCTGGCGACTCCGGGCGATCAGAGAGTCCTTGAAAGTATGCATTCGAGTGTCTTAGACGATCTCAGAAGGCAATGGTGTCATTTTGGACATGAGGTAGATATCAGTTGCGAGACAACTTAATCTCCCGGCAATATCGCATACGAGAGGAGATACAAACGCGTATGGAACCTTTGGTTGTCGATGAAGAAAGGCGGACTTCTTCCTATCACACCATGCAGCGGTCCCTGTCAAAACCATAGTTGCCGTGTTTACTTTGACAAGAGCTCGTGTAACGGTGTTCGCCTCGCGAACTGTGTACTCCAAAATGACGTCTCGTTCTGTCAACGACAGTGGACCGCCGGCCACTGTACTTGCATCACACATCATGGTACTGAGCAGCGGGCTCAATGCTATCCAGGGCTCGCGTATATGGAATCTGTTCACTGGCTGAGAGAACGATCTTGCTCGCAGTATGGCTTGAATTTGTGTCCAATCCTCGTCGTAGTACTTCATGATGATGGAGTGTTCCAAGAAATCAGCACTCAACAATTCAGGAAGAGGTTGAAAGACAATGGCTGATAAGTAAATCTTCGCAGATGCCATCCCTTGCGTGCCGCAAATGCAGGCGCATGGACCAACTTCAAGGTGCTTATTTGCCGTCTAAATCAATTTGAGCTCAAGAATACTATGTGGCGATGATACAGATGTGTACACCTCGCTGATAACAAGACCAACAGGTTCGATAACATCCTTCCACATTCCAATCGTTCGCTCGCATCCGTTCATAAGGCCAAGCATCAGAAGATCTGACCAAGTCGCTAGGGGAGTGTTATTTTGTGGCCACAAGACATGCTCATGAATGAGGATCTTGCTCTTCCCTTTGATCATGGCAGGCTTCAGCATCTGGAGTATCTCACGAGCCTTGTGGTCAGGCCAGTCGTGAAGCACTGAGTGCAGATAATACACTCGAGCACCTGATCACTTCTGTCAGCTGGATCCAACTTCGGAAGTGCATCACATACCCTTGATAGGCTGTGGTGTGAAGAAGTCGTGAGCCATGAGCTGAATGCCATCTTCGACATTGGCTTTGGCGACTACTTCTGGCAGGTCCTGTAAAATCAACCTTGCTGGTGCAAGCCGATGCTTACGCTGAAACGCATTGAGGTCATGGCCGGTGCTCCCGCCAACATCAACTACAATGACCTGGTCCAAACCATCGAGCAATTTTTCAGTCGGGTACTGGTCGACCCAAGAGACCAGATTACCCGCAAATCCCTTCATACAGCGACCGAATCGTTCATTGACATCCGGATTCTGAGCAAAGTAGTCAAACAAGGTGCCATCAAACTTCGTGCCCAAAGTGAATGCACAAGCGGCAGGTGATTTTCCAATAGGGTTCCTATACCCTTCGTTCTTCAAATACCGCGGTAAAGATGCATAGGTCGGTGATTTGACTTCGTAAATGAAGGGGAAAGCAGCACTCTGATCAGGATCAGCCAGGGATCTCGTGAAGTCTGTCAGACTATACGAGTCTGGTCCTGGATTTCCAAGCAGTTGGTGAGAGACAAGATTTTGTAGCAGACGGGCTAGGTTATGGTGTCAACATTCAACAGACATTATGATGTTTGCATAATTCATACTCATCAAATCAGGGTCGCAGTCAACCATTTCTCCAAGATCAGACGCACTCTGTACCTCATCGTCGCTTGCGACCCAGCGTTCGAATAGCTTCAGGTCAATCAGAGTACACAGCGTTGCTGGCAAACTGGGCTGTTTTTGTTACGGGATCAGCTGTAGCTCCCTACTGGTAGCAGACATCGACACACCTGAGACCAACCGATTCGCAGGATCGTATCCCATGGTCTCTCTACCTCGAGTATAAGATCTTGAGCAGCGGACACGAGTTCTGATTTCTCGGCCACAGAGATTTGACGCTTGTCCACTTGCCGCATTGCACGGATCAATTCGCTGGTACTTGTATTGGCCATAGTTGCGCTTCCGTTGGATGTCTTGCTCTGCCGTGGTCGTAGGTTCCCAGCTTTTCAATGGCGCAATGTTCGAGAGTGTGATGAATCTTTATATCGTGGAGGCTGACGCTGCTATCTGGTCGTTCTGACCTACAATCCATAGTGCTGACGGTGGTCGCAGCCAGTATGGTGCTGATTGGTGGCAAAACTGACTGTGGCCATATTGGTCTCCACTTTTATGCCGCGTGATTTTACTGAAACTAAAGGATAATGAGGTGGTGTGAGAGAGCGAAAAAAGAGTATGGCTATCAAGTTTTCGGGGAGAGGAGTCAATGAGACAATTGGAAGGACGAGTCGCTCTTAAGCTTAGGCACAATTCGGATGCTCGATCCGACGAGAGTATCAAGTTCGGGGCGCTGGATCCACATATCAGAGACTTTGTCTGTCAACGAGCGTGAAGCTTTGTGGATCGATGAGAACATTTCCTTTTTGGAATCTTCATTTCTCTGTGCTATGTTTCTTCAAAAGAATGGACGACAGCAAGCGTGTCTACATACATAGGAATCCTTGCCCACAACGAGGTCACCAGAGACCATACAACAATTGTTACAGAGCTGGGGGTACAGAGTTGAGAGCTGTATTACCCTTACTCACGAACAAGAAAACAAACGGGGGTAATGACAGGGCTGAGGACAAGATGGTTGACACTTGGGTCCGCATCGTGAGATCGCAGGGTTGAGTGCTGCGTCAAAGGCGAGTCGAGGGGCGAGTGCGATACTCACTATCGCCACTAGTCAGTAGGTGCTCGATGATGAGGCGAACAAAACAGTTCGTCATCATAGCACCTACCCAAGGGAGCCTACATACAAGGGGGCTCCCGGGGTCATCGACGAAGACGCATCCTGGATGCCCTTACGTGTGAGCTCCTCTGCCGGCTGTGGAACACGTCTAAAGCCATGTCCTGAGGCTAGAGATCTCGTTCACGGCTGGTGAAGGACCACACACGCAAGGGCATCCGGGCGCATCTTCGTCGAGTACCCCGGGAGCCGCCTTGTGCGAGTCGCCGCATGTCGAGGTGACGGAACGAAGCGGAACCAGGTAAACCTGCTGTCAAAGTTATCAAGATGCGAGAACATTACCACTCGAATAATTCCTAAAGCTCTCATGACTTGCTTCACAGCTTCCATGTCATCGCCGGAGTCGAAGTAGACGGCGCCGACAACAGCCTCTAAAAGCGTGGCACTTTGGCCGTCAGAGAAGGACCAGCCATCAGGGAGTCTGCATAGAACAAGGCCTGTCTCTTTTGCGACCTTTGCGAAGTTGCCGTTGCCTAGTAGGGACTCGCGTGTCCTGGTCCAATCCGCTGTACGATTTTATCAGCTATATCGACAAGATTGATCGCTCCAGACTTACCTCTAGGAGCTCCTCCAAGGTACCAAGAATCGACCATCGCAGCGTACATCTTGCAGTCGCCAACAACAGCGAGTCTGTAGTATCCGTCGGCTACACTGAAATGTTGCAGCGGTGGGGTCAAGGCTTCGACGATGTATCTGCGTGAGCGAAATTGATAGCCAATAATTGCTTCAGCTCGCTGTATGTTGTCCTGTACTCGCTGCGAATCCTGTTTGCGTTTGGTCCAGGGTTCAGATTAAAAGAAACTGGTCGGAACGAACGTAGAGACGGATACAGTGCGCAAATATATGTGATCGCTTTTCGCCCAACCACCCTCAAATGTGGGGTGGCTGGTATGCACGTAGACCGATCAACGGCGATGAATTCAGCCACCTTAATCTTTGCTGCATCAGTTCCTGATTGGTCGTTCTGTGTCATGTTGTCCAGTCTTTCCTTGTTGCTTGAAAGAAAACTGCAGCTGTCCCGTATGCGTCACAATTGCAGAAGAGTATGGTATAATGATGGAAGGACAACATAGACCTTCTACGCTTACTCTCGGAGGACAATGATGATTTTGTATGCACTCCAAGGCATCGCTCTGAAGTTGTCTCGGAAGGATGTCAGGAAATAGCTGAGAGAGCTACCTGTCTTCCATATTCAGAAAGAATCTACATGACGTCTACGTTACAATTCAAAGCATGAATATGCATGCAGATGGAGCAAGAGAATGGTTGATAACTTACTTGGAGAGTGGCCAGTCAAAGAGGCGGAAACCTCATCCGTGCTCAAGCTTCACGGCCTTGGCCAGCCATCCTAACCCTGGTTGCACCCTCGCTCTATTCTCATCCTGACTTGTCGAGCATCTCCATCATGCCGTTTCTATGCAAGACTTTAGGGGGCCGAGCATCAATCATCAGCAAAGCCCCTTGTTCTGGCTTACTACGAAAATGCCTTTGAGATTGCTTGTGTCATGATACAGCCACCTTCGTGCGACATATTTCGGCGCACAAGGCAACCACATATCTGTCTGACCAATTAACAACAGCCAACTTTCCCCGAGACACTTGAAGTATCACAATGCACTGCGCCTGTTGATCTTCCACAGAAAATTGCCATCATTATCTTAGAGCAGCAAGATATCTTTGGGCGGCACGGAAGTTGCTTCATAGTGCAGTGGAGATCATCACTATGCGATGCCTCTTATAGATTGCTTTCCGAGCACGTGAAGTGCTCTACATTCCACACTGTCGCTTCGCAGCAATATCAGAATATTGCACTGCATACAGAGTATACTGACATGCCTGTTCGAGTCCGCAAAGTCAAACACAATGACGATCTTCGCTGCAGGTTGATAGCACCCTGCTAAATTTACGAAGACAACGTTTTACTCAAAGATATAGTGACGACTACTTTTCGACATGAAGCCTCTAACCATACACGATGTCAATATTCCAGACCGACTGCTCGTTACCCGCAGAAGGTACACGCTTTGTTGAAAGTCCTGATGTACGAGGCACCCTCGATATTCTCTGGAGCTGTCTGAGTGTCTTACTTCTATGCACTTGGTCCATCCAACACCTGCCGATCCCACATCAATGTCAGCCTCGAAGTGTGCGTCAGCAACTTAACAACTTCTTCGTCCAGCTAGGGATCAAGCTGCGGTGGATGCTTGTTACTCTGATCGCTCCAGAATTACTGTGTGGTGTAGCTGCGGAGGAGTGGTTGACTGCCTGTAAGGCCGCCAGGACCATCTCTGGAGGAGCGACAAACGATAAAGTGGACTGGACATCCAGCCATGGCTTCTTTGCGCAGATGGGCGGTTTCAGGCTTCGTTTTTGCAATCTTGAAGCCCAAGAGCCACGAGGGATATCTGATACCAACGATGAGACGGCACTGGAGAAATATCAAATTGCTGCACCCTCCCAGGAACCGCTGCTTAATCAGCTCAGCTTCCCGCACGCCAATAGCTGGAGCCGCGAATCATCCACCAACGGATCCCAGCGGGATCTGCTCCCAATATCCATAAGCATTGCAGTCCAGAAGAAGAGTTTCAAATCGATATCCTGGGACCTTGATATCATGTCCAAACGACATGCTAAGTTGTCGGCCTCATTTGGAGACTCTGACTGGAGTCCTGATGCCACAAACGGAGCAATCATTGAGCAAATGATGCAACAACACCAGAGCGACCCCAAGGCTAGAAACGTTGCGCTGACCGCTATGAGGATGACAACCGATGTATGGACCATGAGTCTTGACCAGATCCGGCTCGCACAAAAACACGGCATCATCGAATCGTTGCCCAGCATGAGCAAAGAAGATCTGAACGCTATTAGCAACAGTGACGGTCTCGCCAAAGCACTGGCGGTCTGTCAAGTTCTCTGGCTCATCATTCAGATGATCTCGCGCGCGGCATCCTCTCTCGCTGTCTGCCAGCTCGAGGTAGCAACAGGCGCCTTCGCGATTACCACCTTTCTGACCTACATGTTTCTGTGGCAGAAGCCGCAGGGTGTCACAAGGCCGATATATTTGGAAGCAGCAAGAAGACCTACTGTCGCAGAAGCTTGGGAGCTGGCTCAATGTGGGCTTGAGGAGACGAGCTCACTACTTTACCGCGCGAGAAGCTGGCGACAGTCTCGCGCGCACTTGAAGGCTAGAGCCTTTTCAAACACCATCATGCTAGCTTGTGCTACCGCCCTTGGAGCAGTCCATTGTGCTGCGTGGGACTTTGAATTTCCAGGACGGGTAGAGATGTGGGCGTGGAGAGGTTGCGCGCTTGGGTCGACGATACTGCCGCTCTTCTTGCTGGCATGGCATGAGTTGTACCTACGCTTCGCCTTCACGAAACATATCGTGTTTTCAATCGTCATCTTGGTCGGATTTGTGCTTTATGGATTCACCAGACTGTTCATCATGATAGAGATGTTTCGATGCTTGTTCTATCTTCCCGTTGACGCGTTCATCACGACGTGGACAATCAATTTGCCGGGCATATCATGAGGTCATGTAGGAATATGTAAGCTTTCTGTACCATTATCGACACAAATCAATGGATTGAGCACAACCTGATACAAATGTCTCGAGTCTCGATGTGAGGTTCGGTAGGTTTCGATGCAGCCAAAAGACGTTCTGTGAGATTGAGATTGAGGTGAGGAGACTGACGGAATTCATTAGAGGAAGGCGCCAAGCGGGGCCTAAATTGGGAAGGCGCAATTCGTAAGAGCAACTAGCGCGTATAACGGCGGAGGGGGCAGGAACGACGACCAGTGTGGACGATACAAGATACAAACACAAGAGTCGCAGCACACAGCAACGACAATCGGGACAAATCCGTGTCTGCTGTCGAGGAATCATCTTGCAACCTGCGCATTGGCGTCTATTTACGAAAGCGACCGTTCTTCTGTATCGACCACACGCTCATTAACCCACTCCAACTCCGGCAGCGACAACAAGCACGAGCTTGCATCACCAGCGCCATCCGCGACCCGACATCACAACCAATCAATACCGCTGTCCATTCCCAAAGTCGAACCAGAAGTCGAACAGCAAGCAGAGACACAGGACCCTCCACCCTTTTCGTCGCACAACTTCCCGTCGCTTTATTTCCCGCCTCAGGAAGCAGCCGCGCCGCCGCCGCCCGACTTTGAAGAAGGCCCGTCGTCATCGACCTCGTCGCCCACTCCATTCCCGTCTGTTGTAGAAGAGACAAAGGCCGCTCTCCCACGCGACACCAAGCCTCGCAACGACAAGGCTCCCGACGACAGCGAACCTCCACCGCCCTACACCGAAGGCACCAGCCCGCTCGACGGCTTCACTTACCTCATGGCCCAAGCCGGAGGTGCTGCGAGCATCATCACACAGGTCTCGCAAGGTGGCCCTGCTCCTATCAACACCTTCCACTCTGCCTCGGATGAGCACATCAACATCGACCTGAGGTATCCCCGTCGTGCCCTACTCGCACACTACAAGCAGCTAACTCGGTCGCAGAGGCACTCGCTTCACTCTGTCGCGCGATGAGCTCCTCACTCTCCCCGAGTTCGTGCTGCTGTCGCTCTTCCCCAACGGGCTCCTCCCCGAAGGCCACATGAACTCGTACCACGAACCTGACGTCTATCCCGTCGATGTTAGTGCCGCCCCGCGCCTCATTTCCTCCTTCCGTCCGCAAGACATCGCTGCTCTACAACACCTGCTCCAAAACCATGATGTATATTTATCTGACTCGATCTATCATTCCCAGTATGACCCCACTTCTCTGCAATACATGCTCGAATTCTTCCGCTCCGTCGCCCAAACAATCCCTACCTCCCCCACCGATGACTCCTCATCTCCTTTCGCCGCCGACCAAGCACCGGTGCCCATTGAGCCCATGCAGGGTGCAAACGCTAGAGACATGCTGCAGGACAGAGCTGGTATCATCGTCTTGCGCGAAGATCTCGACTTCTACGTCATCCCACCGAGGCGCGACATTGGCCACCCCGAGATGGTCCAGGTCAAGCGTGCTGCTGGCCGTGCCTTGCTGAAGCAGAGTGGCATCTTTAGTGGTCTTCGTAAGAGCGAGGAGCCTGGTACCACTGAGCAACATCTTATCGAGATGCTGACGGCTGGGTAAGTTCCTCTTCCATCTAGTAACGTCTCCTGCAACCTACTGATATGTTGGCTTTAGCGGCTTCAATCACGACGATACCTGGGGTCACCGTGCTGGCGAGCCCAACAAGGCTGTCATCTGCAGCATCGCTCTCGCCCGCCTGCGCACTGATGTTCGCGGCGATGCCAACTCTAACGCCGTCGGCATGGCCCAGAAGTTGCTGCTGTTCTGGCGCAAGCCTGCTCGTCGCTGTTGGTGGGAGGGTGTTGATCTTGAGAACGTTGAAGGCATCGACGGCACTCTCAAGGTCTGGATCCGCAGAGTGTGGACCCTCGAGATGGTGAGTATCCATATCGATTGCCTACCTGTGTCGCATTGTACTAATCTATCTCTGCAGAGCGTTATTGGCCTTCGCTGAGCGGGTGCAATGCATCATACTCGCCTTTACTTCTCCTTGCTCCAATTTTTCTACCTTTGATTCGACCACTCATACCCCGATAACACCGAACACCTTTTTCTATTTCTTGTTGTTTCTTACTTCCTTCACCTTCGAACACTCTTGTCCGCTCGGCATTATTGGGCACCTCTCACACACAGCACAGTCTGGAAATCAACACAGCGCATCTTCACTCGTCATTACACATTTTTGGGTCATTCATGGGGAATTTCACGGACTGCGTCTTTGCAACGAAAGCCATCCTCTCAAGAGGACTTTATCTTGATTCGGCTGCCTCTTTCTTTTCTCGTCTCGTATGGCCCCTCTTGCACCAAGGAGTTTTTCCCTATTACTTTTTTCGATTTGTTTCTCTTTTTTCTTTTCTTCTTCTACTCTACCGAAAATAATATATCTATCCCTAAAGCTGTTTGGGCCGTTCTTGTTGATGATGCGCTTTGGTGGTCACTGTTGATGTCGCGTCTAGTATTGTTTAGATGTCTGATGAGGAACGACTTATGTCATCGCTCTTGTGGATATGGCACCACACGCCTCACGGCATGACTTGCTTCCTGACCGCCACAGATTATTCAGCTGTGGTTCTTTGACTGTTCTTCGTTTTTTCCTTTTTCCGGCGTGTCTGGTTCGGCAGGGTGGCCCTGGGGACTAGGATTGAAAGTGATGATCTGATTACTACTCGTCTGCTTTTGGGTCTATGGTTGTTGTTATCTTTGGTAAATGTGGATGTGGTGATTATCTAGGACATATAAGGGTGACGGGGTGTTGGATGGGAGTCTGTAATAATATATACACGGAAAAGTGGTTTAGGATATTTAGGTTATAGGAAAGTGGTTTAGCAGTTGCAGCGTCGATAGCTTGCAATGCTTTTATCAAGGAGTCCGGAAGAGATATAGAAGTCTGTCTACGTATTAGACAATAGAAAAGAAATAGAGTAGTGTATATCTAAAGCACTTTTCCTAACTTTCTATCGTATTGGAATTAGTATTAGAGTGGATGGTACTACCGTAAACACCTCATCGACCTTTGAAATTGAATGGTTGAGAGTGGGTACCCTGACTCGGATGTGGCCTTGCATAACTCGCGCTTGATGAGCCGTTTGGAAGTATCAGCATCATCACAATTATCTTCCTATCTGTCGTAATGATGATGATGATGATGATGATGATCAGCATCAAATCCGTTGCAAACATATCTCATATCTCAATACAGCGCCATCATCAGTAATCGTTACAAAGATCATCCAACACCATCAAACGGCCGATGAAGAAAGTCACGTCTGTCAAAAAACGTAGGAATCTAGATGATTGTCCCTCTTATCCATGACGTAGCAAGCCGCTTGTTTCCCTCCCTTCAGACATAGAGATAGCTTCTTGTAATGAAGAAAAAGGAGTGTTTGTGAATCAGCAACAATGTTTAAACCCAAATACTCGACGATTTACCTTGATGCTGGACAAATTGTGACGGTAGCTTTTGCGTATCTGTTAGTACTGATCATCTTCTGCAATGCTACTAGGATAGCACTGCAAACTACAGTGGGTACATCCAAATCGGAGAAACGCCTAAAGCACATAATTCACTCGATATTTCGACTATATCAGAAAGACCTCACAGCTTTACTAACGGTTGTTCTCGAGCTGGTGGCAAGAGTAGCCATGAGTATTTCAGCGGTGTTCGGTGGAATGAAGAGCAAAGAGTTAAAAAAAAAAAAAGGTCAATACTCGGAAAGTGAATAAAAAGATACAAAAACGGGTGCATGATAGTGTGATTCTTTGGGGGGAGGTTTCCTTCGATTCGTGGCCGTTATCGTTCTTTCATCGTAAGAGTGGTTTCTCAAGAAGAAGGCTGCCAGAGCCTTGTACTTCTCTCTCTTCTCAACAACATGTTCGGGGGCTTGGTGCATGTAAACTAGACATTTCGACGGTGCGATGGGTGGACAAGGAAATTGTGTTCGATTGATGACAAGAGGAAAAAGGAAAAAAGAGAAAAGGGGGGGGAATCCGCCATTATAGAAAACAGAAAAACGCCGAGTAGTTATGCACAATAGTTCTCGTAACCCAACGCGATAGAAAACAGGAAAAAGGACACAGAAAATCAGTTGCGTGAAGGACCTGGTGAGAGGTGGAAGAGAAGACCCAAGTGGTCGTCAGTGCTGCGGGAGTTGTTGATGCCAGCACAACATGTAGACAATGATGCTGGAAAAAGGAAGGGTATCTCAAAGACGAAAAGCATGACGATTACAGAATCAGACAAGCCTTTCTCTTCTTCTTCTTGCTGGGAGCCATCATGGGAGTGGGACTGTCCGAGGGTCTGCTGGAGGTCTGAGGGCGTCTCTGCTGCTGCTGTTGTTGTTGCGAGTTTGAGTTTCCAGCGGTGAGACTACCACGGCTGGCAGGGGGGGTTTGGTTCAGGCCTTCTTGCTCGGCGACGACGGTGTTAATCGCGGCATCGAAGATTTCGTGAACACCCGTCATCTCTTTACTACTGCACTCCATGTAGAGGGCGCCCATCTTCTTGGCGACGGCCTGTCCCTGGTGATTTGTGACGGGAGTCAGACCTTGGGTCTTGAGGAGGTCGATACAGGTGCGCTTGTTGCGCAAGTCGGACTTGAGGCCGAGGAGGATGATGGGGGTAGTCGGGCAGAAATGGAGGACTTCGGGGTACCACTGTATTCATGTTAGTGGGCGAATGAGGACGGCGAGGATAAAGCTTGCGTACCTTGTCCATGACATTTTCAAGAGAGTTGGGGCAGTCGATGGCGAAGCAGACGAAGAGCAAGTCGGTCTCGGGGTATGAGAGGGGGCGCAGTCTGTCGTACTCTTCTTGACCAGCGGTATCCCAAAGTGCCAGTTCGACAATCTTGCCCGAGGGCTTGTGCTCGCAGTGCGTAATGTAGTTCTCGAAAACAGTGGGCACGTATTTCTGGAGGCAGTGTCAGCGGTGATGCGACTGGTCTGGGACGAGAGCAAACACACCTCAGGGAAGACGCCCTGACTGTAGCTGATCAACAGACACGTCTTGCCGCAGCCGCCGTCGCCAACAACAACAAACTTCTTGGAGTAAGCTGGCGGTTCGGTCAGACCAGTGCCGATCGACTCGCGTCCCGAGGATGTGACTGAACCATCGCTGCGGCGGCCACTGTCTCTTCGCTGAGGACCGCGACGGAGAGATGTGACCGAGGCATTCTGCAGCCTCGAATTGTGTCGCTGTGTAGCCGACATGGTGTGTGATGATCAAGAATGCCTGCTAAGGTTTTGGGTATTCGATATTATGCGAGGAATGTGCTGGCGGTTGTGTACAAATCCAGTCTGGACCGGTATGGACTGGGGTGCGAGAGGGGGGGAAATGGAACGAGAGTGTAGATAGCCTTTCGAGGTCAAGAAATGCAGGCCAGCCCGACATCATAATCATCAGAGACGCTGTTTACACACGGATCCGCCGTTGCCCCAGCACCGCCATTCCCAAAAGCCACCGCCTTGGCTTTCCCGCACAAGCCCCGCCGATGACCTGCCTCACCAAGCACTTGCTTGCACTAGACCGCCCAACTTATCCTGCCACCCGCTCATCGTAGATGTTGTTGCTGTATCGCTGCACTTATCGGGCCCTGTAACTAACTCTCTCTCCAATCCGTCTAGGCCTGAGATCGCTACTTGCGAATAGCCATATCCCGATTAGTTCAACCCATGGAGTCCAATCCCCCACACTCAATTCTGCGCTGCTACACGACCCGTCCATAAGCCTCGTCCACTATTTGGCTGGCTTCATTATTTTCTGCCCCAGAGCAGCCAACTCGTCTTGCCGCGCGCTTTGCTCGCTAGCTGCGCCAGCACAAGTCCTCACTTCGAAACTTGCCGACACTGGTCATCCGTCACCGCCTCTCCTTCAACATCATGTCTAATCTTGCGGTATCTACCCCGCCTAAGGATCCTGCTGTGCCTGTGCAAGCTCGTGCCTTGTCCCAAAACTTGCCAGATGCTGGCTTACGAGGTCTTGATCATTGTGCGTCATCAGATAACCATACACTCCGATACACAAACTTCCCCTTGCTAATCATCAAAAGACTCCCGTAAACTCCCAAAATGGCGTTATCGTCTAAGGCAGTCCCTGCTACCTGTCGTCCGATGGGAGACTCCTTATTTGGCCAAGGTCCAACAGACCTGTCGGACTCCCTTTCTTGACTCGTATTTTGCAATGACTGCCAATCTCGGTACCCATACCTTTTTCATGGCTGCCCTTCCTGTGTGCTTCTGGTGTGGTTACACCAGCGTTGGTAGAGCGTATGATGATTGAATCTCCCACGGCAAGCTGGTTCTATACTAATTCTTGACCAGTCTGGTGCATATGCTTGCCTTGGGTGTCTTCATAAGTGGATGGATCAAAGACCTGGTCTGTCTGCCGAGACCCCTATCTCCTCCTCTGCAAAGAATCACAATGTCTGGTTCTGCCGCACTGGAGTATGGCTTCCCATCAACACACTCGACGAACGCCGTCTCCGTGGCCACGTACTTCCTGTATCAACTGCACACTTCGGCCGATGATGTCGCATCACCTCAAAGAATCTTCGGCCTGTGTCTTGGATACTTCTACGCGATATCCATCGTCCTTGGCCGTATGTACTGTGGAATGCACGGATTCTTCGATGTGATTGTTGGGAGCGCTCTCGGTGCGCTGATTGCTGTGGTACAACTGGCATACGGGACGCCTTTCGATGATTGGATCGCGGCAGGTTCTTGGACTCATCCAGCATTGGTATTCTTGGTTGTGCTACTTGCAGTCCGGTTCCACCCCGAGCCGGCGGATAATTGCCCCTGCTACGATGATAGTGTTGCTTTTGCTGCCGTAGTGTTGGGCTGTCAGTTAGGACACTGGCATTTCGCCGGAACAAGTATTGCAGTCATTGGTGAAGCTCCAGCAACTGTGTTTTTCAGCCTCGAACAACTCGGATGGTTCAAGACGCTGGCTCGTGTCGTTGGAGGCGTCGTGATTGTCTTCCTATGGAGAGCTTCGATGAAGCCTATTCTTCTCAGATGTCTCCCTCCACTGTTCCGCTTCCTCGAAACAGGAGGTGCGACTCTGCCTCGACGATTCTTCACCCAAGCAAGGTATGCATATCTCATCTCCTCAAGTCACGATGTCTGACAAATGGCAGCGAGTATAAGAGGGTACCAACTCTCCGCCGAGACGACAATGTCATTCCCTCAGCTTCAGAAATCCCAGGAATGTTGTCCAATCTTCGTCATCCGCGCAAACGCGGCATTTCAGTAGGGCCGCAGTCAGAGGCGGATGCACGTGAATTTATCGCCAACAGAGAACGTAAACGTAGAGAAAGTCGGTCGTCTGCAGACGGCAACGATTCTCGACCTCAGCTCAGCAAAATGCCAGGCGGCTCATTCTACAGCTCAACTCTGGATAAGGGACACGACACTGTCAAGCAAAGGCGATTTGAGGACAATACGGGCTCGTTTGGAGTAGTCACACCACTTGCGACGCCTCGTCAAGCGGGTGACCTTTTAATGCCCGATCCGTTCAACACACTGCCATTGACACCACCACAAAGTGACAGCGGAAATGGTAGCGACGCAGGAAGAGAAGAAAAGGAAGAGAGGGAAGATGCGGAACAAGATCACCAGATGTTTCTTGCACTGGCTAAGCCGCGAGTGCGGTACGATGTTGAAGTCGTGACCAAACTGGTCATTTACGCAGGTACGAGATATCCCTCACGACAAGCGCGAATTCGACTAACATGTACAGGCATTGCTTGGCTTGCCGTAGAGGGCAATCCACTGCTCTTCGAGATAGCGGGGGTTGGTAAGTACAGTGTGTGATGCTTGTGTTAGTGACGATGCAAAGAGGGAAAAGTGCAAAATAATGACACGCGTACAAAGAGAAGTCAGACCTGGTACATAATGTTTATAATGACAAGTACATGTGGTTATGCAAGCGTTGTTTCTTCACATGATGAGTCTGCGATGAGCAGCCAAGCGTCGGAGCAAAGTTCACGTTGATGCTTCAGGAAAGCTGAAACACGCGGAGTAGGGTGTGGCGGTGCGCGTGTGGCTCAAAGGCGTGCAGGAGATTCAGGGCGGTGTTGCGGCGGCGCGTCAAACCAGCGAGAGCTACAATTCCCTAGTCGACCCATTGACCTCTCCTTCCCTCTCTACAAATTGCGACTAGGAAACGACAAGTACGCTATCAACCTTCACTTCTCAGGAAACAACCAACATCACGACTCTCTAGTCCACCATATCACCCCTGTCGCAGTTTCCGCGCACGATAGTTTGGTCAACGGCTCTCAGCGCTCATGTCGGATTTCACATCAGCAAGCAACAAATAAGATGGAGGACCCTCTGGTCCCGGCGACAAATGGAGCGGCCATCGGAAGGCCTGTCTCACCAGCTCCGCCAACTACATCGACGATAGATCCACAGTTGATCATCTCATACCTGGAATCCGTCCTTCATGTCACCCTTGGGGCTTCGAGAAAGGAGTTGGAGGCCAACAACAGTTTCCTGAGCCCGGAGAACTTGTCAGAAACACTTGTGCGATGTCAGAGATTTGCATCAGAAGCACAGGTTGCCATCTACGTGCAGCAGGAAACTTTGGACGCGGTTGACGGCTTCCAAGGAGACGATGATGCCTGTTAGTAGCTCCCATGCACATGGCACATATGGTCGCTAACAGTCCACAGTCGTGTCGACACAATCCACTTACCTCCTCGGCTCCAAACTCACATATACGCCCTCGACGGCATCATGCGTTGCGATCCTCAAGCGACCAGTGCCCATCCTCCCCACAGTTCCCATCAGCAGCCAGCTGTCGGTGATCAATTTACCAGGCGCAGGCGCCTCCTTGTCGACTAACGCCAATACCGGATCCTCTGCTTCGCCCTTCGAAGCCCTTCACTCCCTCGTACACTTCGCCCTGGCCCCCTACTTCGATGCTTGCACAAAAAGTCAAGAATCAAATCATGCATACACAAAGCACACAGATGCAGAGTCGCGCACTGGCATTCCTGGAGCAAAGAGGAGGATCGCCGAGCTTGAGCTCAGTCTGAGAAACCTACAACAGAACATCGATGTACCCGATCTTCATCTGCCTATACATCCCGTAATTCAAGCCGCCATCGAGGAAGCCGCTACCCGTAATGAAAAGCCCACCTCAGCGCATTTGCCACAGTCTCTACTGACGGATGCCCATTTCCTAAATAACCTGCAAGCTGCCGTGAATGGCTGGATCAAGGCTATTCAAGAGAGTACACAACGCTCTCGCGACCCCAGTACAGGTACAGCTATGCAGGAGAAGAACTTCTGGTTGTCCATGGAGTCAGCCTTAGACAGCATCGAGCGCCAACAAAATAGCGACCCCGTCCGCCTGTCTCTAGATGTATTGAGTCAGGCAAAACGCCACGCCACCGCTGTCAGTTTCCACGCCGATACTGGCTTCAAAGAGGCCGCCGACAAGGTCCAAAAGTACAACCAGCTGATGAGAGATCTTCCGCTGGAGGAGCTGCTCGCTGCCGCGACCTTGATAAAGGTCCAAGAATCACTTGATCAGGTCTTCCAGCACATCAACAAGAAGCTGAGAGTGTGCGCATATCCTATACGTCGTGCTTTGCCCTTGGTCGAAGCCGTCTCCGGTGATCTGGATATAAGGCTCCACGAATTGCTCCACGGCCGCAGCCTCATGCATTTGGACTTTCAAGAGTTCCAAAGCCTGATGGCCGCGACAGATAAGATTTGGGATATCTGGGAAGACAACTTCAAAGAATTCGCCAATGCTGCAAGAGAAGTGATCAGACGCAGAGGTGAGAAGTTCATTCCTATCAAGATCGATCCTCGTCACAAGCAGACGAAAGAGCGTCTAAAGTATATCAACACTTTCCGCGTCAACCACGAGCAGCTTCGTGACACAATTGCCAACGTCCTCGGCGAGGACCAAGACAACATTCACAACGATCGCGTCTCGGGCCCTGTCATCATCGAGGAGATGGGCGATGTCGATGCCATTGACGAGATCTCACAAGCCTATTCTGTTTTGAAGGACGTGGATGTTCTTGATGTTTCAGAGGAGGGCACTCGCATCTGGGTACGTGCTGAAGCTACATACAACGAGCGCACAGCACGCGTAGAGAACTCGATCATCGCTCGCTTGAGAGATCGCCTGGCGCTTGCTAAGAACTCCAACGAGATGTTCCGTGTGTTCTCAAAGTTCAATGCTCTTTTTGTGCGACCGAAGATTCGTTCTGCCATTTCTGAGTACCAAACGCAGCTTATTGGCAATGTCAAGAACGATATTGCTGCCTTGCAGGAACGTTTCATGCACCCGTACGGTCATACTGAGACACATGCAATGGCCCAGCTCCGTGATTTGCCTCCTGTCTCTGGTGCCATTATTCGCACAAGACAAATAGAAAGGCAGCTCAATGCTTATATGAGCAAGGTTGAGGACGTTCTAGGCAAAGACTGGGCTCTGCATGTTGAAGGCCAGAAACTCCAAACCGAGAGCAACATGTTCAGGAAGAAGCTTGATGTCAAGCCTGTATTCGACGAATGGCTACGCGACGTCAATCGCCGACAGCTATCCGTTTCTGGCCGCTTGTTCGCTATCAGCCGCAACCGTGCCAGTGGCAACATCCTCGAGCTGAGTGTAAGTTTCGACGCTCAAGTCATTGCGCTGTTCAAGGAAGTCCGAAATTTGCAGTGGCAAAAGTTCACCATCCCACATGCGATAAACAACACGTCGAAAGAGGCCAGGCGTGTGTACCCTTACGCTGTCAGTCTGATGGAAAGTGTCAACACTTATGCTCAAACCATCAACGTCATCGACAGTATGCCCGAGGTCTCAATGCTTGTTAATGGCGTCCGAAGTGAAGTGCAAGCACTCATCGCAAAGGGCACCCCTCTCAAGTGGGATAGTCTATCGGGTGCTTACGAGGTCAACGTTCGCCAAATGCCCTCAGGATCATCTGATCAGACAGAAAGCAAGCATGTCAAGTTTATCAGAGACTTTGCCAAGGCGGTTCGTGACTTGCAAGAAAAGACATCGCTATTGTCGTCCATCAACATCGCTGTTCACGCCGCCCTTACTGAGCTTGAAACATGCCCATACACCCAAGAAGCATTCAGACAACAGATTGACATCATACAAAAGTCGGTTGATCAACTGAACTTGAAGAGTTTCTCCAACCTCTCTTTGTGGGTCGCTGAGACGAACCAGAAGATCCAACTCGTCCTGTTGTCTCGACTACAGCACGCACTGAGGCAATGGATCTCGGTCTTTGCCGCCCAGAGAGACGGTGAAGATGATGATAACGACGATGCTGAGCAGGATCGCGACGTACCTCAGTTCGAGCCTTGTTTGCATGAAATGGCCATGCGCAATCAGTCAATCTACCTTGATCCGCCGCTTGAAAGTGCGAGAGCTTCGTGGCTTCAACACCTTCACGACTGGCTCAGCATCGTTTGTAGCTTGCCAAAGATCCAAGCTGAGAGATTCGAGCTCGCTCTTGGCTTTAATCTGGATACCGTTGCTGCTACTTTCTCGGACCTGCCACTATTGTGTGTCGATCCTCTTTCAAACGCCTATAACGCAGTGGAAGACAAAATCTCCGTCATCAGCGGCTATGTGGATCAATGGCTCCAATTCCAGTCCTTATGGGACCTGCAGTCTGAACAGGTGTATGACTATCTGGGCGAGGATCTTGCCATGTGGCTGCAACTTCTACTCGAAATTCGTAAGAAGCGCGAGACTTTCGATACCACTGAGACTACTCGCTCGTTTGACCATCTCACAATTGAGTATGAGCAAGTGCAGCTCAAGGTCAATGCCAAGTATGACCAGTGGCAACATGAGTTGCGGACACAATTTGCTCAGAGACTAGGCAACCGCATGTCTGAGGTCTTCGCCGCACTCCAGAAGGCTAGACAGGAGCTTGAGGGGCAGTCACTGGAAGCCTCTTCTACTGCTCAAGCTGTGACATTTATCACCACAGTCCAACAATGCAAACGTAAGGTCAAGGCATGGGAGCCTGAGATCAATACTTTCCGCGACGGACAGAAAACACTCATCAGACAGAGATACCAGTTCCCCGCCGATTGGCTCTATGTCGAGCAGATTGATGGCGAATGGACTGCACTCAATCAAGTCCTCGACCGCAAGAGCAAGGTAATTGAGGATCAAACAGATGCTCTGAAGGCCAAGATTGTCGCGGAAGATAGAGTCGTGGCTGGGCGCATCACCGAATTGACCGCTTCTTGGAATGACAGCAAACCTGTATCCGGAACCATCCCACCAGAGGAAGCAGTGTCAACTCTAGGGGAGTTCGAGACCGGCTTTGCACAACTCAACGAGCAATCAGAGATGGTCGCCAAAGCTAAGGAAGCACTTAATCTCCCGCCTAGTGCAGACTATGGCCTCGCTTCACTTCTTGAGGAGGTGCAAGACTTCAAGTCTGTATGGGCGAACCTCAAGATGGTTTGGGACGGACTAAATGAGCTTCGCGAGCAGTTATGGTCCAGCATACAGCCCAGAAAACTTCGCCAAAGCTTAGAGAAGCTCATCCAAATGACCAAGGAGATGCCTAGTAGAATGCGACAATACGCAGCGTTCGAGCACGTTCTTGGCGTTCTTCGTGGTCTCCTCAAGGTAAACCCTATCCTCTCTGACTTGAGATCAGACGCCGTCAAGGAAAGGCACTGGATCAAGATTTTCAAGGCCCTCAAGCCGTCTCAACGCTACTCTTCTATCTCAATGACGCTCGGCGATATCTGGGATCTGCAACTTGGACCTAGTGAAGTGATCATCAGGGATGTCATTACCCAAGCTCAAGGTGAGATGGCTCTCGAAGAGTTCTTGCGTCAAGTCAAGGACACCTGGCAAAACTACTCACTCGAGTTGGTAAACTACCAGAATCGTTGCAGACTCATCCGTGGTTGGGACGATCTTTTTGCAAAGTGCAGTGAGCACCTCAACTCTTTGCAAGCAATGCGCCACTCGCCCTATTACAAAGTTTTCGAAGAAGATGCATCTACGTGGGAAGAGCGTCTCAACCGAGTCCATCTACTGTTCGACGTATGGATAGATGTGCAGCGCCAATGGGTCTATCTCGAAGGTGTCTTCACTGGTAATGTTGATATCAAGGCCCTCCTTCCCATGGAGTCTAACCGCTTTAACAACATTAACACGGAGTTCTTGGCTGTGCTGAAGAAGGTCTACAAGTCGCCTCTAGTACTTGACGTACTCAACATTCCTGGAGTACAGAAATCTCTCGAGCGTCTAGCAGACCAGCTAAACAGAATCCAAAAGGCTTTGGGAGAGTACCTTGAACGTGAAAGAGTCTCGTTCCCTCGCTTCTACTTTGTCGGCGACGAGGACTTGCTTGAAATCATCGGCAACAGCAACGACACCTTGCGTATTGCTAAGCACCTGAAGAAGATGTTTGCTGGTATCTCCGGTGTCATCACTGATGAAGAGGCAAACATCACAGGCATCACGTCACGAGAAGGAGAGCGGGTCATGCTAAAGAAGATCGTCTCTCTGACCAAGACGCCCAGAGTCAATGAGTGGCTAGGCGCACTGGAAACACACATGAAGGAGACTCTCGCCGAGTCTTTCACCGATGCATTTACTGCCTTTGATGAGCTTGCTGGTCAAGAAATCATCGACGGCTCTGCCCTGGAAGCTTTCATCAATGACTACCCTGGTCAAATTGTTGTACTTGCCACTCAAGCATGCTGGACAAAGTGGGTTGGTACAGCTCTTAGTGAGAGCGGCGCTTCGTTGCCGAAGTTGTTTGACCGTCTCGTTGAGGTGTTGCGTTTGCTCGCTGCCTCCGTCTTGGGTGATCTTGATGCTCTCTACAGAAAGAAGTGCGAGCATCTCATCACCGAGTTTGTGCACCAGAGAGATACCGTCGAGAAGCTCGTCAACGCAAGTGCAGATTCTCCAACTCACCATCTCTGGCTTCTTTCGATGCGCTACGAATACCAGCCTGAAGCCGATCTGCTGGACCGTGTTCAAATCAAGATGGCGAACGCCGTTCTTGCTTACGGCTTTGAATACTTGGGCTTACCTGATCGTCTTGTCCGCACTCCTCTAACAGATCGCTGTTTCCTCACGCTCACCCAGGCTCTATGCCAGAGACTCGGTGGCTCGCCTTACGGACCTGCAGGTACTGGTAAGACCGAATCGGTCAAGGCACTTGGTGTTCAGCTTGGTCGCTTCACTCTGGTCTTCAACTGTGACGACACTTTTGATTATCAAGCCATGGGCCGAATTTTCCTCGGTATTTCACAGGTCGGTGCTTGGGGTTGTTTCGACGAGTTCAACAGACTGGAAGAGCGAATTCTGTCTGCCGTCTCTCAGCAGATCCAAAATATCCAGCTTGGTCTGCGCAAGAGCACAAGCGAGCAGAAGGCACAGATCGAGCTTATCGGACGCCAACTCATCGTGCATCAAAACACTGGTCTGTTCATCACTATGAACCCTGGTTATGCAGGCCGTTCAAATCTGCCAGACAACTTGAAGAAGTTGTTCCGCAGTGTCGCTATGTCAAAGCCTGACAAGGAGCTAATCGCAGAGGTTATGCTTTACTCTCAAGGTTTTTCACAGGCCAAACCTCTCTCAAGACAGGTTGTCCCCTTCTTTGATCGTTGCGGGGCTAGCCTCTCGAATCAGCCTCACTACGACTTCGGTCTTCGTGCCTTGAAAAGCGTCCTCGTAAGCTCCGGCGGTCTGAAGCGATCTCGTCTCGTGGATCATGCCGGAGAGACACTTCCCGAAGAAATCGTCGAGCCTCAAATCATTGTCCAGAGTCTTCGCGAAACAATCGCACCCAAGCTTGTCCGACCCGACGTTGACGTGATGCGCCAAGTCGAAGATGAAGTCTTCCCTGGCGTACAGTATGTGCCAGCTGAGTTGGCTGATCTCAAGAAGGCTATCAGAGACGTCGCTGCAGAGAAGAAGTTGATCGCAACCGACTCATGGATGACCAAGGTCCTTCAGCTCTACCAGATCCAGAACATTCATCATGGTGTTATGACCGTCGGTAGCTCCGGAACTGGTAAGTCCACCGCTTGGAAGGCCTTGCTCGCTGCCCTGCAACGCGTCGATGGTATTGAAGGTGTTTGTCACATCATTGATCCCAAGGTTATGTCCAAGGAAAGTCTTTATGGCACCTTGGATGCTACTACACGCGAGTGGACAGACGGTCTCTTCACAAGCATCCTCAGAAAGATTGTCGACAACCTTAGAGGAGAGGATAGCAAGCGCCACTGGATCATCTTTGACGGCGACGTCGATCCTGAGTGGGTTGAAAACTTGAACAGTGTTCTCGATGACAACAAGCTCCTTACCTTGCCTAACGGTGAGCGTCTCAATCTACCCGCAAATGTCCGCATCATGTTCGAGGTCGAGACTCTCAAGTACGCTACCCTAGCTACCGTCAGTCGTTGTGGTATGGTCTGGTTCAGCGACGACACAGTGACCACCGAGCTCATGATTTCCAACCACTTGGCCGAGTTGCGCAGCGCCAGCTTCGACGACCTTGATGAGGACTCTATCCTTACCACGCAGACTGCTGCAGCTGTGGAAGCTGTACAGAACCAGGTCGCCGATCTGCTCCAAGAACGTCTCGCCTCGAACAACTTCTGCACCCAGGCTCTTAGCGAAGCCAAAATCTACAACCATATCATGGAGTTCACAGAGATCAGAGCTCTAACTACACTCTTTTCCCTCCTGCGCAAGGCTTGCAGATCGATCATCGAGTACAACGTACAACACCCTGACTTCCCTCTGGAGCTTGAGCAGATTGAGTCTTTCATATCCAAGAAGCTCGTTCTCGCTATCATCTGGTCCTTTGTCGGAGACTGTCCTCTGACTGATCGCAAGACCTTCGGCGACTACATCGCCAGTCTTGCAGCTATCGATCTGCCACCTATTGTGGATCAAGGCTCAATGATTGACTACGATACGGTTCTTCCTGAATCTCAATGGGTGCCATGGCAGAACCAGGTTCCTACAATTGAAGTTAATACTCACTCCATTACTCAGACCGATGTCGTGATTCCTACTGTCGACACAATTCGCCACGAGGATGTGCTATACTCATGGCTCGCAGAGCACAAGCCACTGTTGCTTTGTGGCCCTCCTGGATCGGGTAAGACGATGACACTTTTCAGCGCCCTGAGAAAATTGCCTACTCTCGAAGTGGTTGGCCTCAACTTCTCCAGTGCTACCACCCCCGAGCTACTTGTGAAGACTCTTGAACAGTACTGCGAGTACAAGAAGACACTCAACGGCACCACTCTCGCACCTACACAGATCGGTCGCTGGCTCGTGCTGTTCTGCGACGAGATCAATTTGCCCGCTCCGGACAAATACGGTACCCAAAGAGTTATCTCGTTCCTCCGCCAAATGGTTGAGCATGGCGGCTTCTGGCGCACTGCTACTAAGACTTGGGTCAGCCTCGAGCGCATCCAATTCGTTGGTGCTTGTAACCCTCCTACAGATGCTGGCCGTACGCCACTTGGATTGAGATTCTTGAGACATGCACCACTTATCATGGTCGACTACCCTGGTGAGCTGTCCCTAACTCAAATCTACGGCACATTCAATAGCGCTGTCCTCAAGATTGTTCCCTCCCTTCGTGGTCACTCAGAGGCCCTCACGAGAGCTATGATTCAGCTCTACTCAGAATCTCAGAAACGATTCACTGCAGACATTCAGCCTCACTACGTTTACTCTCCTCGTGAGTTGACTCGTTGGGTTCGTGCCGTGTACGAAGCTATCAAGCCTCTCGAGACGCTCACCCTAGAAGGTCTGGTCAGAATCTGGGCTCACGAAGCTCTCCGACTCTTCTCTGACAGACTCATCGCTGAAGATGAGAGACAATGGACTGAAGAGGCTGTCGACAGGATTGCGGTTGAGCACTTCCCCAACGTCGATGAAGTAACCGCTCTGCAGCGTCCCATCCTTTACTCTACTTGGATGTCCAAACACTACGAGCCTGTTGATCGCGAGCAACTTCGTGACTACCTTCGCATCCGTCTACGCCAATTCTGCGAAGAAGAGCTTGACGTGCCTCTCATCTTGTTCAATGACGTTCTTGATCACATCCTTCGCATTGACAGGGTCTTCAGGCAGCCTCAAGGACATCTCATCCTTATTGGTGTCAGCGGAAGTGGCAAGACTACCTTGTCCCGCTTTGTTGCTTGGTCAAGTGGTCTCAAGGTCTTCCAGATCAAGGTTCACGGCAAGTACACGGCCGAAGACTTTGATGACGACCTCAGGAACGTTCTTCGAAGATGTGGTGTCAAGGGTGAGAAAATCTGCTTCATCATGGATGAGTCAAATGTTCTCGACTCTGGCTTCTTGGAGCGCATGAACACTCTGCTGGCAAATGGTGAAGTACCTGGTCTGTTCGAGGGTGATGAGTTTGCCTCTCTTATGACAGCTTGCAAGGAAGCCGCCCAGAGCAAGGGCCAGCTTTTGGATTCTCAAGAAGAGCTCTACAAGTGGTTCACGCAGCAGATCGTGCAGAATCTGCACGTAGTCTTCACCATGAACCCTCCTACGGAAGGCCTGTCGTCAAAGGCAGCCACCAGTCCTGCCTTGTTCAACAGATGTGTACTCAACTGGTTCGGTGACTGGTCTGACCAAGCACTTTTCCAGGTCGGCTACGAGCTTACACAATCCGTCGATCTCGATCGAGCATCTTATGCTTCGCCGGATAGTATTCCGGTTGCCTACAGACAGCTCCAATTACCAGCCTCACACCGTGATGCCGTGGTTAACTCTATGGTTCATGTGCATCACTCTATGCACAAGTTCAACGCTAGACTGCTCCGTCAACAGAACAAGACCACCTATCTCACTCCTCGCCACTTCCTCGATTTCCTATCTCAGTTTGTTAAGCTCTACAACGAGAAGCGCGGCGACTTGGAAGAACAGCAACGCCATCTAAACACTGGTCTGGACAAGTTGCACACGACTACTGTCCAGGTTTCTGACATGTCAAAGAGTTTGACCGACAAGAACGTTCAGCTACAAACAAAGGATGCTGAGGCCAACGAGAAGTTGCAACGTATGATCGCTGATCAGCGTGAGGCCGAAACTCGCCGTGCTGCATCACTCGAAGTCCAAAATGCTTTGGTAGAGCAGGAGAGAATTGTCGCAGAAAGACGAGAAGTTGTGCTTCATGACTTGGCACAGGCCGAGCCTGCTGTTATTGAAGCTCAGAAGAGTGTCAGCAATATCAAGAAGCAGCATCTGACCGAAGTGCGTTCTATGCAGAATCCTCCCTCAGGTGTCAAGCTCGCGCTCGAATCAGTCTGCACCCTGCTAGGTCACAAGGCACCTGACTGGAAGACTATTGTGTCTATCGTCCGTCGCGACGATTTCATCGCAAGCATTGTGAACTACGACAACGAAAGACAGATGACCAGCAGCCACAGAATCAGGATGCAGAGAGAGTTCTTGTCCAAGGATGACTTCAGCTTCGAGCGTGTCAATCGTGCCAGTAAGGCTTGTGGTCCTCTTGTCCAATGGGTTGAGGCCCAGGTTAACTACTCGGCCATCCTTGATCGCATCGGACCTCTCAGAGAGGAAGTTGCTCACCTCGAGGAGGAGGCTTTGCAGACCAAGGCTAACGCGCAGGCAATCTTCTCCGAGATCAAGAAGCTCGACAACAACATTGCCACTTACAAGACTGAGTATGCTGCTCTCGTCAGTCAGGTAGAGGCTATCAAGAGCGAGATGGCTCGTGTTCAGAGCAAGGTCGATCGAAGTTCTCGCCTGATCAAGAATCTATCCTCTGAACGCGAGAGATGGGATGAGACCAGCAAGTCCTTTGACGCACAGATGGACACCATCGTTGGTGACGTCTTCCTTGCGGCCGCTTTCCTTGCGTATGGTGGTCTTTATGATCAGCAGTATCGCAAGGCGATGCTCGAGGATTGGGCGTTCCAGCTTGCAGCTTCTAGCATCCACCACAAACCACACAACCCCATGGCTGAGTATCTCTCTACAGCAGATGATAGACTGCAATGGCAACAGAACTCGTTGCCTGTTGACGACCTCTGCACGGAAAATGCCATTATGCTTCAGCGTTTCAATAGATACCCTCTCATCATCGACCCCTCGGGCCGTACTGTGGAGTTCCTGCAAAACGAGTGTAAGGATCGTAGACTGACCGTCACAAGTTTCCTCGACAGCTCGTTCACCAAGCAATTAGAGAGTTCGCTGCGTTTCGGTAATCCTATTCTTATTCAAGACGCCGAACATCTGGACCCTATTCTCAACCATGTACTCAACAAGGAGTATCAAAAAACTGGTGGTCGTGTGCTCATCCAGCTCGGAAGACAGGAGATTGATTTCTCACCCGCCTTCCGCCTCTATCTCACCACCAGAGATCCTTCGGCGACGTTCGCTCCTGACATCTGCAGCAGAACCACATTCGTCAACTTCACGGTCACTCAAAGCAGTCTGCGCACTCAGGCCCTCAACGACGTTCTCAAGTCCGAGCGTCCTGATGTGGACGAGAGACGTACTAACCTTGTCAAGACCCAGGGTGAGTTTAGGCTGCGCCTTCGCCATCTTGAGAAGCAGCTTCTGCGTGCTCTCAACGAGTCTCAAGGCAATATCCTAGACGATGACAAGGTCATCCAAACACTTGAGACTCTCAAGAAGGAAGCCAGCGAGATTGCTGTCAAGGCTGCGGAGACCGATGGCGTCATGACAGAGGTTGAGCGTATCACCATGTCTTACGATGTCATTGCTCAATCTTGCTCGGCAATCTTTGCTGTACTCGACCAGCTGTACCACATCAACCACTTCTACCAGTTTTCGTTGCAGTACTTTGTCAACATATTCCACACTGTGCTCCTTGCTTCTAAGAGTAGACCTGCTGGGAGCCATGAAAACAGAGTCGATGCTATCATCAAGGAGATCTTTATCAGCACCTACCGCAGCACTGCCCTTACTTTGCTGCAAAAGGACCGCATCACATTTGCCATGCTTCTCGCTCAAGCCTCGCCTCTGAAGATGGATAAGTCGTTGATCGACAAAGTGCTGGATGAAGATATCAAGGGCGTCGACTTGTCGACCAACCCTGAGCTGAGAGATGAGGCTATGTCGCGCGCTTCAACCATTAAGCAGTTTAAGAATGGCCTTGATCGAGTCTCCGAGGATGAGTGGAACAGTTTCTTCTCCGCCGAGTTCCCCGAGAAGAACGTACCCGTGCTCGGAGAGACTGACAATGAGCTCGACCGAAGACTTCTGAACCTCTTGATAATCAAGGTCTTGCGTGTTGACCGTCTTGTCCCAGCGGCAGAGGTGTTCATCACTTCATTGTTCGGCGCAGCTATGCTCGACATTAGCGATGATCTCAGCCGTATTGTCAAGGAAGTCACAGCACACACTCCTATCGCTCTTTCCTCATCGCCTGGCTTCGACGCTAGTTACAAGGTCGATCAGCTTGTTGAACGCACAGCCTCGCGTTGCGCAAACGTCGCCATGGGTTCCAACGAGTCTTTGGCCAACGCCGATGGCGCTCTTGCCAATGCTGCAGCGACTGGCTCATGGGTCATGGTCAAGAATGTACATTTGGCTGCTCACTGGCTTCAGAATCTGGAAAAGAGAATTGATAGTCTCAAGCCTCATCCTGACTTTAGACTCTTCTTGTCCATGGAGAGCTCGCCCAAGATCCCTGTCAATTTACTGAGAGCTTCCAGAGTGCTGAGTTACGAGCAACCCGCTGGTATCAGAGCCAATATGCGCGACTCTATGGCCTCGTTGAAGGAAAGTGGCCCCCAACAGCCTGTTGAAAAGGTCAGAGTATACTTCTTACTTGCCTTTTTACATGCTGTTGTTCAGGAGCGCTTGAGATATGCACCTCGTCTTGGATGGAGCGGCTTCTGGGAATTCAACGACAGTGATTTCGAATGCTCGATTTTCATCATCGATACCTGGATGACCACCGTCGCCGGCACACGCTCCAACATTTCCCCCCACTCGATCCCTTGGTCCCTCCTCCGTATCATGGTAACCGAAACCTACGGCGGCAAAATCGACAGCGCGGCCGACTTTGCCATTTTATCACAACTGGTCAACTCGGTGCTCACACCCGCAGCCTTTGAGGAAAACTTTTCCCTTCAACAAGGACTCGTGGTACCTACTGGAACCAGCAAACGAGACTTTGAGACATGGATCAAATCGTTACCGGAGAGGGAGCCACCTACTTATTTGGGCTTGGAAGCCAATGCGGAGAAGTTGTTACTTGTGGCGCATGCGGATGAAATGTGTGAGGGTCTGAGACGGGTTTTGGAGGTTTTGGACGAAGGGGAAGCTGTCATGGCGGAAGCTGCTGAAGTCGTGGAGGTGTGAGTAGAGAATGTTTTTGAAATTGGAGGGATTAGATGGGAAGGGTGGAGAAGGAAGAGAGTTGATGAATGTAAGTGGTTGATGGACTTTATGGCTGTTAATAGGAGAGGGGGGGCGTATTATAGTGCTTTTTGCATTGCATTGCATTGCAGTGGTGTTTTATTTTTATTGTTTTTTACTCTTGTGGGTTTTAGCGGTATGTCGAATGTTCTTCATCGTTATTTTCCCATGGTTTTTGGTATCACTGTGTTTCCTTGCAGAGCTGTAAGTATGTGGTGTTGTATCTGTTGGACTCTAGCTTTGATTGGCTATAAAAAAACAGCAGTCAGGCGATCTTGACTCGCTTTAACCAGTTCTATAGGAGAGAGGAGTGATCAATGGAGGGGAGATGTGTGTGGAAGAGCGGGTCGATGCTGATGCCCTTTCTTGCTTTTGATCCATAGTGCCATTACCTTGGAGTGTTGGAAATTTGCACGTCGGCAGTGCAAGAGATCGGTCCCCCTCAGATGAACAACTTCGGAGACAAAGTCCGGAAAACGACATCGGCAGCTCATCGGGTAAATAGGCAGCGCTGCGAGTGACGAAGTGCAGTGGTGGGACAAGTGGGCGCTCTTGGTCTCGAAGCACAGCGAGCTCTTAGCACCTCACACGAGCACATAAGAGACAATGTCAGTACCGCTGTCTTCAAAGGAGCAGTCTCTGTTCAAACAGGTCGTTCAGCTCTACGAATCAAAACAGTACAAGAGAGGTGCGCCGACAAATCCATTCTACATAGTCGACCGAAACACGACGTCGACTAACGCGGTCCTACAGGAATCAAGACTGCCGACCAGGTGTTGAAAAAGGTTCCCAACCATGGCGACACTCAGGCCATGAAGGCCTTGATCCTCAACTCTCAGGGCAAGACCGACGAGGCCTTTGACCTTGCCAAGCTCGCTCTCAAGAATGCCATGAAGTCCAATGTCTGTTGGCACGTCTATGGGTTGCTGTACCGCTCCGTCAAGAACTACGATGAAGCCATCAAGGCCTACAAGTTCGCTCTGCGCCTCGATCCCGACTCTCGCCAGATCCAGCGCGACCTCTCGCTTCTCCAGGCTCAGACCCGCGACTGGAAGGGTCTTATCGACAGTCGCAGAACAATGTTGACGGCCTCTTCGGGTGTCCGCGCAAACTGGACTGCCTTGGCCATCGCCCAACACATGGCTGGCGACTACTCGGCCGCCGAGAAGGTATTGAACATGTACGAAGAGACGCTCAAGAACCCCCCGCAAGCAACCGATCTCGAACACCACGAAGCCGTCCTGTACAAGAACACCATCATCGCCGAGTCCGGTGACTACGAGCGCGCCCTTCAAGGTCTCAAGGCCCTCTACAAGTCCAACCCCGACCGAACTGCCGTCATGGAGCTTAGAGCCGAGTACTTGTTGAAGCTGCATCGCAAAGAGGAGGCTGAGAAGGCATACCGCGCTCTTTTGAGCAGAAACGCCGAGAGACGCGCATACTACGACGGCTTGGAGAAGGCTCTTGGTCTCGACAAGAACGACCCTGCCGCGCACACCCAACTGCTGCATCTGTACAAGTCTTTTGCCGAGAAGAGCGACAGAATTGATGCACCCAGACGTGTGCCTCTCGACTTCCTGCAGGGCGATGCTTTCCGCGACGCTGTCGACGCCTACCTGACACGAGTCTTCCGCAAGGGTGTTCCTTCGACTTTCGCAAACCTCAAGGCCCTGTACAACGACGAATCAAAGAAGCAGACCATTGAAGAACTCGTCCTCGGCTACGCTTCGCAAAACAACGAGGAGAACGGCAAGAACTGGGACCTCGCTGTCAACTACTTCCTCGCACAACACTACGATTACCACCTCTGCCGCAATCTCGAAAAGGCCTCCGAATACATTGAAAAGACAATCGCTCTCAACACAAACCCTCAAGACTACACTTTCCACCTCACAAAAGCAAGAATCACAAAACACTCTGGCGATCTCGAAAAGGCGTCCAAGCAAATGAACGAGGCTCGCGAGATGGACCTCGCAGACCGCTACATCAACACAAAGTGCGCAAAATACCAATTACGAAACAACCAAAACGATACCGCTATCGAGACCATGGGTCTGTTCACTCGCAAAGAAGCCAACGGTGGCCCCCTGGGTGATCTACTCGACATGCAATGCATGTGGTACCTCTTTGAGGACGGCGAGGCCTACAAGCGTCAAAACAAGTTGGGTCTGGCACTCAAGCGCTTCAAGTCCATCCACGACATCTTTGACGTCTGGTACGAGGATCAATTCGACTTCCACAGTTTCTCCCTTAGGAAGGGTATGATCCGCGCGTACGTCGACATGATCAGATGGGAGGACCACTTGCGTCAACATCCCTTTTACTCCAGAGCTGCATACTCTGCCATTGACATTTACGTCAAGCTGTTCGACGACCCCAACTACGGCTCGACGAACGGCGATCTCAGCGACGCAGACAAGAAAAAGGCGGAGAAAAAGGCACGCAAGGAAAAGGAAAAGGCAGAAGCTGATAAGAAGGCTGCTGCTGCCGCAAAGGCGACCGCCACCTCGGAAGACATCGTCAAGAAGGAAGACACGGATCCTCACGGCGAAGAGCTAATCAAGACCAAGGACCCTCTGGGTGAAGCCATGAAGTACCTTTCACCACTCCTCGAGCAAAGCCCCCTCAACATCAAGTCGCAACAAGCCGGCTTCGAAGTCTTTGTGCGTAGGGAAAAGTACCTACCCGCCCTGAAATGCCTGGTCGCGGCTTCCAAAATCGACAACAATGACGCAACACTCAAGGAACAAAGTGCTCGTTTGCGCAAGACCTGTAAGTTATATCCTATTCTCCTGGCATATTACTCTCGAATTTTGAAAAGTATACTGACTTTGATCAAAGTGTCGGAGCTCAAAGAGCCGCTTCCGGAGAAGATCAAGGAGGTTGTTGATGCCGAGTTGGCTACACTGCCATGAGGATATCGTTGGCATTTTTCTATATACACCTCATCATGCAGAAGAGAAAAAGTATACTTGTTGCCGCTTCTTTGTTTCTTGACTTGTGCTATCTCCATCTATGTACGTGAGGTGTAAAAGGGATGCTGTAGATATGCAGAGTATTTTCCCCGACGTGGGGGAGATGTCAAGGGGATAGTGGTGAAAGTGCGATATTCCCCTGGATCGTAGGCAAGGTTCCCAAATGTTATTGTGCAGTAAGACGGCTGAGTCTTTCTTTTTTTATATCGCTGGGAGGGATGGCTGGGGAGAGATGGGAAAAGTGATGGGGGATGTAATGTCTTTTTGACTTTTGATGGGTTGTAGTTCTCTCCACTGGACAAGCGAGCGTGATTTGGAAAGAAAAAAAAAGACTGTGCATTTAGACAGCTGCATTTTGGTAATGGCTGTGTTTGGGTTAGGGAGAGAAGGAGATGGATTTTAGGTCTACTGCTTTCTAGGGATGTCTAGTTTATGGCATGAAAAAGATTATGCAACTTTTCACAGCTGACTTTGCGTAGGACTGTGCAGATCGCTATAGCTAACATGTTTTATATCTAAATGTGTAGAATAGACTTTGGCTCCTATTAAGATTTAGTTGATAGCTAGAAGCTGAAATACACAGTTCTTTCGACACTTGCTTTTAAGGTTGGCATTATTTAATTCCTCGCATGGTCTTGCTTTTTGCCATGATGATTTGAAGCGCATTAGTTAGTTGCACTACTAGTACATACAGACGCGTTGATTTGCAGCAATCATGCATTTAGCAGCTTTCTTTAGCAACCATGTCGTTAGTCAAGGTAAGGATCATGTATCTTGGGGATAGCTATGTACTTTCTCTCTTCTTTTGACTCACTCGCTTGATACACTCGAAGAATTTCGCGACGTCTTTGTCCATGGATTGAGGGTTCCAATGCTTCTCATCACCTTCACTGTCAATAGAGTCAGGGACTTACTCTGTGCCGTATCCTCGTCTGATACCAGTAATTGAATCAACTTTCAGGGCCTTTGAAGCTTTAGTGCGAACAACCTTGTGAATCCTCTCATCATCGAACCATTTCTATGACCTCCTCGAACGCAGACTTTCAGACATCTCAATCTTCAAGATTGAATCGGCGGGTTCTCTTGGCAAGTTTGCCATACGATAGGCGCCATAGCCTTCAGGGATGATACACTGAGTTGCAGCAAGGACTTGACCAGCTAGGAATGTATTCCATCGTCTTTTACGTCTTTGGCATCCGTTTTTTTTTTCGACAGCAAACATGTTCAGAGCACTGTATTCGGCTAGGTTGATGACCCAGTGTACAGTCCATCTGGGTGAGAAAGAAGGAAGAGGTTCCGCCATCGTTGTTGCACCCTCGCTTCCACATGCTTCGACATCCACTCCAGTATACCATGTCCAATACCGCCCTCTCTACCTAATTGAAATATTTGTATCAACGACGGAAGTTCATGTATGGTTTCATCTAGTTGACCGCACAAAGCGTTCAACGATGGCAACACTGTGCTGGATCTGTTGCCATCGGCGACATCGAGCTTCCGGAAGGCAACGCTCGGTGAAGCAAACGAAGCAAACGCGCATAACAGAGAGCTGGGCAAGGACTGATATGCGCTCTCCAAGCTTGAGTAAAAGAGACAGAGATACTACATAATTCCCCAAACACCGAGGCCTGATCTCAAATCCATCATGTGTCAATGCAGCTACTCTTACCAAGAGTATCGAGATTGCGAAAAGCAGCAAAACATCAAGAAGTATCAGTATCACTTTCCTAGTCAATGACAGTATGAGAAGAAAATCCTCTATATGTATATGGGTCATTCTATGCTCTACGTCTTACTCTTATGTCTTCCTCGACTCTGCCTATTCAACGTCTAGAACAAATGTGTAAAATTCAGTAAGAAAGCGTAAATCCCAAAAACCAAAATAGATAAGATGTAAAAGAGAAACTCCTCGCAGAAAAATAGATCGCAGCAGGTCATGTTTCTCGTTTGAGCGTGGTAAAACTTCATCAAAACATCCTTAAACTCAAAGAAGCGGAACACGAGAGAAAGAAGGGAAGTTGGGTGTATCTCAACCCGACCTTCAATCCCCTTCTCTCGATCACTCTCCACACCTTTCGCACCAAGACTATTGTTTCCAAGCCTCGAAGCAGTTCAAGAACCTCCATTCTCAACCTCACCCTTCTCCATCGCAGTCTCCAAATTCTTCGCTCTCGTTTGTTGACGGAACAACTGCAAAACACCCAATTTGCCCTCATTCGTCTTGCCAGCCCATTTCTTAGGTGTATAGTTCACAGGGCTTTCACCGCCCTTGAAGATACAAGTGTCGTAGAGGACGCCGCCAGTAAGACCTCCAGAGATAGTGGCGCCCCAGGCACCCCAGATCCACCAGTTGTGGTATGCGGTAAACACTTCGCTGCCGTAGCCCATGGCCATTGCGGCGAGACGAGGCCCAAAGTCGCGGACAGGGTTGAAGCAGCCGCCTGTGTTGGAGCCGAGGGACATGACGAGGGCGACGACGAGGAGACCGATGATGAAGGCGTGCATACCAGCACCAGGAGGCGAGTTGGAGTCGTCACCGAGTGCCAGGATAGAGCAGATAAGAATTGCGGTTCCAGTGAATTCGGTAAAGAAGGCTGTTGCTGGTGATACCCAGTCCTTGGGTTGGGTGTAGATGGAGACACCGCTTGACGCGGCGATAAGCCCACCCTCGTTGTAGATGATAGCATCGCGATAGATGGCTATGGCAATAAGACCACCAGTGAAGGCGCCGAGGATTTGGAAGATGATGAAGACAGGGAGTTTTCGTGCAGGAAATCCTCTGTAGACCCACAAGGGAATAGAGACGGCTGGGTTAAGATGAGCACCTGAGCTTCCACCCGAGATATAAATGCCCAACATGACCGCCAGTCCCCATCCCCAATACATGTTTTGATAGATACCTGGATGTTGAGATTCTCCGGTGACGACAGCAAGATTACTGCTGACACCGATGAGAACAAATATTGTTGTTCCTAGCCATTCACCAAAGGCGTCCTGGAATCTGGCACGGACTAAGGCCCACGAGTTGAATGGCGCATTTTCGTCAAGAACCTCTTCGTCTTCCGGCACGACTGTAGAGTCATCACTGTCGTTTCCTGGAGAGTACACGGCTTGATCACCGAGAACTCCAGTGTTCTCACCGTCGCCAGCCTCGGCACTAGCTTCTTGCATCATCATGCCTCCAGACCGATTACTCTGAGTAGATCCATGATTCTGATGTTTTTCGTCCTGAGAAGGTTCCGGGTCTTGTTTAGAGCCTCCACGGTGTTTTTTGCGTTCATCGGTATCCTGAAGTTGAGGCGCAGCTTCTCCCTCTCCTTTTTCACCGGGTTGTACACCAGGTGCCGTTCCCGAAGAGTTTCGCTGCTCGTTCATCTTTTTGCCTTGCCAGCCACGAACGGTGCGCGGCAGATTAGAACCCAAGCTGAATGTCGGTTGATTCTGCTTTTTCTCATATTGAGGATTGAGATCACGGTAGCCTTCTGCAACGTATGTATCTCTGTTGGGACCACCTTGACTGCTCCCTTTCGGTTGTGAGCCAGCTAAAGAGTAGCCACCTTGCTCTGCGGTTCCTCCAGTGGCATTGGTAGCCATTCGGCTCACTTGAGTAGCCATGCGACTCATTGTGGGTCTTATTGTGCTAGCAGTGTGGTGGTTTCGCATGTCCGGTCGCTTCTGGGTTTTCCTAGATCTCATTGTACTCGCGGTACGTTGGTTTTGCATATTGGGTCGCTCCGACTGCTGTCCGTTTCCAGATTGCTGGCCATTTTCAGGCTGTCGTTCATACTCATGCTGGTCTCCTTTGAAGGAAACATTTCGATTCATCTTGACCAAGAGGTGCAACAGAGGTGTCTGAACAATGATCCTATATGTGTATGATGTCCAGTGGAAGAGTCAAAGGACTCGGAAAGCCTGGAAGGGGAAAAACAGTTGACGCAGTGAATTGAGGTGGGAAGTTTGTTGGCAGCACCGCGCGTTTAATATATCAGAATCTTCTCATCGACGAGCTTCAGGAGTACGCTTCTTGACGATCAAGCGATGACCAGTGCGTGACACCTTTCGCCGCCCGAAAGCGGTCAACCCCCTGCGAAAACCACCAACAGAAAATCGCGAATTTGTGAGTGGGACCGAGAAACTTCTTAGACAGAGTGACGATTAAGCGGGTCTTGTTGAGCCTCATCATATGCCCTTGCCGTTTTGGGTAGCGAAACCTGAAGATCGCAGGAAAAGCAGGGACGACCCACTACGTCAGAAGCTCGATTCATCTCGAAATTACCTATCTCTATCACCATAACAGCTCTTAGGCATGTTCATACGCCATGACAGAGTCACAATGACTGCACAATGATAGAATGAGTTGCCCCAAAACGGTAATTGCAAACGGGGTTGACTCCTCAACATCTCATTTTTCTGCTTCAAATCGATGCATGGATGCAAGCGATCGTGTCGCAATGGTATCGTCAAAGTTCTGTTGCCACTGGAAGAGCCTCCTCGAAGAGCCTCTCATATTCAGATCCTGTGGGTCAAGAGCCTCATCCTGATACCTGAGTATATTTATGCGAGGGTTCATCTCCACATGGACACAAAAGCTACACCCCCAAATGTACGTGTGCAACCGTCACGCCAGGAAGATCATGTTTATCTTGCACCTTCTATGAGCCCTGTGGTTTGTCACACAGATATGGGAACAGGCTTCCCAACATGCTGACTTCCATTCGCTTTCACGGCATTCAACCAAGCCTGTGAAAGTGCACGGTGTTTTCGATCCGGGGGATGCTCCTATTGAGAGGCCTTGCAGAGATTTCTCACGGTTTTCAGGTTTTCAGCATCGTGGTCGGACGTGTTTCGCACGAATGGTCTCCTGACACCAGGCCTCTGAGGAAGGCAGATGATGAAGCATGCGTGAAGTTCTTGTCACCATGCACGAACAAGAAAAAGATAGGACGAGGTAACAATGCCATTCTACTGCTCTAACTGAAGCAACTCTGGATATAATGACCTAAAACAAGGATGAAAAAGAAAACGCCTGCCCAATCTAATGTATTGCAAAAAGCAGAGAAAGTAAGAAGAATTAGAAAACGCCATTCACCCTACTTTTGCAAATGTGAAGCTGAACACCTGGGTATGAATTCATTACCAGCAATCACAAACATGACCTCTCTACTCGTCGGCGTCACTGTCAGGAGGGTGAGGGGTGCCCTGTGAGTTGATTAGCAAACTGTGATGAATGGAGGATGATTTGACAATACACGTACCTTGGGACTGTTGAGCCACTCGATGTGACGCAGTCTTCTGCGGACCTCTCTCTCCTTCTGCTCCTTCTTAGTCATCTTCTTCTTCTTGCGGGCTCTGAAAGCCATATCACCACCACCCTCGGCATCACTCTGAGTAGGAGTGCCAACGGTGGAAGGCACAGCGGAGCTAACGACCGAGCTGGCAACAGATGAGCCAGGCTTGGAAGAATCCTCGAAGCGGTCCATTGAAACGGCGACGGTACCCTTCTGGGTCAGACGACCGTCAGCGACGTGCCACTGCTCGGGGCAGAGAGCGCCGACGAACTCCTCGTTGTGAGAAATCATGACGACACCACCCTTGTAGTCACGAATGGCAACAGCAAGACCACCGAGTGAGTCTCTGTCCAAGAAGTTGGTAGGCTCATCAAGAACGAGCAAATGGGGGTTGTTCCACATGGCACCGGCAAGGACGACCTTGACCTTTTGACCACCGGACAGACCGCTGATCTCGTTGTGGTTGGCAATTTCGGGGTCAAGACCGACATCCTCAAAGTGCTTGGAGATGACCTTGGGCTCGAGCGAACGGAAACCAAGACCTTCTCTGCTGGCCTCGTGGTCATCAAACTCCTGAACAAGCTTCTGGAAGCCGAGCTCCATGAGAGTCTCGCGAGAAATCATGGTGTTGTTCTTGGGCAGCATGCCGACCCACTTGATCTCGTACTGGAAGGACTTCTTCCACTTCTGTCTACCGATGATGGCCTCAATCTTGCGCTGACCCATACCAGGGCCAAGATCGACGAACTTCTCCATCTGGGCCTTGTCCTCGTCGGTCAGGACACGAGTTCCCTTCATCAGGACCTCGCGATCGTCGCCGTTAGCGTAACGCCACTGGAGGTACTGGTTGGGTGTCTTCTCCAAGTGCATCTCAACGTGCTCAAGAGCGTGCTGCTTGATGTAACCAATACGCAAGTTGGGGTGCTTCTCGACCTTGCCGGTCTGGGGAATAGTTTCACCAGTGAGCAGCTTGATCAGAGTAGACTTACCGGCACCGTTGGCACCGATGATTGCAACTCTGGAGGAAAGCGACAGCTGACAGCTGACACCCTGGAGCGAAGGCTTGGAGCCTCCGGGGTAGGTAAAGTTGCAGTCGGTCATACGGAGAATGCTTCTGGTGTTGGACTTGACACCGGTCAAGATACCGGGAGGGGGGAACTTGAACTGAACCTGGGAAGCAGAGAGGGTGTAGTATGCACCAGCTTCGGGCTTAGCCTTGACGAAAGCAGCAAGGTTACCCTTGTAGTTGACAAGCTTCTTCTGTTCGTAGTGGATAATGTCGGTGCAGACCTCGTCGAGGAAACCGGAATCGTGAGAAACAATCAGGGAGGTAATGTCGGTGTGGGTCTTGAGGTACTCCTGGAGCCATCTGACGTTGGCAACATCGAGATGGTTGGTAGGTTCGTCGAGAAGGAAGACATCGGCGCGCATCAACATGGCTCTGGCCAAAGCGAGCTTCATCTTCCATCCACCGGAAAGAGAGCCAACCTTCTCAGACTGGCGTCCCTCAGGGCCAGAGGCGAAACCGACCTCCTCGAGAACGGCGACGATTCTGTCCTTGCCTTCGGCCTGAAGATCAGGATCCTTCAAGCAGTAGTCAAGGATGGTAAGATCAGCATCCTCGCCCTGGTTGTGCTCAACGAAACAGGTGCGAACCTCATCTTGGGAAGGGAAACCCTCGAGCTTGCCGTTGGCGATAGCGCGCATGAGAGTGGACTTTCCGGCACCGTTTCTGCCGCAGAGACCATAGCGGTGACCCTTGAGCAGGCGGAGGTTGGTGTGCGAAAGCAGAAGCATACCACCGTATCCAAGAGAGAAGGTAGCGTTGACAATCTCGACCTCGCCGTCGGCAAGAGGTGGGGGAGCACCGAACTTGCGCTCGTCCTCGGAGACGTAGAACTTGTGAACGGCCTCGGCAACAGCATCAGCCTTGCCCTCCTCCATAAGGGGAGCCATGTAAGGAGCAATGTTGGCGTTGATGCGGTCGAGCTTGCGGTCAGTGGCATCCTCGGCGACCATGTTCGAGAGGTAAGGCTTGGCCAGGGCCCAGATGTTGGCATCGCCAGTCATCTGGAGAAGACCACCGTTGGCCTTGGTCTCCTTCTCCAAGACCTTTGCAACGTCCTCGGGGACGGTGCGGTCAGACTCGGAGTGGTCGCCGCTGGTTTGTTGGCCCATGGCCTTCTCGATGACGTCGAGAGCTCTCTGACCAATCTCACGAACCTCGGGGAGAGAGGCTCTGTCGCGAACGGCCTTGGTACCGGGGAGAAGCTTGGGGAGGAAAGATCTGGCCTCGACGGGGTCGTGGACAAGCTTTGTCAAGTTCTCGACGACGACGACAGTTTGACGAGTGACCTCTTGCGAGGTGCTGGGGCTGTTGAGGGAGCGCTCGAGAAGAGGAGTGAGGACAGCGAGGACGGGGGAGGTGACAATGGCGACAAAGGTGGTTTGCGACAGGGCGTGGATGGCCTTTTGCAGACTGGAAGTGGAGGGGTCCTCCATGGCCTTGATCAGGAGGGGAAGACGAGGCTGAACATCGTCGTTCTGGAGGAGGGTGGTCAGGGAGTTCATGGTCTTGATGGCTGCCTTTCCGACCTCGGCCTTGAGGTCGTGCATGCCGCCCTCGACGATGGGAATCAGATCCTGGAGCTTGCGGCCCATGGCCTCGCGCAGAACGTCCTTGGCCTGCTCAGCCTCAAGACTTTCCATGCCCATCTTTGCGTCGTCGGCCATGCGACCGACCAGCTCGAATGCGACAACGGCGCTCTGCCACTTGGCAGTACCCTTGCGGAGGTACGAGATCAGGAGGGGCAAGAAACCGTAGACCTTGGCCTCGGCACCGAGCTCCTTGTAGAGAGCGTCGATGGCGTACTTGGCTCCGTCACGAACAGAGGGAGTCTTGTCGGCGACGGCGTCAAGAGCCATGGGCAAAAGGTAATCGTGTTGCAGAAGGAAGACGACCTCGCTCAAGCGTTGCTTGCTGGGGAATCTTTCGAAGATGGCGCCGAGTGCGAACATGGCGCCTTCACGACGGCCGATGTTCTTCTTGTCTGTGGCGGCCTTCTTGACTTCTTGCAGGATGGTGTAGTCGTTGAGACCACGGAAGCCGACCGAGTTGAGGAGAACATCGCAGAGGCTGTAGGCAGCGTCGAGCGACTCTTGAGACGTCTTTGATTCGTAAATGTTTTTTGTGATGGCAGAGATGTCCTCTGGGGCCGGTGGCGCCGACTTTGAAGTGACGGCGGTGTTGTTCATGCTGGGCTCTTCGAAATGGGGCATATCCAAGAAAAGTCTTTAGGATCAAGGCGCGATTAAAAGCGCAGGCGCAGGGGATGCGCGGTTTTGCAGCGGAAAAAAAGCAGCCGGAACGAAGGTCTCGATACCAGGAAACCGAGATAAAACAACTAACAAGAGTGGAGAGTGGGAGAGAAGGTGTTTGCAATAAAGCACTCCTTCGAGATGGTTGAATGAAGAGAAGACTTGGTTGGGCTGATATGGGATTTTTTTTCTACCTGCGGATGCCCCTCGGTCAGCGACATTGCCGGGCGGCGGGCCAACGTACGCTTGGAACTTCTTACTCAGCACAACCGTCAAGCCCCTCAGATTCGACTCTCCATTCGTTCTTCGGTCCTCTCAAGTGTCATACGGCACTCGACTCGAATAGTACATCTTGCACTGCTACATGTTGACCATCTCAATCTCAATCTCAATTGCTTCTTGATCTTCGTCTTCTGCCAGATGAGAGAGCTTGGCCATACGTCAAATTACTCACCGTTCGGTATCAATACCCCAAACTTCACGTGCTCGCGTCCTTCATGTTGACTCGCGCTAAAGCGTCATCAGCGTTTAATGAGTCGAGATCCTTCAACAAAGACGCGGCTTTGTCCTTTTTGTGTGATGCAACGTTGATAAACTGGTCTAATATTTCTTTTCTATATTCTGGTTTCTTACAGGATGCTGTCCTTGACGTAAAGGTCCACGTACTTGTCAATCTCCATGGCGTACAACTTGTCGGGTGAGTTGCCGAGGTCGACCAACTCGTTTACGCGGGCCTCATCGAAGTGAGGACCCAAGTGTCTCTTGTACTTGGCCATGATTTCTGGCTTGGCCTCTTCACGACGCAGTCTGTGACCGAGAGGTGCCTCGACAATCTCCTCCTCCAATGTTGTACCGTCTTCCAGAGTAACGGTGAGCGCGTTGGAGATGGTTCTCTTTTCGGGGTCATGGTAGTCGGTGGTGTATTGCGGGTCCTCAACACACTTGATCTTCTTACGAAGTGACTCGACAAGCGGGCTCGTGGCTGCCTCGGATCCATCTGTGTAGTCTGATGCCTCAAGGCGGTTGAAGACAAACATAGTTGCGACCATGTATTGAACACAGTGGTCACGGTCAGCAAAGTTATCCATGGGCTTCAGCTGTTTGTCAATGATGCGAATGCATGCCTCATGTGTTCGGTTGGTGACGTCCTTGATGTCCTTGGCGCTCTTGCCCATGGCCTGGAGCTTCTTGTTGATGCGGCTGGCGGCTTCGACAGCAGTTTGGGAGTGGAACTCAGCTGTTGAACTCGTCAGTGCGTGTACGTCTCGATGTTGTTCGTCGCATCATTACTCACCAGGGTATGAGACCTTGAAGAGAACGTTCTCCATGACGTAGCTGCCGTATCCTCTCTGGAAGTCGAATTTCTTGCCGTGGAAGTTGACGTCGTAGAAACCCCAAGTAGGAGCTGATAGAACGGTTGACATACCACCCTCGCCCTTCATGACCTTCAAGCACAGGTTGACGGCCTTCTCGCAAGCATCACCAGCAGCCCAACTCTTTCTGCTCATGGTGTTGGGGCTGTGTCTGTAGGTGCGCATGCTCTGCCCATCAACCCATGCCTGTGAGATGGCATCGCGGGTTTGACCCTCGGTCAGGCCAAGCATTTGACTGACAACAGCAGTCGAGGCGACCTTGACCAACACAACGTGATCGAGACCGACCTTGTTGAATGAGTTCTCCAAGGCCATGCAGCCCTGAATCTCGTGGGCCTTGACCATAGCCACCAGAACGTCCTTGACAGTGAAGATCTTTCCGTTGCCGAGGTTGCCGCCGTTGCGGTTGGTTCTGGTGATCCAGTCTGCAACGGACAAGATTGCACCCAAGTTGTCACTAGGGTGACCCCATTCGGCAGCCAGCCAGCAGTCGTTGAAGTCGAGCCATCTGATCATGGCACCAATGTTGAAGGCACCCAGCACTGGGTCAAGCTGGTAGGGTGTGCCAGGGATTCTTGTACCATTGGGAACAGTGGTTCCAGGAACGACTGGTCCGAGAAGCTTGGTGCAGTGGGGGAACTCGAGGGCCTTGAGACCACAGCCCAGAGTGTCCAGGAATACATATCTGGCAGTGTCAATCTGTGTGCGAAGAAATGATTAGCTGATGCTTGACCAATGTGTCGTGAACGAAGGGTATCGTACAGCAAGTTCCGAGTCGACCTTATAGTTGTGAATGTAGGAGGCCATGTCGACAATCTCCTTGTCAAACTCGGCGGCAGAGGCCGGGCTGGCAATAGCGTCCGAGTTGGGCTTCATGGTGGTGGAGAAAGCGGCTGCGGAACGGATTGATAGAGTTGTTCGTGCAATTGACGCTCTGCTGGTGATTCTAGCAGTGGTGCGAAGGGGAGAGCGCTGGCCGACAATGTTTCTGGAGCAAGTGCGGAGAAAAGTACGGCTCAGTGGGGAAGACATCACTGCCCGAGAACACCTCGATTTTGTTGAGTCGAAGATACGCGAGGGAAGAGGGAGAGGAACAAGGAAGTGGACGCAAGAAGATGATACAGATGGATCAAGTTTTGACTGATGCCGATGATCTGATAGCTCGAGAGCTTCCGTAGCTACACGTACCTTGGCTACGTCGCCAGTCGTTGACCCCGCCTTCAAATGTTAGAGAGCTTCCGTTACCGAGGGCCGAAGGTGGAGGCCAAAGGGAGCAAGGGAGCACCATGATAACAGACCGACATGATCCTTCAGTCCCGATCGCATTCGGCAGCAAAGAGATATCGGACTGTGATCCTCCTCAGGTTCGATCTTCGACTCATCCGAGTGGAGTATGAGTTTGCAGGCGATTCTTCTTTTTCGGCAAAGGTTAAACTGCTGAGCTGATAACCCTGACTCGAATTTTGGGCAACATCAGCAACGAGATGCTTGCATATACATCGAGCTGGAACGCTCCAAACATACCAGGCCATGTTGCTTGTGTGACTCTGTAATTGCTTGTTGAAGAAAATATGGCTGAACCATGACACACGGCGAGAAGTGTGCGGATGTGTAAATCAGAAGCCACCACCAACAATGAAGCCATACCAACCATTGTTACGGGCTTGATTCTTGAACACCACCCACATGTATCACGGTACCAATAAAGCATATGCATTGCTGAGAAAACAACACAGCCTACATAGCAAATGTGGACTCGAGAGCGGCAACATGTGTGAACGAATACCACCGGCAAGACTCTCAGTAGAGATAAGACATTAGAATATTGGGGCACCAAGATTGATCACGGGTGCGCTGTCCTTGATAACAATATATTGCGAAAAGTGTACGAGTGGGTGGATTCCAACTAAAATTAGGCCGACCGAGTTGTTGAGATTCCAAGAAGCATGCGGCAAAGGTGCTCGCATCCCACGATGACCAACTAATGTGCAGCAGTGCGGTTGGCCGCATGAAACTTCACGAGGTGGTAAGAGCAGATCACGGTCTCGCCGAACGCGGTGAACAGCACACTTGACAGCTGAACAGAAACCACAAAAGCTACTCGGCTGAGGCGCCGCTCGACGTGCGTGAGCAGATTGCAATTCGAGATTGCCTGGCAGCTGAAGAGTCTACGAGCGCAGTGCCGAAATGACGTGCAAGCCTCCGACGTCTGGTTCCTGACTCTGCCTTGTCACCATGTTCCTTGGGCGCTTTTCAAATCTTGGAGGCGCTCGCAAAGTGCAACAAGCTCCAAGTCTCGATGCAGGTCCGAGTCGACCGAGAGACCAATGGGCGGCGCGAGCGGGAACTGCTGAGAGCTTGGACACCTACATGGTTTGACGGCCAGTTCCTGGCGCGCATCATTTTAGCGCCTCTTTCCAAAACAAGACTCGCATCCTCACCCGAAAAAAACATCGCGCTATTGGTTTTCCAAACTCGATTGGACTGCTCAACTCATCTGCACACGGTCCACGAGTATTGCAGATGCGCTCCGTGTGTGGAGTCGATGTGTGGTAAATCATGTCAACCACGCGAAATGTGTCGACGGCTCACTCTTCGCCACGCCCCGACCTTGCACGGATATGGCGCGAGTAGGTAGGTTTGCTGTAAGACCTTGGAGGGCTCGGCTACTGGTTCACTTTACGCCGTTGCACCTGGCCCGGAATCTCAACGTTATGGTGTTTCTTCTTCAGCTTCCACGTAGCGTAAACGTTCCGTGGAAGGACTAGACTGTATGCGCTTCTATATCCGTTGGTGCTTGGCTTAGTTGATCCCAAGTCGTGCTTTACTCAAAACCCCCAAGGTCGGCCTTTAGTAGAATCACTCTCGTTCCTACTAGTTTTCTTGCCTTCTGCACTCTTCAATCCTCCTTCCACTCATTCATACTTGGTGGTAGTAGCGACAGGCACAAGTCAATCACATACCCATATACCACAACCAGTCCTTCGCCATGGACGACCGCAACAATGGCACTGCCGCCTCCTCGGCTGCCGCAACCCCCTACCTCAGACCTGGCACTCCCGAGAGCGAGGCTATCACCCCCGCCGCTAGAGCAAACCCTTTCGCAACTCCCTATGGCTCAATGCCCGTCTCAGCAGCTGGTTCCTCCACAGCTCTGCAACAACCCCAGCAGAGATATTTCCACTCCAGACGTGTGAAGAAGGGCGAAGTTGAGAAGCCTTGGCTCGAGAAGAAGGACCCCAAGGAGAAGTGGGTGACCATCATTCCCTGCATCGGTATCGCGATCGGTATCGCTCTTACTGGTTTCCTCATCTACGACGGTCTGGCCAGTGTCACCAACCACACTTACTGCTCAGTCTTTGAGGATGACTTCTCAAAGGGCTTCAACACCAAGTTCTGGAACAAGGAAGTAGAGGTTGGCGGTTTCGGCAACGGCCAATTCGAGATGACCACCAACACCGATGAGAACTCGTACATTAAAGACGGCGTCCTCGTCCTCAAGCCCACTCTTCAAGATGCAAAGCTCATTGAACAGAACAACGTCATCGACTTGCTCGCTGATGGTTCCTGCTCTTCCAATATCTGGTCCAACTGTATCACCGGCACCAACGTCACCAACGGTACCATTGTCAACCCTGTCAAGTCTGCTCGCATTAGCACCAGAAATGGTGTATCCATCAAGTTCGGTCGCGTTGAGGTTGAGGCCAAGCTTCCCGAGGGTGACTGGCTGTGGCCTGCTATTTGGATGCTTCCCAAGGACGATGTCTACGGTGCATGGCCTCGTTCGGGTGAAATCGATATCATGGAGTCTCGCGGAAACAACCACACCTACGCTCAGGGCGGTAATAATGTCATGAGCAGCACTCTGCATTGGGGTCCCAACTCTGCCAACGACGGTTGGTGGCTCAACAACAACAAGCACGCCGCTCTCCACACCACCTACTCTGCTGGCTACCACACTTTCGGTCTCGAATGGTCCGAGAAGTACGTCTTCACCTACGTCGACTCTCGTCTTCTCCAGGTCATGTACGTCAACTTCGACAAGCCTTTCTGGCAGAAGGGTAGATTCCCCGTCAGTGACAGCAACGGCACCGCTCTTATGAACCCCTGGGCTGCCACCGGCAAGGACAACACTCCTTTCGACCAAGACTTCTACCTCATCATCAACCTTGCCGTTGGTGGTACCAACGGTTGGTTCGAGGACGGTGCCTCTGGCAAGCCTTGGACCGATGGCAGCACCCTGGCCAGAAAGGAGTTCTGGGATGCTCGTGACCAGTGGTACCCCACATGGGAGAAGAACGGACAGATGTCCGTCAAGAGCGTCAAGATGTGGCAGCAGAAGGGTTACAACGGTTGCTAGTAGATTTTCTTACTCTTCATTTTGATAGCGCTTTTGTTTTCATCTTCGGAATGCGATACCTCGGAGTTATGGTCGACATGGGTTCACCACAAAAGGGTGATGATATGAATTTTCAGAATATAGACAAGAATCATCATTGTAATTTTCACGATCATACACATCTTCCACACTTGCCTTGTGCTGTTTCTATTCAATGAAATACCAGCCATCTATGCCAACACCTGGGCTTGATTGGAATCCTAAGTGCCTGCCTCGAGGAGGATGCTGGTCGAGATCGTCTGGACACGACGATCTAACGGTTTCTCCCAGCCCTGTTCCAGCCCTCTACTGACCAGAGCCGGCGCTTGACGGTGGCAACAAACGTCAAAGGCAGCAGACAGTACAACGGCCACCCTGTCTCGGAGACGACGACCATGTGCGTCTCGATACTGCCGGTGATAGCAACGTCCTCGTCGAAACGTCAGCTGTTACACAAAACGTGAATAGACGCGACGGGGCTGGGACACCGTTCTCGTTTCGAAGGAGGGGGAAGAAGGATCTCAGTCAAACGGGGCCGTCGAATCCTCCGGCATGTGAGGAACTTGCAACGTAGAGCAGGGTTGCAGGTGAGACCCGTGACGTTGAGATGATGGCCATCTAGCTAGTCTCACAGCGATGTCTCAACTTATTACAGTTCAGCTGCATTTTCCATCTCTCGAAACTCGAGCAGTTCGCTCTCGCGCGTCTACAAACCACCACCGCCACACGCGTGGTAAGTAAGTTTTCAATGATGCTTTTTTGTGTCAACTAGAGGATAAAAAAGCTTCTTTGGTCAAGCCATGGCGTTCCCGTACGTAGTCAGGGTTTTCTGATGGGCAGCTGAAGAGCTGAAAGACCCAACCCCTGGAACTGACAAGAGCCCGCAAACGACCAGCTGCCAACGCTAGGGCTGGCTGGTATGGTTTCCCAATGATAAAGGCTGTGCTGGCGGCCAGACATCAGCCTCGCAAGAAACGGCGAGATAGTCGTTTAGATGGCATGATCTACACGTTCAGCTTGCGGCCGAGAATCTGGAGACGTGATGTGTTGTGTGGTTTGGGGGATCTGCCAGCGAACACATGCACTATGGAAGCATGGGCCAGAGATGATCCTCCGCTCTCTGGAAATGCATCTTGTATCGAAAGTGTATGCAAGGAGGGACGGGGAGTAGTACCTCAACCACGCTATTATTGCCCATGCACGATTCCATTGAGTGAAGTATTTTCACGTATTGACTGCAGGAAACCAGGATGTTCTGCAGGATGGGTGCGCTTGGCATATCTGAATAGTAGTTGAAAAATGTTAACCGAGTGGATCCGCCGCGGGTGAGCCGCCTAGCAAGAACTCACAGCACGGCAAGTGATTGCCATCTGTAAACTTTTTCATTATCTCTGATCGAAGCCTAACAACAGGAAGCAAGCGACCGACCGAGGACGGCTCGAGATCTCTGATATTGCAGGGCAGCGCCGATTGCAAATCGATAGATGAAAGCTGAAGATCCAAGACGCAATTTCCTCTAACAAGATGCGCGCTGAAGCCTCGGTCAGGTCGGCCGTCACAGAGTGGCTCAGTGAATATTGTGCGGATGTGTGGCCGAGCGGCAGAGAAGACTATCACAGCAGCTAACTTGGAGCGTGCAGATAACAAGGTATAAGTTAGAGTTGTATGCACGTTGAGGGAGTCGGTCGGATGGTTGCAGCAGCGACAGCAGCAGCGGACAGGTGAGTGAGGTTGTCAGGTTGAGGTCACAGCCGAACCTTGCTTGGAACTTGGCGACTGAATTTAGCAACGGCCTGATGCACCAGCGCTCGAGCTCCCGCTAGACTCCCGCGTGCCATCCGCAAGTCTTTTGGCAAAGTTCCTTAGTCTGATGACGGTTGAGATTTTCAATACTCGCCAAAAGCCAAATACTTGAGAGACATTTTTGCGCTTCCAGAAGAATTGCCACGCATCTTCGGTGCCAAGCGCAGAACAGAATGTCTCACATCTCCAGCTGAAGAGCTGAAGAGCTGAGAGATTCTGGACGCATGAATACGACTGCTAGAGAATGAGCTCGAGACACCCGGACAAGCGAATGTCTGCAGAGTGCCTTGATTGCCGAGTACGTACTGTTACGTATCAAGGCAAATTGCCGTACCTTGCAGCGTGACAGAACCTTGCCGAGAACCACTCCGGTTTTCTAAAGAAAGGACTTTGTATGCGACATGTGTACATACAATGCATCAGCCCGATAACCGTAAGCAAGACTCGATCTCGTCCGCGGATAGCAGGAGGAACACAGATGGATGACGATCGCATAAGCAATACTTTGGTGCTTGGTTTCAGCATGACCTTATACACATGTATCATGGCCTAACATGGCTCGAGTATTGGCGCGCCTGCCTGATTAGGGTATCGAGTCGAATTATTGCTCGCTACGCTTAGACCTAGCCACGGCAACTCCAGAAAGAGGTCGATCATCGAACGCATTGTCTCAGTTGCCGCTTCTTGACTCGGCGCCGTTCGTCAAGCGCCATGCAAACTCATATCCGTGTCCAGCCCAGTGCCTTACCTTGGAACTAACCGAAGCCTCAACGTGCCCGTTGAGAGCGCGATTCCAGACCCGCATCTCAGGTCAAACCTGTCTCCCACGGTCCTACGGCGTGTCCGCCAATGTTCTGTGCTAGAATAGCATTTGGACCGATACAGTAGTGCACTGCCGTTTCCGTCAGCATTCAACGTCTTTCTGCTTTATCATGTATCCAGTCTCCCGGTCGAGGTCAGTCTGTCTGGAGCTTTCATATACACCAGCCTTTCCTCTTACCTCTCTCTCTCTTTCTCTCTCCCATCCCTTCATTTATTCGCAACCGTCCTATATACACACTAGCAAGACTATCTTGCACTAGGACCATTGATCCCTCCACCCCGGATCTACATACAAGTATCTACTGCCCGACACTCGTTACTACAAGGTCTACTAGAGGCCACAACCCATAATGGGTCTCAAGAACTACTTCAAGGCTGGCAAGGGCGATGCAGAGAAGAAGAATGCCAAACCAGCCAACGAAATGAGCGAGATTAACGAGAAGGCACTCGCTCCTCCCACACCAGCCTTCGCCAGCCAAACACCCTCAGGCCTCTCCACACCCAGAAATGGACTCCTCTCATCCGGTGCCTCGATTGCACCCTCAGCGAGATCAGGCTTCATGGACGACATCAAGCACGAGGTCATGGTCAACTACCTCTTCCAACAACAATGTGCCAGACTATGGGTTGGCGATGGTAGCGGTGAGGTCGAGGGTGTTCTTCTCAGGAAGTTCAAGGGTAGCTATTTGGCCTGCCCTCCTTCTCTCAGCACATCTACCTTCGCCATGGCATGTGCCGCACTCAATGTGCAGGTAAGCAGTCAATGACTCTCGTAATATCAGAACCAGACTAACTGATTCAGTGTGCCATGACTGTCAACTCTCGCATCATCAAGACCTTCCTGGCTTGGTCGCCCGACGCCATGGACGTGCCGCTCATGAACGGTCTGAGAGTCCAGATCCTTCCTACCATGGAGGACCTTCCCCGTGCACGCAAGCATCAGTTCGCCGCCTTCATTGCCTCAGAGGCACTCCTTGTCGTCTGGGATGATGATGCCAACAACCTTGTCAACCGCGCCAAGTTGATCGAAGGCGAGCTCATGGAGCTCGTCTGGAAGACTGGCGAGCCTGAGGAGATCACCGACGAGCCTGTGACTAAGAAGGGCCCTGCGGTCGTTACCGAAGAGTTCGATGAGGAGAGTGGTGAAGCACTTCCTGAGAACCGTCCCACACATCTCATGAACACCGTCCTCGTCTCGATCACCCTCATCATCATTATCACACTTCTTGGTGCCGGTTACCGACAATTGGCCATCGAAGTCAAGGTTGATGGCGGCTACACCCGCCTCGCCTTCGTCGCCCTCTCTCCTGTCCAGATCTTCTTCACTCTCTTCTTCGCCCAAGTCATTGTCGGTTGTATCGCACAGATGATTGGTCCTGTCCGCCAGATGACCCAGAACTCTCGCTTCTACTCTGCTCTTCTTCCCCGCCGTATCCAAGGTCGCGACCTCCCTCATGTCACCATCCAGTGCCCTGTCTACAAGGAGGGTCTTGCTTCCGTCATCGCCCCTACCGTCAAGTCCATCAAGCAGGCCATCTCGACCTACGAGCTTCAGGGTGGTTCCGCCAACATCTTCATCAACGACGACGGTCTTCAGCTTCTCGACGAGGAGGAGCGTGAGGCCAGAATCGAGTTCTACGCCGACAACAGCATTGGTTGGACTGCCCGTCCCAAGCACGGTCTCGACGGATTCCTCCGTCGCGGAAAGTTCAAGAAGGCTTCCAACATGAACTTCGGTCTTATGGTTTCCTGCAATGTCGAGGAGAAGCTCCTCGCCATCGATCGCGGCGACGACTGGACTCAGGCTGACGAGGCTCAAGCTTACGAGCGCTGCCTTAGCGAAGTTCTCGAGGAGCATGGTCGTGCTTGGGCTGATGGTAACATCCGTATCGGCGACTACATTCTGCTCATCGACTCTGACACTCGTGTTCCTGCCGACTGTCTTCTCGACGCTGCCTCCGAGATGGAGCAGGGCCCTGAAGTCGGTATCATGCAATTCAGCTCCGGTGTCATGCAAGTCGTTCACACCTACTTCGAGAACGGTATCACCTTCTTCACCAACCTCATCTACACTGCCATTCGTTACACTGTCTCCAACGGTGACGTTGCTCCTTTCGTCGGTCACAACGCCATCCTCCGCTGGGCTGCTATCCAACAGGTTTCTTACTTCGACGAGGACGGTTACGAGAAGTTCTGGTCCGAGTCTCACGTCTCTGAGGACTTCGATATGTCTCTCCGTCTCCAATGTAACGGCTACATCATCCGAATGGGTGCTTGGGCTGGCGAAGGATTCAAAGAGGGTGTCTCTCTTACTGTCTACGACGAGTTGGCCCGTTGGGAGAAATATGCCTACGGTTGCAACGAGCTTCTGTTCAACCCTATTCGCATGTGGTTCTACAAGGGTCCCTTCACTCCTCTCTTCCGCCAGTTCCTCTTCTCCAACATTCGTATGACCTCCAAGATCACCATTGTCTCTTACATCGGTACCTACTACGCTATCGGTGCCGCCTGGATTCTCACCACTGTCAACTACTTCGTCATGGGTTGGTTCAACGGTTATCTCGACAAGTACTACCTCGATTCATGGAAGGTCTGGTTCTCGTTGGTCATTGTCTTCAACGGTCTCGGTAACATTTCGCTCGCCATCATGCGCTACCGTATCGGCGACAAGTCCTTCTTCGGCGCTCTCTTCGAGAATTTCAAGTGGATTCTCATGCTCGCCATCTTCCTCGGTGGTCTCTCCCTTCACGTCTCCCAGGCTCTTCTTGCTCACATGTTCGAGATCGACATGACCTGGGGCGCTACCGGAAAGGAAGCCGAGTTCTCCAACTTCTTCATCGAAGTGCCCAAGGTTCTCAAGAGCTTCAAGTACTCGCTGTCCTTCTGTATCGTTTCTATTGTCGGCATGGTCATCCTTGCCACCGCCGACTTCATCCCTTACGACTGGCAAATCACCGATTTCGTCGCCATCTTGCCCATGGCAACAGTCGTGGCATCGCATTTCCTATTGCCCATCGCTCTCAACCCCGCTCTCATGACCTTCTCATGGTAAAGGGTTTCCACTTCTCATCCTTTCTTTTGTTCATATAACGCTGTTTCTTGAGATATCACGAAGACCTTAGTCGGGTATTGTAAAGGGGGGGATTCTTACAAATCTAGCGGGCGTTGTCTACTTTTACTACTACATATTCTTTGTTCTCTGAGGACCACATTTCTGGCCTCCTTTTATAGATTATCTTTATTACATCTTGATACCAAAATTTTGATTCAAATATCGCTTTTACTTGCATCCACTCTCTCTGTCTCTTCTCTCACGTGACTTCTTCAACCAGTGTAAAATACGACCCTGCCCTTGGGCTTTAGACACGCTTCCTCCGCAACTTGACTGATCCATAGCATGCTCATTTACTCACCCTTGCTACACCCTTTCTCTTCTTTCAGATCAACCATTCCAATAATATCCACCCTCAGCTACGGAAATGTCAAAAGAAAGCTATCGTTTCATCCAACTCCAGGGTCCTCTTCCAGCTTTTTTCCTTGGTGCTTTTTGATATGTACAACAACAAAAAAAAAAGCCACCGAGTATTTGCTGACTCGCTCTCTGGTTCCCCCTTTTTCTCCTTCAAACTAGTTTTCGCCAACAGGAAAGCATCGAACCACCAACGCTTTCTTTATCTTCCCCCAAAATTGTCTCGGTCTCTTACAAGTAGACGCCACAAGAGGCAGGGAGAGAGGAGGAGGAAAAGTTGGTGGTTGGACATGGCGACGAAACACAAAACGTCCCTCTTTTGGTTGTCGCAGCACGTGCCACAGACAAGGAGGCGCGTCTCTGTGGAAATTATCCATTAAAAGGCTTGCAGACTGGGAAACCATGAACGATGAACCACTCCAATTTTCCTTAGCACAAGTGCTCGAAACATCACTATTCTGCTGCTTCATGTTGTACCTCAAATACTCTGTAAAACACTAATTTATATATACTTTATACATGACTAAGGTATCGGAGAATAAATGCATGCAGGGTCAGCTCCGGTTTAGCTGAGGCTTTGGTGTACTTCAGCAATTCATGCAAGGGCGACCTCGTGTCCGCTTCGTCGCGCCGAAGGGCAAATGTAAGCGATGGAACAGGTCGACAAGTCTATTCTCCACGCCGCAGCTGAAGAAGGAACGAAAGACGAAAAAGGAGAAATGGTCCACAATTCTTTACACCTTGTCGTCTACACCGAGACGTCGTCTGCCCCGTGTGCTGAGTGATCTTTTTCTAGACTTGGAACGAGGCTTGCTGTTGCTGCGTCTGTGGTGGCTTTGGCGAGCTGCGTGTTGGCGAGGTAAACTTGGGTCCCTGATGGCGATGACCCGAGGCACGTCTGCTGATGAAGGCAGCTCTTCCGCCAACATGGTGTAGCTACTCTTCGGCAATTTGAACTTGTTCCTGTTGGCTGGATACCATACTCTCTGGAAGCGTTGGACTGCCCATGGAAAGAAGACTGTGAACACCAGACTGACAACTAGAAGTGGGATCGAGATATACAGGCACAGAATGGCTGGTGCAGTTAGAGTGCTGATACCGAAGATGCTCTACTCTCGTCAGAATCGTGCTTCGTACAGTGCAAATACAATGTAAGCGTTGACAAGACGTACAGTGAGGTATGTGATTGGAAGATACAAAGCCGCAAGCAAAGACAAGAAGCGAGAATAGTCGGACTGGTTGGCATTCTCGATGTTGAACTCCTGCGGACAATTCGTGTAAGCACTTGTCTTTGTGTCAACGGAAGCGTTGACTAACCAATTCAATCAAATTGAGGAAGCGCTCCTTCAGTGTGTCCATGTAGTAAGAGTACTGGTCCAGGTCCTCGACTGCGTCATCCATCTCGTCCCACACTGGATCATTGTCATCGTCCGGACCCTTGCGCATGGTATCCCTGAGCTTGAGTAGCTTTTTGAAAGATCTCGAGTGGAATCTCATGTACTCGCTGAGTTCGTAAATCCGGTCGATCTGCTTGTGTCAGAACATAAAATTGGCTCAAATTCAACGGAGTATGCTAACCTGCTTGTGCATTATGCGTGTCCGCAACTTCACTGGAAGCTTCCTGCCACGACTGTTGAGCTCCTTTCGATTGATTATCAGTACTTCATGCTCACCAATACAGTCAGCATACGTACAGCTTCCTCCAACTCCCTCTCAATCTCTCGGATGATGTTCTGCCAGTCTGTCAAAAGCCAGTACAGCCTCAGGAATGTCCAGCAAACACTCTCTTCATCTCTACGCGGTCGATCGTACTCTTCGTCTTCATAGAAGTATGGAAAGAAAAGATCGCGCATGACGTTTTCGGCAGGGAGCTTGTCTTGGGTAAATATCAAGACGACTGGGACTCTCTCGTCGAAACGACAGGCACGACGCCCACAACACCAAGCAGCGATGCGAAAGCGGTACTCATCAACTAAGATCTGGTCAGCTTTTCGGGCTTATTTTGAGATCTTGGTCAGAACACTGACTCTCATCGACAGCTTGTGGTCGGTCTTGGGGAGGATCTTTGCCGAATGTCCACCAGTACACATCAGGAATATTCATCTGGTCGACCAGAAATGACCAAGGGATTTGAGTAGATCGCTTGTTGCTTCGCTCCGGAAACTTGACCGTGTCATCATACTGTAGCGCTCGATTGAGGTCGGTAAGTTCGTCGTAGCGATCATCAATGCAGGTCGAGATGACTTGTTCAAGCCAGGGTTGGTACCCATTGAACGTGCTAAGGAAAACACAATTAGTATCCAGGCCGGTGAGTCTTGAGAGAAACATACATCAGCAACGGATCCTGCGGATTCATTCTCAAGGTCTCATGAACGAGGTCGGCGAATCTATCACCATCTGCGCTGGTTACTTGAATTGAAGTGTGATAACCCGGCGAGCGTCTGTTGCCGACATGAACATTGATCGGTACACCCTCCTGATACCATGACTTATGTCTTGGAGAACGACGTTTGCGATGATGACGATTGGCGCGAGGTGAATCTCCCATATTAGTCGGGTACGAGTAGGCTGGTGGAGTGTATTTGGCTTGTTGAGCCAGATTTACATCTGAGCGTCTAGGATATGGATTCATCGTGCCTGCCTGCTTTGGTTCCGCCTGGGAAAAATTGGCGTGTCTATGACGGGTCCAAACATGGCCACGGTTCTTTCCTCAACTCTTTGTAAGATGTTTAGAGGGTGCGAAGTCAGTCAAATCACGATGCCCAGGCTGAACTATAGGTTGCCTGGTCAGATCGCGTGATGGATCCATCGACCCCACGTGAAAAGCTGCATACGAAGGATGACCTTTTACAACATCATCAGCCATTTGTTTGGCGGCCCTTGCATAAGCAAACTATGCTGCATGCCTAATGTGGTATTTGACACAGCGAACCCAGAAAGGATTGCGGCCTTGCTACAGAGACGCGCTAAGCAGAAACAGAAACAAAGATCGTCCAAAGAATTGAAGCCAAACAAATCGATTAACAATATGCAACTTGAGAACAGGGTCTTGGGTATAGCGCTGAAGGGTAAGAAAGAAAGGAAAAGCCATGGAAAGAACAAGAGGACATGAATGCGTTCTGGAGGGTGTGCTTGTTAGTCGTAATAAACAGGGACAACTTCGTTCTACGGGCTGTTAGCCCGATCGTCCGTTGTGCCGCCCACATCAGTTGAGTCGCCTTCAATGGTCCGGAGCCAGTGTTGCGGTAGGCATACACAAACGAGTGGGAAGGCTTTCACTGGTCCGTATTCTTCAGGAATTGCATCGCCGCTGCTCATACCGCTATCGCGTTGCAGCTTGCCTTTACTCTTCCAGTCTTCTGCGCGCATGCTGACCCGGATTCCAGTTGCCCAGCCGTCATCCCATATGCCAACGACTTTGACCATGTCACCTCGTTCCAGTTCAAACTCATCAGCAGCACGAGGTTGATAGGCCCACAGAGACGATACCAGATCACCAGGATGTATATCGTCTTGTGAATAGTAGTCCTTGAAGAAATTCAGTTGCTCTGACTCGGACGTGCCTTCTGGAGAGGATATCCCGTCGCCAGCAGGACTGTCATGAGCACCAAACGCGAGAAGCGAACCACTAGAAAGAGAGCCGTTTCGTCTAGGAGGGAGGCCAAGACCACCAGTACGTGAATGTGGTGTACGCTGGGCTTCTGGAGTAGAGTCGAGTGCAATCGTTGGAGAGCGCGTGTTGAGTTCTGAGCCACTCGATATGGCTTCCAATGCTGCCATACGGGCAACACGACCACCAGGAAGAGCCTCGACCCCATCGTTCTGACTCCTGCTAGCGCCATCATGTCGATATGACATAGCTGGAGGTGCTCCACCTTGACGAGATCTCACTGGCTGGTTAAAGACACTAGTAGCTGGACTGGCATGTTTTCGACGGCGCAAGAAAATGCATGCCAATATGAAGAGCGCAAGAAGAACGAACGCGCCAAGGAGAGACCCAATCACAATACCCGCAATTGCACCACCTGAGAGTCCTTTCCTCTTCTTTGCAACCGAGGAGGGTGTCGAAGATGGGAATCTTGTAGCAGTCGAGGAGGTAACGGATGAGGTCGAAGTGAAAAGAGGTTGCATAGATGAAGTTGCAACGATGGGCAGAACGACGTTGTCGCAGCGGGTCGTGGTATTTGAGTAAACACAGCAAGAGTCAGTAGCGTTGGGCGAGCTCGCAGCGCAGTAAGAGCAGAGATTGACCAGATTAGAAGCAAAGCCGCAATTCTCGGGTTCATTGGTGACGCCTGTAATGCATGATTCGGACAAGGAGTTTGCAGGCAATGCACAGTTTGTAAAGTCGGCTCGGATCTGGCTGATAGCATTAGAGCTTGCGTCGCCACATGTGTCACTCGCGGCGATGGATTGCTCGCTCTCTGCGTACTCGGCCTAAAAAGAAGTCAGTGCATGGACATGGACATCTGGATATGAGAAATGAGGTCTTACACAAGTATTGGCGCACAGTGGTCGTGTCGCGTCTCCAGTCAAACCGCATGCGTTGATCGAGTTTTGGACAATTGCATTGCAGAGCACGCTCGCAGTATATCGTGCATAGTAGTTGGAGGAGTTGGACGAGTCGAAAGCAGAACAGCCGATCAGCTCAGCGTATCTTTGTTGAATGAAGCCGTTGTTTATGTATTGTTGTAATTGTGTGTCGAAAGAAGAAGTGTCTGTTACACCAGCAAGAAATGGGAATAGTCCGGTGAGGGTACTGTCGGTTGAGATAGAGGCCGTGTCGAAAGCACGGCACTCGGACGAGGATGTCAAAGGAATGCAAGTCTGGGCCAGGGCAGTTGGAAGCGTCGCGACCGTTACGGCGAGAGCGTAGAGCGCTATGTAACGTCCCGTCACTCTCTTCCTCCCAGTTCGCGTGTGTCCTCTTGCCAACTCTTTTCCCGGGCCCTGTGCAAGCGGCACGCGCTCAGTGCTGAAGAAGCTCCTGTGTGCGCGCCGGATGGTGGCATTGTCGGGCATTGTCTAGACGCTTGACTATTGCATGAAGAAGATGTATTCGAAGATGCCGTTGGAGGAATTGGGTCGTCTTAACGAGGAGAATCGAAGTCCGGACCGAGGATAGTATTATCGTTGTAGAGTAATCGGAAAGGTCGTGGTGATTAAGGTTAGGTCGAAGAAGAAAATCGATCAGGGGGCTGGCAATGAGCGACAGAGTAGACGGAAGATCAAGATCAAGATCAAGAAACAGAAAACAGGATGATTAACGAGAGACTGGTCGACGAGGCAAGTGCGCCTCTACTGCATCGAAACAGCAGTCGCACCCAACTTCACAGGGCGAGAGCTGACTGAAGACAGCGGGCCCGGCTCTGGCCCAAGTCGAAGATGCGCGCTCGACTCCCGGCGCGGCGTGCCACTTCCCGCCTGCAAACCTGATCTGCTCTTTGCCAATTTCGGCTGTAGTCTGCCACTTTTCGACGCACCACACGACCGTCATGGTGTGCACCATGACTTTTGACTGTCGGTGTTGTCGACAAAGCCGTCGCGGTTGTGAGTGATCCGATCATACATTCTTGGTACCTTTGCGGCAACTAGACTTCTCCCGTCAGGCATCCGCTCACTACCTCAGGCATCAACTGTGTACTGTTTGTTGCACCCCAATCGCACGACTCTGCTGTGATTCAAGCTGTGACTATCGAGGCTGAGGTGTGGTTCAGAGTGTCATCCTTCACCGCTGGACTTGACTTACGTCGTGCTTCTGACCGTGTCTGTAAATTTGCATCAGATGCAAGTCCACGCCATGCAGATCACCTGACCATAAACTTCTTCATCGAAGGTAGATGCCGATTGGTCTAGTCGAATGTCCTTTAGCCTCATGTGTTGCACTAAAGACCTATAGTGGCTGAAGGACAAGGTGAACACGTCTGTGATGGCTCAGGACGTGCTACCAAGAGTGCGAGAAGTCTCCGTTTCCGCGTCGCAACACGTCACACATGGCCACGTTTACTCCAATTCGGATGTACAGCATATGAAGAAGCTCTCATTGATCAACAAACATACAAATACGGATAATTGACTGCTTCTAAACTAAACTCATGCTGTTCGTCTGTCTGTCTGTCTCAGGTGTTTGTGCATGCAGTAACATTGTGCTGACGGATGTTGTGGGACTTGATTTCGGTGGTCGTTAATCATGGGTGAGAAGGCTTGGGAGCGGTGGTGGTATCAGGCTGCAGACCAGCTGGGCGCTGTTGGAGACCAGTGGTGGAAGCCTGAGGGCCAGCAGCGATCTCGGCAGCGATCTGGTCTTCGGTCTTCTTGTTGCCGTGCGAGATGAGACGGTTGAGGAAGGAGCCGGGTCTGCCTTGAGGGTACTTGGAGTCCTCAGCCTCAGCCTCTTCGAGCTGCTTGTGAAGGTGACCAGTAGTCTCCTCGTCGAGCTCTTCGTGCTCGTCGAAGTTGGCTGTCACAAGCGGGGTCAGCGGGGTCGACACAGGGACGACTGTCAGGACGGTGCAACTCACTCTCCTTGTCGTGCATGCTGAGAGCTCTCTTGATCTTCTGTCTGACGGCCTGCATGTTTGCGATTGGTGCTACGGTAGATCTCTTGGGTTGCTTTTGGGTGACCTGAGAAGGGCAGGCTGTCAGTCGCCGGCACAGACGGCTCGGAACGGAAGGCTTGTGTACCTGTGGTATAGGTGTAGGTATGGGCGTCTGTCAATGCAGGTGGACTAGAGTGTGAGATGTAGGATGGAGGAAAGAGAGAAGCGAGGTTGATTGAACGTCAAAGGCAGAACAAAGATAGACGTGAACCAGGGCAGGCAAGTGCCCTCGTCCAATGCCCAGAGCCCGCATCACCCGTCGTCATCTGTGGGGTACCGATGGCGCTGTGATCCAAAGTTGGAACGCTTCTATATTCCCGCAGAAGGCTGATGCGGTCTGGGCCCATTTTGCTCATGCGCAACTTTGCTCGACTTCCACTTCCAAATGATATGAAGCTAGCACATTGATTGGTCGTAAGCAATTCGGGACGCTCGTCAAGGATGTCCACCCTCGTGAACGACTTCCCCAGATCGCGCGTCCAAACCGAGGTCCTCTGATCCCACCACGCGGTCTGTGCGAGAGACAGCTCCATCCTGTTTCCTGGGCGCGCGTCGCATGTTGATTTTCCTTCTAGAAAAAGTAAGTAATATCCAATTGTATCCGAGCACCCAACATGCTTGCGTCGCTCAGTCGGCGATCAATCTGAAACCGGAGCTCATGTGTCGTCTTGAACTGTTAGGTCTGCTGATTCTTTCGCTTCACACGCGCAAGGCAAAATCTAGTCGGGACGTCGCAGACAACGCCCATCTGGCTTCTCGAGCTGTGCAGTTGCAATGCTCCACGAGGTGCTCATCGCCCTCAGCGGCCATCCCTCGCCGCTGTTCCCTGCGACTGGCACGTCCGGCCGATCCGGAGCCGACTTTGTAGACAAAGCCTTCCCACTGTTGTCATCATCAGAAGCGGCTTTATTGGCGACGGTTGGCAAGCTCGCCAGTCTGCATCGTCAAATTCGAGACCATGCAAATCGCATTGTTTCGCAACATTCTTCGACCATCTGCCGTGCTGTAGCTGCCTCGTTGTTGCAAACCCATCTTGCACGTTTTCGTGAGAAGATCCTGGATGTTGAGAAGCAGATCTTGACCAAAGATGCGGCCATAGTCGGTGCATACAACATTGTGCCTCTCTCTGCAGTCGTTGGCGAATTTGATGGGTGGAGTCGCCGTATGGACTGGTACTGGAGACTTGCATGCTTCATCCAGCCTTTAGATCCGAAAGATGCAGCCATATCCGATGCGGCCACCGGGGCTGGACTCATTGATCATCTTCGGTCAGAGCTACAAACAGGTTTTCCCGACATTGAAACTGCAGCAACCGAGTTGAGTTGCGTCGCTGACAAGGCCTGGTTGAAACAGGTGTCTGTGTGGCTCTTGTATGGCTTGCTACCCAGTCATGGTGCAGCAGACTTCTTTGTTACAGTACAAAAGTCTACCGAAGGGCCACCGTCATACGTCCTGCGACGTGAGCTACTGCCCAAGTTCGTTTCGCGACAGACTGGAAGCTCTCTACTCTTTGTCGGAAAGTCACTACACCAAGTCAAACAGCATACTCAAAATTCGTCAGCATCGCAGATCACACACGGTAATGAAGACGCTGCATTGCTAAACGCACATCTCCAATCGCTCTCATCGCTATCCTTTCCCCTAATGCCTGCTACGTTTTCTACCGCTATATCCTCAATACGTTCATCACTATCACAGAAAGTCCTTCAACGCCTGCTCCCACCGAATGAGATCAAGCTTGTCCTAAACACCTTTCGCCAAATTCTCCTTCTGGACCGAGGCGAATTCGCAGTCTTTCTCATATCCGAGGCAGCGGAAACACTTGACGCAAGACGAGTCGAACATGGTCGATATCTGCAAGAACCTTCGAGACGAGATCTTCGTGGCGTGATGATGAAGGAGGGCGAAGTCAACGAGTCTCTTTCGCGAACGTGGAAAGCTTTGACATCATTGCAAACCGAAGACCTTGAAGACGAAGTTCTCGAGTTCGCTCGCGAGAACATGCGACTCGAGATCGACCAAGGAAGAGCTACTGCAAGGCCATCGACATCAGATGCTACAGCTTTGGAAACAGCCAGTCTGACCAACACCTCTTTCAACGATCTTCTCTTCCCTGTGCCAACTTCGCTCACCATGCACATTCGCTCACCACTGGACCTCTTCATCTCACGTTATGACATGGACCGATATTCTGCACTCAACGCCTACCTGCTAAGTCTCAGAAGAGCACACATGCGACTTTCCAATTTATGGCGAGAATCTGGTTCAAGACGTGCAGCAGCGAACCCTGCTCGCCTGAGCCCAGAAGCAAAACAACTCGCTCATACCCGAAGTGCTGCTCAACGCAAAGTCTGGGCCACCTGCTGCGCAGCTGTTTTCCTACTCTCCGAAACAACAGCATATTTCGAAGGTGAATTGATCACCAGCTCATGGGATGCTTTCTACCCATGGGCTACCGCACAACACCACGACCCTGAGACTCTAGGACGAGCACATCGAGCATTCCTCGCTGCTTTATCTTATGTCATTCTCCTCACCGATGCAGCATACACACGCGCTCTCCGCGACCTCCTCACCCACATCGACGCCCTAGTCGCCCTTTTCGGCCGTCTCCAACGCCTGCAACAAACATCCAGTCTAGACGCTGGTGGAGCCACTGACTTCCTCGACGACGAAGAAGCAGAAGTAGCACGCGAACTCGACCGTTCTCGTAAGCGCGTAGATGCGGCGCTCAAAGACGTAGTCTCTAGATTACGTCAGCTGGACCATGAGAGATTGGGTGCTGCTAGATATTTGCAGGTTGAGGGCCAGGATTCAGGATTCGAGGTTTGGAGAGGTGGAGGTGTGGATAGACTGTTGATGAAGCTGGACTTTGGGAGAATGACTGGTGGGGACGAGTATATTGTCTAAGAATGTTCTATCCTATGGTGCAGTCATGGGCTGTTGTTGCTCGCTTGACTGATGATAATTGATTTTCTTTCAACAAGCTTGTTCTCGACTTGTCTCGTTATATTCGGTGTTGATGATCAGAGTCAAGGTGAGATTCAGAGTACAGCATTTAATGCCTCATGAGCCATCATGTCATGCGCCAGAGCGAAGCGTCGTGATCTGGGAAGGGATCAATTATGGATAACCAACATTGCGGCCACTCCACCATGCTATAATAGGGGTAAAACAGCATGAAAGCCTCTCAAGCAAACCTCACCTTTTCCCCCATCCTTGCACCCAACAGACTCTCAAGCTTTCGTCTTAATCCATCCATCCATTTCCACATGCAGACACAAACACCGACGTCTTTCTTTTACCCAATGAAACCACAATCTCTTACCTCCTCACAATCTCAGTTACCCTGATATCCCTTCCTCTACTCTTACTTCTCTCTCTACTCTTTCTTCTAACCCACGCATATTTGGGTGCTGTATCTTTGACCTTATCAATGAGAAGTGGTGCAGCGGTACCTTGACGACGGCGACGCGTGTGTTCGAATAGGACATCTGTTTCGTATTTATCGAGCTCACGTAACAGGATGATGAAGTCTGAGTTTGCCTGATTTCAGAAACCATCAGTACTTCTGACCCCCAGAATCTGTGAGAACGAAAAAAAGGGGAAAGCAGCATGGAAGTGTTGGGGAAAAGAGAAAAGGAGAAGGAGACTTACACGATCCCATTCCCAAGGAACGTGGTAATGTTCTAATGTCTCTATGTCCAGGAACTTGCGGTTGATGCGTGGGTATACGGGGACGTGTGCTTGTTGAGGGAAGCCGACGGAAACACCAGGGGCGTCTGGTAGACTGGGAGGTACCATGATGATCTCACCATCAAAGTGTCCACCTCCCATCTCACCAGAATGTCGGTGCTTTTTCTTGTTCTTCTTTCTTTCCTTTTCCGCCTTCTCGGGATCCAGAGCAACTTCAATATCGTGATTTGACCAGCCCAGTTTTTCGAGACGTGTTCGCATGGCAGAATCGATGCGGGCTTGTTCCTCTTTCGCTGCCTTCTCCTCTGCTTCTTGTTTTTCCTTTTGCTCTCGCAAAAAAGCTTGATATTCCCTCTCTTTGGCATCTTCTTTTTCTTTTTGCTTGCGCAAAGCTTCTCTATATGCTCTTTCCTCTTCCTCTTCCTTTTCCCGCTGTCTCCGCAGGAAATCATCATGGGCTTTTCGTTCTCGCTCTTGCTCTTCTCGTTGTTGAAGTTCTAGTCGCAGTTTAAATGCTGCTTCTGCATCTGCGGCTGCTTTTGCGTCGGCGGCTAGTTTGCGCTCGTGGGCTTCTATGACTCGTGTGCGTTCTTGTTCTGCGTCTAGTTCGGCTTGTTTGCGTTTTGCGGCTTCGCGTTCGGCTTCGAGTTGTAGCTTCATTTCGAGGGCGGAGGCTTCTTCTTCGCGTGCGTGTTTTGCGGCGAGGGTGGCTGCTTCTTCGCGGCGGCGGTCGAGTTCAAATTGGGCTCGGAGGGCGGCCGTTTCTTCTTCGTGGCGGCGGCGAGCTGCTAGAGCGGAGGCTTCGCGGCGTTGTTGCTCGAGGTCCCAGCGTAGGCGGTCGTGGTCCGAGTGGGAGCGGCCGCGGGAGTGCGAGCGGTGGCGGTGGAGGTGCATGTCTGCGAATTCTTCGGCGAGGAGTTGTTCGCCTAGGCGTTGGGCTCGGAGGGCGTGGGGGTCTAGCATGGGTGGTGGTGCTTGCTGCATCATGGGAACGTGTTGAGGCACAAACATAGGTGGCGCCATCATGGGGATTTGTTGAAATTGTGGTGGAGGTGGCATGGGTGCGGGCATGGGTGGTCGCCCTTCTGTTCGTTGTGCAGTCGTCGTCTCTTGATTGATGGGAATCTTGTTGTGGATATGGATGTTGGTGGGATGAGGGACATTGTGGCCTTGAGAATGCGAGCGATGAAGATTCGAAAACTGTGGTTCGGGTGTGAGATGGCCGCTATGTCGATAAGTATTTCGATAGTAGCGAGCTCTTGGTGGAGGAGACGAAGCGCCCCAGCGATCATGCTCCCAATGCTCGAATGGATACGCCATGGTTGCAGGCTTCAGCCAATGTGAAGGTTAGGTCGGGCTGACTGCAAGGGATGTGCGAAAGATGTTCGCAAGCCACCACTGAATAAGCCAGAGGAATGTGATAAGGATGTGTTGATCTTGTCTAAAGAATGGAGAGGGAGGAAAGAGGGACGGATGAGCTGCGTACTCAACAAACACCAGGCAGAAACAAACGACACACTCTATGGAAATGACACAGAGTCTCAGCCTACCGTATGTTCGGGCGAGAGAAGATGGAAAGAGAATCAGGGCTGCTGACAATCAAAAGGAGGAAGGCTGCAAGCGAAGGATCCCGCGTGACCGCCCACGATATAGTGCTGTATACAAGCAGCCTCCTATCGTAAGCTCACCAATAACCTCCGTGGCTGATGCATGTCAAGAGACATGATGCATGTCGCAGATGGTCCGCCTTACCGCCTGTCCAGCCCAGCGGCTTGGGTACTGGCCGACTTACATTTTGTCAAGTTGCTTACGAAAACGAGAGACATGCTACGGCTTGCGACTTCCTTGCCCTGTCTCGTCTGTGACCAACCGGTCAGATTGTAAAATTGTTGTTGGCAAAAGTGGGAGGATAATGTTCACCCCGCTGACTACTGCAGCTGGTAGCTGCTGCAGACGGCGACTGGCGATCTGAGCTCCTGCATGTGACGCGCGCGTGGTTCAGTTTCGCTCTTAAAACAGGCGCGTCGCTGATGCGATCTTGAGTTGTCGCTTGATAGCAGCTATTCCCAGTCTGGAGATGCTCCCAAGTGGATAAATACTGGCAGGAGGTCAATCAGAATTGAGCAAGTTGCACAAGCGAGCCACCTCGCTACGACAGCATACCAATTTTAAAGTTGGAATTGAAGGATCATCGGGCGTCAAGATGCAGCTATAGACTGCAGTAGAATGCATATATAGATTGAGACGATAGCCGCAGGATGCGATAAGACAATATAGGAGAAAGGTCTGGAATGGTGTAATTCTGGTGAGCACACAACGTGTAAGCTCTATGCCTGCATAAAAAGCAGCAACACTGTGTATAAATATGTTGTGCGATTCGGTCTTCGATTGCATCCATGGAGACACTTTGCATCGCGAAGAAGAGCGAATGCATCTTGAAACGCTTGCCATTGCCTCGGCGATTATCTCCATGGAGCGTCTCTGTCCTGACTTTTGTTCGTGATTCGTTCCTGGCAGCTTGGAGCAGGGCGGATCGAGAAGGGCATAAGTGTCTCCCTCTTCGAGCGCGGCTGCCCCGAAGTCGCACTCAAGGATCAGAGCCAGTGTTTGGCGATAGAAGTGTGATCGTGGCCTTCATCTGCCTCCATTCTTGAAGATGGCGTCCAAGTGGTCCTTGCTGTTCTTGTACGTTGTCTCGAGGTAGTGCATCTTCTTGTCCAGACCTTCCATCTCCTTCTTGATAGTCTCTTGATCTTTTGTCAAGCGCACCTTGACATCAGTCTTTGGGCTTGCGACAAACCTGGGTGTAGAATGTCAGAGAAATGGACCTTGTCGAATAGTGGGTCGTTGGAGCTCACATCTTTCCGACACCCTCGTAGACGTTTGCTTCAGACGGTAAGCCGTCAAGCTCAGCGGCTGTCAGCTGCAACATGCGCTTCTCGCGATTCTTGCTGTTGATTTGAGTCTTGACAATGACCATCTGTTGTTGGCAGAAAGCGGCCTTTTGCTCAATTTCTTGCAGGAGCTGGACGAGGCATTAGCGCTTATCGAAGCAAACTGTACATGATGGGCAGGCGAACGAACCTTCTGCATCTGATCCGGAGTCATGGACATGGTGGGCGAATTGGTGTTTGCTGTATCGCAATGCTTCTGTTATTACCAGTCGGATTCAAGAAGTTCAGCATGTGATTGCCCGGTGGAGGGTCGATGACACGCGTCTTGGCGCTCGCTGGTCGATGAGCGAGTCCGTCTCAAGAAAGTCAGTCTTGTTCCTTGTTTGTCCCTGCTCTGTCTTCCCTCTCCTTCCTTTATTCTTAAACCCTCTCCGAGTCACTCGCTTTGTTTTTCTGTCGTTCTGGGATTCCCGAATTCGCCAACCTCAAGGACACTCGCTGCAGCACGATCCGAGGCTTCCGCCGCTTCTACTATTTCTGATGGCATCTTTGCTACCCTCGATACCGTATCCGCCCTCGGGAGATGGCTACTGGAGCCCCGTGACCTCTACACTTAACTGGTGTGAGGAGGTTCGTCGTATCCATCCTTGAGCACTCGATCCTCGAGTCTAACAAGGACCCAGGACTACTATGCCACCGTCTATTCGGCCGAGATTGTCAACACTCTGACCAATCTGCTCTTTGTCTGGCTGGCCTTCCGTGGTATCAACAACTGTATACAGAACGGACATGACCACATTTTCCTCGTAACCTTCATTGGTTACTTGATCGTCGGAACTGGCAGTTTCTTGTTCCACTCAACCTTGAAGTGTGAGTGGCTGCGAGCGCTTGACTAGGTCAGACGCCTGCTAATCTAGTGCAGACCCGATGCAGCTGGTCGACGAACTCTCGATGATCTACACGACTTGCCTCATGTTCTACGCGACCTTCTCGCACAAGCAGACGCGCACCTTCCGCATCTTCCTCGCTCTCTTCTTGGTGGCATTGTGCGTCTTCATCACGGGCTACTATCACTACCTCGGAGACCCAGTCTTTCACCAGAACATGTACGCTCTTTTGACCGCTGTCGTCTTGTTCCAATCCATGTACATTATGGAGCGCGAACTTCGCCCGAGCCCCAAGGCAAGAGAAGCCGCGCGCAAGAGTACAGGCAAGCAGGATGGGCTTAGTGAGGCCGAGCAACAACGCCAGGACGACAGAGACTACAAGATCTTGAAGACCATGTGGCTCATGATTGGACTTGGACTGAGCGTCTTCCTTGGAGGCTTCGGAATATGGACCTTGGATAACGTTTACTGTTCTAGGCTACGTAAGTGGCGTCACGAGGTCGGCCTGCCTTGGGGTATTTTCCTCGAGGGACACGGATGGTGGCATCTCATGACTGGAACAGGAGCATACTTTTACATTGTATGGGGTGTGTGGCTCCGTCATTGTTTGAACGGACGTCAGGACGAGTTCAAGCTGGTCTGGCCGAGTGTCTTCAGCTCGCTGCCGTCGGTCGTCAAGATCGACAAGAGCGAGAAGAAGCAGAAATAGAGGCAGCTCAGGCTTTCGGCCGACAAAAACATGATATAGAAAAGATATAGAGGTATTCCGCGAGGACTTTTCGTGCAAGCATAGTAGCAAATTTCCAAGTACCCTAAGCAGACTTGACAAAAGTTCCAGGGTCCATGATGTGCATGTCGCTGTCTTCGGCGGTCGAGGCGTTGGCCGCATCTCAGAGGGAAGTTTTTGCCGACCTCTCAACTCATGATCGCATTTGCATTTTCCACCAGCATCCGACCTGACGCTCTATACACCTCACCGTCGTCACCCTGCACACACCATGTCGACAATGTCAGCACTCGAGCTATCGCGCCAGCTCACCCTGCGCGCCATGCGCAACCCACAAACCACCCTCCTCACCCGCTCACTCGTCCTCTCCCGCCCCGCCAGCAGCACCTCAAAACCAGCAGTACCCAGAGGCCGTCTACTGGAGAAACCCACACGCTTCAATCCTCCCTCCCATCCAGCCCGTCTACCTCGTCGTAACAGACAGCCAGCCTTCCAGGTCCCTCTGAGCGCCAAAGACCGTGAACAGCAAAAGAAGAAGCAATATCCACATATGCTGCCACCAGAGGGAACATTTCTGCATTGGTTCCTCACGAATCGGAATATTCATGTTTGGATCACCATGGTAAGGCTTTTCCTCTGCCTCTCTTCTTTGCCCCTCCACCGCTTCTCCAAATTTCTCCCCCTTTCGTCAAAGATCTTTTTCGTGCCTAATTTTGAGTGATCAATCACAGTCCATCCTCATCTCCCTAGCCTTTTTCACCTGGCTAAACAATTTCCTCGCAAATACACCCTATCTCGATCAACTACCCCCCAACAACATGTTCCTCTCCCACCCCATTGCCTTTTTATCCCGCTATGCAGAAGTCTACAACCTGCACTCGCAATACATTTCCGCCGTCACGGCAGAGCAAAGGAGGAATAAAGTGGACGATGTGAGGAAAAGAGGGGAATTTAGAAAGGCGCATGGATTAGATGAGCAAGAGGGTATTTTTGGGGGTTGGAGTGCTAGGGATACTGGGAAGGTGGAGGGGGAGGTTAGGGAGAAGGAGGCAGTCGAGGGGTTGGGGAATGAGATGCCGGTGCAAAAGGAGATGCAGAAGGAAAAGGAGGTTTTGGAGGCTGTGGTTGATAAAGAGGGGGGTGCGGAGGTGTATGCGGATTTTGAGGGTAGGAGGAAGCCTATCAAGAAGTGGTTGGGTATCTGGTAAGGGGATGAGAGAGAAGAGATGTTTAGGTTTTAGGAATGGATGAAGTTGTAATTATATTTGTACAATTATGAGAGAGGCTCTACTCTATCCACGGACAGTGTTTGCGATCTGGTTGAAAGCTAACTGAAAGTGTTCAATGCTCTTTCTGTTTGATCTTGCACAAGCTTGACTGAGGCCTCTTGTCGCGCCTGGTATACCGCCATGATCGAGTGGTGTGTTTGTATCAGATTGAGCATCTCCTTCCTTCATCTGTAAGATAGATACCGGGGCTTACTCAATTGTCCAGCACACCCTTGACGTGACTTGCAAACTCAAAGACTGGATGCACTGCAAGCCACTGTATCTGCAGATGGCATCAGCCTACGAGGCAATGCCTTTGGCCGTTTGACCCGATCTGGCATCCAGCAAAGCGCGGTGCCACGAGTAGATCCACTCGACGGCTACGAGCTGTGTGGCATCTGAGCATGTGTTGCTTGGTTGTAGCTTCTTATCCAAATCAAGTCCTCAAGTCTCGACCTTGTCCAAAGCCTCGAGAATCTCTTCACCGACGCCTCCCTTCTCGACAACCATCTTGATCATGCGAGCGACAAGGTTTCGACTCACACCACCTCTAGGGGGTCTCCAAACTCCGCTGTCTGTTTCCCTCACTGCCAAAGCTTCAGCCTTTGTGGGTGCAGCACCGCCGGTAGCAGTGTTAAGGACATCGGGCGTTCCAGCTCCTGTCAATCTAGACGGCGGGTCGACCATTCTGACTGCCATGACGGCGAGTTGTTTCTCAGCTGAGGGTGCAACACTGACAGCCACAACAGCATCTGCAACGGCGAGCTCGTCACCGCTGGGATCGAAGAGGATGTTTGAGCCTACAGAAGCGAGGAGGAGTGTGACTGGAGGCTTCTGGCCTGTAGGATAGAGGGGCACGGCGGCTTCCCAGTCGTCGTTAAACAGAGGGTCTTCGTCTTGCTCTGAGATGAGGGCTGGTAGTTGTGTGTGTTGGAGGGCGAGATGTGTGGTAAGCGAGAGGAGAGGCAGGGGGTATGACAGCGGTGCCGAGAGCAATAAAATCTATGGGTCTGTTAGCATTGCGTCTCTCAATTGATCTGAATGGTTGTCGTACGTCAATGTACAAGCGCCAGTGGAATCGGCGGTTGATGTATAAGCGATCTTTTAGCATTTCTGTAGCCAGCAGACTTTCGCGCAGCATGGCGCCCAAGAAGACCGGCAAAGCATCGTCGTCTCTGTATCCCGGCATCTCAATCTGCACCTCAACCCAAGCGTCTCTTCCCTTTCTTCCCTCGTCGCCCTTGCCCATACCACCCATTTCAACCTCGGCACCTCCTGCAGTACCCAGACTGCTCTCCTCCGTCTCACCAGTATAGCCGCCGCTCTTCTCCACTTCGGCCTTGATGCCGACTACTGCTTCCGTGCCATCTGCGAAACAAATACGCGCCGAGCCGTTTGCTGAGGGAAGGATCTCGGATTCGGCGACCAGAGGACGGAATTGAGTAGGACTGCGACCGTCGGGACGAATTGGCGGTGTTTGCGCGAGGGAGTTGTGTAGGTAGCTCAGCTCGGCTGGCGAGAGGTTTGCGCTTGACGGCGCCATCATGTACAGAGAGTCGTTCTTATGTCGGTATTTGTCTTTTCAAGGATCTGAATTATTGCAGAGTGTTTCCGTTGAGAGTCTTGAGCAAAAGTTGTGTTGGTTGTGAGTGATTGATTGGATTGAGCGTGACGGGTAATTTTTCTCTGCGATGGTCCCTACGTAATCGAGAGCTGCCATTCTCCATGGAGGAAGCTTTTGCCGGCGTTGCTGGTCAGAAGTCGCGGTTCAGACATGGCAACAACGAACAAGTCCAAATATTCATAATACATTCTGATCATACAGGGTTGTTCGTCATAAAACCGACATCCCAATACGTGTAGTTGCTGTCGATCAAATCAGTGTACATGTTGAATTCGTGGCAATACTTTTTGACAAATATGTTGGCCTCGCTAGAGCACCTTCCTTCCCCGGATATCTTGACTGCGTTCTTGACTTCATGTTCTCATCATCCTGTTGCCCATGCACGCTTATTTGTCTTTCTGAGTGCTGAGTTCCATCTGTAAACCTGGACTTGTCTCCAGCTGTGTAGACATCATGCTGGAATGTTTCGTGGTCATGTCTCAGTAAGTGTACTTTTCTTAACTCAGTCCATCAAGAAAGAGCATGGGATATCGATGCGTGGAGGAGCATGGAAAAATTGCCGTGCAGTAAGGACTTTCGAGCTTGCCAGAGATACCAAGCTCGAGGCGAGGCTCCTGACGTGCCCTGGTGTGGAAAGACTCAATGTCGCGATAGTCCATGAGGGACTGGGCCTTGTCGACAAGGACACAGTCTTGTTGCACCCACTCATTTGCCCATCTGCCATGTCAACAAAATACAGCCGAAAGACGCGTACATAAAGGATGACCGTGTTATACCCAACACAACGCCTAGCGCCAACGTGGTTTTGCGATTTTCTATCTGGCACCAGCCTTTGCAGACTTGTCTGCTATTGTTGGCTTGTCCGGGCCTTCGGGTCTTTTCCAAAAACCACACACCTCTGCCATACAATCAATACCCAAGACATCTCCAGAACCATCAAAGCCAACATTCCCGCCTCCTGAGTTCATATCTTCCACCATCTCATTGACTAGTTGCACAAAGGTCTGGTTTCCATTCTCCTTGGATGCAGTCGGCCCGCCTCCGTGACTATCCCAATAACTGGTCTGCATATCTTCACAGAAGTAATAGCCGCCAGTCTTGACGGTCTTCCACAGATGCTCAAGACTCTTGATCTGTTGGTTCATCGTGTGGCCGCCGTCATCGATGATGATGTCGAAGTTCCCACCACTGTCCGTGATGAACTCTTCGAGAAAAGCTTCGTCTGCTTGATCACCTGTAAAGATGGTCGCTCCACTCGTTTTACGAGCCCACTTCCTTGCGCAGCGCTCGTCATACTCGATGAAGTACAGGTCAACGTACGGGAAGTACTCGAGCCAGAGGTTATAGGAAGCTCCTGGACCGTAACCCATATCGCAACCGAGACCTATCTCAAGCATCTTGATCCGCTTCATACGGAGCGAAGGCAGATACTTTTCGTACATGTGGTGGTAGCTATGAGCTGTGACTTTGTCGGTTCCATATTTGACAGCGATTTCGTAGAAGCTTGGACGACTGGAAAAGCGTTGTCAGCGAGGGACAAGGGTACGAAGACTTGTCATTCTTACTGCCACAGTTTCTTTGCATTCGGTACGCCGCCACGCTGGTGGAACACTGCTACTATGAAGAGCAATGACGCAGCAATTGCAAAAACTACTGGTAGTCGATGAGGAGTGTGAACGGCCATGATGATGCGAAGCGCGATCGAGCAGACAAAGCGCAATCAATGCTAGCTAATATCTCATCCAAAGCATGTAGCGAGATTAAGATTGTGCCGAGATATGTATCGTTCCACAGCCCTGGCTTCGTCTAGAACGACTCCCTTGCGTCAAAGCCATGAGGCCGTGACATGCGTGCCTCTGACGCTCCTATCACAGTCAGGATCGCTTCTAGATCCCTGTAATCGCAGCTTCCTCTGGAATTCCTCCTGCATCGGCCCGTGGGACAAAATCTACCGGCCGCGTCGTGAGAAATGCTAACGGATGCACGAACAAAACATTTAGTCGCGAGACTGCACCTTTCATGTCATCAATGAGTGCAGTCTGAGAATCTCAATTCAAAATGGCTTTTTACGAGACCAATCTGGCGATCCTGGCTGCGATTAGTGCTTACCTGCTGTATCGCCAACATGAACTGGACAAACAGAGCTCGGTCGTCGAAGCCGAAAATGGCATGAAAAGTGCACTTGGTCGCGATGCCATTCAAAGATTCAAGCGAGCTTTCTTCCCAGCATACGCTCTCGTTTGTGCAGCCGACTGGCTTCAGGTAAGGGCCGCGACTACTGCTGTTGAACAGTGACTGACTTGCAGAAGGGACCCCACATCTATGCACTCTATAAATACCACAAACACCTCCCAGAGACGACAGTGGCTGCTTTGTATGGCAGTGGGTTTGTCGCTGGTGCTCTCAGTGCCTCGTTCGTCGGGCAATTGGCCGATAAGTATGGTCGTCGAAGTGCTTGCCTGCTCTACTGTATCATCTACTCGATAGCATGCTTGTCCATGCTCTCTGATGACTTGCTCATCTTGTTTGCAGGTAGAGCTTGTGGCGGTGTTAGCACGACTTTGCTGTACAGCGTCTTTGAAACATGGATGATCGCTGAGTATCATGATCAAGCATTAGATGCTTATGGCTTGAGCTTGGGAAGCATGTTTGGTAAGATGACAACACTTAGCGGAGTTGTCGCTATCATCTCAGGTGTCACTGGCGATCTTTTGGTCAGGTCGCTAGACTCGAAGACAAGCCCTTTCATGGCTAGCATTGTTTGCTTGATGCTGGCTCTTGCATATATATCAAAGCATTGGGTAAGTCATCGACAAATGCCAAGACTTTGTAGCAAGCTAATAACCTCAGAACGAGAACTATGGAGACAGTGCTAGCAGCAAAGACAAGGAAGGCGAGCCTATTGGTCTGGGTCAGGTCGTCTTCGGTAAATCGCATTGTTAGTCGACGTCTGCACACTAGAACTGACATCTCATAGATCCAAAGATCATCTCCATCGGCCTTGCATCCTGCATCTTCGAGGGTAGCATGTACATGTTCGTCTTCTTCTGGTCTGCGGCTCTCTCTACCGTACATGCTAGTATCGACCTCATCAGTCCTCTTCCGTTTGGAGTAGTCTTTAGTTCCTACATGTGTGCTATGATGATAGGCTCGATCATCTTTACTCTCATACCGCCATCATCGGACAAAGCACATTACATCCTCAAGATGGTGTTGACAAGCGCGAGTATTTGCTTCCTATCCAGTGTCTTAATCAAGAGCGAGGTATTGGTCTTCTGGGCGTTTTGTTTGTTCGAGGTTTGTGTGGGTGCATACTTCCCCAGTATGGCTTCTCTGAAGGGCAAATTGATCCAAGATGGTAGTCGTGGGAGGATATATGGCATTCTTAGACTGCCTCTGAACCTCTTTGTCATAATAGCGCACAGTCTTGCAGAAGAAGGTATGTCCGAAGTACTTCTGTTCGATCGAGATACTGGACTTGCACGGTACAGGTGACCAGCATCGTAACAATGTCTTCATGACTTGTGGTGGACTTCTCCTCATCGCCTTTGTCACTGTACATCGATACCTATCGTCTGAGTTTTGATTTGGCAAGATTGAGGTGGAAGTCCGGTCTGAGCTTCTGTCGTGCTCCGGAAGAACGTTCGGCCACCGCGAGTGCGTCAGTCTTTGGACCTCCTCTATCAATTCCGTATCATCGACATTCGTCTGACTTTGTGAGCATCAGTCGAATAAATTCACGCTCCTCAAGTACGACAGAACTCCATCCCAGCTTGCAACATCTGGAGATGGCGACCTCCCTGGACACGATCATCTACGCGTCTGATTCCGCAGACATGCTCGCTTCTGAGAGTCCTCCTGACTACACCAAACCTGACTGCATCACCCCTTGTCCAAACGAGATTCTCCACAACATCTGCCACCATCTTCCTTCCGAAAGCATCAAGGACTTCCGCTTGGTTTGCAAGGCCTTCTACATCGTTGGCAATGACTATCTCGATGCACGAGCTTATGTCTGTTTCAAACGAACCTCGTTTGAAGAACTTGCACAGCTCTCAAACTCCCATCTTCGCAAATGTGTCAGGTCACTCCGATTTGATGCAAATCCCTTCGAAACAAAATATTTGACCTCTGGCGCACTCTCGCGCAATCATTCTATGCTTCTAACTCCGTTAACCAAGCTGCGTTCGAGCGTTTCGAATATTACTGTCTGGACCAGGAAATCATCTTGCAGAAAAAGCTGCACATCGATACCTTCGTCAGCTTACTCAAAGGCTGTCCCAAGTTGGATACTGTTGAGATCTGGTCTGGCCGCGTGAAGCCTCACATGATGATGATGAAGGCACGACGCCTGTTTGCCGATGCAAAATTCTCGCCCGCAGATGCTAACGAGAGCTTTGACAGTAGTGTTAAGGGCCTCATCGCCGTGTTCAGAGCATTTGAACGGAGCGGTGTATGCCTCAGACGAATCGTCGCTGGGCGCTTGTCGCATGACATCTTCCATCTCAACCACCACGATACCATCTTGGTCAAAGCTGGGCTTACGAAGGTTCATTCTCTTGCGTTGAACATCGACGAGCTCCTTCCTCCAGAGGTGATCCTAGCCCAGGCCCTCGGGAGTAGAACAGCAGAGACTTCAGAAAGCCTTTCTGATGGTGCGCTATCCGAGATGCTGCGCGCCGCACCGAGTATGCGCGGTTTGAGCATCCGCATGAGTAATCTACGCTACAATCACGCCGTGGGACCCCTAGATGTCAATCATATCTTTGGAAAGCAGGTGTTCAAACATCTTCGCTATCTGAATCTGGAGAGAGTCGCGGCCGACTCGAGTAATCTAGAGCGGGTATTGGTTGACCATGGAGACACTCTGATAGGTATTCGCCTTACCGACTTCACTATGAGAAATCATGATAGCTGGACGCGTTTCTTCGCTGCTATGTCACAAAAACTGCCGAACATCCGGAAGTTCATGCTATATGGTAGGTGGACTGGTAAGCATACGGAGCATTGGGATTCCAGCAAGACACTTGATGGAAGATCCACCATGGAGACACACGCCATGAGTAACTTCCTGCGCAAGGGCGGAACACTGCCTACGACACTCGCTGAGTTTCGTCAGCATGTCCCCAATCCTCACGTATTCATACATGCCAGAAACCTACACTTCAGTCGTCGCAGACGCGGCAGAGACTACATCGACGCTTCCAACGAAGGATATATCGAGGAGCCCAAGACTGACAGTGACTCCTCCTCTGGCGACGAAGACGAGGATCTCAAATTCTGGAAGGAGCACTTGTGAGAAGCAAACGGCTTCTCGTTTGACTGCGTGACATCACTTTCTCGCTCGAAGGAAGGAGCTACTACCTCAACTTTGGACGCTCATCCCGAACTCAGTCAAACTTCTCACTTGGTGCTTCGTCGACGACTCATCGTACAGGGACCCTCGCTTTCATCATCCCTTACTTGCTTCGGATCGGATAACTCGCAAAAGACAACAACGATCACCTTCCTCTTTCACCGTCAATAACTTTCACCCATCAGCTCGACACGTCCCTTCCCACCCCCATCACATAATATTACATCGATCTCAACATCAACCATCCATCCTCATTACTTCCCCTAGCCCGCCACAAATCCAAACCCCACAACATCTTCATCATGCGTCGCTCTTTCCCCGCCAATACCGTTCGCTTCACTTCCACCATACCTCAATCCAACCAACAGGTGGAGCGCGAGTGCCACCTCTGTGGCAAGATGCGTGGAATCTATGACTTCTCGGCCACTCAGCGTCGCAAAGGCGACGAGGCTGCATGCTTGAAGTGCATTCCAGAGCTTCAAAACATCAGAGCTGGTCCACTTGGTAAGGAGGTCGAAGACGACAGCGATGCCAAGTATCTGGCCGTACGTATACACACGAATGTTCATCGGGGTCTCGCTGACGAATCCTTCACAGCACGTCGGCGAAAACAACAAGGATACCACAGTCTCTAGCTTGTCCAAGTCTGGCGGCGTACGCTTGCCCACCTCATCTGTCTCCAACAAAGGTTCCTCGGTCGACAACGCTACTGCATCTGCACGTCCTTCTTCAGGCATGACATCCACCACCAACATCAGCAAGTCAGCTCCTCGTCATGAGACTGGTACCACGGGCTGGGTCAAGCTCAGAAAAGTAAGACACGTTATTATCAGACCTCTTCAACAGCGATTAATGGTCTTCTCAGGGCCACCGCGATGAGATCGTTCCCGATCTTGCTGACGACGACGTTGAGACCTTCGATGACGATGAGTCTGACTTTGATATGTAAATCACGAGCGTGGAGAGACTTTTCAAATAACGAGACTCGGTCGATTTGTAACACTATGCTTTCGTAATAATACTCAGACGAGACCAAAGGCGGCCTGAATGAAGGTCGTCAGCCAAGACAGTTTCAAATCAATTTCATTTTCAGCATTAACATTCAGTGTTTTTTACGTGTGCCATGCTGTAGACTTTGAGATCATAGACGACTTTGTTCTGTAGCATTCGAACTGAATGAAGGCAGTGGTGCGGCGAGATGTTCGCCTACTGATTTTATATCGCTTCTAAATGCTGAGCCACGGCTTCATTGCTAGATTTTGCACATGGCCACGCCAGATTGCCGCAACCAAAGGCGCTTACCTGTTCCGCTCTCATCATCTTGAACAGTCTTGTTTCATGTCACAGATAAACAATAACCAGTTTTCTGTCTTGACTGACCCAACTCCAAATAACGAGGACCAACTCTAATCGCACTGTTTCCACGAACACTCTTCATCCACAACAAACCCTCAAATATTGAATTGAGCGTGTGATCAGTCACTGTCCTTGTATTTACCTACGGTGCTCCAACATAAATCACTTCCTCGACGCTGGAAGTACGCAGTATGAGAAATTTTGATTGTTGTTGTATCACTGACCCGTCGTCTAGTCACTTTCTTTGTTCTCAGCACACACTTTCAACATCGTCCACGCACACAACTCTGCGATACTACAAGGTCTTAAGATCTCAGACTCGCTGAGATGGAAGACTTTGTGCGTCAATCTCGGAAGGCGCTCATCGCCTCGATGCCTTCCGCTCAGAAGTCGCCCCGCCATCATGGCACCTGCCTCTCAGAAGTTGCTCGTCACCATCAAGCCTTCCTCTCGAAAGTCACTCGATATTACCGCGTCATCTTCTAGGAAGCCACTCGGTGCCACAAAGCCTTCATCTTGGAACTCTCTCTTGCTCACCATGCCTTCGCCTGAGAAAGTCATTCGTCGCCCTGCCGCCGCCAGAAGTTTTGCACATGATCTGTCGACGCTTGACGCATAAGGCAGCTGCGGTCTTTCGTCTTGTTTGTCGTTTGTTTGCTTCCATTGGTATCGAGCATTTGGCAGAAGAGGCCTGCCTGTCGTTCTCGCGTCAGTCCCTCCAAGACCTCGAGGCCCTCGCAAAGACACCACTTGCCAATAAGATCACATCACTCTTCTTCACGACCAAACATCTTGCTGGCTTCTTCTCGTTGGAAGAATTGTTAGCGAGCATGAGCCTTACTAAGCGGGATCGCAGGCTGTTGCGTTTCTCTTCAGAGGCTGGGAAGCTCGCTCGCTAAGCGGAGTTCATCGAAGAAAGTGGCTTGAAAGATCTTGAGGCGATCATCCAGCAGCGAACATATCAGCGAAGCATCCCGACTGATGCTCCAGACGAAGAGGCTGACGACGATTTCTTCACATGTATCCATAACGACTATGCCACCGTGGCAGCTGCGACTGACAGTCTAGAGCTCGATCTCTCCGACTTGATCGGAACCGCAGTACACCTTATACATTTTCGCTTCGGACTAAGCCGCGGAAACGAGGAGAGAGCGATGGGAAACTGTCGTCTCAGGTCGCTCTTCGAAAGCGGCCCCATCCAGACATCTTCCCACGGCTACAGACCCTTGGCTTGGGAGGCATCCGAACCAACGGACGACTACTCGAGAAGTTCATCCTCGAACGTAAAGAGACACAATCACCTTCATTCGCCTCAAAAACATTCAGTTCGAGGACGATTACACCTGGGTCGAACTTTTCCCATAAGATCTCTACCTCGTTACCCAACGTTCAACACTTCTTGATCTATGGCCAGCTCAGAGACCACAATACGTCTTTACGTTTCGATGTACCATACTCTGATCTGTTAACTCTACGAACTCACGCGATGGACAGATTCCTCCGTAGAGGAGGCCCCTTGCCCATCGACGATGTCTCGGCCAACGCTCAAGCCCCCAACGCGGTCCGCGGATACATCCATATCGGTAGCCGTTGGCACATCAAAGATCCCAGGGACTTCCTTTCAGGTCTGGTCAAAGAGTTTGAGGATCGATTCTGGGTTGACCACTTCTGGGAATTCAGTCCTTGTTGCTAACGCGAGATTCCAAAGCGTGGCCACCATGCGTGTCATGAGGACGTACACTGGCCACAACGAGCGACGAAAATGGGGATTGATGGCAGAAGAGAAGGTGAACGGAAAGTGCATCGTTTGACAGGATTGTAGGCCTGTTCAAAGTAGAGGCTGTTTCGAGAGAGCTTTGTGTATTTGCTCTAGCCAGACGACGAATAATGAGGGTTACTCCCAATGGAAAAGTACACTATGCTCTAATGTACGTTAACCAGATGCACAGTGTTCCCGTCTGTGTCGACCTAGCTGGGTGGGTCAGATATATTACCGAAGAACAGATCGTCGACGTATTTGAGTTCAGGTATCGCAGGCCAACGCAGATAGTGTACAGTGGCCATTACTCTAGATTGACTTTACTGGACTGACAGATCGATGGATACCTATCACGTTTATTTTGTCTCTATGCTTGATGGTACAATATTTGTCTGTCTGGATTTGCGCAATACCTCTACTTGGCAATCTCAACACCGCTGGTAGCACCTGCAAGAAAACGTCAGCTTTGGTCACACTCAAGCACACAACACAGGACCAAAACTTACCAAGCGCCTTCTTGATATCACCATAGATAGCGAATTGACCAGCAGTCAAACCACCAACCATGAACAATCTCGTAGGCAGACCAGCAAAAGAACCGCGGAGACCCAATTCACCAGCAATCTTGACGAGACGGGAAGCAGTGCTCTCACCAGGCAAGCCCTTGGTCTTGTTGATCTTGGAGAGCATAGTGTCAGCGGGCTGAGAGACGATGGCGGCGGCGAAACCAGCGAGGAGACCAGAGCCTAGGTTGACTGTGGTGGCCATGCCGGGGGTCATTGTAGATTTGTCCATTGTGCCGAGGATGGCTTCGGAGAACTTTTCGAAGGCGAGGAATTTGGTGACAGTGTAAGGGACCCTGTGCTACGTTAATATCGGATTGCTGCATTGCGAGAAGGTCAACATACTGCTTAAACAGAATGGGTCCGAAACCGTTGTAGAAAGCACCAACACCCTCAGTCTTCAAGATTCTGCTGAAACCACCAACCAAACCATTTGCAAATCCAGGAGTAGAGACAAGACGAATGCGAGTAGCTTCAAGAGGACACAGAGCAACAGAAGCAAAGAACTCGGCACTGGCAGCTGAGAAAGCGTAGACCAAACCACGGTTGGCCTTTGCAGTCTCAAGACCAAGGTAATCAATCGATTGCTTCTTGAAAAACTCGTATCCGCCGAATTTGAAAGCACCTTGGACAAAGTAACCGGCAAAGGTTGCACCGGCACCGGTCAGCAGAGCACCAGCGCCTTCATTGGCAATGACTTGACGGAAAGTGCCAATGGTGCCGCGGTTGTATGTCACAGGATCAAGCTGAATCTTGGTCTTGACACTGTTTTGCATAAGTTATAAGACCTTAGCTAGCATGATGTTCGTACTAACACATCGACGGGGGTGAAGCCACCATGCGTGATGGAACAACCGAGAGCTCCGGCAAGCGCGAAGCGAGCGTAGAGGTCAATACCCTCGGGCTTCTTTTGCGTGACGGCTTGCGCCAACGAAGGAGCTGGTGTGGTCATTGCGAATGGATAAGAAAAAGCCAAAAGCCGATGAAGATGCGTGAGGAGTCACAAAGTGTTTACTTAAATGCAAGGGGAGGTTGGGGGGAGGTCGCGGGATTCTCGGAGATATCGGCATTTACGATGATTAGAGTGGCTCAAGGGATAATGCAGGTTTTCTGGATAAAGAGCCCTCCCATCGTTCGCTTTACACCTGCAGCGTGCTGTTCTTTCCTTCTGGAACATTGAGCTGTTGTTTGTTCCTGCAGAGAAGCCGCTTTGCTCCCATATACGGCACGAGCAGTTCGCGACTGCCTTCATTGCTGGATGGTCCTCACCATGACATGAAAGAACAATGTCGTGCTCGACGGATAGCAAGACAGCATCACTGTAAGACCAGCCTTCTAGCTGCTGAAAGAGGCTTGGTATGCCGGTTTCACGCGAGATCAGCCGGAAGATGCGGCCTCGACGCTGTCGTTCTTCTGCAGGAAAGCTGCAGCGAATACTTGCAAGGGAATCGTCTTCTCTGCGCCAACGAACATCTCTCGCACTCACATACACTGCATATGCCGTCGACTTACTGATGAGAAATCGATGCCAAAAGTCGTCGTCGCCATCTCGTCAAGACCCGGAATCTACTCGGGGACCTTGTTGGGCTTCGGCGATCAAGCTTGGCAACGATCCGGCGTCCTCCTCGAGCCCTCGGCCCCTCTCCCCTGTAAGGACAACAAATAGGCAAGGCGTTCGACATGACCAACAACCACTTCGCTGTGACACTGTCATGCAACAGTCTCATGTGTTTTTGATGCAGTATACCGCATCAGAAAAAGGAGACTAAGTTCTGTTGGTCTCTCCCGTAAGCGAAGCCGCCGGCGCGACCGAGTGCGAGGTAAATTAGATGCTGCCGCTTTTATGGATATGAGCTTTGCCTCTTTTTCTTCCAAACCGAGTCTTTGTTATGTCCTTTTTGAAGAACTGCCCGTATTTGAGAAGTCATCGCCGACCATAAACTCTTAATCACGTTCCTTCTCGGCCTTCATCTCTCAAACTCTGTCCCCACGAAAAAGCCGTTGTCGAACCGGAAGATTGAACCAAAAGTGAACCGCAAAGGCATAAGAATCTCCAAAATCGCCCCCCCAATCGCCATCATCTCTTTCACCATCACATCTCGGAAACCCCAGTTGCACTGTTTTCTTTGTCTAAACATCACACGTTGGGAGCTTTTTCTTTCATTCCCACCTTTCCGAAACATCTCTCAACTCCCCTCCATTGGCATCTTCGAAACATTACAAACAATGCCATCGTTGGTTTCGGAATATGCGGCAGGGACGCTGTTTGGTGCTGCGCTCTTCGCGGCTGGAGTCTTTGCGCCTAGTACGATTGTTGCGCAGATGAAACTTGAGGATTTCACCATGGTCAAGGCGATGCTCGGTGCGAGTGCTACAAGCGCGTAAGTCACACACAGCCTTGTTGGAGAGAGTCCAGATTTGCCATCATAATCGTTCGAGATATCATGAGTCACTTCAGATATGCTGGGATGATCCTTGCCGATACAATGCTTCCTGTAAAAGAGTGTGTAGGATTATGGATTGACGTTAAACCACAGACTAGTTGTACATCTTGCCGACTCTGCAAATCTCGCAGCAATGAAACCTCGCACACCACAATCCATTGGCTTCTTTCCTTATGATGGCAACATTGTTGGAGGCGCTATGATCGGCATCGGCATGGCACTGACCGGTGCATGTCCCGGTACGGTCTTTGTGCAAGCCGGTGCAGGCCTACCCAGCGGCATCTTCGTCCTCGGCGGCGGCATCCTCGGAGGTCTCCTCTTCGTCTCCGCTCAACCAGCCATCGCAAGACTGCGAGAAAGCAGCGGCAGCAGCAGCAGCAGCGAAGCCGTCACGAAGACCGAATTGACCGTCCCCAAAAGCATGGGCATAAGTCCCCGGATTGTCGTCGCCATGTGGGAAATCATGTGCTTCGGCATGCTGCAGCTACTTTCCGGACTCGAAAGCCCAAGCACAGGAACACGCGCTCTGGTGTCACCTGTCCTTGGCGGCTTGCTCATCGGCACTGCTCAAGCCTGTACCATTGCACTCACCCGCCACACCGTGGGCACGTCCGGCGCCTTTGAGGATGTCGGTCGCTGGCTCCGCAATGTGTGTTCTGGAGATGCGACCAAGGGTCCCATCACCGCTTCTGTCATGTTTGATGCTGGAATCATGTCTGCTAGTGCGTTGCTGGCTCGGTTTTTGCTGCCTGCTGCTGTTACGCAAGTTTCTTCACAATTGGTGACGCCGACTGTTGCGATTGCTGGTGGTGCTGTGATGGCTTTTGGCTCGAGATTGGCGGGTGGATGTACGTCGGGCCATGGTATCAGCGGCATGGCGACTTTTTCATGGGCCAGTTTGGTGTCTGTCGGTAGCATGTTCGCTGCAGGTGTCTTGACCGCCGCGTTGCGATGATGCCTCTGAGAACAAAATTTGCGAATGTTGGTTTGGGCGGGTTCCAGTTGTCTTACTCCATGATACCCAAGTTGTTTTCCTTCCTTCCCTTGCTTTGGTTACAGACGATGAAGAGTTTCGACAGTTGTATATTAGTTGCATAATGAAAGTTGATACATCCAGCCCAGTATTAGAAAAGATGTTGAAAGCAGACTGTTTGTACAGAGGTGGGATAGGACATATGGAGCCCCGGCCCAAGGTCATAGTGGGATACCCATGGTCAAGAGACAGAGCAGTCGGTGAACAGGCCTGGAGGTTTAGGAGGATACATCTTCCCATCGACTTCAATCGCTGGTCCACAAGTGCATCTTTGATCTCTAGGGATCTTATCCATGACGGAACTAATGTGTTTGCCGCATCCCCACCAGGACACTTTCTCTACAGTTGATGTTAGTGGACACTGTGGCGTTGTGGACAGGCCAACTTACTGCACTTAGGACAATCAGCACGCATGCACATAATGACAGTAAACGGCGCAAAGCTGAAAGAAGAGAAAGCCAATGGAGGGTAGAAAACGAAGCAGGTGGGGATAAGCAAGGCTTAAAGCATGGATCTCATTGAACGGTCATGTCCCGTCAAGGGGGGGTATGTGCATTGCATCTTCATCCTTCATTTTTCCAAACGTCTTGGTTGCATAAGATAGCTTCTCTGCTGATGGTGAATTCGGAAATTCAAGGTCGCCGTCCAATTAGTTGTTAGTGTAGTTGGCTTGCATGAAGTAGTGATGCGGATCGCCTAAAACTTCCCCGGTACCTGGATTTTGATTGCATAAAGGGGGTTGTGCAGGAGGATTTGTGCATATGAGACTAGCTCGAGCCTGGGTAAATTGGTTCGAGGTGCATGAGACCGTGAAACTCTTGGGTCTCGACCATGTTCAACATGGAAAGCCATGAGTTGTTGTTCTGCACACTCATTCCACTGTCATAAGTTGGGCCTCCCTGTTGCTGATTGACGTTCGGCAAAACAGTTGTGCTTGTGTGCAGCACTTCTGACGCGACCTTCTTGACTTCCAAGAGTACATGGCCAGAGATGGCCCAGGTGCTGCTTAGCGACTTCAGCAATCCGATGATCAAGGTGATTCTATCGCGATGTTGTTCACTGCCTGCATTTACACTGCAAGCCGATAACTGTACTATTGCGCCAAGGACGAGTCCACAGACGAAGAACGGAGTGTGTTTCTGTACCGGCACGCGGACGGCAGCCAGATTTGCGAGTTCTTTCGATGCATTGGTCGCCTTGACAGAATGGGAGTGCTGTGTGGAGGCAGGTGACATATGTCTCCCCCTTTCAGCACATACAATATTTGCAGTAACTGGAAGTGTGTTGAGTAAATCACTTCTTGGTAGATGCAAATATATTGTTGCACATTGGATGATCATATGACCTTGGAACAATATTTCATCCACCATGTTGTAAACATTGACGACGTCGACCTTGGTGCGTGGCAAGTTGTGGATCCAGCCAGCTAATGCGTTGTCGACCACTTGGACCTGGTCTTCATTTTGGGTTCCAGCGACCGCCAATACTCTGGCAAGTATCCGGGCTGCTTCGATGCGATACGCGAAGGACGAGAATTGTATCGCCTCGTCTGTGAACAACCGCATGTCAAACTGCTCAAGCGAAGGTGGTTGCGGTAGGTAACCAGCGCTTGAGTACACCACTTCTTCACACGGTAGCAAGACCTCGGATTGAACTGTGTTGCTCTTGAAGAAAGGCCTTTTGTGAAGAGCAGCGAGGTAGCCATCCATGACATAGAGCTCCCACCATGTCCTTCGCAGACTCTCCTCTACCCAAGGATTACCTTGACCGTGGTATACTGCGAAGCTTCTCAGATTCAGGCCGATTTCTATAGCCAAGTCGACGGCAGCGTGCATCATGTCTGCGGCTTCCATTGCCTCACCTCGTGCATGAAGCGTGATTGCAAGCAACAGTCGCGCTTGTACCATGTAGCAGTCTTTCGCATCAGAGGGAACAAGGCCTATGCTGCTCCTTAAGATGTCGCTTGAAACTGAGGATGAGTAGTGGCTTCCGATGAAACGGACCACCTGTTGCAGATATTCGGGATAAGGATGAGCATGATACAGACTCTCCGGTAACAAGATCGGGTGTGCGGAGAAGAAGTTTGAGTAAAACAGGTTGACAAGTTCATCTTCGTCGATACACTCGCTGGGAGGAGTATGCTGATACGCAGATTGCACACGCTGTTGATTTGGTGACACAGCAGGTGTCAGGCCATACGCATTGGCGAAACCACTAATCGAGCCTCCATGAGTACTCGAGCCCGTGAGACTGGGAGTCACAGGCGAAGTCCACACCGCATCCTGACTAGGCAACGTAGTCGCGCTCGTGCTTTGATTGACATATATTGGAACGTATTCGGCTGCAGATGGCTGGCTGTCACTGCCATCGTGCGCACGTTTCGTCCCTCGGTAACCACGCCTTGACGGAGTGTAGTTGCAGGGCACACCCGCAGTAGCACAACGAGTGCAAATTGGCTTTCCGGCGTCGCATTTGAGATGTTTCTGTCTGCACGAAGTACAGGCCAGAGGAGAAGGCCGAGCTGTGGAGGTGTCGTCAGAGCCTACCATACTTGGCGAGACTTGATCTTCTCAGAGCTCGTATTAGTGTTTTTGTGTTATTGGGAGTCGTAGCACAGTCACACGGTACGCAAACGGCCGTAAATGGTTTGCGGATGTCATGGTGAAGAGCTCTGCGTTGTTGAGGGCCTGATCGGGGTTCAGATGGTCCCCGGACGGCGACTAATTTGTGCAGGGCTGACAGCATTTCTTTCCCTATCAACGATACCCGAGTCATCTCTGCGGTACTTCTCAGCATGTATACCATGTACCTGAGTCCTTCAGAGCTCGGTTCAATCACAATCCGTGAAGCCTATGCAATTTCTGCTGCGTGGTTTCCCTTGCTCGTAACCACTTTGGCCGGTAAATCCTCGGTTCGTGTGCATACAATTGTCGATGCACCTCTTGATACCGTCATGCTTTTGCTTCAGCCCATGATTATATCTATCGTCCTGGAAGCAGCTAGATAAGCATTGTCACAAGCCGCTATTGTTTATGGTTATGCATGTCTTGTGTGAATACTGCTTTGCGAGAACAGCTGCATCATCCTGCACCAATGTCAAACGATCGAGACGGCAGGAAGCTTGAGTACCCTCATGGCGATTGCAAGCAGGCCCACTTAGCAAGAGCGAAGTCCTTGACCTTACCTCTGCTTGCAGCCTCCCCAATCAAGAGTGCTCAAAGGCATAGTTAAGTAAACAGAAGGAACAACACATGTCTGGACTCTGATGGAAAAAGGAAAAGGTCCTCATTTGGATATCTTATGGAAAGGTATGGAGTGCCACCGACGTGCAGCAGGAAAAAGGAGTCAAGAAAAATGTCTATCGGTGCAGCAGTTTTCCCCTTTGGTATGTGTGTTTATGTACAGACCGGCTGCGTTTCGTCGCCATCTGGAGATATCTCCGACAAGAAGGTGTTGGTGAGATTTGTAAAACTGCGCATTCACAGCGCGATTTCGGTATGATGAGGAGGAAAAGGTGTTGCGATTGGGATGGGGTGTTCGGGGGAGTGGGGCGGGTTGCGTTTACTCGTCCTCGGGGTCGGCGAGGATGCCCTCGGCCTCGAGTCTTCTTCTAGCTTCCTCAAGAGCCCATGTTTGGATGCTGGAAGGAGCGCGTGTCAGCTGTCACTGCTATCCACCAGGCGGTTGCATCGCGATCGGAGACCACAAACCTGGTGTCGGGCTTGTATGCATAGCCGATGATGCCAAAGGCCATACTGCCAAAGAAGCCCCAGTAGAAGACCTTCTCCCAGCCCTCGTCCTTGTACTGCTCGCCGGGCTTGACGCCGAAGAGGATACCACCCGGAGGGTCGTAGTGGTCGTCGTGTGAAGCGCCGCCGCGCAGATGTTGTGTGGTGGAAAGGGCTCGGCGCGCGATGCTGGATCGAGGGGTCGAGGCGACGGCCAACTGGGCGGCGCGGCTGGAGAAGGCGGTTGGTCGTATCAGAGGCATGGCGGCGTGTGATGTGTGTATTGTGCGGTTGCTCAATGGCTAGAGTTGCTGACCCGACGACTCTTCCACTGCCCGCGTCGTTCAGCACTTCCGAAGCCGATGGAGTGACGCTCGGACCACCTTGACAATTCGCTTGGCATGTTCATCTCGACATTTCTTCTTTCCTTTTGTGCTTTATTCTATACAATCTATAAACATGTGGTGTCCGATTCTCTACATCTCAGCACTGCCTAATACACCCTCGAAGGGTCGAAGGGTGATGGTGCCGCTTGTGGGCTTATCCGGCTTGCCTGCAGTGTAATTACCAGCGACCCAGCTCTTGACCTTGGCGGCCTCAGGAACCTCCCACTTGACTTCATCTTTGGTGAAGTTCAGGGCAAGAACAAATGCCTCACTCTCACTTGCTCTCTTGTAGGCAAACACCCTCTTGTCCTCCTCGTCGAGTACCTGGAAGTCACCATAGACGAAAACGTCCTTGTGCTCCTTTCTGTTGGCAAGCCCACGCTTCCAGAATTGCAAGACTGAAAGCTTGTCGGGATCATCCTGCTTACGCTGAGCCTCTGCGTTGATCTCCTTGTAGTCGTCATTGACGCGCATCCAGGGGGTGACATCTTCCTTGCAGAATCCGGCGTTGGGCTCGGCAGACCATTGGACTGGCGTACGCGAATGGTCGCGGGCCTTTCTCTGCAAGACCTTGCGCGCAAAGTCAAGTTTCTCCTTGTTGTCGGGGTGCATGTGGTTCATCTTCTTCCAGTAGTTGATAGACTCGACGTCTTTGTATTCTTCGGGTGACCATTCGACTGGGACGTTGCGCATGCCGAGCTCTTGACCTTGGTAGACATACAAGGTACCACCAAGTGTAGTCATCATGAGACACAGCAGCTTGGCGCTCAACTCGCGGAACTCGTCGCTGTCGTTGCAGTATCTCGATACAGAGCGAGGATTGTCGTGGTTCTCAACGAACAAGCTGTTCCATCCGTCCTTGTCGATCATGAGACGCTGCCAATAGCTGAAGATCTTTCTGATCTCATCAGCATCCCAATCGCGCCATGTCATTCTGTACTTTCCAGGTTCGTTGTCGATGTCGACCTGCTCGAAGATGAAGATCATGTTCAATTCCTTCTCATCCTCACGGACAATCTTGAGAATTTCGCTCTCGTCTCTGACAAAAGGCATCTCGCCAACTGTGATAGTGTCATACTTGTCGAGCACCTCTGCTCTCATGTTCTTGAGCCACTCGTGCAGGCGAGGACCGTTGCAGTAGAACTTGTAACCCGGCTGATACTTGTGATCAGGGGCGATGACGTCTGCATCAGGGAAGGTCTGGACCTTGGAGATGTGGTTGATGACATCCATGCGGAAGCCAGAGCAGCCACGATCCAGCCAGAAGCGCAGCACATCGTGGACTGCCTCACGAACATCTGGGTTCTCCCAGTTCAGATCGGGTTGTTCGGCGGTGAAAAGAGACAGGTAGTACTCATCCGTCTTCTCGTCATATGTCCAGGCACTGTTCTCCTCTCCGAGGATCATTGACCAGTTGTTGGGCGGCTGACGGTTGCCATCTTTATCGTACTTGGCAGGCTTCCAGATGTACCAATCGCGCTTGCTCGATTGCTTTGATGAGCGAGAGTCCAAGAACCAGGCATGTTGGTCAGAGGTGTGGTTGACAACCAGATCCATCATCAATTTCATATCTCTCTTCTTGAGCTCGCTGATCAAATTGTCGACATCCTCCAGACTGCCATAAACTGGGTCGATGTCCTTGTAATCAGCCTGTGACGAGTTAGCTGAAGTCCACATCAGTCATTTGCTCAGGCACACCCACGATGTCATATCCCATATCAGCCTGAGGACTCTTATAAACTAACACCATTGTCAATAAACTCCTCACTCAAAAAATCTCCCTTCACGAAAAAAACCAAAACTCACTGGGAGAAAGCCACAAAACATCAACACCCAACTCCTTCAAATAATCCACTTTCGATGTGATACCACGAATATCACCCCACCCAGGTCTATCACCCGCCCCCGAGTCCAGGAAACTCGCTGGATATATCTGATACACAATGGCTTCTTTCCACCATCTTTGCTTGTTGATATTGCTCTTTTCACACATCTTGGAATTAGTCAGGGGAAGAAAGGGATGTGAGTTGAGAAAGGTAAGGTGTGTTGGACACCTAGACCTCCCCCCAAAGTCTCCACAAAAATGTCAAATGCCCCGCGTCTGATTTCCTCCACTCGTCATCGTAAGCTTGTTTTGGAAAACAAAACGTGACAAGTTTTGTGCGAATTTTGTATACATTGTCGTTTTGAACATTCTTCCTGTGAGCGACAAATAAGAGGTCATCTTCGTCGATGACTGATATGAGGCCATCTCTCAAGCTCGATAGCAATCTTCTGTCTGACGACCTCGCTTCTCCGTTACTTGTCGATGACGTAGCGATGAAGTGGCTCAGGCTTCGTGGACAGGGTCGTACACAGGACCATGGTTTTGGACGAGGACGACGGTGTATCGACGCCATAGAGCTTGTGATTGATATACTGATTTGCTTAGGTTATTCTTTGTAGTTACTCGATCTACTTGTGTGAGCTGGATGCTGGTCAGGAACTTCATGGTGGTGTTATGGCACAACAATAATTTTCCAACATCGTGAGCCAGGTATCCACCCTAGTCCGTTAGGGCATAGGACCACCTTCATGAACCTCAAGCACCACAAAGGAAAAAAATCTAGCTATGACGCGTATAAAAATTGATGGTTCCCAAAGAACCACTATATCGTGCTATCGAAACAGCGTTGTCACTCGCTCCAATAATAATGTGGGATACCAAATGATATAAGACACAATTGTGATTGACGGCTATAAAATATCCATGTACGCCATCTGTTTGTCAATAAAGCCTTTGCCCTTGGTCAATGACCCTTCTCTTCCGTCCGTACTGCTGGTCAAAAAAGAGAAGAAAAAGATACAAACCCTGTAGAACAGACCGTCAATTGCATGTCCGCACCGAAAGATACCACTTCGCAAGTATAAAAGAAGAGGTACCATTCTGCGTTGCCGCATTATCTCCGATCCACCTCCTCATGCCAAACGCCTGATTGTGAAGCTCCTGGTGACCTACTCGCAAAATCCCATGGATCGACACGAATGAGACTGGAGCAATCCCAAGGCACGAAAGCCAGGCGTATGTTGGCTTGAAAGTGTGGAGATCGAAAGAATAAAAAAAGTCTCGAGCACAAGGATGAATGGGAAAGAGAATATTGATTGTCACAAGAGTAAAAAGTCGTTTCATTAAGGTGGGGTATCCGGGTGAAAGAAGCTGAATGATCAAGACGCCGGGCGCCCATAATCGAATGCAGCGCGTGTCATGAAAACTTTTTGAAGAAAGAAAGGCGGGTTCGTGTAGGCGAGTCTCATCGCTTAAGCCTTCTCCTCAGTGGCGGCCTCGGTGGCAGGGGCGACGTTCTCGGAGCCGTTGGGGGCAGGAGCAGCGTCATCACCACCCTGGGACTTGAGGTAGTCGTTGTAGACACGCATGGCCTCGTCAACCTTGTTGCGGAGAGCAGCGTCGTCGGTAGTCAGGTCAAGAAGCTCAGCGTTCTCCATCTCGAGGAGCATACCGGTGATCTTGCCAGCAAGCTCGGGCTGCTGCTCGTGGATCTTGGGGTAGAGAGCCTCACCGAGCATCTGCTTCTGCTGAGCCTGGGGAGCGGCGTTGAGAGCGTTAACGTCAAGAGCGGGAGAGGCGGAAGGAGCCTGAGGGCGCTGCTGGGGGAAGCCGCCCATCTGGCGAGGACCACCACGACCAGCGAACTGCTGACCACGGCCGCCCATGTTGGGGCCCATCATGTTAGGGGGCATACCACCCATCATGGGCATAGGGCCACCACGGCCAGCACCACGACCGCCCATCATCATCTGGTTAGCGAAGGCAGGGTTGCCGTAAGCACCTGGAGGGAAGCCCTGCATGGGGGGGACGGGGTAGCCCATAGGAGGCTGGCCGTTGGGGGCGCCGCGACCACCCTGCTGGGGGAAGGCACCACGCTGGCCCTGGGGCATACCCTGGATGAAGGGCATCTGGCCACGGGCGGGCATGATGGGCTGACCGTTGGGGCCGAAGAACATCTGAGGCTGCATGAACTGAGGGGGGATGCCACCGGCGGCGGCGGCCTGCTGCTGCATGCGGACCTGGTTACGGGCCTGGATGCTGGCCTCAAGCTGGCTCTTGCGGACATCCTTGCGCTGGGCGAGGGCAACGTAGAGGGGCTTGTTATGCACCATCTTCTGGTTGAGCTCGGTGACAGCCTTGGTGGCCTCGTCGGGGTTGCTGAAGCAGACGAAACCGAAGCCCTTGCTCTTGCCGAGAATCTTGAGCTCGCCGCCAATCTTGACCTTCTCGAGATCCTTGGTGACAGAGTCAACACCCTCCTCCTCCTGCTGCTGCTCCTCCTCCTTCTCAGCCTCGACGGGCTCCTCCTTCTTCTCCTCGGTCTCGGTGGACTCCTCCTCGGTCTCCTCGCCGTCCTTGGCCTCGTCCTTAGCGGGCTGGGTGTCACGCATAACCTTGGCGGAGGTGATGGAACCGTAGGGCTCAAAGATCTTGCGGAGTTCCTCGTCGTCGATGTCGTCGGCGAGGTTCTTGACGTAGAGGTTGACGCCCTGGTACTTGTTGACCTTCTCCTGGCGAGCGGCCTCGTACTGGCGGCGGAGCTCCTCCTCACGCTCGTGCTTCTTCTGGGCGCGGCCGACGTAAAGCTTCTGTCCGTGGAAGTCCGACTCGTGGAGCTCGTCAACGGCCTTGTTGGCGTCCTCGTGTCTGGTGAAGTTGACGAAACCGAAGCCACGGCTCTTGCCCTCGTTGTCGTGAGCGAGCGAAGCAGAGGTGATATCTCCGTACTTCTCGAACAGCACGCGGAACTCGTCGTCGGTGACGGACAGGTCGATGTTCTTGACATAGACGTTGGTGAAGTTGGCCTTCATCTCCTCGAACTTGCTCATGCGGTCCTTCTTGGGGATGTGGTGGCCGACGAAAACCTTCTTCTCGTTCAAAAGCATACCGTTGACGCTCTTGATAGCAGCGTTGGCAGCCTCAGCGGTCTCGTAGTGGACGAAACCGTAGCCCTTGGAGTTGCCGTGCTCGTCCTGGGCGACCTTGCAGGAAAGAATGTTGCCGAAGGCGGCGAAGGTGTCGTGAAGAGCCTTGTTGTCGATGGCGACATCGAGGTTCTTGATGAAGACGTTACCCTGACCGGTCTTGCGGAGGGCGGGGTCACGCTGAGACCACATGATACGGCAAGGCTTGCCCTTGATGAGGGTGTAGTTCAGCTCCTCGAGAGCACGCTCACCATCGTCGCTGCTGTTGTAGTTGACGTAGGCGTAACCGAGCGAACGGCGGGTGACAGCGTCACGGCAGACACGGATGGAAGCGACTTGGCCGATGGAGGAGAAGAGCTCGAAGAGCATGGCCTCAGTGACGGAGGGGTCGAGCTCACCAACGTAGAGGGAGGCAGAGTTCGAGGCCTGGTTCTGGTGCTGAGGGGGAGCGGCGACGTCGGCAGGGGCGTTGGCACCGTTGACATCGGCAGAGGGAGAGGCGGGCTGCGCGGCGGCGCCGGTGGGCGAGGTAGCTTGAACGTCAGACATGTTGTATGACTTTTAATTTTCTGTACAGAGATACGTCAGCGCGTTTCTCCACACGGTGTGTTGACTTTTGACGAAATCTGCGTCGCGGGGTGCCGGTCGCTCAATATCAAAAGTGGAAGCAGCAGTGAAAGAACAGAGGCGATGCGAGAGTTGCAAGAGCACTTTCAGATACGGAAGTCGCTTGTCTGTGGATGCTGGCCCAAATTTGCGACTGCGATCTCTGCGTGTCGGATGACTCTTGCAACGGTCGAAGATGTGCGGAAGCAGATGTATATGCTGGAGAGTGTTGCGAGATGTTGCGCGGACGGACAAAAGTGAATGCGCACCTATTTCTTTGGAGAGACGAAAAAGATTCCTTTCGATAGACTCGTGGGTGATGGATGAACCTTCGCAACTAGACGCTGGGAAGGCGCGATATGGGCTTTTTTGAAGTTTTTCAATTTTTTTTGGTACCAGTGAGCGAGTCTTTATGAAAGGAAGTGCGAGAGCACGAGGGGTTATGGTGGGAGATGATGGATGCGTGCGGTGAAAGAGAAGTTCTTCAAAGAGTTTTTGCTACCCGTAAAGCTGCCCACAATCGCTGGTGACTCGGCAACACCCGGCACGTGATGGCCCTCCTTCTTTATTGGAACCACGACCTCTTTCATCCACTCTCACAATCAGGCAGGTGCTAGTCAGGGCCAGATGTTGGTGGCCGCATGCGGTTGTGCCTAATTGTTTGATTGTGCTCAACCAAGCGACATCTGCCACCCAGATGGCCGAATAGTCACATGTTTGTCGCTCTGGCTGTCAAACTTCCACGCGGCACATCAACAAAGTCTGTCCAATCATTCAATGTTTTCATCTCGCTTGCTCGCCGTTGCGTTCAAACCTCCAGGCTCTCTTCCCAGCCACCAGTGTGTTCTAACCACGCTCTAACCCTCTCAATGCACTCCTCGATCGACGCTCCCAACGCCTCTCTCCACTGATTCTCTACCTCGCGAACTTTGCCTTGCAGATCTTCAGTCAGCTCCTGCTCCTTGCGCTTCTTGTGGTGTGTCATCTCTGCCTGCACTTGGTCCGCAACCTCACCTGCTGCACCGCGCTCAATTTCACGCAAACGGAGTGAAGCGGCTTCCGTCGCTGTGTGCACCTCATGCAGCAGACACAGTAGATTGGTCTGCGCTTCGATGAACTGGTATGCAGACTTCTTGGCGTGTACCAGAATGGTGTACATATATTGCAAAGGAAATTCCTGATAAGATGTGTTTTCTGCCAGTTCGTTTGAGGGCACCACAATCTCGAAGCTTTGCAAGTTGAGGGGAATCTTGTGCACAACCTCAGCTAGACCAGGCGCAATGTCCCAGAAAGCCGACAGCTGAATTTCGACTCCTCTAGATGTATGCCTCTCCACAGTCTTGCGTAAGTGATCGAACCTCGTGTTGGTTTGTCCGGCATACTGAAGCTGTCGTCTTTGTCGTTCAAGTGCAAAATGCCGTTCGGCTTGACGCAGCTGCATCTCGTTTGCGTTTTGTTGATAGTTGGTCAGGACGGTTGCAGATTCCCTTGCAAGAAGCGCAGTGTCAAGGTCGAATCGTTCCTTGTGAATTTGCTCTCTGCTTTCGAAGAGCCACTTCAAGAGTGTAAGCTGCTCGACGAGCTCGGGTCTCTCATCTCCTTCCGTTTGGGCTAGCAAGTTCTGATCACACTGGGCCTCTGCATCAAGAGCCTCGATGAGTTGGTCAATATAGTTATCACAGCTCCGCACATGTTCAGCGAGCATTCTGTGCACAGGTTCGTGTATCCTCTGGCGGAAGTCCTGACATTGAGTGTCAGCCTGCTTGAGCGCGGTTGCAGACTCGTATTGGCGAAATGTCAATTCGGCTTGGGTGGCGTCGTTGTATGAGATCTTGCCTGAGTTGATCGACGTTTGTGTTTGCGAGCGGAAATGGCGAAGCCTCTCTCCAGCTGATGTTCTCCAGGATTGACGTCGACTAACCTCGACCGACTCGTGAGATCGAATGACTTCGCGTACGTTCGTAAGATCTGCAACTGCCCTGAAATTTGCCCTGAGCGTGCTCAATGCAGGATGACTGTTATTGACTGCCGGGTAATGACGTGGATATGGTGGCGGAAGTGTGACAAGTCTTGTGACATCAAGAGCCGGTTTGCCAGCAATACGACTTATTGGTGCCTTACCGCGAGATGAGAGTGGGGCTGTAGATGGTGGGTTCGATGGAGTGTACAGGTCGTCATCTTCGTGCCAACCAATTTTCTCTTGAGGATATTCCTCGGAACCATACTGGAAAGTCTGATTGCTGGTGCCGGGCGTGGGCGTACCTTGGTTGGGCGATGGCTGTGCGGCAATGTATAACTCCTGAGGGTGCAGACTCATGTACTTGGACTCTTGCTTGGTCCTCTCATGCCTACGCCCTCCATTACCGATCGAGCCATCAACACTTTCTTCCCACCATCGACTGGCCGATCTACCCCTCGAACTTTGCTCGTCTGGCACTGTACTCATAGCCATGCTTGGGATTGGCGAGAGACACGGCTTGAACTTGTCACCCCAAGGATTGGGTGGTCGTCTGCCCGCAGCATCCTCGCTCTCATCGGTCACAGACTCTGTATCAGTAGCCGGCGTATGTTCTGCAGTGGAAGTGACTGACGCATGGAAGCTAGCGTCAAGATCAATCATGATGTTCGCACTTTCGGGACTTGTGTTCCGACTCTGCACTTGAACTGCATTGTGCTCAGCCGCAGCGGATAACGGCCTCCACATGTCCCGTGTGAGGTCCATGATATCCCCGGCCATAGTGTTGAAGGCCTCTGAGTAGCGTCCCCTTCGCAATCTAGATTCTTGAACCATGAAGCTGGCAAAGAGTTCCAGTCTCTCGCGATCATTCTGGGCTGTAGATTCTTGATCGATGAACCCTTGGAACCGTGTCAGACTAGAGCGCGCAAAATCTGTAAGCTCGATGGAGTGTGCAGGTCCAATCGTATTTGTAGCGTCCGAGCGAAACTTGTCTGGCTGCGAGAAGTCTCTTCGGGATGATCCTGTGGAAGGGTGCTGCTCGTCAAGAGGAGTAGCATGTTGAGAATTATTCTTGTGCACGGGAGCAGCGACAGAAGGTGTGTATGGAGGTGTCAAGATTGTCAAGGCGTGTCGTCCATGTCGCTGAGGACGGTTGTATTCTGGCGACGAAAGCTGAGCTGGGCTAGATTGAGACGAAGATGGCTCAGAATCTGCAGTACGTCTTCTTCGTAGCAGACCGTCCGAAGTAGTGGTAAGTGTGAGATTGGTAGGCTTTGTAAGCGCCGGGGTCGTATTCTCTGCGCATCTCCGGTCGTTTTGGGAGTCTTGATCTGATTCCTGACCACTTCTCTTGACTTTACTTCGCGATCTTCTCTCACGTATGCTGTCTGCAATGTCTCTGTTCGCTGAAGCACGACCCTGGCTGATATTATCCACAGTGCGACCGATGCTTCGTGTCCCGGTGTTGATACGCAGCTCCATATAGCTAGACGAAACACTCTCCGTATCTGGGTTCCAGTCTGAGGGTGTGGGAGGGATCTCACCAAGTGTGTTCTCATGTCTTCTTCTGGTTGGAGGAGGAGGAGGAGGAGGAGGTGGTGGAAGAGGAGAGGTTGATAGCACATTTGGTGAAGCTGCAGCAGCTCGTACCTCTTGAGATGGTCTTGCATACCGGTTGAGACTCTGAGATCTGTGGCTGGGAGTAGGGGGAGGTCCTGGTGGAGGTGGAGGAAGTGGCATGCCAGGCTCCCAATGATAATGCTCGGGCGAGAGTCTGCCTGCAGATTTGTGTTGAGAAGCGTGCGTCTGGATGGCTCCAGTAGATGCAGCCCGTCGCGAAGCGGGCGGTCGGGAGATAGGTTCCGTGGAGCTCTGTGGCACTGGGGTTTGCATATGACTTAAGGTAGATATTTGATCAGAGCTATCAGATCGCTTGACGCGGGCAGCCAGTCCGGTGATACTAAATCTAGATCTTTGAGGGTCTCTACCTGCTCCAGAGCTTGATCGATCACGATTCTGAGCATTTGGAGGTGGAGGGAAGTGTGCAGTCGAACCAGCCAACGGGTTGGAACGATGACTTGAACTACCAGCTGATGATGGTTCCATCGCCAATGGAGAAGGCAAGAAGCCTGTCGAGGGTACTGAACGCAGCAAGCGAGGAGTGCTGTCCGAAGGCGCTGTATAAGGTGGTGGCGGAGACGGCATCGATGCTATATCCCAGTCACAACACGTCCAGCATGATGACCACTCCGACAGAGGGATAATCGGTGGTTTGCGTAGTAAAGAGCCTACTCACCTTCCATGCCAGTAGCATCCCTGGCAAACCTTTGTGTAGGAGAAAAGGCCATATGCGTCCCTCCAACATGACTACTTTGACCCCATTGTTGAGGATTGTATGGCCTAGATGACATGGCCGTGTTGGTATGTGTCGAGTGTCCACTTCCTGGAGGAGAGAACATGGGACTCAGGGGGGTACTTAGAGCGGCTGCATTGTCTCGCAAATGCTCTGCAGATACGTTGGCAGAATTTTGCTGGAGAATCGGGTGAGACTGTGCTGGAGGCAGAAATACGCCATGTTGCTGGTTCATCCTATATCACCTTCCTAGTGCATACCGTCGAGGATGTAAGTATCGAGTACGTCGTGAATTTTGCAAGAAACGAAACAGAGTCACAATATACGACAGCCAGTAAGTTCATATTAACAACATGATCGAGACAAGCCACAACAGCTGGAGCACCCTATTAGCAACTGGATCGATGCTCGTCTGCATGGCCAGCGCGACGTATAGCAAGCCATCGTTTTGGAGATCAGATCTGGTTGGTCGCTTACACCCAAGTCAACTCTGAGCGCTTACGGTTGCTATTCTCGTCCGAACTTCGCAGATGGTTGTGACACCTGCATCAGGGCTAACGAGTGCCTAGAGTGGGCGCTTAGGAAGGATCCGAAATCGCCACTATAAGCGCTGATAGCATTTTCTGAACAATTCACGAGATATTTACGTTGCTTGTCCGAGACTCAGAGCGTCAGTGATTTCTGTTCAGGGGCTATGGGATCTGCTATGGAAATCGTCACAGTCCACCTCTCGATCTTGAATTGACAGGTGACGCAAGTGGGGCCGCCTGTGGTGGCTCCTTGGCATGTGAGGCACTGGACTTTGTGAGATCCTGCCATGACCTTGGGTGAAACAGAGGTACGACTGATGGCTAGGCACTGCAGAATGTTTCTCGACGAACTGGAAGAGAGAGGTTGAGTTTAGAGCGTCTTTTGGCAAGATTGAGAAGTTTCTATATAAATTGTCTGATTGGTACGTCGACCACGGGTATCTGGTTATGGAATGCAAGATATTATAAGTTATCGCTAGAACAGAACGTGAAAGGTATAAACATCCAAAAGAAGATCAGCCACGTTACCTGATGGACGTGGTAGAGAAAGAAAGAGAGTGGGAGGTCGTGGATATCAAATGCGGCCGCCCTCAACGACTTCTCTGCCGATCAACTCAAGGAGGCCAGCCTCGCTCGTGCGTCGCCTTTCTAGGATCCAACGTTTGCCGCCTGTAGAGTCTTCTTCGCGGACGTACGTGATGTTGTCCGCGCCACTACCAGATCGCGAATGCGACTGGTGTCGCTGTCGTTCTGGTGCTGCAGCCGTATCATTTGCAGCGGCCTTCTTCGCCGTGACCGGTGTGCCTGGTAACTCGTGTACTCCGTTCGAACTCTTCTTTGGAGTCGAGACATTGTCTGGGACAAAGAAGGCATGTGGAGGCTGCAGAGGTGAATGCAATGTGAGACTATTGGCCATGCTATTGGCCATGGTTGCGTGAACAGGAGACGTGGGAACAGGGCTGGAGGAATGGTTAGAAGGATTGTAGTTAGAGTTGCTGCTATTGCTCCAGGCCATTGGTACGCCACCACCGGCACGTGGCATGAAATAGCCACCAGGCATATTGGGTGCAGCCATTGTGGGACTGTAGGGAGCTGGTATGCCAAAAGATGAAGAGAGTGAATTGACACTATTGCTGCTGCTTCCAAAAGCGCCTTGCTTGAGCCTTCGAAGATCCGCAAGCGTCATCTCATCTTCTTGCAGATGCTGCCATGCAAGAGGACTCATGCGCGCTGCTGCCATGTGGGACGGCGGGAAGCCAGGCGATGGCAGGGCAGCGGCCAGAGGACTGAAAGGTCCGATATAAGAGTTTCGAGTACTGAATTCGCTGCGTTCGGTGATGGGAGTCAAGTTTGGCTCCTTGACGCTTTTCTGCCGCACAATCTCGATTCCAGGTGCGCCAAAGAAGCCACCGTTGGTTGCCTCGATTGTACCAGAATCATCACCTGGTCGTGCTCTAGCATAGAAACCGAACTCCTGGCTGTAAAATCCTTCATCATCGTTTGCAAGTGCTTCGGAGTTTGCAGCAGAGATCAAGTCCAGGTCGTCAAAGTCATACTCATCATTGGGAAACTCTGAAGAGAAATTGTCTTCAAAGGTTACGCGATTACCGTAGTCAGTTGCCGAGTACGAGTTACGAGAGACCTGGGTTGGATCGGACATGTAGCTGTGAGACATTTGAGGCTGCATCTGCATCTGCATATGGGGATGGATTTGCGTTTGCAGCTGTGAGGGCATCTGCATTTGCGGCGGTAGGTGCATTTGCATGGGCGTTTGTATGGGCAATTGCATCTGCATCTGCATAGGCACATAGGCCTGGGGATATTGTGGTTGCTGAGGGTATTCTTCCTCGCTTTGCTCATGGTCTTCAGAATAGACAGAGTCGGAAGCGGCTATACTGTTCTGTCTGGTGAATTTACCGCTAGCAGCAGCCCTATGTGCAGCTTCTGCCAAAGCACTGTGATATGCAGCAAGGTTGTGACAGTCAAGCGGACCTTGTTGGGAATCGTGTCGCGCTGCTTCTTCTTGGGAATCTTGCGGTTGTTCACTCGGCTGGGAGGAGTCCTCCGAGAAAGGCGAATCAGCAGAAAACGGACCAGTTCCAGGATTGTGTATGAGGAATGGGTAGCCATTGACATTGTGAATCGGTGCGTCTAGGGACAGGTAGTTCGTGGTGCCGGTTGATATTTCTTGAAGGTGTTGCGGTTGATTAGGCCTTTTGAGATACGATGGATCGTCGAATTTGTCTTCATCGAAAGTTTCGGCTTCTTCCTCCTCTTCACAAACATCTTCGAGTTGGTCAAGTATGCCATCATCGAAGTAGAAGCTGTTTGCCGAATCAGGTCTGGCACGCGATTGCTGAGATCCAGCCCCTGTAGCATCAGGACGAGGGTCAGAAACAGGCTGATTGATCGAGCTTGGGGGCGGATTTGAGCGAAGTGGATTCTGAAAGACGGGCTGCGCTTGTTGAGCGGGCGTAATGGATTCGAGCGTGTTCGAAGTCGCCATTGATAAGTGACGTTGATCCGAGTCCAAAGTCATGGTAGAGAATCGATCAGGTAGGCCAAGGTTAGAGTGCTCGTATAGACCGCTCGCTGAAGCATCCTCCATCTCATCATGATCATACATGGCATTCTCATCAAACATATCCTCTTCCTCTTCGTACTCGTCAGGCTCAAACGTTGGCGGGTTCTGGGTCACAATCGAGTGGCGGAGTTTGTGCCTTTCCTCCAGCAATTTTTCTTCAGCTATCGAATCATTTGCAATCTGGAAGCTGAATCGGGAAGTCGTACTGGCCATATGCCGGGGTAGGGTAGAGGTAGGCTCTGGCATGAGATTAGGCGAAGGTTGAGGTTCCTGCTGAATTGATGGTGACGGCGGTTTGTTCCTCTCCGTCTCGAATTCGTTATGCTCGTATTTCGGTTCCGAAGCAGGTTCAGGTGACACAGGAGAGTAGACGCGCTCGGGTTCATGATACTGCCACCCAGGTCCACTCGTAGCGCTCATGGCAGAGTGAGGAGAATCAGAGGCTGGATCTGAATGTGATTGGTCATCAAAGAGTTGACTGCGTCGACCGAATGGGGGCATGTTGAGGGAATCAGCACTGTGATGCCACGAGTTGCGGGCGATAAAATCATTGTTTGCCAACGTCTCGGCATGGACACGATTCTCATCAGGCTCGCTGTCAATATGCTCAACGAAGACAGGCGTGTGCTGGACTGACTGCCTCTTGGGATCACGCTCGACTGAATCCTGCAGCGACTTGATGGAGTCATTTGCAGTCGACGGCTTGGACGAGGCTTCGGCTAGGCTAGGATCATATGATGGAGTGCGTCGAGTTCTTGGGGCACTGAAATCATGTACGAGCTTGCCTCTGATGCGCGGATCATAACCGTCAGGAAGATCCATAGGTGGGACGGCCAAGTTCTTGGTAGCCGTCTTTTCCAGCGTCTCGACAGCTTGCGCAGAACGTCTCCGCATGAGCAGATTGACCGGATTGAGCAGATTGAACTTGCCCTTGGACGACTTGTTGGAGCGTAGTTCAGGTCTCTGCTTGGACGTCTTTGCATGCTGGGGCACCCCATTGATGGTCGACTCTGCGGGCAAGGGTCGGTTTCCGGCACGAGGTCTGGCCTGGGCGGTGGTGGAAGAATAAGGTATCGAAAGGGCGGCCAGGGGAGAGGATGGTGACATGTTTGCTTGCTGCAAGTTGGGCAGAGCCCCCACGGGACTCGTTACAGATCTCCCCTTCTGCAGGCTTCGTGGGCGCGCGGCGGGGACGGCAGCGGGGGCAGCATCGCGGAGCGGCGAGGATGACGAGAGGTCCGAGGTTGAGGAGGGCGTAGAGCGTTGTGGACTCGAGTCGAAGCTGAAGGCACCATCGAGGCCCAAGCCTGTTGCAGGAGCGTCGTCGGCGACATCAGCGATGCTCGGTATAGGTGGCAGGACCGGCGCCAGTTGCGATACAGGGGACGACGGGGAGTAATTGTGCGAATATGAGTGGGCGCGTTGGTTGGATGGCTTGGGCGAGTTGGTTCGACCAAAATAAGAGGCCATTCTCCAACAAGAGTGATCGGCCGCCTTGAGTGTCGGTGTCGATATGTCCGACGGCGCTGCTGTCTACTGTCGAGGACTCGGTTGAAGAGCTTTCTATCTGGTCCAAGTCACTATCTCTTGTCAGGCATCATATCTCGACACGGAAGAAATAAAGTCCACTCAAGACAGTCGAACAGTCGAATAGACAAGCTTTTGCAAGACCGCGGGCCTCTGTTTCAGCACTCCCGTATCACCGTAATTTGGCAAGGGAGAGAGTCACGAATTGCCTTTGCGATCTCCTTCTGCAGAACGTCACCGTCTTGCTCGACTCCACAAGACTACGGCACGAGCAGCACCGTTGCTGGGTTCCGCAACGAGAATACAAACGGCCTGCTTGTCCGCCAGGGAACATGCAATCGGAGTTGGCTGCCCTCCACCCAAACCCCTCTCATTGGCCTGCGATTCCCAGCCTCACCCGAGCCCTCTTGCCTGTTCAGTCTTGCTCGACCCTCGAGTGGCCCGGTCCGAGCGTTTGCATTTCGTCACTCCACGACTCACGAACACGAGTCGTGCCTTCCATATCGTGAGCCTGCAACTTCTTGACCATCACCTAATGGTCGCACACTATATCTAGCGCCTCATCACACAGCTAACACAGCTGCATTTGTATCCCTTTGAACGGAGTATGTCATCATAAGTGGTCCTTTTCATGAGAGATAAGGGCGAACATTCTCAAATCTGCATTTTATCACGAGTCAAAGCCGTTGAGTGGTCATTGGTCAGCAACATCAAATCCACCCACGTGCAGGTCATCCGCGATCCACGACCTCACCACCAACCAGACATGGCACCTTCTATTGTGCATTTGCCTAACGGGCATAATCTGTCCGTCACACCCGTGTTCGGTGGTCTTTACTTCAAGTCTGTTGATGCCCACACTCATCACAACATCTTTCCTCCTGGTTGGACCATCACCATCGAGAGCGAAGACGATGACAACCCACGCTCTCCCAGTGCCGGGTCTGAGGAGCCCGAATATCGCGTTCACAGCTACAAGCAGCCCTCTTTGCAGAATGACCATCTGTTCATCTCCTCCATCTCCAATCCGCCTAACGAGCACACTCCTTCTCACTTTCCCGCATCCTCTCCCACTCGCCAGATCGCGATGATGCTATGGGCTACTTTGTATTGGTACTTCCATCAGCCTGAACCTGATCAGAAGATGACCAACTCTTTCTCACGGTCCACAGCTGAAGCGGGAAAGCCTAAGGGTGAATGGCGCATCAACATCAACCGTGAAGGCGTGTTCAGAGGAAAGCAATTAATGCAGAAACTGGAGCGCATGGGCTTGATCGCTACTGACGATTCTGCCGTTGGAACTTCCTTGGACCCAAACACTCCTGAAGGCTGGTCTGCCATGTTTGTGTCTCGACGCCATTTCTGGCAGCTGGATCCCCGTATCTATCTCTTCACCAGCAACCCGCAGGTCAACTCTGCTTTGGTTTCACACACTCATGTCGACTCAAGACCAGATTCACCTGCACTTGGTGTATCTAGCAGTAGACCTGACTCGATTGTCGACAATGCTGGTCCAATTATCCCCACCGGTGGAAACCATGGGCTTTGGACACCTCCCGGGCAATTCAAATCATCCTCTCATATGCCTACCTTCTATCCTCCAGCCCCGGCCCAGTACGTTTTCACCAACAACGTCCGCCACCCCGTTCGTCCCAAGCCTCCTCGACAAGGTGAGACATTCTACACAAGATACATTCCGAGCCTTGGCGAATATCTTTCCTTCCGAGTCGCATCCTTGTCTAAAAGACCAGTGCAACACATTGGGCCAGTTTCAAATCCAACACCTGGAGCCTCTCCGCTTCGTGCTTCTGCCAGTGCTAGTGACTCGCATGTGCCTACTGTTGGCACAACGGACCACGAGCTGAGCGATGCCGAGCTTCTTCATAAGTGGATGAATGACGATCGTGTCGCCTATTCATGGGGTGAGCAAGGTCCCCTTACCCACCAAGAGGAGTTTTTGAAAGGTGGTCTGACCAACAAGCATTCGATCCCGGTGATCGGATGCTTTGATGGAAAGCCGTTCGGGTACTTTGAGATTTACTGGGTCAAGGAGGACAGATTAGGCTCCTATCTGGGCTTCCATGTATCTGATTACGACCGCGGATTGCATGTCCTGGTTGGTGAGCAAAAATTCAGAGGCCCCCATCGTGTCAAGGTCTGGCTGAGTGGTCTTGTCCATTACTGTTTGCTGGCCGATGCCAGAACCGAAACAGTCATGCTGGAGCCCAGAGTCGACAACAAAAAGTAAGTGATCCTGGCATGTGTCTATGGTTGACGCTCGAAGACTGACATTGGCGGAACTAGACTGAAGAACTACTGCGAGGATGTCGGCTTTTTCAGAGAACGTGAGATCAGCTTCCCACACAAGCAGTCGAACCTCATGAAGCTTCGTCGCGAAGCTTGGGATGCCCCAGCCATCTAGACTTGTCTTCGGTTTAGCATTACGATACCCCTATCTTGTCCTTGGTGTGTGCGCATAATACGAAGTAGAGTAATTAGAAGCTGGTAGTGTCTGGTTATAGAGATTACGAATTAGGGTTTATGGAGCATATCATTTTTACATGAACGCCTCAGATTCGGAAGGCAGCCTCCCCGTGTGCTAGGATCTTGCAGGGGTCTAGCTTTCTAGAAGCACGGCTACTTTGTGGAAGTGCAGCAATACACAACGGAGGCTATCTCAGCAAACCCATTGTGCAGGCTGTCTTATGGTCAGGATCAACTGTGCCTTTGGCAGCTCGGAATCCTCTTGCATTTTTCCCACGCTGGGATGCGAGAGTGACAGACTTCGCACATGTGAAGAGAGAAACGAGGCACTTTAGACGGACGTTGTGAGATATGGTTTAAGCGACAAACCTAATACGATGAAACTCAACCGTGCCGGAGTTCGCCAAGTTGGCGGCGTTTGAAACCTAGGGTAATTCTGCACGACATTCAGAGATCCAGGCTCTGGTCGCAACAGTCAAGCTCCTGCAAAATCCCAGCAGTGACAGCGAACAGACTTGGGAGCTATTGTGCGCATGATTCCCACGATTTTGGTAGTCTGACATGTCTTTCGGCCTCCCAAGGATCATGGCGCATGCTGGGCAAGGATGTATGCATGTACAGCATGCATCTAGCGCCGGACCCCGCGAGTGTTGACGCGGCAGAGCACCAACCTTCTCTCTCCCATCCTTTGGGTGTGGTGGGCGTGAGCGTTTTCTGCCACGGACGAGGGTTAATATGCACAGGGCTAGTTCACCGTCGAGTGCGCGCGAGCGTCTGACGTGCCTTTGCCCGTGTCCGTCCGTGTTTGTTATTTTGATTAGACTTGCCTGCTGATATTTCTCTTCCTTCTTGCGATTGCCTGTTGTATACCCTCGACCGGACCTGTCACGACATTTTCCGCTTCCCCCCCACGACAACGATAACGAATCCCACATCCCCAGATGGCGCCGAAGATATCAGTGGATGAGACATTTGTGCCGCCTCAGATGCCTAGTCCACGTAGCAACCCTAGTATCGAGAAAGATGATGCGACTTTGAAAGTCGACAGTCCTAGCGAGAAACAAATATCTGAGCTTGTTGCTTCAGAGGAGAATGCGCTCTTGGACTCGGCCGACGACTTGGACATGGACGACGAGGAAGCTGTAGAAGATGATGAGGATACTGGAAGACCATACAAGCGCATCTGTCGCGGACGAGAGAGTGCGCTTTCTCTAGCCATGACTGACCAGATCAAGAAAAGGTGAGCGATCCACAAGATTATCCGTGTGCTATCTTCGATTCTCTTATCGGACTTGAGGTGTGACTCTTCACCGCTTGGTGTACGAAAAGAGCCGGATACAACATCAGCCTGAAGACACACAAAGCTGATTGACTTGCTACTTCTAGCGTCTTCTCGAAACCCACTCTTGTACGCGTCGGCAGCTTGACCAATAGTCAAGACTTCTACGTTCACGCTGCACACCTCGCTGCCTCATCACCCTATTTCGCCGAACTTCTCGATAAGCAAATGGAAGAGGACGAACCTCTCGAACTACTCGAAGACGACCCCATTGTATTCCAGCTATATGCACATTACATCTACGACAAGAAAAGCATTACAACTCTGGATCTGAATGCTTCAAACACCGCTCTGGACTCACGATCTGCCGCTTACGATACATATATCGATCTACTACAAGCCTACATCTTTGGCGAAAAGGTGCAGAATTCGGACTTTCAGAATGAAGTCATGAATAGGATCTTGCAATGTATTGGCAATATGCACAATAGCAAATCACCGAAGACATCTGTTTTGCCTGATGACAAGGATGGTCTTCCCTCTGCGTCGTCATCGGAGAATATCGTCAGACCACTCATTGAGCTGCTTTATCCGTCACTTCCACCTGATTCAATCGGTAGAGGCTTGGTAGTTGAAACCTTTATCGTTCTCTGGAGCCACTCGGATGTATTACAGAACTTTGTGCCCGATGTCAGTAGAGAACTGTTGACAGAAATCGCTGAGATGCTACTGAGTGGAGACAAGGATCACATCCGGGATGCCTGGGCCCAAGCCATCGACGGCGATTACTCATATTACCACTCTGCCAGATATGACGAGCATTGATTGCAGCCATATCTGAGACGAAAGAGGCTGGCACCGTTTTTACATTTGCTTCGTGCAGGCGCTGCTGGCTCATGCGTGCGTTCATTGCTTTTTTCACCTCCTTCACTTCACTTCTCTTTCTATTTATCGTCATCATCTTCTCCTTCTATCCCATACATATAACAGCCTCTTTTTTCCTTTCTTTGGCCTGGGTTATAATGTTTGGTTTTTGTCATGGGTCTGCGCGGGATCGCCCTTTGGAAAGAGTATCTGGATATATCTATATAGTCACGACGTCCAACGAAAATGCAAAAGATCTGGTCATATACAATTCACAGCCGCGTACTTGGTAGTTTGCAAAGTAGTGTTGATCTACGCGTCTAATTCCTGAGAGCGGTTCGGGTTTGAGTAGCATGTCCTGATTTCGCAGTGCACCTTCTTCTAAAAAGGCATATCCATATCTAGGACATCCTCTTCCTCTTCCTCTTCATCCGCCTTGGCATTTCCTTCTCCAGCATAGACATTTCGGATAAACTGAATCACAGCCGCAATATCTCTTTCACTACTCGGCACAGTATGTGTTCCCGTATGTCTAACAACACCACCTTTTCCACCACCTTCACACCTCTCCGCCAACGCCAAAGATTCACTCTCCTCCACAATCGTGTCCATACTACCCAAAACATGTAAAACCGGTGTTTGAATCCTAGGCTCATAGAATGCCGTATAAGCAGGACATTTATTCAACAATCCCGAAAAGCAAACACAAAATGTCAGCGGTGGGTGTGTGAGTTCAGCAAAAGAAGACGGGAAAGCTATGCCACCTTTCACATTTGCAAAAGCTTGAGCTCGTGAGGGTTCGAGGAGGGAAGTTATCATGGCTGCAAACGCTGCTCCTTGACTGAATCCCATGATACCGTCGAAGGGACCTTGTTGTTGCAATATTTTTGCAATGCTGGAGAGTCCGATTGAGAAACCTTGTTGTGGTTCTCCTCGTGGGCAGAGTTTCCACCATCCGTTTGCGTCTTCGCGGACTTCTGCTCCGTTTAGATCTGCTGAGGTTACTGGGAAGGGACCGGTGGGATAGATTAATTCTATGCCGTTGATGGGAGGGTTGGTGTCGGTGTCGGTGTCGGTTTTGATGGGGGAGCTGGCGAGAGACTTTTCGAGTAGTTTCTTGATTCGTTGGGTTTTTGCTTGGAAGAGAGGGCCGGATTGTGTGTAGCCTTGACAGAGTTCAGTATTTGGGATATTACCATGTTTCGATGTTGGACTAACCGTGCAACATAAGGATCTTCAATTTTCGAGTGTCCTCGGATTTTGAAATTGGCGCCATGATGAAATGCGTTGTCAATGATTTTGGTATCGTGGTAATTCTATCAATAAATTCTTAGAAAGCAATAGGTAGTGAGGGAGGTTGAGTTGTAGGGCTCATCGATGCCGCACTGACGTCTCGACATCAAACGGGCTGTCACTTCCTCTTTGGGATTGACATGTTCTCGATCGCTTTGACATACAATCGATTTTAACTCGGTAATTTTGTTGCAAGATGTGTACAAACAGATTTTTGACATGGCTGTTTTCTGTCTCAGATTTGCAAATGCGTTCTTTCGTCGGACAGGCTTGTCAAGTTAGCAAGTAGAATTATAGCAGATATACCTTCTTTACAGCACCAAAACCTTTGACCTTCTATCTCAGTCCTCGACACAACGCAAACATGCTGGTGTTCACATCATCACTACACCAAGTGCGAAGTACCAATCTCCGTCATCTCCGAGTCTGTCTCTTACCATCAAATGTCACGCCAGTGATATTAACTCCTGCCTCGTCCCGGATCTATACCACCAACACACAGCAGAATGCCGGTGAGGCAAAAGTTACACCCATCAAGCCTAGACCTTCGCTAGCTACACGCGTTTTCTGGACGTGTAGAGGTACATGGAAGAGAGCAGGTGTCAACACGCTACGATGTCTTGTTGGATGCACGATAGGAGACTTTTCGGCATTATGGACGTTGCAGACACATGCGCCGGAGTTGGGAATGAGCACGATCATGGCTCTGTCTAGTAAGACTTTTGTTCTCTTTTTTGTTAGGAAAGGACTCGAAGATGAGCAGAGATACTGATAGCGAACAGTGACATCCGGTCTGACTACATCGATTGCATTGGAGACGGCTTTACTTCACCGGGGCAAGGACAAGTTGTCCACCAGCATGGCTTTCAAGACAGCAATGGGTATGAGTTTCATCTCGATGCTGGCCATGGAGTTGGCGGAAAATGCTGTTGATTATCATCTCACTGGTGGAGTGGTCGCATTGCAAGACCCGCGATTCTGGACAGCTGCGGTGGTGAGCATTGCTGCTGGATACTTGGTGCCTCTACCATGGAACTATTATAGATTGAGGAGATGGGGCAAGGCATGTCATTGACATACAAAGATCATCAATGTAAATCACGAGAAGTGTATATCAGCACGAGATGTATCTAGAATAAAGTTGAAGCACGTTGATGCAGAAAAGTGTGGTTCGTACGAAGGCAGAAAACAGCGACCCTGGCGTTCCTTCTGCGAGGGCCGAGAAGCCCAACAGCTGATGCGACCTAGCAACCAAGCCATCACAACCCATTGCCATCAATCCACCCGACTTTACCCATAGGCTACCGCCAGCTCATCGTTATGAGTGACATGCCGGATTCACCATTGTCGTCGATATCGTCGTCGGACGAAGCAGACGACATGATCAGCACACCGAACCGATCAGCCAGACCCAGCATAGACACAGACACGACAGGACCACCGAGCAAGAAACGACGTACGGGCGGCGGACCAGCGCACATTAGCTCATCACATGGCGGCACAATCATGGTAGCTGGCGCCGACACAATAGAAGAGTCGGAAGCAGACATCAGTTGCGACAGCGAGGGTTCCGCTCCAGGATCGCCCAGCCAGGACGAGTTTGCAATGCGCGCGGATCAAGTCACTACTTGCGCGTGGGAGGGCTGCAGTGTGGGTGATCTGGCCAACAGCGACGAGCTCATTGCACATGTCCAGAACGACCACATAGCGCCCAAGCGAGCACGCTATACCTGTGAATGGGGAGACTGTGCACGCAAAGGCACAAATCACCCCAGTGGCTACGCTCTGAAAGCACACATGCGAAGCCACACCAAGGAGAAGCCTTTTTTCTGCCACCTGCCAGGTATGCATGCTGCTCTGCACACTTTGATGACTTGGACCAAGCTGACTCTTGAGCAGAATGCGATCGTTCATTTACCCGATCTGATGCCCTCGCCAAACACATGCGCACAGTCCACGAACCCGAACCTCCACGCGCTGCAGCAACAAATGCCAATCCCATCGATCCCGCTACCGGCCAGCCCAAGAAGGGCCCAAAGCTACGCCTCTCGATGAACGGCAAGACACCCATCAAACCCTCCGTCCCAGATGTGCCCGTACCTGCACCCACCCAAGCTCCTGACGATCCATCACCACCCATGGACAACATCCAATACATACCCGCGCGTCACCCGATAACTGGCCAGGCGGGCTTCATGATCACATACCCACCCGACATACACTTTTCACAGTTTGAGAGTGAAATTCCTGCGAATCAGCTCATGCGGCTGCTCAGACGTCAACTGCATTGGGCACAGCAAGAGAGCGAGGGCTTGAAACAAGAAGTCGAAGCGCTCGAGGAACATCATCGTCAGGAGTGGGCAGCAAAAGAAGCTTTATTGGAGGGTGTATTGCAAAGCGAGCTTGCTGCTACAAAACAGCTGGATGAGACAACGCTGCATGAGATGAAGGAGGAAGTTTGGGGACCCGAGTCGAAAGAGCTGGAATGGACGGGCACACCTCCGTGGCAGAGAGAGGGTAATCACAAGATTGAGGAACCAGAGAGTCCGAGGGATGTGGATGTGGATGTGGATGTGGATGTGGATGATGCGGTTGTGGTTGCGAACAGGGCGGCCAATGCGCAGCAAGAAAGTGCTTCACAAGCAGAGAGAGACGAGGATATGATGGCTGTTGGTGCCCTAATGGGTCTTAGTGGTGCCGCTTAAGAGTCTGCTCAGTTCATCGACATTGCAAGAGATCGCTACAGTGAAAGGAGGAATACCCGATGAGTGATTCGAGAGCATATGCAAAAATATCGCTACCAAAGAAATGATGAATTGTATTCTCCTCAAAGCTTCGTACTCCTGACCAAACCCTTCTTGATACCCGTAAGTTCACCACCATAGCCACCTTTACCCTCGCCACCCTTGTAAACCGGCTTGATGGAAGCCAACTTCTTCTTCTTCTCCTCAAACTTCTTTCTCTTCTTGACTCTAGGATTACGCACATCCTTCTTTCTATGCGGCGTAAGTCCCTTGTTCTTTTCAATCGCATACGAAATCGCTCTCTTGCCATCTGGGCCGACCTCTTCCTTTTCAATCACTCTGCCTCCTTGGGCAGCTGCTTCTTTGAACGCGGCGGCTTGAGCCGCCTTGTCTGATTTCTTCTTTTCTGCCTTGGAGGCCACCATGTCGTAGTAATCTTCCTCGTCATCGAGCGTCTTTTCTGGCTTTTCGCCGCGGACTAGACGGGCAGTGGCGCGGTCGTCTTCGTCTTCGGAATCTTCGCCCAATTGATCGCGGTCAAAGGATTTTACGCGTGCTTCTGCTTCTGCGTTTAGACGGGCCTGTCTATCGCGAAGACGTTCACGGTGAGGCACATCCTCATCTCCACCTTGAATTTTTGCGCCGCGCTTGTTTGCCTTTTGGGCGATTTGGGAGGTGTAGAAGCGGAGGGACTTCTTGCGCTTGGCTTTCTCGGCGAGTTCGGAGGCTGTGAGGAAAGTGTCTTCGCCGAGGTCAGAGTCGTTCTCGTCGAGGGCGGCTGTTGCTGAAATATTCTTCGAGGAAGTCTTCTTGGGGCGAGAGGTTAGGAGGGCGTCGAGGTCGCCAAAGTCTGCTTCGGTCTTGCGGAGGCGTTCTGCGCGGCGGGCTTCTGCTGCTGCTGTTACGGCGTCGACGGCACGTTCGGCGGCTGTCTTTCTGGTCTTGGTGGGGAGGATGGTGACGGGTGCTTCGTCTTCTGATTCACTCATTTCTTCCTCTGAGGCTCCTTCCAAGGCGGACTCGTCTTCTGAGTCGTCTTCGGGTAGGTCTCTGAGGCGTGCCCATAGGTCGCGGCATTGGATCAAGCTCTCCATGATGGGGTGATCACGAATGGCGTTTGCGGAAAGAGCGAGACCTTTCGTTTGCTTGTCCTGGGCTGTCGAGGTAAGGAGGGCAAAGTACATGGTTAACGAGGCGAGGTAAGCAGCGGATGCTTGCAACTTGGTCTGAACGGCGAGTGAAGGCGACTCAACAGCAGACAGTTCCTGGTATGTCTGGTTCAGAGCGAGCAGCTCCTTGCTCAACGGTTCGAACTCCGGGTAGCGTGTCTTGAGTAGCTTCATGCGCTCCTTGGGCGTCATCTTGTCGTCCAGCTCGAGTTGAGGCAGCACTTCCGTGACGGTCTCTCCATCCTGTTCAGCATCCTTCTCGTCTTCCTGTTGCCAGTCCGCCTCGTCGAATCCAAAGTCAGCAGCGCTCATGGCCTGTAACTGCTTCTTCTGCAGGCGCAAGGCCTCCTTCTCTTCGTCGAGCGCATCTTGTTCTGTCTCGATAGCGTCGGCGTTGTAGTAGTCTTGCTTGGATTCTCCCCATGCCTCCATGTCTTCCTCGTCGTCCTCTTCATCCTGTGCATCCTTCTTTGACTTCTTTGCCGGCGCTGCTGCTGTCTCCTCCTCTTCAAAGTCGTCTTCGTCGTCATCTTCGGCTTCAGAAGGTTCAGAGTATCCTAGGACTTCTTCGTCGGACAATTCGAGGAATTCCTCTATAGTGCAAGTCAGCCACCGATCGCTTTGGCGCATATCTTTCGCAATGCTTACCCTCTTCCTGCACCTTTCTCCTCCTCTTCGCCTCCGGTCCATCGTCCAGCATAACCTTGTCACGGTTGATGTGAAACTCGTCATCCGAGCCCGCCACATCCTCATACGTCTTGATCTTCATGCGCGTACGTCTGTTCGAGTCGTCTGCAACATCTTCCTTGACTGCTCCACCAGAAGAGGCCTTTCTCTTTTTCGCCATGATGTTTTTTTTTGGAGTCGTGGTTGTTGTATGAAAGTTCACTTTGGGGATTTTTTGATGGTCAGAATTTCTTGGCCGACAAACTCCGATGTCTCCGGGGTAGGTCTTTTGGACGTCTGACATTAATTCATCCTACAATATGGAGTTCGACTTGTTGTTTTGTAAATACTATATCGCTAACCATATATTCACTACAATTGACATATGAGATTCTAAACTCTCGACTTTAACGTTGATTCGTGTCAAGATGGCAAGTCTCATTGCTAGTCACCACAAGGATCACCACTAGGACTCTTTGTGCTATCGTCCGCACAAGACGATGACCATAATAGTCCTTGACTCTCTGCTTAATTGTTGTCCCAACGGACAGGTCCCAGAAGGTAGGTGTCATGAGTGATGATCAAAGAACAATGCCCTGCCGAATGCGGGAGGAACCTCTCAAGGAACACAATGGAAGGCCCCAATCGCTTTGTCTAGTTGGCCATCACTGCTCGAGGCACTACTGCAGCCATGGCAATTCCATCTCCTTCGAATGTCTTGAGACTCTTCCAGGAAGTGAATCCGCCGTGGGACCAAAATCATCTTACAACGAAGTCGACTATTGAAGAATGGACAATCGACCCTCTCGAGCCCGTGTCCGAGACCCCTCCAATGAGCTCCTGCCATCACAGCCCCTACGAGGCCTCCGAAGTGATAGCCCCATGGAGGGCGGTGCCCCCTGGCTCGGAGGAGAATACAACCAACCACCGCTAAACGCCTACGATCATCCACTCCCCAGACGCCTCCCCACTGAGCCGCGAACTCATCGTAGTTTCTGGTCTTCCATCCACCACTTCTTCTCCTGGCATGGAGGCTTGAGAGTCTTTCTCGCTTGGGGATTGGCTGCTTATATCATATCCTTTTGCTCTGCACTGGCTTCGGAATCTGCAAAATACGTCACTGCAAGTCTTATACCAAGGGAGCCTGCTGGAAAAATATGTGCGGCAAACCATGTATGTGTGCCGGACGAGGCAGCGAATCCTTTTGTGCCTGTGCAGGCTGCTAAGCAAGGTGTTACTAAAAGCTTCAAGGCAAATGAGATATGGAGCTTTATGCCTGATGGTTTCAATTTTCTGGGCTCGGGTGGGGTTTGGGGTTACGATCAAGCTCATTACCTCAGTCTGGGTGGGGTTTTGGGTATTGATGAGTCCCGAGGCTTTGATCAAGTCACTGCAAGTCAGCATAACAGAAGTGCTCTTATCGATGCATTGAAAGAGTTTGATGGATTAAGCGCAGATCTAGTGGCAGAGATCCATACCATTGACAACAAGCTACCTGATCACAATCCGGAAAAGTCGACACAAGCCTACCTCGTTGCATATCTCGATGACATGCAAAAGCAACACGGCAAGATCACTAGGTAAGATGTCCCACTCCATTTTCTTCTCGTCAAGGATGCCAGAAACTAATACCCGCACACAGCAAACTCCAAGACTACCAAACAAGCAGCAAAAAAGCTCTCGACCTCGTCCACAAATTCCGGCAAGCAGAAAAAAACACTTACGCCCTAAAACACCACGCCTCCGATCTCAAACTCCTTCGCTCACAATTGAGAAACACAGGTTCTGAATTGGAGAAATGGTTGAGAAAACAGGATTCTGATATTGGCTTTGTGATTCAAGAGGTGGAGGGTTTGTCGTGGAAGCAAGAAATGAAAAGGGCGAGGTTGGGGAGTTGGAGGTTCAAGCCTATGGTGGCTGGCGTGAAGAGGTTGAGGGGGTTGATGGGGATTGTGGGGGTCGTGTTGGAGTCGGTTGTTAGGGACAATGGTGCATTGGCGTAGTGTGCAAGAAGGTGGGTAGTGTGGCTGGTTGAAGTGGACTGATATACGATGGATGGATATGTATAGGAGGGATTTTGTACATGTGTGATATTTGTAGTTATGTTCATGTCCAAAGATATAGGCAAGACGCGAGAATTGAAATGTACTCAGGTTGTGTTGCTTTTTCTAGTAGTGCAATGTAATCATGTCTTTCCACAGCCCATCCTTCTTCCCTTCTTCTCTCCTCGATCGCCAAAGTCTTCGAGCATCCAATTCCAGGCTTCATCAAGCCCAGTCTAACAGACACCAGACAGCTCAGACGAAATATGCTCATCGCAAAGCTCTATCAACAAACTTTGCCTCGAGCTTAGCAACCTCTGCCTTGAACGTCTCAACCTGCTCCCAGCAATCCAAAGGTCTACGATCATTCAACCTCAAACACTGCACGAGCCCCTCCTTTGCCTTTTCCACAGCCACATCAGTCTTGTCGAGGTTCTTGCGACGCTCGAGTTTGCTACGCAGTTCGGCGACTTCTTTGGACACGCTGTCGTTGCTGCGATCCTTGTTTTGCGATGACGAAGGTGTGAGGGCAGAGGAGATTTTGTCTTTGATGGAGGGAGAGTCGGAGGAGGAGGGGGAAGAAGAGTCTGAGGAGTCGTCGGAGGTGGGGGTGAGGGTGGAGGTATATTGGGCGAGGCGTTTGGCTTCTTCTTCGCGGATGCGCTCGAGTTCTGCTGTCACGCGCTGTTGGATTTGGAGGTCGAGGTTGCGCTGGCGGGTCGAGTCGGTCTTTTTGAGCTCTTGTCAGAAACTTGGGATGCTATGTGTGTTCTCATTGGAGTCGCAATACCTCGGGACTGTTTTGCAGCGAGTCGACTACAGATGGTGAGAAGCTGACAGGGCTGTCTCTGTTGCGCTCGTCAGTTAAACATGTTGTCGCAAGCAATCGAAACATTGATCGTACGCAGCAAAGACATATGGCGAGCCTTGCGGCTTGGAGCTTCCAGAACCCATGACAATTGAACGTGATTGGAAGTGCGAAGAGGTTTCAATGGCAGAGAGAAACAATCGTTCGTAAGTCGCGGTATGCTCGCTGCCGCTACCCACTGCGCGCGATGTCAACTGCCAAGCCGACCTTTCCACCTCCGATTGACTCCGACGGGGAAGGAGCAGGAATAAAAAATCAATTAAACTCCAAAGCAACGCGGTACGCGTCTTCCCAAGCTGTCCCATTGCCCCTAAATCATGCAGACATCAATTACATCCTGGTTCAAAAAGTCCTCGGCGGTCAAACAATCCATCACTGCTTCTCAGACGACAGAAGACTCGGCCTCAAGAGTACAAACAGCTCCTGTTACAGAAAGTCAAGATGGCTCACCATCATCGTCATTGTCGCAGCAGCCAACACCACATCAGCCCACCCTGACCACGCAACTGGACCAAAAAACGACAACAACCACATCAACATTACCCTTCTCCCACCCCTCGAAAAGACTAGTAAAAAATATCACCCTTGTCCCCTGCGACACCACAAACATATCCTCCTTTGAACGTCTAAACACCCTGCTCCTGCCAATACCTTATCCCCGCACCTTTTACAAAGAAACCCTCTCGGACCCGATTTCCAACCACCTAACCCTTCTAGCCCTTTGGCATGATAGTCCGTCTTCTGTCGCGTCAGCGTCAGGAAAGGTTATAGCAGCAATACGCTGTCGTATCCTGCCCTCATCCTCTGCCTCTCCAGATGATAAAATCCTCTACATCTCCACTTTGGGTGTGCTTTCTCCCTTCAGGAGTTACGGTATCGCAACGCATCTATTGGGGATCATGATAGAGAGGGGGATAAGAGATCATGGGGTGAGCGCTGTGGGAGCGCATGTTTGGGAAGCTGGTAAAGAGGCTAGGGAGTGGTATGCCAAGAGAGGTTTCAAAGAGACGAGGTTGGAGGAGGGATATTATAGAAGGTTGACACCGCGAGGGGCCTACGTGTTGAGGAGGGAGGTTGGACCGAGGGATTTGTTGAATCACGGAGGGGCTTGAGAATACGGAACAGACGTCCTGAAAGGAAGGTAGCCAGAGGATTATTGATCAAGAAGGCAGACAAAGTATAGAAGCATTCGTCATCATCAAAGACAAGACCGAAGATTCGGTCATGGAGCACAGCAAACGAGAACAACAAGAAGAGGTCGTGAGTTCAAAAGAAGAAAAATGGTCAATGTACTAGGATATATGTACACATATGTGACGGCTGAATATGATAAAATAAAAACCAACGCCCTCCCAAGCTCATTTCCGCATGCTCATGCGAGAAAGATTTTGTAAATCGTGAGAAACTTCTGGAAAAATCATCGTCGTCTTCTGTATCTACTCTTCTCCGTACTCCTTGAGTTGTGCCTGCTTGGCCAACTTGTCGGCAACGAGAGCGATCAAAGCGGCTCCAACACCGCTACCATCCTTGGCGATACCAATGCGGATGCGCTTCTCGCCGTGCTTGCCAACACCCTCGATCTGACGGAGGGCCTCTCTGATGTACTCCTCAAAGCCAGGGTAGAACTCGACGAGAGAACCGTCAACACCAATGTCAACCATCTCGTCCTCGTTGACGGGAGTGTCATCGGCGGTGGCAATGTCCTGGGGAGATGAAAGCTTGTCGGTTGCGAGGACGACGGCAGCAATGGCGACGGCGGAAAGACGAGCGGCGCGCTTACCAATGGCAGCAGCAATCAGCTTGACGGCCTCAGCGTCCTCGGCACTGGCGGCGTGAACTCCGTAGTCCTTGTCCAAGGTTTGACGAGTGACCTTGAAGCCGTTGCTGTTGTCACCGTGAGCGATTGACAAGAAGCTGGTGTCGAGACCCCAAGGTTGCCACAGAGGGCTGTTCTCGGCGAGACAGGTGGTGCTGTGGACGTCGTTGCTGCTGCTGTTGTCATCGCTGAAGAGGCCGGTCTTGCGCTCCTTGACCAGGTCGACGATAGCGAGACGCAGAATCTCACCCAAGAACATACCGGAGATGCGCTTTTCGAACATCTGGATACCGGGGTTGGGGGTCTCCTTGTCGAGCGAGTTGTCGTAAGGGGTGTTGGGGAGAACGCGGAGCTCGTTGTCGAATGAGCCCCACTCAGTGTTGATGATCATCTCACCAGTGGTGCGGTCAACATTGTCGCTGTTTTCGGAGCCGTTCAGCTTCTTGACCTTGTCGAGCTTCTCGACGTAAGCGCCGTTGGTACCAGTACCGAAGATGGCACCCAGAAGAGTACCAGTCTTGCCAGGAGAGGTGTATGAGCGAGCCATGAGAGTTCCGACAGTGTCGTTGACCAGAGCAGCAACACGGACGGGCAAGTGGAGAGCATCGATCTCGTCTTGGAGGAGTTTGCAGACATCCTTGCCAACAGCATCGGCAATATCGAAACCCTTTGTCCAGCGGATCAAGGTACCCTTGTTGATTCCAACCTGCTGCACAGGGAAAGAGAAGGTGAAACCCAAGTTAAAGATCTCGCGCTCTTCGAAACCGCTCTCGGAGTGGATGGTGGCACGTCTGCGGATGGTGGCGTGGTAGTGTTCGCCGTGGTGGGTTTGCAGGAAAGTGGCGATTTGCTTTGCGAGGAAAGAGAAAAGCTCCTTGCTGGTCTGGGCGACCATGAGCTCCTTGGGGATGGCGACCTTCGATTGGGTGAGGGAGAAGGTGCTGTCACCGTTGAGGTTGATGGAGCAGACGCGGAAGTTGGTGCCACCGAGATCGACGGCCATGTAGAGACCCTATCACTGTCAGTCATGGAAGATGCTGGCTCACGCGAATCCAGACTCACCTTCTCGGTACCGTTGGGAACAGCAGTCACATAGGTGGGAATTTGGCTCATGGTGGTGCCAGACTTTTCCAGACCCTCGTCTGAATCCAATGGTCAGTCATGGGCTCAGGTCGAGAGGAAAACAGTGGTAGACATACCCATCTGGCGGATGAACTCCTTGACGGCCTTGTTGACTTGGGCGTCCGAGTACTCAAACTCGGCAGCCACGCGGCTGGCTTCTTGTGCGAGACCCATGTTGCGAGGAACCGACGTGTCAAAGAGGGTGTTTGCTTGCTCTTCGGGATGGTGAGGACAGATCAAGTCCTGTAGGAAGGGATTGGAGGGGTTGTAGCGACAAAAGTCAGGCCTACCCAAGTTCTGTGGCTGACTTGGCTTGCGGAGCGAAGCTACGAAGCGGGGCACGAGCAGGAATTGGACGCTGAGGACGAGTATGAGGAGGACGACAGCGTACAAGGAGCGTGAGAGAAACGAGCCTTTTTCAGATCGGAGCTCGCGGAGAAAGGGTGGGTCTGCCGCGCGAGATGAGGATGGGGAGCGAGATGAGGGAGTTGGGAGACTTCTGGTGCGTCGATGGAGCGCCAGGGTGAAGATATGTATACAAGGGAAGAGGGACAGGAGTCAGGTGGTGCACGCGAGACGAGAGGGAATTAAGTGACAGCCCTAAACCTGCTATTATCTGATGTCTTGGACGGTGCAGCGACGGCTCTTGACCTTTTGCATCGTCTATCGCATCGAGACTCGACTCTCAAAAAGTGATGGGGGTGCGTGCGCTGAAAACGCCCTCTGCGTCACTGCTACGAACGTCCTTGCCTTTTTGACAGCCTTCTGTTGATGCCAATTGACAGAATGCTATCACTGATCGCTCTTGCCATATCTAGAAATGAGCCTTATAGCACTGCGTTGACAAAGTGAGCAGCTTTGTCTACTGCATATCACCTGTCCTCCACCTTTCCCCTCGCTCATCTCCAACGTATCAGCTCTTCTTTCTCCATTCTCCTCCTCGTCATACTCCGCGCCCAACCGCAGAATCAACAAAGCGCCCGGTACTTCTCCGGAGCCTCTCTCGTTTTCGCTTTCAGCCTCCAGCCCGCCTACCTCACCCACTCCTCTACCGATTCAATTCTTGCTTGTCGTTCCTTGCTAGCTGCTTGAGCGCCTCGGTAGTAGTTGCCGTCCTTGCCGATGACTGCTATCCTGCCTGGCCTTGCTCGAATTCGCTACTCTATTGTCATTCTTCACCAGACCTCTGGATTTCTTATCCGACCAAGGCCTCGTCTCGGCTCCTCTTGGCATCAATCGGCAGTCTCGTCTTCCGATTCGGCACGATTTGCTGTCCACGTACGCCGTGGAGGTCTGAGAGGCATCGAGGGGCTCCGTCGGACCTCTGGTAGCCCCAAGCGAGCTCTAGATCAAAACAATGTCGCCTCTCAATATGACACAAATACCAAGTATGTCCCTCTCGACGAGTGTCTGATCAAGTAGACACGCGAATGAGAGTCCTCGATCATTGTAAGTGAATTTCTGCTTACCCTCTCAAAGTTATGAAACCAAATCGCGATTGGATGCAGAGTCTCAACCGAAGCGTAAGCCTCGATTGAACAACAAATGCATTGCGTTTGTTCGTTCGAGCCTTGGATTGAAATCCAAGTCAACACGTGCTCCAAGAGATGCTATATTCATAGCGATGGATACCGAAGGCACCAAGGCCGATCTTACAGAACTTGGCATTTCAACTCTGGATACTCGAGACATCCAAAATATTGATCCTGGTCCATCAGCTTTGAATTGGTCACAAAAGATTAGGCCTCGTCAATTTCGCTTCAAACCTGGCGAGCGTCAGCCATTTCTCTTTGGAGCTGTCGAGCACCGCATACCTCTAACGGCCATACAGCCATATCTCAAGCTACAACCTGATCGACTGTATATACTTGTTGGGCACGCTCTGAATCACGACATCGAGAAGCTTGCTTGTACGCTAGGATACGAGTTGAGGAACGAGTCTAATGTCGTTGCCATCGTGGACACCTATGCTCTTGCGCAACAATATCGAACCACGCTACCCGGTCGACTTTCGAAGCTTTGGAGGTTTCTTGTAGACTCAAGCCCAGGAGACGCGACACCAGCCGACGTTGTAAGAGTGTTCTCTCCTAAGCCACATACCGCAAGTCTCGATTTTGAGAGCAAGCATGGTTTTCACAACGCTGGCAATGATGCGTTCTACAACATGCATACTCTTTTGATGCTTGCGCTACAGCCAGAACTACTCAGGGAGCCCCAGTACAGCTCTTCGCTGGCTGGGGTGTTCCTCACTGCTCGATCTACAGCTTGGCAATTGGTCAGACGTTTGACTTACGAAACTCCAGGCTCTCGAGCCAAATCAATCGTCCCTGGTTCGATGGTGAGGAGGCCTGAAGGTGTGGCCTCTGTTCCACCCAATCAATTGACAAGTTCTAAGGAGTTGACAGTCCGAATCAAGATTCCAAAGACTTGAGATAGACCATCAAGCGAATTTGACCCACCATCCTGGACAGCGTGATTCCAAGTACAAGGGCTAAGATGTCTGTTGATACTCTGACTAAACCAAGCACAATGGCAGAAGAGAGGTCTGATAACAAATTGCCGCACCAATATTCTACCACATAGTGATCATATATTCGTACATCACTTCTTGAAAACGCCGTTTAACGTCTCTAGAGCATCTGACATAGATCTCAGAGACTTGTAATCGCTGTAGAGTAGTCATAGTCCGATATAGATGCCGCTTCTGCTCTTCCCTGTGCTGCCTTCGTTGCCATCGCTTGTCAGTGGTGAATATGTTGCCTTCCGGAAGCTCGATGCTGAAGATGGCAACGCCTCGTGTGTTACACCGTTGCCTTCGACGCGGTACAGGCGTAATTCTCACGATCAACATCTATACTAAACTCTAGTCGTCGCCGTAACCTAATGCAATGTTTTCAAACTTCACTGTTCCCTGCATACTATTCGGTCCTAGCTAGGTGTCGAGCTTGAGACTGGCTGCGAACCCAGGGATATGCTGCCAGTATTCCGCCCCCACGCAACAGTGAGGACCACAACACGAATTCGTCAACAAGAGCTTTAAACTCGCATTTTATAGATCAAACTTCATACGCACTATAGGAGACGTATGCTTAGATCTATGTGTGGAGGTCATAGCCAAGACTTGGTCAAATCTGCACGTATTATCGTCGATTAACCTTGGATCTGTCATGTTAAAAGTACGACCCTGACACAATCAAGCCGAGTGGAGCATCACCCAGAAAAGTCGAACGTAGGTGATCGACCGAGCAATTTGAATAGATACGTGGGCTTACAGTCAGTACATATGAAATTACTAACAGAGCAAGCAAGGTGAACTTCTTACGGCAGAGCAAGCATCTCGTATGGTCAAGACGAAGTAACACAAAGTCAAGGTCATCATCATAGTCATGGGAAGAATTATGCAGCTCTTGTCGCATAGGTGCAAGAGTAAAACCCCCCGTCATCTTTCGTCCTTCATGACCCCCATCGTTTCAATCATCAATACTCATCAATCGTCGATCAGCCCTTTGTCCTCGTTTAACCTAATAACCTTCGATCTTGCCTTCCCACTCAGGACGACCTGCTCTCCATTCCGAAAATTCCACCTCTCCTGGCATCTCGTCACCATTCGCAAGTCTCAACCGAGGGAAAGAGTCATGAGCCCAGACATACGGACGGCCGCCTTCGGAAACAGCGCCGTGGTTTTGGGGGTTGACGAACGCGTTTGGGTCATTTGGGTCGCGGAAATTGGGGCCTGTGGGATCTGTACGAGGTGAGCCATTGAACCAACGTACGAGATCGCCTGCGTAATCGAGAGCGCGGTTGAGTAACCCACGGTCGTCCATCTGTTCCTCCTGTGTGGGTCTCTCACTCTCGTCCGCAGTTTTATCGTCGGTGGGCTCCTCGATTGGTTCCAGGCAAGCTTCTCTGATCTTGTTTGCTTTGGCCTCATTGACAAGCACCAAGGCCCCCGAGTGCCAACCAGCTGCTGTGACACTAAGTGCGAAATATGTGCCCAAGTCATCATCGCCCTTTGTAACGCTTGATGCTCCATACTTCTCCTCCCAGGCGTTGCCCTCTTGCTCGACCCACTCGCTGATTTCACCTTGGACGTTTGGCTCTGAGAGCATACGCATACGCTCTTTGGCCTCCTCAGGGTCTTGACCTCCGCTTGTTAGAAAAGTGATCCACTTCTGCTTCTCCTCCTCGAACCAGATCCTGCGACCGTGGAGGCTCGCATGAGGAACTAGACGTCCATCTCCGCCAATACCGTTATAGCGAAGACCACGGATCCGGCCTTCTGGGTCTCCATGACCTCCGAGCCCAAGACAGCCGCAGCTTTGGGGCTCAGTACCGTAGGAAGTAATGTATCCTGGTGCATGCAGTGCGTGGAAGTGGTAATCACCAAAGGCTATGGAGATAACCTGAGACTTCTGCAAGGCATGAATACGGTGGAGTGAGAAGGCCGCATCTTGAGGTAAAGGATGAAACAGACGATGCAAATGATCGTCTTGAGTACCGGTGTACACAGTGCCGTCTTTGGCGAAGATTGCGAACGATCGGAACGATCCTTGGACGTCCGTGGCGAATTTGACCTCTCCGTCTGCTTCAAGAGGCAATTCTCGAACATCATCCAGCGCCTTACTTTGCGCATTCCAGGTGATCTTTGCCGCATATATCTTGCCAAGATGCGTGTTGAACAGGACGTAGTGCTCGAGACAGATGAAATTCTCGACTTCGCCGATCTCGGCACTTGCAGCCGACGGTTCGAATAATCTGGCATGCTTCTGGAAGTCGGTGCCAGGGCAAATTGCGGTCTCCAAGACAAGTACAGCATCTTCTTCACCTTCAGACTGTCGTGCGTTGCGATGCACGGGTTCCCAGACAACGATACCAGTGCCGACGACGAGGGCAGCGCTCTTTGCCCAGCCTGCTACGACCTTTTTGACATAGCCGCGAGCTGATGCAGAAGTGTACTGGCGGACGACTGTATCGACATTCAGGAACTTGACTTGGAGCGCAGCCATGTTAATGTGACTCCAGCACCAGATATATCCAGAGTCCGACAAAGCAAGAACATGACAACGGCCAGCTGAGAACTGTTTGATAGCAGATGCTGGTTCATAGCGTTCATTAGGGTGAGGCAAGCCGGCAGGGTAGCAAAGTCTGGTTGGCGTCGATTTTGCTGGCTGATTGACGATCATACCATTCATAACACCGACACCATACAGGCCACCCTTTGAAGTCAGTAAGATTGTGGACCAGCCGCCGCACTGCATATCAGCGATGATGCCCAGCGGTTCCACGTTCTCCATTTGTGTAGGCCATGACACGTGTTGACGAGCGCGCAGAGCAGGTCTTCGGCGTCCGGCAGGACCTATACCGCCACGGCCAAAAGGTGCCCCCATGTGCATCTGTTGACCATGGCCGAGACATGTTCTGTCATTGTTTCCCCAGGTGAAACTACGTGAGTCCTTCATGAGTCTTCGGTACATCTTCTGCCATCTACGACCATCATTCTCGACGACAGGCTGATTTGGTACACGGAAAGTGTTGCGCGCGGCCGAGCTCCAGTAGGGAGCATGTTGAGCAATGTCAGTTTGATGAAGCGCCGTGCAAGTTGACGTCAAGGCCACAAAGCTGGCGACATCCAGGTAGGGGAAGATGAGATACAGTATGTCTACCGGGAGATCGAGAAAGTTGGTTTGTTCCAGCATGATGATGATGATAATGTTTGTTCTGTTGGTTCAAAACAATGTTGGTGATGAAGACAAGTAGACTTGACCATTAAGGCAGGGCGAGGGTGCACAGCCTCACAGCTAGCTCCGACAAGTGAAGCGAAGCAGGCAGCAAGATAGATGGAGAGCGACATTACTTCGCAATTTTTACGACATCGCAATCAGAATTCAACTACGACAAATTTACATATGAGAACCAACGCAACTATATACAATTGAATATCTACTGTTTACAAGCATCACAACTGCTCCATTGTTGGTGATGTTAGTGACACTGTGCTAAGAGGCTGGGTCGGCTCGCGAGCCGGACTGCGTGGGGTATGCTTGGCGAAGCAGCACCGAATACCCGTATTATTTCCGACTGCCTCGATTTGAGCAGTTTCTCGGACACAATCCTCACAAGCATCAAAGAGGTATACAATTGTTGTTGTAGATTCATCTTGATATTGGCGCTACAACAGACTCGCTACTACTGATACCAGAGCCAATCTCATGCTCAGCTTGTCTGTTGGGGCCTCCAGGATTCAGCCTCAGGCTGAGTCTGACAATACTGCGCCAAGGCGGATCCTTCGAACCATATGACTCTCTACAAGCATGGCTCATCAAATCAGGCAGAGCGCACAGATCATTCGATGTGCTTTCGAGAGCAGCTATATAAGCCCACGTGCCTATATGCGAAAATCTTGAGCCACATCACGACCCGCCAATATGAGCATCTCTTCACAGCACCTCACCACTATAGTGGACAGCAAACCACAGGGACCGCTCGGAACATTCATACCAGGCCAGACCATCTCGGGCAAGGTCGTCTACAATCCTCCGACCCAAGTTGACATCGACCAAGTCCTCATCATATGCAAAGGGACCTGCTACACGAAGATTACAGAGCGTCATGGAAACCACACCAGTCACTATCGCGAGAAGATAACTTTGTTCAGAGACCAAGATACGATCTTCCGGGGCCCTCACACTATACCATCGGGCAGATACGAATGGCCCTTTCGCTTTGAGTTACCCATCGGAACGGATTATCTTCGCAAAGAGCGTTCTAAGGATCACATTTTCCAATTAGGCTCGCAAGGGCTGCCTCCAACCTTCAACTTTTACAGCGCAGGGTTCTCCACACCTCCAGAAGCGAAGATCACATATCAGCTTAAAGTGAAGATCAATCCAGGGAGGGTGTTGCGTACAGCCCAATCGAGGCTTGAGCTACCTCTGTGGCCCATCTCCCCGACTCCTCTGGAAGCACCGCTACCTCTGGATGGCCCATGTAGAGGTGACGGGCGCTTCAAGAGTAAAGCTTTACGACCAACCCAGCATACTTTTAAAGAGAAGGTGAGCCATGTCTTTGGTAGTGATCCCGCCTTGAAGACTCCTGAGATCAATATTGCGGTATCGTTCAAGATGCCGCGTTGCGTCAGCGCAGCGCAGGTCATGCCATTGTCATTTTCGTGCAAGTACACCAGGAGTGGACAGAACGATCCCGAAGCTCCGGAATTAGCTTTCGATAGCTGCCAATTCGTCCTCAAGGCGCATGTAGATGCCAGAGCCAAGGGAACGATCGATGACCATTACAAAAATGGAAAGTCGACTGTCATTGATCATTGCATGCCCGGTAACAAGATGTTACTGCCACTCGACGGCTCATGGGTACCCATCTCAAATTCCGTCCGCCTGGCGGACATGACCAAGCGGGTCCCTCATCACCTGGCTCCAAGTTTCAAGACTTTCACAGTGGCCATTTCATATACGATGACTGTTAAAATGCGCATTCGCCATCTTCAGCTGGGGCATGTCTGGCAACTCGAGAGCAAATTTCCCTTTGAGATACTGCCCGGAGAGGTTGAAGTGCCCGCATACGCTGAGCAGCAGCAGGCAGCGTCTATTGAAGCTGGACCGTCAGCACTGTATCCCCCTCAACTTCAGGCGGGCAACAATATACCATCGAGCTCTGCTGTTCTGCCAGGATACGAGCCAGCACCGGCACCGCCGTCGTACAATTCAGGCGATGTTTGGACGGCTGCTACCGACGCTAAGAGGACGAACTAGCATGGCGGATTATCAACATCTTGATGGCTTGCTCTCACTACGCATTTGAGTGTTGCATGTATGCACGATGATCTTAAGAATTCGACTTTCGACAAGTCTCTTCCCCTCGGCGCTTACAGATCAAGTCCTGGACGTCGAGCACGGAAGTGGCTCCGTACTAACCGTATTACTGTATGCTTTGTCAGGGAGGATCATGGCGGCAGACTTCCGTGCACGAGCAGGTGTATTTTTGTGCCAATGACGCGTTTTCATGAGCTGTGCCTGAGTTATTCTTTTTTCCTGTTCTATACCCCTTATACCCTTGCAACCGTGGTTGCAGTACAATCGAATTCCCCATTTCGCAATGTGCACACGCGCGCTTACTTGGAGATGACTCTGTTTGGTGTAGACATCTTACATGAGTGTATGAGGAAACCAAACAACGGATCGTGTGAATCCACAAATACCTCGGGCTAACCAGATCTGCGATACCAACCAAAGGGCCTCGGTGGTGTATACACGCCACGCGCGTAATGACGATGTGATGTCAAGCTGTTGACTTTACTGTGACATGACCCTTGACAATCGATCTTCAGGCAAGATGTCTCTCCTTACATGTTTTGAGGGCTCCTGTCATGACGAGACCGCATTAGCACACATTCCGGGATCATAATGATTCAGTAGTTACAGTGTCAGCTAATACCAATGATGGACGTGATCATAACAGAGTCAAGATGGTCCAGAAGTAGGATAAAGATGTCATGTAGTCATCTATCGAAGTAGGGTCGGCAATTTTACCCATCCATGATATTAATAGTGAGGGTCGGAAGGGTCCGGGTCCGATGATCGACATCGAGATCAGATCTGGTAAACCAACTTGTCAGTGGGCGGCCGTGCATCCGTGGTTGTATCAACAATCCTATGAACATAGCATCGCTGCATCCTGACTATACAGCTAAGAAGTAGGTAAGATGCATACTCAGAGTAATCTACAGACAGCAATATAGCAGTCCATACACCCCACATAGAGCAGCTCGATATCGATTTGCGAGAACCCATCCTAACAATCTCAAATCGAGATCGAGGAAGACAAAAAGTGACATGGTCGAGCTTTGAGTTCTTGGCGCTCCATTCACAACGCAGACGGAGGCTGTTCCCGCCTCCGATGAGAATCGAATAACAACAACACATCATCAGGTGGTCAAAATGACGAGATAATTCCCACGGGCAAATCGAGGCCAAAAAAAAAACAAGATTAGCGTTTTCTCTTCCCCATTATTAACAATCAAACACCTAGATACGTTTTCTTCTCGAGAAACTCTTTTTAATTTGTTTGTTGCATCCTCACTTCCTTGTGATACATTGTCACGCTTGAAAAATAATCTGGTGAGATACCGCCTCGAATGTGGACAGGCTGGATTTCTGGGAATCGAATTTGCTGGATGTCTGCTATCAGAATGTCGAGGCTTATGGTGGGGTAAAAGAGCAAGAAAGAGAAAGATTCTGGATAATGAGGTTATGGGTGTTGGTAAGAAAGAAACAAGACGTCAACCATTGGACTCGGTTTGCGACCAACGAAGAACCCTTATAGCAACTCGACTGGACCATCATGGCATGCGTACCGGTGCCTCATCACTGCCACTCTGGATACTGCACCGTCTCCCCCGAAGCATGCATGAATGACTGGACACTTATGCATCGGGAACCCAACCGCCTCCGCCGTCAGTCAACAAAAGTCACATCACTCCCACCTCATGGTGACGGCCATTTTCCTCGACAACCACGAGATCGAGTGAAGGTGACAGCTTACGCTGGGCAAGATTGTGATTTCCCCCATCACCGCTCGCCATCGCGTTTCTGTCTTCTCTCCGTCGACACTATCGACAGCATCTAGCACATCAAGGATTCACACTCAAGCAAAAGAGCATGATGAAAAGAGCTGACTGTTTTGTATTTTGATGCCGTCTTGTTGCTTTGCACACCGATTCGTTACGAAAAGCTCGCCAAACGGGAGAACAAAGACTATTACTGGTACAGAAGAGAGAAGGAAAACAGCCCATGCCTCAATGTTCGTATACCTTAGTCGCCTTCCTCCTGGCCGCCCGGAAACCCCAACGCCTATTCATCAAAGCCATGTTCAAGGAAGAAGAAAAAGTGAAAAGGCAAAAACAAGACATGATGCTCGACCCGATGCTAGACGTCGGTACCGCTCTCTGGAAATAGAAACCTCAACTCAGCGAAATGACCGAAGCGAACCATTCTATGGTTCGACTACATCCTTGACATCTGCTTCAGGCATGGCAGGAAATGATGTAGGAGAGATCTTGCCATAACCAAATGAGTTGGCACGAGAAGTATCGCTCAGCACCGGACTAGCCATCTCGGCCATAGACGAAGAGTGGAGATCGTCGTGGGCAAACGAAGCTATGCGATCATTCGCCATGGTCGGCGAACCATTCCCGCCGAAAGCCATGCTTTGAGCCTTCCTCAAGTTGTACTCTTGGATGGGATGACATGCGCAAAAGGTGTGTTGCAGCGCCTGCGTACGCCAGTACGACAATTCATCTCGCAGAGACTTCTCAGTCTGCTTCAGCGCAGTGTTCATAGCACTTTGCCCACGATATGTGTCCTCGAGGCTGTCGGTATGCTCCTTCTTCTTTGCACGACACTTGGCTGCGGCAACACGGTTCTTCTCGCGGTATTTGTCCTTTTTGTCATCTGGCAAGACGTCTCCAGACATTGTCCGACTTTCTTTCCGGCTCTTTTGCGACGACCTCACAGAAGGCCTCTTATTCGATGTGGACTGACGAGGTGACATGCTTGAGACGGCCTCAGCATCGATGCCGGATGCGCCGGAGTCGGCTCGCTTGCTGAAGGGATTCGACATGTCTTGCCTGTCGCTGTCTTCGGGCGGTGTGACTTGTCCATACAGGTCCATTGAGATGGGATAGTTGTGCAACAGCTTTTCCAGACCTCCGTCCACTACGCCTTGTGCTGAGCCATCCCACATATCATTGGAGTTGCCTTGCAGTCGCGACGACATGTCGTGGTCTGCGAACAGGGTGTCCGCTTCGGGGGTCGTCGGGCTAGTAGGACTGAAGTCGTAAGTCGTTGATGAAGGATTCGTTCCGATGTTTTGTGGTGCAGCGCTGTCGAAATGGAAAAAATCCATTGCGATGATTTGAACCAAGCTTGTTGAGCGTAGGTGAATGGGCAAACAAATGCTTTGGCGAGAGTCAATGGAGCAGGATCTAATCAGTGTCTGAAGCGTTCTCGAGCCGCAATGAATCTAGGTGGAGCTATCGCGACGAGCCACTGCGGTCTGGTCGGGAAAGTACACAATTAGAGTGTAGCAGGTGAGCTGTAATAAGGTGTAGGCGAAGGTTCGATGGAACGCGACGAGTGTGAAGTTGTTTTGATGGTTGGAAGGTTGTGTTTCGAGCTTGACGAGCTTGACAGGTTCAGCCTCACAGAACGGTTACTGCGGATCGAGGCAGTTTGAGATGCAACTTGGTGATAGTAACAATTCTGGGTGTAAAGGCAAACAACGACTTATTGCTGACAACAGAGACTCTGGTTGAGCAGCGAGAAACAAGTCAATGGCTTGTGTAAAGGGAGACGAAATTGTGCTTGTGGCAAGAAGAATGCAGCCTCAAACGAGGAAGCTGGGGGGCGAGGAAGATGATGAGGCTCTGCGGTCGCGGGGTAGACCAGCCGGACAGAAAGCTCGATGATCGTTCGGAATTTTGGTAACAATGCTGTTTTTCCAGTTGGCTGACCAATAGCTTCTCTGATTCAACTCACCAGCGCATGGAGCGATCACTCCTATTTATTACATGCACTCGGTTCTGCACTCTTACCTGAACTATCTCGTTCCCAGACAGTGCAGCAACGCAGAGGAACGGATGGCAAGACCGACCAGGGGGGCCATGGTCGACCGACGTCAGACGGAGCCTCATCACTTTTTAACTTCCGACGTTCGATGGATCGTCCGATGCGGCTCATAATCTCAGATCATTACCACAAGCAGAGCGGCGCTTCCTCCACCACGTCCAATCACCGAGTCCTTGTGACGGACCTGAATTTCCGCCATGATGCCGTTTCCTCTAGAGCTGGTTCGTCTCGATGTCGCTCACGTTTGATCTATTGATTGTTTGCCATCTCGAATCCTCACGAGTTCATTCCCCTTCGTTCAAGCAAGTCTTTGCCAGTCTTACGAGCCGGAGAAGCCACGTTGAAGGAGGGAAAGCGGGGCCACAGAGCCGCCGTTCTCCTAGACTCTTTACAGAACTGCCTTGTCTTCCGCTGCCATCAGCCATGTCCCTCGGGAAAGTTGCACAAGTATCAAAGTACACCGGACCTACTCCCATGGCAGCCATGCCTCGTACGACTTGTTCCAATGCAGAAGCTTTCGTTGCAATCCCATGGTTTGCACCGTCTCACATCAAAGACAGGAAAAGCTGATTAAGTGTCGAGCGCAAACCTCGCCTGTTCGGAACAAGCTGTTCCTCGATCATGTCGCGTCTCATCCTAGACATGGACAGATCGCTGGACGCATACACCTCGATCGGTAGACGAGTGCGCTCCAATCGCAAAGATGCTTCTAATCGCATACTTCTGCTCGATCGCTACGTCCACCTAATCGTGCCAGTCCAAGTGTTGTGATTATCTTCCACTCGTACCACCTGCGAGCGCACTTCGCCTAGTCATGGCTCTATATAACCACACGGTAGTTCCCAGCTCCTTGGCCATAAGTGCAGATTCTGCAAGGGATCACCATTTGCAGCACCCACACCATCGCATCAAATCTCTGCAACAATCGCACAAATTTCCCGATTGTGAAACTGGCGTGGAAAAGAGATGGGAAATGCCATGGGAAAATTGCCCATCACTTTACCGAGTTTTCTGCTCCAAGCACACTCTGCTCCACTTCATCCAAGAGGAGAAAATCCCGATTCAGCCCTATCCTCCGTATACGGCTCGACCTTCCCCATCTTGAAACTCTCGCTCTCGCATATGACGACCTAACTTGTCGCTATCGCAAATGAGGATGAAAACCTGAAGATCATGATACCAGCAGATTCATACATGCCGGGTTCGATTCCCCAGTTGTTCTCGATGATAGCGACCATTTCTTCGCTCAACAACTCGGGGACTTTACAACACTCGCCTGCATGTCGCTGTCGTTCATGTCAACATGATGCAAGCTCGTTATTCTGTTTGACGCTCCCTGGATTCTAGCTCTCGCAGAACGACATTCTTCTGAGAGATGATGTTGCTTAGGACTATCCCGTCTAGATACGCGTGTTGTTCTGGCGAGGCAGGTTGTGCTCCTAAGACCAGTTTAAGTGACATCACTCATGCTGTAAGGCAGGTTCTCTCGCTATCGTTCACGTCAATATGATGCAACCTGATCCTTTTTCTCTCGTTCGCGTTCGCGTTAGTTCAGAGTAATACCTTATGCTTCATGGAGCTAACAAAGACAAGGTCCGTAGTTCTGTGCACATACATGAATCGAGGCTTCGCGAGTGGCATGAATCTACAAAGCTCCATAGATAGGATACATACTACCATCATGATTGCACCTAGTTTACTAAGCTGCGTCATACTCATGTGCCAAACAACAGCCACAGGCTCTCGAGCTCATTACAAGTTTGTAACTGCTTCCACATCTTTCCCCATCCGCGAGCTATAAAATCATGTCTAAAGTTTCAAGCAACTAGAAAATCAAATTGTATAGGGAAAACATATCAACTATACTTTTCTAATCGTTGTCTTTTCCTCTCGTCCAAGTCCTGATACCAGAAGATCTCCTACCATCCAAAAAAAAACAATAAAATTGGAAACATTACTCGGTGTTTTTTTCTTTTTTGGCTCACTAGGATCTCGTGTGATGTATAGCTGTGATTAGGGGAGCATACTACGTAATATCTCAAAAGAGAATTCAATGCCAAAGTCAAGCTTACACAGAGTCGCCAGAAACTCTCTCGGAAATCATGATTATCAATCTCTCCAACTCCATACAGCGAAGGGAAGCTGCTGATCACAGCAATCTTAAAGGACAATCCCTCCTCTTGTCTCCAAATTTACACGCAGGGTAAATATTCATATGAACAATGATTAGCTGGCACATCAAGGCAAGTTGGGAAATGGCATTCTTGGGAACTGCGACAATTGGTCTGCTTTCATCAAGTCATAAGTCATGATTCTAAATGGAAGGTTTGCAACCAAGGAAAATATACCTTGGCTGCCATGCATACGCGATGAAGTCTATTGTAATGCCCGACTCTCGTTGTTCTTCGATGCACTGGAGGTATAAGGAACACAGCAACCATAAAGAGCTGCTTCCCGGATCCCTTCTACTCATGGGACCGATGAGCCACATCTCCTCGCTCCCGACAAAAGATGCGTGTGTAGAGTCGCTCGTGTCGATAGTATCTCTCTTGATCGAGGTCGTCCCAAGCTGGTACACCCGACTTACTTGAAATCGCAAGTCTGTGGCTGACCGTAAGACATTGACCTACTGGGTCTTGAGGACATCTTCATGCGTTGCCCACGGATCAACAAGGCGTCAGAAGCCGTTGTTATCTAGACAATAGCCTTCTTGATACAGCGGCCAGGGCCACTCCAACGCAAGATCTGAAGGTAGCTGTACAAAGCCATTGTGAATGCTACCATTGTTAACACCCTGGATAGTCTGGAGCGGAGGCATCGACATGTGATTTTCCATCGACATGTGACTTTCCATCGACATAGACGGCTGTGCGACGTTATTCTGCTGTAGCGGTTGAACTGGAGGTTCATGTCTTAATTGGCGCATGTATTGCTCGATCTTTTCGATCTGAGCCCACAGCCCTTGGCTTGTTCCAGATGATTGCTGAAGATTCGACTCCAGTCCCTCGAGCAAACGTGCCATGCTTTTGAGCGAGCTGCAAACCCGTGCATAGACGTGATGCTGGAGCGGCTGTTCGAAAACGGAACCAAGAGTTGAGCCGATGCTTCCTAATTGGTAGATAAGAGGTGTGCTAATGGCTCGCAGGTACCTTGTGGGAATAGTCTCAAAGACTGACAAAACTTCATTGGCCACGTCGCATTTTCTGTCAACACTGGGTCCGTCCTCTGTGGAGAACAGCATCATACGAAGTAACTGAAGTGTTGCTTGAATGTTGGCTGCTTGGAAAGCGTAGATGTCTATAGTCAGGTCCCCAGTCATGGGAGGGGTGGCCTTGAACTGAGGAGGTAGGTCATAGTACATGTTAAGCATGGTAGCCATGACACTCTTCTCGGAAAAGTCGTCACCAAAGACGAGACTGTCTACACTACGACGGTCGTCGTGATTGAAGCGTTTAGCACGAGATTTGTTGATGACATGTTCCAGAACGCGATACAGGTCGATGGTGAAATTCCATCCCTTGAGCCAACTGACTCTGTGGTGTTCAGGAGGAGCTTCAAGAGTGGTACTGGCTATGGTTCCTTCGTCGGACTCATCAGGATATCGCACATTCAAGTGGACTTCTTGAGTTCGTATGAAGCAGTTCCAGACGACAGCGGTAAAGACGTCTAGAGTATAGGTACCCCAATAGAGACGTCTGTATGTTTCCTTTTGAGACTCTTCCATACCACTGGGCCAGTACTTCTCGTCGAAGAAGCGTTGCATTGCGATCAGAGTGCTGCCGATGCCAGAGTACTGCTGCACATCCAGGGAGTGGCCGTACTGGATGCTGGTCAAGGAGAGAAGGGTACAAGCCCTGATGTAGTCGGCACCACGCAGTTTGTCGAGATCGGAGGTGAAGACGGACTTCGCGGCAGCGAAGAAGATCTCGGACGAGGCTTCAGGATTGCGAGCGGATTCGGGCATTCTAGAAGGGACAGCACCGTCGCGCAGACGAGCCGAAGCCAGAGCACACATGGCCATGATGGACGCGAAGAAGCCTGGGATAGAAGAAATAGTCAGAGTAGTGAACTATGAGTGTGCTCGGCGAGAGTGCACCAACCTTTGTCAGTCAAATAATCTCTGTTCTTGAGCTTCTGCTTCTCGACGGCCTCGTTGAAAAAGGGATACAGGGGGTAGACGATCTCCATATAGACGTCGAAGAGATCCATGACGACCGTCTCGCTCGAGAGGGCAAAGGCCTTCCATGGCAGCTCGATCTCGCCCGGGTCGTGGTTCACCATGCTCGCGGGGATAGGAGCGAACTCGTTGGCTTTGGCCATCGAGTCATTACGCGTCGAAGTCGAGTTGGACTGAGCGCTGGGAACGGAGGGCATGTCTGATGCGAGAGTGGACCGGGTCTGTGAAGAGCGCGTCGAGGGCTGCTGAGGAGCGGCAGGCGCCTGAGGATGCTTCTTGCGCTTCGAAGGGCGTTCATACGTGCAAGCGACGTCAAAGTCGTAGCAGTTCTGGCAGCGATCGCCATCTTCGTTGCTAGGCCTGCAACGGATGCTCCTTCGGTGACAGAGGTCGCATGCTTGCGAGATGCGCTGCAACTTGCGCGGGCGGTCTTGTTGCATCGGAGGCGGCTTGCGTTGTTGCAAGGGCTGGAGGGATACGGCAAGCTACCTGATTATCATACAAGCAAGAACAATGCAAACAACAATTGTCAATAGAAGGTCAATTCCGAATGACAGCTGTAAGCATTATTGCCCCTTCAACGTGTCCCACTTCCCACTTCCACATCCACGTCACTTTCGCAACGATGTCTTTTTGGTCGAGATGGCTCCTTCCTGCTGCGGGCCGCCGGAGCTGGAGCCGCTCTTTGCACGCCCATCCATCATCCATAGTCCACATGCATCAGTATACCACCAACCATCGCTCCTTCCCTCTGCTGAAGCGCCAATGTCCCGACCCGCTTGTGCGTCAATTGTCATGACCCTGGTCTCCACCATCCGCTCTGCAATAAATCATGCAATTGCTCAATCGCGTCTGCGCAGCTGACGAGCAGACGACCACTGTCTTTTAGCCTTTTACTAGCTTCGAGCCAACCTCCATCCACACCTCAGCTGCCTTTGGAAACACTCTCGCCAGCGTCATCAGGGTCCGCCATCCATCGTCTGATACAAAGTCGCTTGCTCAACTCGCGCCGCTCGATGCGACACATCGTCTATGAAACTTGCTCCAGCTTTCTCGAACCTTTCCAACATGTCCTGTGGGTAGCCCGATCGGCTCTCACCTAGAGCTCGGCCTCCACCTGCTCAAACGGTGCGTCTTGCAGGAAATGCACAGATTTTGTCTGGCTACATGCCGCAAGCTGACAAGAGGGGGTGCACTATACACTACTAGAACAAAGACGCTACGCACGTAGCGTTTTGCTCATTCTCAGCCTCTCGTCCACATCTCCATGGAGCACATCAAGTCAAGAAGTCGTGCATCAAGATACCAGGTACCAAGCGCACGGGGTGTCATTTGCATTGCAAATCGATACTACATGCTCAATAGACTCTAGCACTGGCCGGATACTGTCGAGCTAGAGAAGACTCGTATAGAACCTCAGTGAGCCCTCGTCTCGGGAGCTCCCATGCCTATCCTATCGTTAATCGAAGGCGAGAATCCAGGAGCTTCAGCAGAAACAAGCATCACAGGGATCATATTGTGTACAACCTGTGTAATTCTTGCCTCAAAATGCCACCCAGCTCTCCTTAGCTTTCTTTTGCTCTTCCGTTCATGACAGCCTGTTTCATAGTATGACAATATTCCCTACCAGGCGTTTTGACGTATAGATCATGTCTCGTGTGCTGATGGGATCACAGTCAGACGTCTGACCTTATTCCAAGAATCATCTAGCTGTGACAATTACCAGGATTCGGCTTGATTTCCACCGGTCATCTCGTGGCACGAAAAAGCACATCAGATGTCTGCGCTGTTCAGTAATGGTATTGCAAATGAATTGTGTAGGCCAAGGTCAGATGTCTTCTTTCTATGCCATTCCAAACCTGCTAAACGGGCAAGCACAACTTGAAGCAAGTATTGTATGTGATGCATGAGAGGTCGTGAGCAGCCGAGAACAGTCGGGAGCCTGCATTCGAGCAAATCGATGTATAAAGAAGGTATAACGCCTCTGACTGACCCCCCAGCCAATTCTGTCAATCGAGTGATGAAGGAACAGCGGCCATATGATTGCAAGAACCAATGCTGAAAGAAAACCTCGCCATCGGAGACTTTTGCCAAACTCCCTCGTTCACTTCTTCTTCTCTCCCTTTTCCTCCCCCTTCCCACCCTCCCCTTCAACCCTCTCAACCTTCCCCCAAGTCTCCTCAATCTTCCTCTCCAAATCCTCATCATTCCTCTCCTTAATCAACCTCTCGAAATCAAACCCTCCAATCTTCTGCCTCAGCCCTCTCACGACAAAATCTACAACTACCATCAATGTATTCTAGTGTCGAGGTGCTGATGCAGGGGTGGCCTGAGGTGGCTAGAGTGCAGATGGAAGAGAGAATACGGTGTTCGTGGTTGCAGATGCGGTGGTGGAAGATGATGCGTTTGCACATCTTCTTCTTTCCCGCGGCGATGGGGAGAGAGGTTAGATGGGAGTATAGTGGGAGGAGAGGGGGGGGGAGGGTGCTTACAGTGATGGATTAGGGCGGGTTGTGGTGGTGATGAGGTTGTGGTATTGTTTGGTTTATACTGGCGAGAGGCTAGAGTGAGTCGTAAGAGGCGTATATGATAAAGCAAACACTTTTGATGCTGGTCTTGATAGATGTCTGTCTGCCATGTGTGTGGTGGTGAATGATTTGTGATGACCAGATCATAGTCTCGTCTCTTTTGGTTCTTCAAAGTTATACACAATAAACCCCCATCGCCGCGCCAACACCATCGAGAATCGGAATATATTCTATGCCTCTTTCCCGAGACTCCGGAAGCTGTTTCACCTCAACGAGTGAAACTGGTCATGAGAGCTCCAAGGTGTCTCTAGGATTTGTCTTCAAATTTGCGTTCACTTCCTTATCCTTTCTTTGCTCGCGTTGACTTCAAGAGGATAGCAGAGGATACTCTAGCTCGTAAGACACATGTACATATCCCTTGTAGTCGAGGCTGGAGGAGAACACATCCTTGAACCCCAACCACGAGTACAATGGTTCTGCATCACGTGTCAGAAGATCCAGTCATGTATGTGAAAACTCCGGTGAACTCTCCTTTTATCCACGAGGGCTTGTAGTTTCCTATTGCTTTCCTTTTTGTAAAGCGCCGTCTTTGACAAGTATGTTGTCGAAAAGTACATTACTTTTCAATGACAGCCAGTGTGGTATCGAAGAACTATGTATCTTTCGGCAAAGTGGCTGAATGTTGCTAAATTTTTGCCTCGCCATGGCTGTCAAAAGGTCGTACTGTGATATACTTGTGTGATCCGTCGTCTAGGAGGATACCTTTGATCCAAGAGTGGAGGAAACATGTGTTGGTTGCACAAGAGACGAGTGATATGGTGTTATTGTACACTAAAAGACCATTCTGGTTTCTCTCTCTACTGTCGACTTCCTTGCCCTTGCCAATGCACAATTTGATCTTGAGCAAACCCAAACGCCAAACGCTATGCTTTCCTCTGAACCTTTTGAACCCTTATACCGGGTGAATGGACCACCTCCTTGTAGGCCTCTTCCGCAATCATGAATATTTTAGTCATCACCTCTCAATCCACACATGTCAGTACCCAACCAATAATCCAACCACGCAAAAATCAACCAGTACAAACTAGCATTCTTCCAATCGAAGTTTCCATCATCAGTACGCGGGACGGCAGATCCTATCACGTCGCCCTTTGTACCGACAAACAGATTGATGATCGGCCATGATGCCAATGAAGATGATACTGTTTTGCTGGGTTCGGCGAAAGCTAGATCTGCAGGCTTGAGGACTGCGCGGGTGGCGCCGGGGATACGCATAGGTCGCTTTTGTGCGGGTGTGCTGGGTGCTAGGGCTGTTGTGTCGGAGGCTTGAATGAGATTTGTGCTTGAAGTTGGTTGGGCGGTCATGGTGGCCGAGGAGAGGGTGTTTGACGAGTCCGTTGGTGTCAAAGTGTCGCGAGTGCTGAAGGTGGGGGGGAGAGATGGGCCATCGATTTGAGCACCGGCATTCGAGTAAGGAATTGACGCATCGTTGGGTGGGCCGCTGCCACGGAACAGTTCTGCATAGACGAGGAATCCGTGGATGGGGTGGGGAGAGCAGTGGGTGGCTAGGTCGGCGGCTTCGGGGCTATCGAAGGTGACTTTGATCCAGTGGTCTCCACCACGGTAGGCGTTGCGCTTGCGAAGAGCGGCTTGTGAGAGCGAGCGTTGAGCCAGCTTTGCGCGACTGTACGTCAAGCTGTGATCGTAGCGTTGGTGAGGCGGGTGACGGTCGTAGTCCTCGTAGACGGAGCCGCCAGAGATGCGTTCATAGTATTCAATGGCAGCCCATTGCGAGTCTGGGCCGAAGCCGTACAGGATGACTTCTGTTGCTTCCTTTGCCGATGCAGCGTCACTTGCTGCTTGTGCTGCCGCAGCATCCGTGGGCTTTTGTGTAGGCTGGACGGGGTCCTTTGCCTTGAGCTCGTCCTTGTACTTAGCAAAGATGAAGTCCTCGGTCTGCATGTTTTCCTGTCGGACGACATCTTCCTTTCGCGCTGGTGTTGCCGTTTTGCTACGTGAGAATCCTCTGCGGCGTACTGAACGTCCAAACGGTCCCTTTTCCTCTGGCTCTCGTCTACGACCTATTTCTGCACTGAGAGATATTAGTTAGTGTCTTTGCAAGACTTGTATCTCAACGTACTCGGCAAACTCGTAGCCCCATGGTAGACGTTTCCCTGATGCATCAAGAGCTCTCTCACTCTCGGGCACAGCATGGACTTGCATGCCCCCGCGTATCGCGTTCATTGTACGACTGTGTGGAAGATGCGGATTAAGGGCGAGAAATATTTGTAGCGAAGGTGATGATGGCGGAGATTGGGGATCCTAAGCTTCTCCTATCTTGACAGAGACAACAGATCGACTCGTAATGGTGTAGAAGAATGAGGCAGGAAATAAGAGAAAACAATTGGAGGCCGCTTTCTCACATGCGCGTCTGCAAAAGCGTCACCTCCGCAACCTCAGCAACACCCGGGGCCCGAGCTTCTACCATCTTCTTGGCAGTTTACTCCATCGAAGTCATTCGTCACCATTGTTCCTTCCCAAACCATAATTTCCATCGCATCGCAACAACCATGCAAGACAATCGCGAACGACAAGCTGCAGAGCTAACTCTGCTCGCCACAATGTATCCCTCCGAGTTCTCATGGCGCAGCAACCCACCACCAGATCTCGAGACGCCCGCCATAACCACCGATCCGAACTTTACCTTGACGGTCCATCGTACATGATCTCGATACCACTCTTGTCGCCAAACCCCTGGCTGATTTTCAACAATACAGCCAGTTATGCCCTCGAGTTCTCCTTGTCAGACACCTACCCCAACACCCAAAAGCCACATGTCTACCTGTCTTGCGGTGGTGACGTAGATACCTCGACGCGGAAACGTGCAAGAGCGAAGCTTTCAGAGATAGCAGAGGAGCAAGAGGCTGGCATTGAGATGCTTGATTTGATCGTGACATTGTTCACTGAATACCTGCCTGAATTGACTGAGAGCAACTCGGATGCAGACCAAGATGGAGATAAAGATGATGGCCAGCGTCAACATACTTCCCAGATCAAGCGTGTTGTGATATGGTCTCATCATCTTCTGGCCACCTCAAAACGAAAAGACATACAGGCTTGGTCAAAGGAGTTGTCATTGAGTGGCTACAGTCGTCCAGGCCACCCAGGAAGCATATTCGCAGAGGGTGACGAAGATCAAATCGATGAGTTTATTCGTCGTCTGAAGCAACTGCGCTGGCAGGCTCTACAAGTCAGGGGCGAAGAAACTGCCGACAAGCGTATCTGTGGACCTGGAGATGGCATACTCGAAGTCGAAGGTCTGGGGGAGATAGCAGAGGCTCTCAAGAGAATTGATGCTGACACTGCTGATCTCTTCCTCCAAGCCATGAAGATTGCAAAAACAGATTGAATCAATATGGAAACAGTACATGGCTTTGATATGAGAGTCTTTGAGATGAAAAGAAGTACGAAAAGGGCAAGACGCTACGCTATGGCTGTCTTGTGTGAATATGTGTGGGTGTTAGGCAGTGGAGGTTGAGGAAAGGAGCAACAAGCATCCGGTAAGGTCTCCGCCTCTTCCGATACCTCCCAAGAGAAGAACAACCAGATACGCCGTCGTGAAAAACAGGACTCCAAAGAAAACAGAAAACTAGACAGATGATCCAGGAGGGGTTCATAACTCCAATCAATGCCCTTATTATGCCGCCAAACCGGTTCCAGACCCCGTTGAACGAACAAATGAAACAAATGGTATCGCTGCTCTTTCTCATCCACAAATTGAAAACAAGAAAAGTAATGACTTTCGTCTTGGTGTAGTCTGCCTCCCATTTAGCGAGGCATGATTCCGACTCTACGAGTCTTGATCAGGAAAGGTGAGGGCATCTCGTCACGTTCGGGATCCCACAAGGGCTCTCTGTCGAGAGTCGCCTTGGACGACACCTTGGGTACCTCCATGCTAGTAGAGGGGCTGGAGATACCTCTAGCCTGCGCCAGCTCCACCAGGGTGCGGCCTTGGATACCTTGCTGCAAGTTGTTGCGGTGGACAGTCTTGAGCATGTCGTCGCCCTTGGCGCCCTTCTTTGTTGCCAGCGCCGTCTTAGAAGGCTGAGATGGGATTGCGGGCGCTCTTCTGCTAGGGCTGATTGGCAGACCCTTGTTCATGGGAGAGCGACTAGGCGACGCTGCAGCGCGTCTAGTGCTGGGTGCCAGATTGGGTACTGACTTCAAACGAGATTGTAGCTGTGTGGGCATGGTCTTTTGCCTTGACACGGCTGGTCTCGAAGGCTGAGCGAGAACCTTGAAGGGGTCGTTCTCTCTGCTGCTAGGTCTAGATCTGATTGGAGAACCGCCATCAGAGCCGAAAGTATCATCGTCTTCGGTATCCTCTGGGAACAGAGCAAGATTGCTTTCACGGGTCGCACGATCAAACATGTTGGGGCCCTTGAAAGCTGGTTGCCTCAGCTTGCTTCCCTCGAGAGGTGCATTCCTGCGTGGGGATAGCGCGAGCGAGGCGATGCTCATGGGGCTAGGATCCGCCATTTGAATGTCCATGGGACTAGGTGCGACCTCGTTGTGGCCAGCGAAAGTCTTTGCACGAGTGAAAGGAGTACGATTGGACGATCGCATAGGCTTGTGTCTCTGGACAAGCGGCGAGTCCTCCAGGGTAAGAGCATTGAGAGAAGGACCCTCTTCGTCGGCCTCTCCTATGGTGACGAGCGAAGGGGAATCTTCCAGGAGCTGTGTAGGTGTTGACGAGCGCTTCAGCGGCTCAGCGGGGTCCGAGTTTGCCGAGCTGGTGCGCGATGATGGCAGGGACGCAAGTCTTCGCTCGACCTCTTCTTCGACCTGCTGCTCAAAGAGCTGTCTGTAGTGATCTCGTAGTCTCTCTCCTGCAACGTCCATCTGGCGGTTAATCTCGAGATGAGCCTTTGTCTCCCACTCCAGTCTCAGCTGTTTGTCTATTTGATCGTGCATGGTGTGTTTCTCGGCTTCCAATCGCGCGATCTTCTCTTGTGCCGACTTTAATGCGGCAATGGCATTCTCCTTCGCCGTGATGTGTTGTTGTAGAACCATGACGCCTTCCTGCGTCTTTCGTACGAGCTTGACTCTGGGCAAGTTGAGGAGACTGGCCGTGTCGGGTCTTGAATTGGGATTGACTTGGAGACAGGCAGAAATGACATCTGAAAGTTCCTTGGAGTATATGCGTGGCAACGGAGCGACCTTGCCGAGTTTGATCTTCTGGATGAGTTCGAGGTGGGTGCGGGCATTGAACGGAGGTTCCCTGGTGCAGAGCTCGTATACGATGCAGCCAAGTGACCAAATGTCCGAGTATAGTGAGTAGCGTTCGGCAGCGCAGATTTCGGGCGACATGTAGAAGGGAGTGCCGACATAGGTGGAAGCGAAGTCGTGAGAAAGGATGATCTTGGACAGTCCGAAATCACCAAGCTTGACTGCGTTGCCCTCACCAAGGAAGACTGAAAACTCTGTCAGCATCTTTGCATGTAAGAGGTGAGTGAAATTGGCTTACCATTCTCGGGCTTCAGATCACGGTGAAGGATCATCTTGTGTGCCTGCTTACTCTTCAGGGGAAGTGCGTTCTTGGTGAGGCCGAGAGCATTGCTGTTGACGTCTGGTGGGTCCTCGCCGTAATGGCAGCGATACAGAGCGCTAACCAGTTGTGCAAAGATGGTCCAGACAAACTCTTCATCGGCGTATTCGTTGCGAGCCTTGAGATCTTTAATCATCATACCCAGGTCTCCATTGCCGCAGTATTCCATGTAAAGGTGCAAGTCGTGTGAAGCCTTCAGATGTTCCTTCTCGTAGTAGGCGACAATGTTGGGATGGCGAAGACCTCGTAGGATGTCCAGCTCGGCCGAGAGCTGTTCGCGCTCCTTCGGTGACATGCGGGTATAACATATTTCTTTTCGGCAAAGAATCTGGGCCAAAGTCAGTGAGAAGCCAGTGCATATGGAGTTGAGAGACATACAAGGCCATCGTTCTTTCTGCGGACCTTTCTGATAATGCCAAATGATCCTTGACCTGGGGGGGTGTTTCAGCGAGCTGCAGCAAAGCGGCTAGTGAACGGGACGGCATACCGATCTTGCTCAAGACCTCATACTTCTCGGCCTCTGTCTCGGCCATTGTGGACGATGGTGGGATGATGTTGTGTAGGAATCAACAGATGAAAAAGCTCGTCAGGATGTAATGGTAGCGACAGAGCGACAAAAGAGATATGACGAAGAAACCTAGGCGCTAGACATGACCAGTCGGAAGAGAAGTTGGAACTTGGAAGCAATGGGGAGAGCTGAGCAGGGCCTGAGAGCGGGAAGCATGAACAAAAGGCGAACCCTCGATATCTGTGTTTGCAAAAGTCAACACTGACCTCCCACCCTAAATCCACCGGGCAACCGTTGCCGAACTTGGATGCCCGGCTCGTGCACGTCGCGCTTGCTGTGTCCAGGGTCCATTTGCACGTCATACAGACATAAAACAGTGGGGGCCCTTGCCACTTGTACGGTGGATGCCATCGAGCAAAAGGAAATATAACTATTTCCAAGGCACAAAGGTCATGGTCTGTGATCGAGTCCGAGTTTTTGGAACATCTCAATCGCCATGGTGATCAAGAAATACGAACTCGAGGCCGCGCTGCATGCTGAAAAGCAGCAGATCAACAGTGGTCATTTGAAAGACGACAATCCGCTCGACACGAGCGACGAGTTTCGTATCTTCTGTGAAGCGTGCAGAAGGTAAAGCACGTCTTGCGCCAGTCAGTCGTTCGCGTACGAACTAACAGTAGTTCAGGGGTGACCTGAAAGTATGCCAGGAACAGATCTCTGCTGGTGTCAACATCAACGCGAGAGACAAATATGATTACACACCATTGATCCTGGTAGGTGGTAGAGAAAGCATCTGCATAGACCGGCGACGACTAATCGACTACACACGGGCAGGCCAGTTTGTGCGGCCACTACGAAGTGTGCCAACACCTTCTCGAGTCCGGAGCTCTGTGTGAGCGCGATACCTTCCAAGGTGAACGCTGTTTGTACAACGCCCTGAACGATCGCATTCGCAACCTGCTACTACAATATGACTATTCAAAGTCGACTGATCCTCTGCAACCGCTCGCTGCTCATACGACATCCTTACTTTCACGAGAAGAGCCAGCCACAACCGACATCACTGTCGCAACTTACGATCGAGACTTTGCCTTGCACAAGTTCATTCTTGCTGCTCGCTCTCCCTACTTTGCCGAGAAGCTGGCCCTCCAACCAGATACCACTTCCTGGAAGCTCCCTCCGAAAATACCTTCGCAGTCCTTCAATTCCGTCGTCCGCTATTTGTACTTAGGTGAGGCCTCGGCCGATCTGAGTGACGATGAGGAAGAGCAAAAAGCAATCCTTGCGGGCATCGACAAGTTAGGCAAACAACTGGAGGTTCCAACACTGTTTGAGAGCATCATTGATGCTGGTGACAGACGGGCGGCGAGACAGCGCAGAACAGAAGAGATGGCACGTGGTCGCGACCAGTTTGCGACGTGGTTTCGGGCGAACGTCCTGCGGTACAAGGTCCATACCAACACTGAGAAGGCCGATCAAGTCAAATGGGACAAGAACAATGCGATCTTCGCCGATGTCTTGCTTAGAGCTGACGAGCCTGAGGAAGACACCGAGGATGCACCTCAGCAGGAGCAGAATAAGCTTCGCAATACCGATGGTCCTCTGCATGGCATACCCGTCGGAAACTTCTCTTCGGAGCCAGTCGCAGCGACAACCCGCCCTCGTAAATCTGTACTTTTCCCTGCACATCGCGCCATGTTGTTGCGATCGGAGTTCTTCGCAGCCATGTTTTCGTCTAGCTTCAGGGAAGCGCAGGATTCTCCTCATCTACACATCGTTCCCATCGACTGTTCGCCTCAGGTCCTGGAGATTGTCCTGACCTACCTTTATACCGAAAAGGCGGACTTCCCTCTAGAGGTAGCCGTTGACGTTCTCTTCGCTGCCGATCTTTTGTTCATTGAGAAGCTGAAGCAACGTGCCGCTGTCATCATATCCACGTTAGGCAATGGAGGTGCTTCCGTCGTTGAATCTGAAAATCCACGAGGAGAAACAGATGTCGAAGACGCGGTAGACATCTACGACGTCATCCGTGCAGGATGGGACACTCGTGTTCACCGCCTTGAAGAGTTCGGTGCTCGCTACATTGCGTATCGCTTGGAACGATTCATTGATGATCCAGACTTTGCCGAGCTGGTCAAGGAGAGTGCGTCCAGGATTCAGGGACGTCAAGAAACTGATACTGTCGAACTGATTGATGAGTAAGTTCATGCGCTTCGAACAATATGGCCGACACTCTCGCTGACACATCCTACAGTATTCGCTATTATCTGTCTGATCGTTTCCGCCTGAGAATGGAAGACTCGGGTATAGAACAAATGACGGAAGAAATGGAGAATCTCGACCCTGGCACGCTACCAGGCAAGGATGTTTTCGAGCCAAGCGAAGTCATGTTCGCAGAAGACGAGGGTATTGATGTCCGCTCAGGCACCACACCGCCGCAAGACTTGCTCGAACATGATAATCTAGTAATCCGTACACTGGATGGCGAGATTGCTGGTGATGAGTTTGCGCAAGACGCAATCAACTACCAGATCCTTCTTGGTAAGATCGATACACTTCTGGATAATCTCACTCTAGATGCCTAGATCATCTTATACAAGTACAATGTAAATAAACATTTCGTGTCAATTCGGTCGAGTCATTGTTGTGAAGCAGCTTCTTGTGCACATCCGTGACCAGACACAAGGCCTTCCGCCACGAGTGCACGCTTGGACTGTTTACGACAATGCTTGGACACAGATCGAGCACGAAAAAACAGACAAATCTCGATATTGCATAATGCTATCCATACACATGTTTGAAAAGGTAACAATAGCAAATGCGGCACGAATTGGTGAGGTAAGGACGAAAACAGGGTGATCCTGCAGGCAGCGCGAGCCATGTTTGCTTTGTTTGGATCGCGACTCCTACGCGCGCCTCGTCAATCGATTGCGCATTATCTATTAATGCTATGAGTGATACAATCGACCTTGCTTTTCTTCCAAGGAAGATGTCATGACTAGATCCAGCTATTTCTATGGGCAGATGATTCGCGTCCACATTCCAGATCTCGAACTACAGTCATGTCGACCTACGGGCAGCATCACTTCTGCTTGCTCTGGATTCATGATGACAGTTTCTCTGAAGAGACTGTGGTATTCAATTCGGATCGCGTGGCTCTGAATGAGGGATCGCTCTGTAAGCTTGCGGCCCTCAAGAACACAGTGTCGACTCATGATTTCACGATCAGCACACCAGCCCTATCCGCCACAAGACCAGAAAACACACCAGGAAAGACAGCTCTCCGAAATGGTGGCCGAAAATCCGTCAAACATGCCTCAGATATGGAGAAGCATGCAGACTCCTCTAGATCCTTAATCTTCGTGGCTCGCGACATGACTCCCGAGCAGAAGCGGAAACAGCCTAGGCTTCAGGTCTCTGTGCATACTAATGCAGCGGCGGCTTTCGGCTTTCGTAACAATATGCAGGCCATAGTCCTTCCGGTACTTAAAACTTACCCTTGCTTAGATGACATACACGACTGACATCTGTCAGGCACTTGAGGATGTACATTCTGCGTCTCACGTAGAGATAGTCTTCCGCGACCAATATCTCGCGCGCTCGGATATGTGGAGATTGACAGTAGCAGTTCTGAGTGAGAAAGCTGTTTTCAAAGGACAGAAACTGCTTTTCCTGGGCAGTATCAAGGCTACCGTGAAGAACATCTTCGTCGACGGACAGAAGGTCACTTCGGCCTTTTTCTCGTCCTCCACTAAACCCATCTTTCGCAGTGAGTCTGCAAAGTATGTTGTGTTTATTCAGATGTCTCGCGAGATGTGGGATTTCGATGCGGAAGGATCAGGCGAGATCATGTTCAACAAGGTCATCAATGGTTTCCTACCTGATCTGTTCAAACGCTGGCAGAGACTGAACGTGCATCATCTTGTCAGCATCATCATGTTCACTCGACTGGAGTACGAACATGGTGTATTGGTTCGTCGGGACGAGAATTCAGATGCCCAACACAGTAACGGACGATCGCCCGGCAACGGTCGCGAATATCGAGACTACTATCGAGTAGTCACAACTGATGCGTCGAGTAGTCGATGGGTCGACATTCTTTACAAGCTCAAGAAGGAGTTCAAGGTCTTTTTGAAGGACGTGTCTGTTGTGGGTGGTAATGATGCTTACGGTCCACCTCCGGAGACTCTAGCATCCGTGAAAGCCCGTACCGAGACTGAGTCTGTGATTGCTGGTCAACCTACTACATCGGCACGAGGCAACATCCTGGAAGCTATCAATCTTGCTGCATCACAGTTCTCTAAGGACTATATCGATCGCGACCTCGTACACACCGGTATATCATTATGTATTGTCACGGCAGGCACGGGCATTTTTGAAGTCGACTACAACATACTCAAGCTGACAACGGACGCACTCGTGGCAAGCGGCATGGGTGTTGATCTTGTCTCCCTGGCTAGGATGCCGCTCCACTCTGTGCCTCTGTTCAGATATCGAAGCCCTCACATACTCCCCGGTCTACCCGTTGTGTCCGACATCTATACCTTCGAGGGAGGCAGTACGCCTCGTCAAGCAGGCTACTTGGAAAGTTTCATGGTCGGTACTCCCAGAGGTACCGGAAGGTTCATGCGAAGAGCCAGCAGCCATAACAGAGAACAAGTGCCGGGCACCTTGATGGAATCCGGAGTGCAGTGGAGCTATGCCTTGCCACACTGGATTGACGTCTCTTTCTGGACTGGTCATTCCGACGAAGAGCACCTCCGAACTCAATATGGTCTGAACTACAAGAAAAAGAAGGGCTCAAAACGAAACGATCCCTTTACTACAAGTTGTCGGATGTACGAGTTACAGATGATGGGTCTCATGGAGACTGAGATGAGCGATATAGCTATACCTTTGATGCTACCCGAGTATACAAATACCGAAAAGCCTCGCCAAGCAAGACATCATCTCGAACCTGCACCAAGCGAGGAGCTCTCGGGCAGCTATGGTTCAACCAGATCATTCCATGGATATATTGCCAGCTCACCACAGCAGCAGGATGACGACTCGCACCCCAAAATGGATATGCCAACCCGCAAAGAGCTCATTGACTGGATGGCTGCTTACGATAAGCAAGTACCTTTCAAAACGCAGGACTCTCCTCCGGTGAAGACGATACTTGACCAGACCCCTATCGAGTCATCCAGAGGTAGCTTGGAAACAACTGTGAGATTCAGCTCGTCACCTACAAAATCAAGAAATAGCTTGGCATCACAACAATTTAGACCTGGTGAAAGTCCACGAGGTACGGGCTATCTTGGAAACAGATCACCTCCAAAACGTGCAATTTTACCCGTCAAGACGGACCAGCCAAAACAATCGTCGATGCGCAGCACCCAGACAGTCCCTAAAAGAGCTCCTATGCCACGCCAGATCAGTTTGGTAGGAGGACTGGGGACAGCGAAGTCAACCGCGAGTATTAGCGTCAGCAATGAGAGCGCTGGAACCAGTACTCCGACATTGGAGTCGCCTCCACCACCGACTGCTTCCAAAAGTGGTGGGCTATTCTCTAGTCTGACACAGCAGCTCCTCAATACGTTGCAACGCAAACCATCGCAAGCAAGTCTACGGACCAATGCTAGTGGTCTTAGTGATCGAGCGGACTCAGACCGGGCAAGCATGGTCCCGCGTAGCACTCCAATTGCTATCCGGTCGAATTCGGTTGTGTCAGAGCATGATGAAGAAGATGAAGAGTCTCCAAAGGCAGACACGTATCGCGGTCCTGTCACGAAGATACCGGAGGACATTGTGATTCGTGATGCATCGGTAGTAGGACGACAAGCCGCCACTATATCAGACTCCGCACCCGACTCCTCCGCGGATAGAGCAGACTACAACAGAGTACTGTCACCCTTGACGGCCATCTCGCCGTGGCTCACGATGCTAAATCCATCAAACCCGAAGAAGCATAACATGAGCATAGCAAGCCAGTTCCGTCGCTGGCAGCATATATTTCCAAAGCCAGTGCCCACTTCAGTGATGAAGTGGAAGTCCTTGTGCTCACCAGCGTCTCTGCCGTTGACTGCTGAGTACTTCCCGACGGCAGAACAACTTCGCAATGAGTATTCGGAATCACCTTACCGGATATTACCTCTGGATGATGATGAGTCTTCTGAAGCGCCGAAAACTAGGGAGGCACTGATTCGGGAGCTCATTGCTTGCAGACTATCACATGGCTTCCAGATAGTTGTTGGTCCAGCAGCCACAGAGTTCGCAGGCGCAAGAGCAGCCTCTTTGGTCAAAGTCTTTGACAAGAACTACATGGCAGAGGACGGCGCAACAGTATTGATGACTGTGGGAAATAACATTCACCTGCTTGTCTGTACTGAGAACGGCGAAATCGAGGTACGCAGGTACAATAGGAAGCCCGTGGCGGAAGTTGAGTATACTGGTGCTGTGGATCCCACCGTGGCATATCATCCCTACATTCGAACATACCTTGCCAAGGGATATGAGATGCGACCTGTTGTATTCAAGAACCCACGACCAACATACAACTGGAACGCTATAGATCATCATCTTGCTGGTTACAAGCAAGAACACACCTCACAAGACATGCGTTTCTGGAGAGCTCGATTTGTTCTTATTCCGGTCGCTCACAAAATCAGAAGCGGTCAATTGGGATTTGTTTCCGAAAACTCAGAAGAAGAAATCCGCCTGGAAGGTATTCAGAAGCTCACACAAATTTGGCAGAGACATCGCTACATCCCTCCGGAAGAACGCCGCTTCCAGCAGTCATTGCAACAAAGACGCAAGGATCCCAACCCTTTGGCGATTGAATATCATACTCATGATCCTTCAATGATCGTGCGAAACCATGCGACGGGTCTAGCAGAAGCCTTGTCTCAAGACGAGCCGGGCCATGACCTCTTTGCAGAGTCTGAGCAATATCACACCAACGATTTCGACATGCAAAAACTTGCCCAACATCTGCAAGCGAGTCCGCCAAAAGGCATACCAGTAGCAGATCGTAGGTGGCATTTCAAGACGCATTGGAAGTGCTTCCGGGGTGATCATCTTACTAGCTTTCTCCTCGTCAACTTCAAGGACATTGAAACGAGAGAAGATGCGGTCAAGCTTGGAAATGCTCTCATGAAAAAAGGATTGTTTACACACGCAGTACAGAAGCATCAATTCCGAGATGGCAACTACTTCTATCAGATCGCTTCCGACTATCGTACCACGCCCTATCCCGAAAATAGGTCCGGATGGTTCGGCATGGCAGGCCGATCAATGCCTACTACACCCATGCAAGAAGGTTCAAAAGCGTCTCCAAAGTTCTTGCCCGTAGACAAGATAAGATCACCTAAGGTTGGACCTGTAGACAAAGCGCGTTCACCCTTGATCGGACCTTCGGACAATAACCGTCCCCGATCTGGTACAGACGAGACGAAAGATTCAGGAAGGAGCACACCCAGACCAGATTCAAACAAGAGGCCAAGACTGGAGCTCAGTCGAAGCTTGCGGTATGATGTCGACCATCGTAAGAATTCTTATCGTCCTGAGATTATCACATTGCATTACGACCGCATCCATAATCCGGACAACTGCTATCACATCCGTCTAGAATGGATCAACGTTACAGCGAAGCTCATCGAGGATGCACTAGTATCTTGGGCAACTAGCGTTGAGCGATATGGTCTGAAGCTGGTCGAGTTGCCTATCGCAGAGGGACATGCCACTCTCACTCAACACCCCTTCAGAAGGCCTTACTTGATCAGACTCGCCCTGCAGCCTCCCCGAGGGACGCCTAAGCAGTACCTCGAAGCAGGAACAACGGCGTACGAGGAGACATATCCCTTCCAAAGAGCACTGGTGAGGAAGTTCGATTTCGTGCTAGACTACGAGGCAGCTAGCACGTTTGATCAAGGTGTCGATGTGAGCTACTCTTGGGGAAAGCCAGATTATCAGTACACGCAATTCATCCACAAGTCGGGCGGCTTGCTCATCCAGATTGACGGTGATGGCAATCTGATGCTGGCCGCAAACAGGCTCTGTGTTAATCGCTCAGCGACTGCTCGCGAAGCTTCAAAGTATGAAGTGTCTAGACGAGAGAAACGGAACTTCTCAACACCGGCGCCACCGGCGCATGCTTCTCCCTTCCTGGGTGCACTCAAGTCATCTGAACCACAGAGCGTACTCTCCAGGAACTCCTTCACTGAAGCTTCCGTCGAGCCCGAAAATGTGGCGCAACAACTCGAGGCATTCTGCTTTGATGCGGAAAAGCTGAGAATATTCTACGAAGATGCGTTGAGGCCTACCGCAAGTCCTAGTCCACATCTGACGCCCAGGCAAACACCCAGACAGACACCGGTACTGAGTGCGATGAATGCCATACCTCACCTGGGTCTGCCGCCGAGTATTAGCCTTAGGAACGCTAGTCTTGCGGAGAGCAACCCGAGGATTGGGTTGTCACCGTCTAGGAGATCGAGTATACAAGGTTTTAAGTCGTACCTGTCAGAATCGGGCAGTCATCGTGACTTGAACTAAGCTTGGCGATTGGTGGATGGTCTTCTACACAGCAGAGCTGGATAGTGTACATTTGCAAGTTGGAGTCGGTATCTAGGTAATCTTACTCATGCGCACAGAGGCGGGCGTCTCTGGTATCGGCCAGAGAGACTAGAGGCTTGTTTGGGATAGACAGACATGTGAAGATGAACGCAGACGATACACACCATGATGCAACTCCTTCTAATTTCAGGCGCTTTCACATGTCAGAGTTACGAACACTCCAATCTTGAGCCTCTCCCTGCCATCCGGAGATCCGGATGTGGTGTCTCACGACTGCCGTGCTCGTCGGCTCCAAAGGTTCGGTTAGGCAATACCGAGCCGGCTCGGCATACACAGCCCGTGTCTATTGATGAACTGGCGTGCTGAGTACGATACATGTACTGAGATACGAAGTCGATCGGTTGCAGAGGAGTCGTACTCCGTCAGACAAGGTGGTGATGTTCTCGGTGCATCGCACACACCCTGTCTATGGGTGACAGCCACTGTATCACTGAACAACATCTGACGGCGCGAAGCATGAAGAGTGAGACGCCTGTTTGCAAAAGGCTAATGTGATTATCATAACTGAAGGTCTGCGCTTGGCAAATTATATTGCGGGCAGATCAAGCCGGCAATTTGTATGAGGCTGTCGTACAAGGGGAGCCTTTTCAGGGCATCAAGCCAGACGCGAAGCAGGATGGCAGGTGACTCTTCATTGCAACGTGGCCGAGGAGATATGGGTATGTTTCTAAGCAGAAATGGCGGGCGCATGGAAGCGAATCAATCACGGAAGAGTGATTTAACGATGCCATTTCATTCGTACGTAGAGCGCTGTGCCACTGTTGGCCGTTCGGTTCGTCGCATGGCAGCGACAGACGGGATGCTTTGTCCATTTCACGGCATGCGAGATGCCCTGCATTCTTGCGGTCTGAAGAGACGGAGAGACCGATACCTTGCTGGTGCCTTGAGTCGATGTAACAGTAGTTTAATCTATCATGTTCAGGGGTGATAAGAAGTCGTCTTGAAGTCTTGCCATATTTTATGTTTCGTTTTGATCTGTCAAGAAGGTTCCGACCTTCCATGCATCTTCCTGTGTTCCGCGAAAGTCAAAGATTCAGCGTCATTGCTTCCCCAGGATTCAGCGATATCGGCAGTCTGCGAACGCGTTAAACAAGAACACGAGATCGGATCGTTCAAATTGGACTTTCCGACAGCAAGATCGGCTTCGGATCCCACAAAGGCGGTTAAACCTCATTGCTGGATCAACCAAGAGTTCAACCGGTTTGAGAGGCAGGGTTTCCCTTTGAGGCTGGCAGCATCTCAGCTCTCATTGACAGTAGCTGCAGGGTGAGAAGAGTGACGGAGAACTGGTCAGATCTGAGCAGTCTGAACGAATTCACGGCACACCGCAACGCTGCATCGGTCGTCATCCCTGTCAAGCCACGCCCGGGCAGCTGGGATGCAGGAGTGTCAGGAAAAGAAATAAACATCGACCAAGTAACGCGACGCGAGCGATCTCCCATGCCATTCATCCCTCTCCACATATCGACAGGATCTGCCACATCGTTGCATTGGATAAAGTCAATTCAAGCCTCGCCCATTCTCCCTGACAATCCTCTTATCTTTACGAGTTGCTGTTTGAAGTGCAATTGTGTATTCAGTGTCCTTACATCTGGCCTTGACGCCCGCCCCAATTTCTTCAACCCACGTTCTCCAACGGCCAGAACGCCAACGAACTTTCTGGGGTATACAGTGCACTCTTTCTGGCTCTTTCGTTCCCCAACCATCACGCGACATCAAGTGCTGTCGCCTAGCATGTGCTTCTACGCCCGCCATTTCCAGTCAATGATCAAGTTCTGGTTGGATCCTCAGGCGACAGTCTTCAATTGAAGCGGAGCAAGTCGTCGATCAAACCATGGCCGTCACCGACATGATGCATCGCTTCTCACGCTCTCGCGGAGAATCTCAAGAACCCGAACGCAACGAAGCACCCGTACCCTCGACACGTAGTCTCTCACTTTTATTTCCACCTAGAGAGTCCTACGACCGTGCCAACAATACAAAGATCTCATCGAATACACCAAATGAACCTCTCTACGACCAGGACACGACCATCACATTTCCGCTCTCGCCGGACGAGGAGCCTAGAATAATAATCGCCCAAGATGACACTGGTGTCTCAATCGATCGCCTCCTCTTCGACTCTCAATGGACCCGCAAGACCAGCAGGGTCAAGACCGACGACTCCAACGGGGAGTCAAAGAATTTTTCTTCCAGGCCGTCTTCATCCGTCGGCCCACAATCGCCAACGAGCAGTGGTTTCCTTCGAAGTCAGCAATCCCGTGGCCATAGATCCACCATTTCTGTTGTGCCAGAGCGTAATGGATCCCCGCCGACCCGTCCGTCGATGCCGCGCCTCGACTCAACTTTCGTCCCTTCCACTCAGTTCCGCCGTACCCCTACAACGGCCTCACTTGCAGATTCTCGCAAAGACATCAACAGCCCTGTTGAGAATACCGCCGAAGAGATGGATTCTTGGCTGGACTGCATGTTTGGCAAAGCGCCGATGAGATACAAGGGACCTGTTACGAAGTTACACCATGTTCAGCGCCAACCGCCAGACGAGCCGCAGGACCTCCGCCCAAAGTCGTCTCCACGTAGTGGATTTGGCTCATACCAAGCAAAGGACAGCTCGCCCTTGAGACCCAGCTCTACTGTCTCGATCAAGAGAAGGAAGGACGCTTTGCTCCTGTGCACAACTTTTGCTGTCAACATGCACGACGAAGATCTTCCCGAGCAATTACAACAGGCCGCATCGAGTCATGGATCACATCAATCATGTCCACGGAAAAAGCGCTTCAGCACACCTATGTTTGGCGTGGCTATCCTTCTACCCCTGAAGAATGGCAATGCGTCCAGTGACAAGAAACGGTCACAAGGACACCTTTCCGACCAGACCGATCCTGTTCAGGCCATCCTTGATGATTGGCACATATTTGCCAGGGCTCTTGATGCCCTGAGAACAACCACTCTCGTACACATTCAGCAAAGGCTTAAGATAAAGGCCGAGGCCCTAGCACGGTCCAAGACTGCTGTATCGCGTACAGTCCCGCGCTTAGTCAAGCTTGAGCCAAGTGCGTTCGAGCATACTTCACAGATCCTCGAGATGTCCTCGTCAGTTATAGATCGCATCGTCCGTAGCTACCAAGTACTACAAGCTGGACCACAACGTGACTGGAGCATCTGGAGAGATGAACTACGCGACTACACTCGCGTCTCGCAAGATGCTGATTCAAAGAGAGGCTTCTTCAACCTGCACAAGATCAACTTTATGCAGGCAGCCTTGACTGCCGCTTTGGGTGTAGATCTTGGCTGGCTCAACATCTTCGCCCCTCCACAGCATCAGGCTCGATTACGCGAGGAACGTCAGAAAAGCCGAACGACTTTTGATCAGGCTCAGAACCGTACAGTCATTGTAAGCATGGATCAGAACAAGGCTCGCAATCTCATCTTCATCTTCGCGAAGCTATTCCCTTGTCCTGCGTCAGAGGCACAATTCGAAAGCTTGAGACGTTCTTCGTCGAGTAGTCTGAATTCTGCCAAGAAATGTGTTTCGGCTCTCACGCAGGGCTTGAAAAGCGTAGAATATGCTTCGGACGAAAGCCAAACGAAACCACACACGGTCGAGTATACGAGCAAGTATAACGTCAAGGACGCACCTAGAACGCCGACAATATTCGAGCCGATGCTACATGCCTCGCCTGGCTCTTCTCCGACCAAGACTCTGGCTATCAACAACTTAGCATCGTCAACCCGTAAATCTAGTATAGTCAATACTTCCGGTAAGATCGACATATCGGGTAAGGCCACCATGGCTGTACCAATCAGTGCGCCGACTTCGGGTCGCAACACACCCTCTGGCTCTCCAGAGACTCGTCCTGGTAGTAGTCTAAATGCACAGGGAGATCTCATGCGCCATCTGCAACGCGCGAGCAGTAGCACTACGAGTAACGGCAGTACCGATTATACGAGCCTGTGGAACAGCCTCAGAAGCAGCACCCGGAGTCTCAAACCTCGTCGCGAGTCTTCGCTGACTGAGAGGAGTGACAGCTTCACCAGCAGTGGTCAGCGTGAGCAACCCCCTGGCATTTTGAAGACTAGCAAAAGCTTTGCTGCGCGCCAGAGCTCCAACAAATTGGTACGCATGGTTGAAGAGGTGCACGGTATAGAGGAAGCCGATGAGAAGAACGGTCAACCAAACTTGAGACGAAAAAAAGGTCCACCACGCATATCGCCAATAACCATGGCCCACAAGACCTCCGCCTTGCAGTTTGATCCACCAACCTCTGACTATGCCGGGATAGCCTATACCTATAACCAGGACGAAGGTATAGTCGATGTCGACTTCCCGGGCTGCACTCCCATAGCCAGTGTGGTCCGCAACCCCTCTCCTAAAGTGCCTAGGTTCAAGGTTCCAAGCAACAGAGGCCAATTTCCTCTCCAGAAGTTCAGTACGGTCGAGGCTAGCCCAGTAACGGAGACTCACAACTGTCAAGGACTTGCACGATACGATAGGATTGCTGGATATCTTGGGAAGTTTCACCCTGATTTTGCTTTACAAGCCACGAGGCCTTATGCAGAGCTGGTTGACGAAGTCAAGTGCGCAATGCGGGCTGAACCATCACCCATGGTTGAGCCATCAGAGAACCTGAGAGTCTTTAGCCAGGAAACATGGATCGATGTTTGCTCGACGGTCTTTATGGATGCTGAGGCTCTGACAGTGAGGAAGTTGATCCTCCGTAGACGCGTGCGATACAAGTTGATTGTACCTGATGACTCGCCTAATTTTCCGAGGCAACATGCCGCAGTTAATGGAAGAAAGCAGTCGACCTGCTCTTCTAACGGCAGTGGGTCGGACCAAGACAGTCAGATCAAGGTCATCAAATCAGATGACATGGACTCGATCAAGCGCACATACAAGCGCAATGATAACGGTCAGAAGACTGGGTTCCGCGATCAACGGATCTTGAAGACGGATCTTCCTAACGCCGGCTCGGCTGAAGGTGTACTCAACAACCATGTTGCTGGCCGCCACTCGATCGACGCTCTTGGAAACGTTCTCTCCGAGAAGGGTGATAATGTGGAGACTCATTCATCAAGTGCGCAATCTTCGCATACCAATGGAAGTCGAGTAGACTCGCCCATGATGATTAAGGACCAATCTGCACTTCTGGATCATCGCCCGAGCGCTACCGTCGTCGTTGGTGAAGATCTATCTGAGTTCATCGAGCACCGCAAGACCAATAGCTTCCCTGCAAAAGAAGCCGCAGCAGTGGTCACAGCTACGAAGCGAGTGCCAATCCACAACAAAGAAGGCAAAATCAGTGGCTGGAAAGAGGTTTGCACAAACAAACCTGACGAACCTGGACTGAACGATTTGCCCACTGGCTTCGTCGAAAAGCGTCGCGATAAAGCAGCAGCGATTGTAGAATGTCAGACGTTGGCCGAGAAATTCGACGAAGAAACGATCAGTAAGCCTGATTCTGCAATCGTCGGTCTCTTACAGCAGATGCTCGCCACGAGCGAGACGCGTTCACGCGCAGATTCTCGTGCAAACTCGGTACACAGCCGTGCGCCTAGTCGTTCCAACTCCATTAGCGGATCTGGTCTTACCGAGCTCCAGTACGAGAGCAAGAAGATCATTGAAGATGCTCTCGAGGGTCTTGTCAGTGCTGTGGCTTCCGACAAGTATACCTCCAACAACGCTTCTTCTGGTGGGTTGTTCAGCTTTGCCAGAAGTGCAGTGTCTACCCCCGAACCTTCTTTCCTTCGACAAAGCATCTCTAAGTGGATGTATGGAGATGCTTGAGAGAAATTTTGCCAACCTGTGGCCTCCACTCACCATTAATTTCTTCCTTCACACCCCTTCCGCTTGATTGCTACAACCCTATGGCCAGCGTCCGATACGCATGGCCATAGTTCTTTCTCTTTGCAAATCGCATAGCATGTATTAGTAGATCTCCCTTCTTCCAGTGGCATAGTATTCAGCGCGTTTTGTTTTCTTGCTCTTGTTCTACACAGCTCAATCGGCTGGTACTCGAATGGCTACTACCCTTTTACTTCTTGACTCACCTCTTTCCATGATCCCGTGATGAGTGTCTCAGTCTCTGTTGAGTACCTGATCGGTGACAGTCTATAAGCACACCGTATCAGAACACTACCATCGAGACTTTAGACATGTAAGCACGGAAACCCGTTTCCTCCTTCCTAAGTTCCTATCGCAGATCCCGATCGCGGGTGGCTGGAAGCAGTAGATCCCGCCGTCGGATCTGTCCGCAATAGGAAGGCCTACCGAGTATTGCGACGAAAGTAGCAAGTTTGTCCGTCCACAGGTGCTCCCTTCTTGCCAGCCACGTCCTGGACACGTCGTGTACGGGGTATTAGCCTCGAAGAAATGTGCTTGACGGTAGACTGTTTCCGATGCTGCTATCAGAAGAGGAAAGTAACGCGACATCTCCTGCTTCTAAAGTGAAGCCTTTTGTGGTGCATAAAGCTTGAAAAAAACGCCCGCCTTTATTTGCCTAAACGTGCTTTCCTGTTGGAAGGGGAAAAAAATATGAACAGTGATGCGAGTGTGACTCAGCAGCAAAAGCACTGTTTCGTGAACAATTTGTAAGCGTTGCTTGCTAACACCTGACCTTTGGTGACAGATTTTTATACACGTCGGACGTCTGCCATTTTGTTGACAAGCCATCGCTCCGACGCTTTGCTCAAGTCATGTCCGCCTACACATTCGGAGCAGCTCTCGAGCACACGAGCTCGAAAATCACATCCCCACCCGCCATAAAGCAAAAGAATACTTCTGCACCCCCTTCAGCCATCGAGTTGCAGGAGTACTTCAATTCAGTGCAATCACAGCATTCTGGATATGCAGATGGCATAACACCTGCGGGACCACAAACACCTGGTTGGACGGGATCGCAAACTCCCAAGACACCTAATGAGTTGGAGATTAGTAGACCACCGTCTCCTGAGCAGGCTACAGAGGTTGTGCCCAGTTTTGGGTTTCCGAACAAGAATAGGTGGAGGGTTTTGGCTGTTTGTGTGGTTTATCTCGCTAATGGGTTGAGCGATGCTGGTGAGTGCCTACCCTTCAGCCAAAGCCATCATACAAGCTACAAGCTTTGGGGAGGTTAATACTAATATCCAGGGTGAAACAGCTGCTGGTGCTTTGATCCCTTTTATGGAAACACATTACGATATCGGGTATGCGATTGTGTCGCTAATTTTCATTACAAACGCCATTGGATTCATTGCTGCGGCGTTCTTTACGGATCTTGCCCTGGAGAAATTGGGGAGGGCGAAGGCTTGTATGCTTTCGGAGGCGCTGTTGGTTGCTGGATATGCTATTATTGCTTGTACGCCTCCTTTTGCTGTGGTGGTTGCGGCGTAAGTCTATTTCTTATCTTCTGACGTTGAGGGATTGAAAAGCTGACATTGGACATAGCTTCTTACTGCTTGGACTGGGTGTAGCACTCAACCTGGCCTTGAACAATGTATTCTTGGCCAATCTGGCGAATCCGACAGTTATTCTTGGAGCAGCACATGGTAGCTATGGACTAGGTGGTGTCATAGGTCCCATCATGGCGACTGTCCTGGTATCTCGAGGTATCCTCTGGAGTCGCTTCTACCTCATTACTCTAGGACTCCACGCCATTTGCTTCTTCACTACCGGCTGGACATTCTGGAACTACGAGAGTGAGCCAACCAGTCTGAAGACCGGCAATCTTATCCCACGTCGTGCTGGCGAAACACAACCCACGAAACTGCAGATGATGAAACGGGCTCTCAACAGCAGAGTCACCGTATTTGCTGCGCTATTCATCTTTGCTTATCAGGGTTCTGAGGTCAGCACTTCTGGCTGGGTCATTTCCTTCCTCATCGAAGCTCGTGGTGGTGATCCGGCTAAAGTCGGATATGTCACTGCTGGTTTCTGGGGCGGCATTACACTGGGCAGATTTGTTCTGTCTCACCTAGGACCAAGGATTGGAGAAAAGCGCTTCGTCTATATCCTCACTGTTCTTGCTATTGCTTTCCAGCTCTTGGTCTGGTTGATCCCCAACATTATCGGCGAGGCTGTTGCTGTATCGCTGCTTGGCTTGCTGCTGGGACCAGGTAAGCAAACACTCCGGACACTTTGGCCACAGGTCGCTAAATTTTCCGCAGTGTATTCGTGTGCCCTTACAATCTTCACCAGACTGATGGGCAGAGATGTGCAAATGATGGCATTGAGCTTCGTGTCCAGTGCTGGCAGCAGTGGTGGAGCGATCGCACCATTCTTGACAGGTCTGTTGGCGCAACAAGTGGGAACTTTCGTCTTGCATCCTATCTGTATCGGGTTATTCGTGATCATGGTGGCCTGCTGGTATGGTTTGCCCAACGTGGTTAAGAAGTCGGAGTAAATCTATCAGAGGAAAAAGTTCTGCTATCAAGATTAGGTTCACACAGTGATAGAATAATACAATCTGCTGTATACTAAGGCAACCTTTGAGAGTGTGGTCATCGTGTCCATCATGGTGACAGTCTCATACTCAAAAGATGATGAGAGCTGTAGACTTGAGATTCAAGGAGTGAGATTGACAGTAGGAAGGAGCAACACAATTACAGCTACATGCGACACAAGAAGTATTTGCTCCTTCCCAATCACGAGAAAGTTCTCTTCTGAGCCCTGATATTCCAAGGTCCACCAGTATCAAAGTCGCAACTTCTAACCCTCACGTCGAAACCTCCCATCACATTTCCATATCTTCCATCTCACCCTGTCCCTCCTCTTCCCCTCTCAGCACATCCACAAACCCCTTCCCCATCCTCCCCCCTCGTCGAACCCACACGGCCTCCCTACACATGCCCGCCGTCGGCCTCTCATACACACTCTCCCTCATCATCCACTCCACAGTCTCTTTCCCCCAACACCCTATCCCCTTTTCCTCAACATGCGGAAACACCAAAGCCCTTGTCAGAACATCCCTACACAATCTCCCCAAAGCCCAAATATCGGATTTTGGCCAAAGATCAGGGGAGCAAGTACAAAGAAGCGCTTCTGGAGAAGCATAGCGAGCACTTGCTTGTAATGATGATGATGATGATGATGAGGAGGAAGATGAATCTTCGAGTAAGAAATGGGCAGCGAGGCCGAAATCTGAGAGTGCAAAGACTATAGCTTGGGATTTGCTTTGGCCAGGGAATAGGAGGATGTTGGTTGGTTTTAGGTTTCTGTAGACGATGCCTTTGGTGTGTAGATATTCCAAGGCTGAGAGCATTTGATAAGCTAGTGTTTGAGCGATGGCTTCATTTAAACCTGAGATGTTCAAAGCTGAATGTTTGATGTGGAAATCTTGCAGGTTTTGGGAAGCTAGAGGGGTGATGAGACAGGAATTCCAATTTTGCGTTGCGGGATCTTGAACACCTGCTATATCTTCGAGTGGTATGATGTGAGGGTGGGATAGAGTGGCTAGGATGGTGGCTTCTTGTCGAAATTTCAAAAGGTGGGAGGCTGTGGATGTTGAGATGACTTTCAAGGCGAAGACTGCAGTGGGAGAGGTGACATGATAGGTAGATCCATGGTTCCCGGTGCCTAGAAGAGTTTTGGTGGTGTATTTTCCTTTTCTGTTGAACGAGGTCGCGATGGTTCCGGGGAGTAGAGGTGTAGATGTGGGATTGGAGATACTGTTTCCCATTTCTCTTGGAATCAGGAAAGGGAGAACCCGATAGGACAGGCGATAGGTATAAAACCAGGGAGCTGGTCTAGTAGCTCTGATGGTCAAGTACGGTATATCCGATGTTGTTGGTTGAGTAGCTTATAGGCATGCAACGAATGATAGGCGTGTTGTTCTGAAACAGTAAGCGCCGTGTTGGGCGGCAAGGCATGTCTCAGTCCCTTGCTTTCTCTCACTCCTCAGGCGTTCTTTCGCACGAATGCTATTCGATAGGACATCATAGCTGTCTCTACAACCTTGACTAATCATCGGTGTTTGCAACATCTTTGACGATGAGGTCCATAGCAAATAAACGTTCGAAGCTACGAGATAAAGATTCGAGGACGTTCCCGTCTATATCTCTAGATCTTGCTTCTTCATAGTTACAATGATGGCCCAGAACAGACTCAAAGCGCCCAGTGTGATTGTAGCCGGCAGCGATCCGTTAGAGAGATCTTTTTCGGTAGAAGCAAAAATCCATCAGAAAAAGAACCCCAACGACGGTGTCATAGCTAGTACATTATAAACCACAATCGCAACGACAGAAAATCTTCCTCGTACGTGCAGTCCCCAGAAGAATTCAGAATGGTCCGTATTGACATCTAAAGGCGTTTCTCTCTTGGGAATACACTGGATGGCCTCATACGACGAAGTTGGGGTGTGTGTACATCTATGCCATCTGAATGATTGCTCAGCCTTACGATGTTGGCAAGCGTAGAAGTTTTCATAGAACTCTTGGGGATCATTGGACGAATTAGACTCTGCCGGCTTCGGACTGTAGTGTTAGGCTTGATGTTCAGGTCGAGGTGGCTTGCTAGGATCTCCAGGCAGCTCCTTCTCCAACAAGGCACATGTTTGCTTTCCGAGCTTTTTGAGCTAGACACAAGTTCCATGATCAATCCTGGTTGCTCACATCAATCACAAAGAAGAGTACACTTACTCGTCGAAACTCACAATGGGAGAATATTTTCAGCCCAAGATGATACTTCCAAGTGCCACGGAGTGATATGTACTCCTGACGCAGTCTTTGGATAAACACATGGAGACCCGAAACACGCGGTGGCGGCGAGCTGCTCCCGCTTCCAAGAGTTTGTGTGCCACCGATGATATTCTGAGATGAGGAGCTGATCGGAGCAGAGGTCGACAAAGAAGTGATCTGTGGAAAGTCGAGGGAAATGATCAGCTTGGAGGGGGAAAACAGTCAGGCAAACCATGCCCTATCGCATGTCCAGCCGCTCAGCCTCGTGAGGTGCATGGTGACTTGAAAATTGCAGACCACACCACCTCAGAGTCCCATCGGCAAGAGCCACAAGAGTCTAGAAGATGCTGTTTGTAGTACTGTTGTATCATTAGTTGACGACTGTAAAAGAATTGTAAGAGAACATCCAAACATATATCATTCTGGCATCTGTATCCATGCTATCCATTATTGGCCATCCTCGATCTCCAGTCTTTCTTCCTTCGAACTTCCATCTCCATCCCAAATCTCTCAGATCCTCAAGCCAAAAAGGAAATACTTTCCTACCACCACCAAGCCTTCTACACAACAGCAGCAGTAGCAGCAGCAATAGTCTGTCTCCTCTCCTTTTCCTTCTTCTTCGCAGCCCAATCCCTAGAAGCCTGTCTACCCTTTTCCGCAGCCTCTGCTCTTGCCTTTTTGGCAGCCTCTTCTTTTTCCTTCTTCTCCTTGTCTTCCTTCTCTTTTGTTGCCACTGCTCTGCCAAAGACTTCTTTGCCTTTGGATACAAAAGGAGCCATGGATTGTCGTTTTTGGAATGATGTGGCTGCTCTGGGTGGTAATGCTGCTGTGGATGAGGAAGATGCGGTGGGGTGGAAGGAAGATAGACGTTTTTGAGCCAGAGAAGTGCTGTCTCTGACGCTTGTGGTGCGTGTGATGCCGTTGGTCTCGCCGGAAGGGATTCGTGCTCGAGAGGCGGCGTTCATCCTCACCACAGCAGGTTCCTTGACCCTGGGCACTGGTCTAGCTTTGAAGCCTGATTTTCTGACCGCTTCTCTTTTTTCCTCTTCTTCTTTTTCCTTCTTTAGTCTTTCTTCCTTTTGAGCCTTCATCTTTGCGGCAAAGACATCACTGGAGAGTTGGAAAGTTGCTTTTGTGACTGGCTTTGTGGATCTTGTCGTCACGGGTGGTATGTATGCTTTCTTTGCTGCCACACCACCGTTTTCCTCTTGTCGCTTTTGTCGTTCTTCTTTTTCGGCCTTCAGCTTTGCGGCTACCGCTTCTCCAGGGAGTTGGAAGGTTGCTTTCGTAGGAGGTTTTGAGGATTTTGGTGGTGGAGGAGGTTTGTATGTCGATTTTGTTGAACCAGTGCCGGCTTCTGCTTGTCGTTGGAGGCGTGCTTCTTTGTCGGCTTTTAGCCTTGCAGCGATGGCTTCACCGGGAAGTTGGAAGGTTGCTTGTGTGGGTGCCTTGGAAGATCTGGCAGGGGGTGGAGGGGTAGGGAAGGACATTGACATGGGACGAGGTTTGGAGTGAGGGATATTGGCGAGATTGGATGGTTCAGCAGACTGGGAAGATGCTGGTCTAGGAGCCATGTTGACGCGAGTTGAAGGGCGTATGGAGGAGCGTACGGAAGTGTTTCGCTTGATTGCTGGGTTGGTTGAGGAGTCTGAGCGAGCAGGTGGAGCCATTGACTTGCGCACAACAGAGGATTGACGACCAAGAGTCGTTTGTTTTACTGAGGGCCTTCGTGTGGGCTTCGAAGCATCAGGTTGTGAGGTCTGAGGTGAAGGCTTCTTTGTGGTTGAAGTGAGAGCGGCTTTTGACTTGTTCTCAAGTGAAGCTGTTTCCGTTCCCTTGGGTGTTTGACTTTCGGAAGCCTGGATAGTGTCTTGTTTCGCTTCCTCAGTAGTTTCCGGGGGAGAAGCGGCCAGCTCTTCTGCGTCAGCTTGCGTGTCTGCCTCGACCGTCTGTTCCCTGAATTTATTCGTCTTCTTCGGCGAGACTTGCAAGGCTTCAAAGTGATTAATTAGACTGTCGTCATGTGCTTCGTCCACTTGTGGTGTCTCTTGCCCAGTCTGCGGTATGACCTCAACTTCTTGATGATCGACGTCCACGCTCTTTTGCTTCCCATCAGACTTTGCTTGTTCCTCAGGATGTGGTCGGTGTGGTGTTTGTGGTTCGGATTGTTCATGTTCGGCACCGAGCGTCTCAATGTGAGTCTGAAGCCTGTCCACAGGCGTAGTAACGACAGACGAGTCTGGCACCATATTCTCCTTGTTAGACGTTGATCTCATGTGTGCGTATTCATTCTTCATAATCTTCTTTGCCGGTGTGCGTTGAGGGGTGATGTTGAGCAATGGCAGCTCAGTAGTGGGTGATGAGATGTCCAGATCTTTCTCAGATGGGTGATTCAAAGTGTCTTGGTGGATTGGAATCTGGCTTGGCTTGTTGGTGGTGGGGGTGACAGCAGGTGTAGAGACTGTTATGTTGAGGTCAGCGATGCGCCAGAAGCATTCCATCCTTGCAGACATACCTTGATCCTCTTCTGGATCGTCCTTCGGGTCGCTCTCTTCCAGCTCCTTTTTCTCCTGCTCCAAGTCCACCTCTTCTGCCGTCTCCGCTGGCTCTCCTGCGTCCTTGGGAGCAACGACAGGTGTATCCTGACTGAGGTCCAGCTTGTTCGTCAATTCACCCAAGGGTTCCCGTTCCTGCTGAGCTAGGGGTTCACCCTCCGGCGTGCTAGATCTCTCGTCGCGAACAAATGCATTATCACTAACTTCACTCTCGGCGGCAGCCTGAGCAGCCGCTTGTGCTCTAGTCATTCGCATCTTGACTCAATGTTTCGAAAGAAGCAAATGCTGGAGTAACACGATACTAGGAGATGAATAGCGCGCGCGTAAGAGGAGAGAGAAGAGAGAAGCGCAGCAAACCAACGACGAGGGATCAGCTCGCGTAACACAGACAGGGAGGTGTTTCAGCTTGCGACAAAGTGTTGTGGACCCTGTTTGGTTGCCGTGTTTTTGTTGACGCCTGTCTTTCCCCGCAATTCTCCACGCCCGCAAACAGATCATCAACATGAGGTACTAGAGAAATGACTCGTGGCTATGGAGCATTTGCTTGGTGGGGGAAAGTCTTCGTTGATATCGTGAATGGAAAAAGAATCTAGTCTAGACCATCATGCTGCGTCTGCGTGCTCCGCTTCGATCGACTCGTGCTGATCTGGGTGCCTTTCGCGCTGCCTCTTGCACTTCAGCCTCCTGCCTCTCATCTTCTGCCTCGGCTTCGACCGCCAGCTCTGCAGCGCTACTAGACCTTTGCTTGCTTGCATCGCTCTCACTGCCGTCTGTCATCGAAGAGTGCCGCCTGCTCCCTCGTTTCTTGATCTTGCTACTCTCCTCCACGTCTGAAGAATTCTTCAACTCGTACACCCCTAGATCCTCGCACACGTCGTCCTCATGCTTCTTGGTCCCTGCCATCAATGCAGAAATTGCTCTACCAGATGCTGAGGGTATCCTGCTGGGTTCGAATGATCGCTCCTGCTCTCGACTCATCTTCTGACCTAGAGGGCTCGGCGCCTCGGAGCCCATGTCGCGAGTCAAGGAATCGGTCATGTTGTCTCCGCTAATGATGACTGTCCTCATAGTCTTCTTCTCAGAGGCACTCGTGCTGTTGCTAATTCTTCGTCCGTTCGCATCGACCGCATTTGCCATCGTGGCTGTGGGACGGCGCATCTTGCTCACCAGGTTCGGTTCTGCATAGTTGACGCCTGCTCTGGCTCGTCGCGAAGGCCTACTAGCGCCATTCAGAGCAGCTGGCCCTGAGCTCATCGATTTCAGTCCTGATGGTGGGGGTGTGTCTCTTCCGTCGTCTCTCGCCGCAGAAGGCTCTGATGGCGTAGGTGAGAAGAACTCGGGTAGCGGTGTCTTTGGTACCAGATCCTCTACTTCTGACAGGCTTTCCGCCTGAAGTGCCGGGGGAAGTGCAATCTCGATTGTTCTCATAATCGTCTCTGGCTCCGTTGTCGCAATCGTGACTGACTTTGCGCTAGGGTTCTTCGACCTCCTACGATCTGCTGTCTTCACTGCTGGCTTGAGGGGTGCATCTTCCTTTTTCGGGTCTCCTTTTCCTTTTGTGCTTCGCGACAACTTTCGTGGCGAAATGTTGACACTTTTGTTGCCCAGTACCTTGCGTTCAGGCATCAAACTTGGAGTGTCGGTATCCTCCAGGACGTTTGTTGGCACGATGCTTGGTTCGTTCATGCTGAAATCGGCAGCAATCGAAGACCTCCTGCTGAACTTGAAGTCGTCTTTTACCACAAGCTTCTCGCTGTCATCTTCCACATCTCGTACGCTGAGCTTCCTCTTAGCACTCTTTCGTGTGAGCTGCGGTTGGTCGTCTTCGTCCAGTTCTTGTGGTACAAGTGAGCTCCTCCGTAGTTGGACTTTTGAATCTTTGCGCTTCCTTCTTGTTTCCAGATTGACCGAGAGATTTCCGTGCAGTTCTTCGCTGTCAGAAGCGGCTTGTTCGTATTGGCTGTGCTCTTCGGAATTGTTCAGCTCACGTGTCTCTGTCGACAGAGGATCGAAGGCTATGGAGTCCTCGTTGTCGAAATGGACTACTGGAGGTGAACCGATGTCGGGAGAAGGTTCACTGTGATTAGAGCGACGGATGTGATGGTTGCGACTGAGGATTCAATTGTCAGCGAGAATCAATGTTGGGAGGTGTTGCAGGGACATACTGCATGGAGCCACCAGGAGAGCAGACTTCTTCAGCAATGCCGTCCATGGTGGGAGCCTGGCCCGACAGGATGGCGGCAGGAACTGCAGGCCGCCATGAAGCAGGATCGGAAAATTTGGGTTGCTGGGCCGAGGGATGTGCGGTCTGTATCTGACCGAGCTCCGAGACGAGAGCACCGAACTCGAGGAGCTTTGCCTGCAGCTGGTCCTTGACAGACACGAGAGCAGAGTTGTCTATGCTTGGACGAGGATCGGACAGCTGGGCCTGGAGGTGTACAATGTCTTCACGAAGGTCGAGGTTCTCGGCAAGAAGGCGGGAGACTTCGCATTCGAGGGCGCGGATACGCAGGCATTGTGCAGAGTTGTTTCTGTAGAGCAGTTAGTCAGATGTCGAGACTTCAAGGCGACAAGTAGAGTGGGCGCATACTTTGCAAGTTCACGATTTTGGCGTACGAAGCGGCGCTTTACTGGCGAGGGTCAGCAAGGTCGACAACAGGGTGGATGAATGATGGCGGGACAACATACGGGCATCGACACTCTCTATGGGCAGAGGAGCCTCGTTGAGTCGGGCCATGGGCGGGCGACCAAGTATGAGCCGGATGGTATATGGCAGTAGAGATGTTTTCTGTTTCAGCAAGTCGGTCGAGCACGAGCGAAAGCGGCTGTCCCTCTGAAGCTGTGTCTGTTTGTTTGCAAGCCGTCGCTGTGGGCAACCCCGACTCAATGTCTCGCGCCAAGCCTCCATGCACGACTCAAACAGCCTGTGCCATCAACATTCAGGGTACTTGTGATCTGACCGACTGTTTCTACCAATCATTGCGCCATCATGTATCGGCCCACGAGCAATCTTCCTTCGCATCTGCGCCAATCGTCGCTGTCAAGCTCGAACTCACAGTCGTCTGCCCTACAGCAGCGCATCAATGAGAAGCGCGCGGAACTGGAGAACCTCAAACAACTACGCGAACTCAGTGCTGGTCTGGCTGGTCAAATGGAACAACTTGAGGAGAAGCTATCTACTCTGTCTGATGGTACCCAGGGTGCGTGACCAATCTCGATCGAAGCGGTCACAACTGCTGACTCTTGCAGCCATTGCGACCGTTCTTTCCAACTGGCATACCGTGCTCAGGGCAATTCATATGGCTTCCGGTATTTATTGGTGCTTCTCAAATCCCACCTTTCCCAGTTGCTAACCTCGACGCAGCCCATATCGCGAAGCCTGCCCGTGAGACCAATTCAGAATCCGAGGCGCAACTTCCTCTGCCTCAAACGCTCGTCAGAATACCCATGACCCATGTCGACCAATCCGAATCGACCGAAAACGATGACGAATCCATTGTCAGATGAGACTATGGGTTTGTGCGACTCTCTCAATAACGGCCAGTGAATTGAAGCACTGATGGCATATTGTTCTCGCCGTCCGACGACGATGAACTTCGAAAAGAAGACTAAGATCGACCAGCACAGTACGGAAGCCCAAGCCGCATACTGTGCGCTTTTGAAGGACGTGGCGTGCTTTGAGCATTGCACGCAGGATTCATCTTCCGCAAAAGAGCTTCGGAACGATTTATGAATTCCTGCAGTTGACCTACTGCCAAGTATGATGATGCTCGAATCTGCGAGCAATAATATGGTAAACAAGACTTGGACAGTCACAGTTCATTCCTTCTTGGGAGTCTTTCTTTTGGGTACCCTTTCGTAAGCATTCGGGCTGGGCTTGCGGACCTTCTGCTTGCCCTTTCCGGGAAGGTGCGAGTGTGTCGGCTCAGCATGGTCATGGTCGCAGGGGCCATCTGGATGTTGGTGCTGGTTGCGACGGCGGTTGGCAGGTTGAGCCCTGCTGGTGTCGGGTTCGTTGTCCGAGTCGGACGAGCTGGAAGAAGACGAGTCTTCGTCGGAAGATTCGCCGGCTTTGCGAGGTTTGTGGTAGATACAGCATACTTTTGTCGCGTGTCAGCAAACAAATACATTGTTCAGAGTGAGTTCAATGTGCAGACCTTTTGAGCTCTTCTTGCCCATGCCTTCATTGTCAATCACGTCTTCGGCCCATTGTATGCCACGCCGTTCGGACGGTTCGGCTTCGGCCCTGAGACGGAGAGTCGTAGGCCCCGCTTGAGAGGCGGTGAGAGTGAGACTGCCGTGATTTTGCGATGCCACGTTTGATTGGTTAGAAGCCATGGTAATGAGCGCAGGTTCAGGTTGACGGCATCGACGACTATTGGTACTGTAGGTTCGGAGTGTTGATAGCAGCGGTAGGCGATTCAGGAAGTTTGCATAAGCAGAGAGAGATGGAAGTGACGTGCAGCGAATACAATGGAAAGCCGGAAGGAGCAACTCCTTGTAGCTTAGTGGCGGCCCCTTTGAGACTAGCATGGATTTTCTAGAAAGCTGAGGCAAGCACGGCAAGGCCAAACAGCCAAGCCAGCCGCGGCGCCAGAAGGTTAGGCAAGCCCAAGTGAGAGAGCGAGAGCTTCAGCGACAACCATCGACTTTCCAGCAGACTCTGTCAACCAACCGGTCCATCAATCTCCCACACCGCACTGTACAGCTTTACGCTTACTCTACCACCTTTCAACACTTTCGTCACCACTTTTCCGCATCAGACGCGTCTTCTGCCTCCGACCAGAGCGTCTTCTCTTCACGCGCCCCACCTTGTCCGCCCTTCAGCAATCCATCCGTCAAGCACCACGGAAGCAAACGCATGCTAAAGTAGACATACACGCTTTTCTTCCAAGGCAGCGCGCCACATCTTTCACCTCCCGCAACCACCACTCACTCTCGCCAACCACGCCCTCGCCATGGCTTCTTCAATACAGGAGCTGGACGCCACTGTCCAAGCCTTCTACAGCGGCGGCGCGCAGGTACGCCATATCTTCTCCTTTGTCCAGTCAGCAGCAGGCGTGCTAACACCATCTCCAACAGCAAAAACAGGCCCAAGCCACGCTGAACCAGGTAAGTGCAAGCTCTTACAGCTCCACCTTGTTTCCCCGCCAGCGACATCTACTAACCAACTTCGCAGTTCAAGGAAAACCCCGATGCTTGGCTCATGGTCGACAAGATCCTCCAAGAAGCCCAAAACTCCCAGACCAAGTGTACGCTCTCCATCTACACTACTCAAACTTCATCTTCAGCTACTGATTTCTCCCACAACAGTCCTCGGTCTACAAGTCCTCGACAATGTAATCATGACGCGGTGGAAGGTTCTACCCCGCGAGCAGTGCCAGGGCATCCGCAACTTTGTCGTCCAGTACATTCTTCAAATGTCGAGCTCCGACGAGAGTCTGCGCAAGGAAAGAGCTCTGATCAACAAGCTCAACCTGGTCCTCGTCTCCATCCTCAAGCAGGAATGGCCCCACAACTGGCCCACCTTTATCAACGAGATCATCTCGGCCTGCCACAGCAGTCTGCCTGTTTGCGAGAACAACATGGCCATCCTTCGTCTTCTCTCCGAAGAAGTCTTCGACTTTTCCGCCGAGCAGATGACTTCGACCAAGACGCGCCAACTCAAGCAGAGCATGTGTGACGAGTTTACCTCCATCTACAACTTGTGCAGCGAGATCCTGCGCACAGCCACACAACCCTCGCTGATCAAGGCCACTCTCGAGACTCTACTGCGTTTTCTTAACTGGATCCCTCTTGGCTTCATCTTCGAGACCCCTCCCACTGGTGTTAGCTTGCTCGAGACCCTCCGCAGTCGTTTCCTCGAAGTCCCCGAGTTCCGCAATGTCACCCTCAAGTGTCTGACAGAAGTCGGTGGTCTTCAGACCGAACAGCAGTACAACGAGAAGCTTATCGCCATGTTCACCGACACCATGACAACCATCTCTACTGTCATTCCTCTCTCGCTCGACCTCAAGCAAACTTATGCATCCAGCAACAGCCGCGACCAAGAATTCGTTCAGAACCTTGCTCTCTTCCTGACTAATTTCTTTTCCAATCACCTTAGCATCATCGAAAATCTGCCCAACCCTGACTTCCTGGTTCATGGCCACTTCTACCTCATCCGCATCAGTCAGATTGACGACCGTGAAATCTTCAAGATTTGTCTCGAATACTGGACCAAGCTGGTGTGCGACCTCTACGACGAGATGCAGCAACTACCTATCACCGACCTCAACCCTCTGGTCAGCATGTCCATGAGTGGTCTCTCCAATGGCGGAGCACCTAATCCCGCGAGCATGTCTGGCTACCCTCTTCGTAAGAACAAGTACGGTGAGGTTTTGACAAATCTCCGCCAGGTCATGATTGAGAAGATGGTCCGTCCTGAAGAAGTCTTGATTGTCGAGAACGATGAGGGTGAGATTGTTCGCGAATTTGTCAAGGAAAGTGACACCATTCAGCTCTACAAGACCACCAGAGAATGCTTGGTCTTCCTTACTCACTTGGACGTTGTCGACACCGAAACCATCATGTCCGATAAGCTGTCCAAGCAGGTCGACGGCTCTGAATGGTCATGGGCAAACTGCAACACCCTTTGCTGGGCCATTGGTTCTATCTCCGGTGCTATGAACGAAGAGACCGAGAAGCGCTTCCTGGTCACTGTCATTAAGGATCTCCTGGGCCTCACTGAACAGAAGCGTGGCAAGGACAACAAGGCTGTCGTCGCATCCAATATAATGTACATTGTTGGCCAGTATCCTCGCTTCCTCAAGGCACACTGGAAATTTCTCAAGACTGTTGTCAACAAGCTTTTCGAATTTATGCACGAGACACACGAGGGTGTACAGGATATGGCATGCGATACTTTCATCAAGATTGCCAACAAGTGCAAGCGTCACTTCGTCTTGACCCAGCCTGGCGAGTCGGAGCCTTTCATTGACGAGATTGTGCGTAACATGCGCAAGATCACCTGTGATTTGTCTCCCCAACAAGTCCACACCTTTTACGAGGCTTGTGGCTACATGATCAGTGCTCAGGGTCAGAAGGCCATGCAGGAGCGTCTGATCGGCGAGCTCATGGCTCTGCCCAACCAGGCCTGGGATGCTATCATTCAGGCTGCACATGTCGACCCCAACATCCTTCAAGACTCCGAGACTATCAAGGTCGTCGGCAACATCATGAAGACCAATGTCTCTGCCTGCTCTTCGGTTGGAAGCTACTTCTACCCCCAGATCGGCAAGATCTACCTCGACATGCTCACCATGTACCGTGCCAGCAGTCAGCTCATTGACGAAGCTGTGCAGAGAGATGGTAAGTCTCATTGTTCCTCATCATGCATAGCTCGCTAACAATCACAGGTGAAATTGCCACCAAGATGCCCAAGGTTCGCGGACTCAGGACGATCAAGAAGGAGATCCTCAAGTTGATCAGCACCTACGTCGACAAGGCTGATGACCTCGAGATGGTACACGAGCGTCTCGTTCCCGACTTATTGCAAGCTGTTCTTCTTGACTACCAGAACAACGTTCCCGATGCACGAGAGGCCGAGGTCCTGAACGTCATGACTACTATCATCAAGAAGCTTCAAGTACGTTGGACTCCTAATCGTAGCAGATATTCGGTTGGCTTAATCGCCATCCTGTCTTTGACACATCGTGCTAACATACTTACAGGGCCTCATGACCAAGGACGTTCCCGGCATTCTTGGTGCCGTCTTCGAGTGCACTCTCGACATGATCAACAAGGACTTCTCCGAGTACCCCGAACACCGCGTCGAGTTCTTCAAGCTCCTCCGCGAGATCAACCTTCGTTGTTTCCCCGCTCTTCTGCAGCTTGATCAGCGCCAGTTCAAGTTCGTCATCGACTCTTGCATGTGGGCCAGCAAGCACGACAATCGCTTGGTCGAGGGTGAGGGTCTTAACATGTGTTACGAGCTTGTCCAGAACATGTCAGAGACCGACATTGAGATCAGCGGACCCTTCTTCCAGAACTTCTACACCACCATCCTTCAAGACGTCTTCTTCGTTTTGACCGATTCTGATCACAAGGCAGGCTTCAAGTACCAGTCTATGCTTTTGGCACAGATGTTCTTCCTGGTTGGATCCGGCAAGCTCAACTCGCCCATCTATACCTCCGACATGGCACCTGGCGGCACATCAAACAGAGAGTTCCTCCAGAACTTTGTTGGCAATCTCCTCGTCAACGCCTTCCCAAACCTCACCCCTGCACAAATTCAAAAGTTCATCACTGACTTGTTCTCGCAAGCCGATGACATCAACCGCTTCAAGCTCACATTGCGTGACTTCCTGATTCAGCTCAAGGAGTTCGCTGGTGACAATGCCGAATTGTTCATCGAGGACCGTGAGAAGGATGCGCAGGATCGTAAGAACCAAGAACGAGAGCGTGCCATGAAGGTTGGCGGTCTGCTCAAGCCTAGTGAGATGGACGATGACGAGCTTTGACTTGACCAAGAGTTGGGTACTCGAACAGCCCATGATCCAAGAGAGATCGTGGCGTCCGAAGGAGCCAAACCAAATGTGGTTGGAGATGATGGCTTAGACGGCTGGCACATGTATGGCCTGTAGAGTTCTACCTCGTCGTCGCAACAACACCACCGCTTCGCGACGAACGCATGAGCGTCTCCCAGACATGGCAAAAGAAACGTTTTGAAACGCAAAGAAAGAGGCATGGTACAAACAGCGAGAAAACTAACATTTGGTGCGATGACCTGGGCGCATAGGGGAGTTGTGCTGGGTACACCAGCTGGGGCGGGGCGAGCAACAATCTCGCCATCTTGTTGTATACACAAGATTACTGGCGAAGGGCAGGAGTCGGGAAATCTTTACATCTGCAGTTGTGTTTTTCTTCGTCTTTTTTTCCTTTTCTGGTTCTCGCTCTCCTCTCTATCCTATGACTGCCTGGTTTCTCCTACAACAGTCATGGTCGTCTTTTGCAAATTGCAGAGGATCTGTCTTTCCTCTTTAGCGGGTTTTGTTTCAAAGCAGCATTAGATATTCTAGTTAAAAAATCAAAGATTGTCGACTTCTCATGATTGTTGCTCGAGATTGACATGATCTTACCAATGTCAGCGTGTGCGATTCTTCAAAACGCAATTAAACCTTGTTTTACTGCTTTGCACATGGTATATAGATTGACGACCAGGACCAAGGAGAACCCAAGACCTTAGGTCCCCGCTTTGGCGTGCGTTGCGGAGGTTGGCAAGGCCCCACAATGACCTCCGCTCTCCGCAAAAATGTCGATGCAGGTCGGGACTTTCAATCTATCCTCGGTCTTGTTTTTGCTGGGCGGATTTTTGAGTATCTCGTCATGAGCAAGGGTTTCCTGACATTTTGGGACAGGTTGTGATAGCGAGCAAGACGCTGCAGTCGCAAGCTATATAGAGATGAAGCTCTCGAAGACAGAGAGCAGCGGCAGTGCACACGGCAATAAACACGATCTTTTGACTTTACTCGGCATCTTCACTTCCAGGACAAGCCGATCGAGGAAGCGTGTGGAGGACGTCGGCATGCCGTGATCTGTGACACTTTTCTCCACCACAAAAAAACGATACTGCGGGCACGCAAGGGTCGCGCCATGGTAAATGCTTCATGATGCGTGACGGGGTGGCAGTGTTGTTTAGGCTATACCAAGCGATACAGAGTAAAAGAGATCATGTGCCCTAGTAAGTTTGCATCTCTGGATATAAAGGGCAGGCCTTCTCGCCGTGTTTTTGTAAGTGTACCCCTCAATCTCCCCCTCTTCTGTTTCCCCCAGTCACGATGCGTTCATCTTTGCTTGCAGGTCTGGTTGGTGTGTCTTCTGTTGGTGCTGTCAAGCCTTTGGTGGATGTGAGCTATTCCAAGTACCAAGGTGTTTCTCTTGAGAATGGCATTACGCAGTGGTTGGGTGTGAGGTACGCTGCTCCTCCGATTGGAGATTTGAGATTTGCGGCTCCTTGTGATCCTGTCAAGAACAAGACTACTATTGTTGCTGATACTGTGAGTCGGACCATTACTACACTTAATGTTGTACTTGCTGACTCTGGTTTACGTAGTTCGGAAACACTTGTCTGGGAACTGGCTCGGCGGCTAGCAACACGTCATCTGAAGATTGTCTGTTTATGAACATCTATGCGCCTTCGAACGCTACCACTGGCCATCCGCTACCCGTCTACTTCTTCATCCAAGGTGGAGGATTCAACACAAACTCCAACCCCAACTACAACGGTACTGGCTTGATCGAAGCAAGCAACCACAATATCGTTGTCGTAAACTTCAACTACCGCGTCGGACCCTATGGTTTCCTCGCATCCGAAGAGATTGTCAAGGGTGGCAGCGTCAACAACGGTCTCAAGGATCAAATCAAGGCCCTGCAATGGGTGCAAAAGAACATTCGCAAGTTTGGCGGTGACCCCGACCATGTCGTTTTGGGAGGAGCATCTGCAGGAGCAGCTTCCATCACTCTTTTGCTTACCGCTCACAATGGCCGCAACGATAATCTCTTCCACGCCACTGCTGCTGAGTCTCAGTCTTTCGCCGCTGTCCGCAGCATCAACGAGTCGCAATTCATGTACGATAACCTGGTCATCCGCACTGGCTGCACAAACTCCAACGATACTCTGGCTTGTCTGCGTGGTCTCAATGCCACTTACCTCCAAACCAAGAACATCAACACTCCCTTCCCTGGAGCTCAGAACCCTCCTCTCTACATGTACGGACCCACTCTGGACGGTGATGTCGTAAGCGACTTGACAATGGCCGCCTACCGCAAAGGAAACTTTATCAAGCTTCCCGCCATCTACGGCGACGACACAAATGAAGGCACAGTCTTCGTCCCCGTAAACACCTCTTCCGTCGGCGAAAGCAACACATTCCTAAAAGATCAATTCCCCCTCATCACAACCTCCCAATTGCGCCAAATCAACAAACTCTACCCCAACAATGCATCTAACCAATTCCCCAACTCTGGAACTTGGTGGAGACAGGCTTCTGACGCTTATGGAGAGCTACGCTACAACTGCCCTGGCATAAACGTATCCGACATCTACGCCGCGACATTTAACCGCAAAGACATTTACAACTACCACTGGGATGTCGTCGACCCCGTCGCCGCAGCAGCCGGCCGCGGTGTAACCCACACCGTCGAAATCAACGCCATCTGGGGCCCAGAAAACACTCGTGGCAATGCTCCAGCCTCGTACTCTACTGTCAATGCAGCCATTGTGCCTGTGACACAAGCTTATTGGACCTCTTTTATCAGAACGTTCAATCCTAATACTTATAGACTCAAGGGAAGTCCTGAGTGGAATGCTTGGACTCAGAGTCAGAAGCAGAGATTGCATTTCGTTACTAATGCTACGGCTATGGAGAATGTAGATGCTGTGCAGAGGGAGAGGTGTGCTTATCTTAGTAGTATTGCGCTGGATATCGCGCAGTAAGATGATAGATTATCTATCACTGTTTCAGGCAAGGAAATATGATTTCTGTCCCTATCACGACAATTTTGAAATGGAATATTCGTGAATGTGTCTGCTATGTTTGGGATCCATGTGTCTTGTACATGGGTTATTCGTCAAGTCTTGCTCTCTGGGAAGACAATGTGTCTCTTGGTCGTGCTCGCAGTTGAAGCAAAGTGGACTTCAAGAGTCGAGAAGTCGAGAGGTATAGGAGCATCCAAATGACCAACGAATTTTGCGATTTGCAGATATCAGAGATGCCAGAGAGTATATGAGGACTACAAAAGAGATGAATCAACGCTAAATGCTTCGACCCTGCGATGGTAAATGTGGTCAATTCGAAATGGTCAATGGCTGTCGCGAGTAGCACCCTGGTCAGAGTCGTCGTCTTTTGTCGAAGAACGTGTTCGAGAACAGGAAAGATGCAAGAGATAATTGGAATAAATAGAGACATGGATCCTATCGTTCGTGTGTGGGGAGGTGATGATATTTAGTCGTGTATTGCGCGACTGCTGCCGCTATCCTGATCACGAGCCTTACGTGTTCGTAGAGCGACGGAGGTGAGCGGATCAATGAAAGTTATGCAAGCAATGCGTGTCAGCTCGGGATCAGATGATCTGACCTAACTAATGAGATAGCAAAGACGAGCCTCATTCGGTACTCAGACCTGCAAATTGTCATATTATCGAATTGCAATCATCGTGCCATCGACTTGCAAACATCTCGCAATCATACCGTTCGTAGTATCATACAGGGTGACGATATCGCAGCCTCCCTGCGATATCCAAGGGTCTTAGGGTCTAGACTCTTTGCCCTTCTCTTGCTTTCAGCATGGAGAGCCTCACCAAAAGTCCAGATTGCAGCTACACCGTTCAAAAGCCATTGATGCCTTTTTCCACACAAGCCAGCAACATCAGCATCGCTGTTTCCGAAAGCCGAAACAATACCCCGAATGAAGCCCCGGACTTCGGTTTAAGCAAGAGTACCCTCATCTCGTGATTAGTTTCACGTTTTTGGGGCACTTTCGAGACCTCTCTCTGCTTTTGCTTGTGTGACGTTTTTTTTCTCTTACGGCTCACCGTTGAGGAAGCGGGACACGGCAGAGGGGGGAGAGTTTTTGCGTTGCAAAGACGGAGGCAGGTCTTTTGACTCATCATGTTGGGTTGCTTGCCCTTGCCGTGTATTGCGACGCGTTTGCACCCAAGATCTGGGAGGGCTTCTCAACGGTAATCGCGTTCCTGCATCTCTCAATCTTATCGCGGTAGGGTCAAAGGATCTGGACTTATGAGACCCTGAAGGGACAGGGGATAAGGGACACCTGAGGTGAGCCGTGGTCCGGGTAGTTTGACCATCGTGGATAATTTCCATATCTTTTTTGTGGACGGATCCAAGGTAGATATCGGAGGTGTTGTCGGTGTGCTTGCCACTTCTCACCGCTCAACACGGGAGGAAGATGATAAGTTGTATTTACAGCACGGCAAACACAGTACTTTGCAGCACCGTGGTAGGGAGGAGTTTTGAAACCAGACCAGAACTCGTGACCATGAAGAGAAAGGGGATGCGAATTCGCGTGTGATGGTAGAGCAAGACTACGTCGTGACTTGCCTGTATAAGCGAGCCGCGTGTGCAAATAGCAAATTAGAAGGGTCAACTTCACTGCTGTCAGAATGCGCACAAAGTCCCTGTTGATTTTATTAGCCTTCTTCTCTGTCCACTGCACCTTCTCCGCCTTCTTCCAATCTCTGCTGTTTCAATGTAGTTGCTCTACCTTGGATCGTCCATGTCTTTGACTATCATTCCTTGTCTCAGATCGCTGAAGCAGAGAGCAGCAGTGGACCCGGATCTTCGTCCCGCGGTCTCGGAAATCGATGTGCAAGAGCTATGGCCAGGGGTTTTCGAGCAGACTCGGTTGGGCTTTTTTGTGAAAGATGAGCGAGTCACAGAATTGTGCAGGGGGTGCGCTGGAAAAGCAAAAGTCGTCGATGCTTTTTGCCTTTACGAGTGTTGCGGGAGACCAAGCACAGAGTTCGCAGGAGAAAAGGTCTCCGGTCTCCGAGGGCTGATCGCGTTTTGAGTTTTGGCCTAATGTATTGTTGGAGAGGTCTCGCACATTCAATGTTCGGACACGCAGATTGCGTGAGGATGAGCTGAACGTGTTGATAGCCAGCTGATTTCGGGAAAGAGAAAAACGTGCTCTCAAAGTGATGAGTGAGTGCTGCTTTCGATGACGCTCATTGGCTGCAGTCTGCTTACATCGCAAGACGACGAAAAAGGCCCCCCACGTCGCTAGGATACCTTGATATAGGTACAAGAACAGTGAGCATTATCAAACGGCAACTAGCTAGGCGCCCTGCTTGTTGGCTGTGGGGTCCTGACAAACCCCCGTTCTCCACACGCAAGAAATCCCTGGGCCGCTCCAAGCGGAGGTGGCACGGTGGGCAGAGGAAATCCTTCGTCCCAGTCACGGCAGCAATATTGTAGTCATGGCCGGCCTGGTCCGTCTACCGGCATGACTTTTGCAACTGCTCAAAGGAAAAAGTCGTTGGATGCCAGAGACGCTCTGACTGCACAATGGTCTATACCATCCAGGTACAGAGATAATCAGTGAGAAGATCAAAGCCAGCCGGCCGGCAGCGGTGCCGCACCCGTCTCCCATCGGGCCCCCTCGGCCTCGTACGTGCAACGCGAAATGGGCAGCTTCCTCACCCACGGCCCGAATGACTCCTGTCCTCCCGGAGTCGCCGATGCGCTGCTACCACAGCCTACTGGAGAATTGACTTTGTCCGGCAGACGGTTGTCAAAAGAATGTTTGCGGAGAGCGGCGCCAGGCTCTTCATACGCGGAGTCCCAGTGACATCTCTGCAGCGCTTTGGCCGCGACTCATGAAATTACACACACAACATTTTTGAACATGTTTGACGATTGCCCGTAACCTTCTTTTACATGACGGAAAATATTTGCAACGGAGGACAGAGAATAAGCCTCCTTCGTGTGTGGCGCCTGGCCAGAGAGGTCCATGCCCAACCTCCAGTCGAAAGTCAGTATAGAAGTGTTTTTCGCTACAGGGGTTACCCGATACCGTGTTTTCTTCATAGTTTTTGGCGCGCGGGGGGTTGGTGTGAAACATTGTTGAATTGGTAGAGTGGGAACTACTTTGGTGAGGAAGATGCACCAAGAAGGCGGCAAATTTGATGTGCTAATAGGTGAGAGGTACATTGGTACTTCCCTCCACGTGCGGGGTTCGTTGGTCGATTGGGGGCAGCTGTTGAGCACAGGAGTTTACAAGGGAGGGCCTAGGGAAAAACGACACCAGGCTGTGCGAGGTAGGGCGTGCGATTTGCAAGGGCGTGCAAGAAGGAACACAAGAAAGAAGACAAAGCAGAAGTGATTTTTGTATGTAATGATTGATGAAATTGTGTAGCAGTGTAACGCGTTTGATGGATTGATCTGAGTAGTGATAAAATGTCCGCCATTTTGAAATTGTAAATGTGTAAAAGCAAAGGGTATCCTCTCGACATAAAATGCAGCCCGATGTAATGATAAAATGTTTCGATGACAAGCGAATGTATCCTATGATCCATGAAACTCTTCACTTTCCTACATCCCTATCCTGTGTCCGCCAATGCAAGTAATTTCAAATGCGCCTTTATAGTCCGATGGTGTTTGACTTTTTTTGTGGTACAACAAATGCAAGGAAACAGAAGTCCGAAAATGGTCGATCGCTGTGTAGAATGGAGAAATGGCAAATACAGCGGTCGCAATGCCGGGAATAGTTCGTTGAGTCGTACAGAAGAGTGTTTGAAGGTGATGTTTTGGGTATGGTCGAGATGAGAGTGAGTTTTCGTAAAGCGTCGTGATGAAGGGCCAACAGTATCAAAGCTCCGGCCGTTTGATGGAAGAGCATCAGTGGCTGCTCAATGAACGCCTCTTCATCTCACGAGTTTGATCGAAAGCGCTGACGTATGTTTGAAGCTCAGTGCGTGCTGCCTCTGAGATGGTGTTGCCTGATTGGCTACCGCCCGAAGACGACAAGGAGCTTCGTGACGATGACGGTGAGAGGGAGCGACGAGGCGATGATGATTCAACAAAGGTCGACATGCTTGCAGGCTTGAAGCTGAAAGCCTCGGGGAGCTGGAAGCCAGTTGAGCTGGTGGGGAAGTAGGAGCGAGAAGTCGACTCCATAGTAGGTGAGAAGGGTGACGAAGGTGTTGATGAGCCAGCCTTCTCAAGGTCGGCCAAGCGGCAAGCTTGAGAGCAGTAGAGGCCTTCGCTAGTCTGCTTGTCGCAGGCGAGGCAGAAGTCGAGGAAGCAGTCCATGGTAGATGGTTGTGTTGTGTGTGTATGTTGGTTGATGATTGACCACGAATAGTGGATGGGGATGTCTCGTTCTTATGTATGGAGAGAGATTATCAAGGTAGGACGTTGATGGTTATGAGCAATGTGGGAAATGAATCATATAAAAACGCCCGGACCTTATGGCGTGAGTAAGAAGTGATGTGACTCAGACGGACAGACCGAAGGGATCGAAGATGCAAGAAAGTGGTAGGCGGCGTCGAAGCTTGTCACAGAATGTTTCGATGATGAGGTGCGATTGCGACAGAAGACGCTCGAAAGGTGAGAGAAGATGGAGGGCTTGAGGCTTTGTGATATAAGCAGCTCAGAAAGGAGCGGGCATGGCAACATATAGCATCTTCAGGCACACCACTTGCGTGCCCACGCCATGATCAGCAGATACATTGGCGTATGGGGCTGTTGTGCATGCACCCTGCTGGCCTTTCCCGCGCTTGCGCTCTCGACCCTCAGCTGCATGCCCAGAGGGAAGCCACTCCGAAACCTTGTGCGTGGGGGTTTCGGACGCTCGAGTTTTGGCAGGATTCGTTGTTCGGGTAGGATGAACAACCTTTACCTGCTCTTGTACCTGTCCGTTCATTCACTATTGAACCATGAACCGTCCGGCCTAGTCTCTCAAATCACTCCTGTCTAACTTTCGACAGTCCGTTTCCAATTCAGAGTCACCACAGCGACTTCGCACGAAATTTCTCTTGCACTCCTCGTCGCTTTGGCCGTGATCGGCGAAACGTCTTTTGCTTGCGTGATGTCCGCTTCCCTCCGTACACTTTCATGTATCCTTGTCTTGGCTCCTATTGCGAGATAGCATGGGGGCGTGCTTGACAGAGTTTTCTTAGCGTGAAAATCACCCGGAGCGCCTTGTCATGCGCGAATAGAAGCAGCATTCCGCTTGGGGACGGTTGGCCTGCAGCTCATATGTGAGCTGCTCACGAGGCACGAACGGCACTGGAATGATGAGCAATTCATCAAATTTAGTTCCTCAATCGTTGCTGTTTGGGAGAAGTGTGAACAACTGTCTTGTGTTTGTTGATCTCACCTTTCGGGTTCCGGGCGGCACCAGACTAGCCGAAGGGATCTTCTAGTGTTGGGTTGTAAAGTCACTTGGCTGTTGCCTTCAGCCTTCACCTATTCGTCGTCGTCACCCCCCTGCCACTTCTCACCTTGATGACTTCGCTCCCAGTAGCTTCGAAACCACCTTGATACGGACAGCTTGCGAGAACCAATGGCATACTTGTGCACAAGCTGGTATGCATCAGTTCTCCGCTCTTACGTTGCTTCGGTTTCAAGTGCCTGCTGCATGCAGATGCAAAAAGCTCGCTCCAAGCGATGCATTGAAACCGACCGGTAGTAACTGCCTTGCTTACTGCTGCTCACTCGTTTGGTGTGAAGCTTGAGCTGTTCTCTCTGCCGGTCTTACACACTATAGGCCTCGTATCAAGGGTCTCGCGTTCGACCCTCTCGCACAACACCTGTCTCCGATAGGGAACCTCACTTTGATTGAGACGCCAAATGCTTCGTCGGGCGCTGGCTTGGACAAGTGGAGCAGCAGTCCTCAGACATGCAGCATGTTCGCCGAGAGGGGTTCGTACGGTACCTCGCTTGTCCTGCCTGATCAAGTACCAATGAGGCTGGAAAGCAACCCCCACGCCGTGTGGATGCGCATATTGTGTATGCCAAATTTGACTCTTATCATCAAACCTCCGCAGGATCCTCGATATATGGCGCAAGAACTAACGTTCGTCAAGGCCACCAGGTGGTCAAGGTCTGTCACATCACAGGATTTGCAATTCACGCTTCTGGTTTGAGCACAGTATCGGATCTCAACTGCCAGGCATTGCATGCGGCAATTGCAACTGCAGCAACAGCATCAATGCTCCATGACGTCCGTGTACTGTGCCTCCTCCCAGCACAGTGGCACGTTTGAAGGAAATGCACTCCAATGCTCTGGCCTCGTACCGGTCCTCAGGAAGACTTCCTGCAAGTCCCCAGGTCGACCCAGAAGTTGTGCGGCGGGAGCGACTGGCAGGATCTTCGATGAGGGTACGCCCGCGCTGTCGTCTTACGGCGTAAGCGATCAAGCGAGGTGGCAGGAGCCTATGAGCTATCGAGAATCTCGCTCGCTCGCCATCCGCCGAGGGTTGCATCCAATCAATTATACGCTTGTGGCTGGTATCCCGACTCTTCTGGCAACCAATGATCATTTGCATACAGCTGTGGTTTTCCCACTTGAATTGGTTCCTGCTGGCGCTAGCAGCTGTCAAGTAAAGCCGGTCTGAGCCCTGGGCCTTTGTGCTGATCTATCTTGGGGCGTGATCATTGGAAGGCAAGGTCATCGGCAAAGTAGAGTCCCGCCATGGCACTAAGACCGTCCATTATCGTCATGTAGGCGGGCTCTTCTCCAGATAGCAGTGTGATGCCATGGAACAACCCGCCAAGGTCATTCCTTTCAATTCCTACAACCCTAGAAAGATACCGTATACAATCACTATACAACACGGCTAACACGGGCCTCGTTGACGGGAAGCACGACATTATTGGACTTCGTTATCGTCGGCCGCGTGGCGCTTAAGTCGACCCCTCTTTTCATATATGACGATATATTTGTAGAATTGCTTATCGCTATGCTTAAAGGACAGGCAGTGCAGACTCATGAAGGGAATAGATTAAAAGCGCGGGATGATAGCCGCGTTCATGGCTGGAGCAGCGATAGATAGATAGTAATGGCGGTAGGATTAGGCGACAGCTATATAGCCGATAACAGCAGACTTTGCCCCATATCGTATGTAGTGTTGGAAATGGTATGCACCAGGGCAGGGAGAGGATTGCATGAGGTCAGGCATTGCATTGCTCCACTTATCCTGCGATCGTCCATCAAGGTGAGCTGCTCATAACCTCAGTGGTCAACGCCAGAGTCTGAATGATCAGCAGCGGGAACGTCCCTCTTCTTCTCTTCCTCCCTGAAAGTCTTGAGGCAGATGCAAGTATAAGGAATTGTTTTGCGAGTCCAAGTTCGAAGCCTTTGCCATGGGGAATTGCCGATGCTCAACAGTCGGTAACCTACGGCTAGCTCGATAACGACGTCATTGAGAGACCTTGAATTCTATAAAGAAGTCTTCGCAATGTGGTAATAGGTGATACTGCTTTTCGCATCACGATCTGTGCGAGTTACAATCATCATGGCATCTTCGACACCACAGCCAGGTACAGTTGAGGCGCCTGTCAACATCGAGCAACTGACCTACAGCGACTGGGCGAAGCCTGATTACAAGCTGCCGCTTCCAGCGCTCCAATTCCTCTTCCATCTCGAATGTGATATGGAATCCTTCAGGCACATTGGAAACGGCCCCCACGGTGACAGGTCTACTGTGATATTCAAAGGCGGTCGGTTCGAGGGTCCACGCCTAAAGGGCAAGATCCTTCCTGGTGGCGGAGGTGAGCACAATGTACCTTTTTGCGCCAATCTATACAGTCCTCTAACCGATCAATGCAAGACTGGGAGATTGTACGGGACCACGACGGAGATCAGCAAACAGCTCACTTGGACACAAGATACAACCTGCAGACACATGACGGAGCGACGATTTATCTGCGCACGACAGGGTAAGTGTGCCACCCCATGACGGAGACTGAGAACGCAGACTGACGTCGTGAATGTAGAACGAGGACAGGAAAGAAGGAGGTATTGGAGAAGCTCGGAGAAGGTAAGATCGGTCCTGATCAGTTCAGAATGCGATTGCACCTTACCTTCGAGACTGGCGATGAGAGATACACTTGGCTCAACTCGGCCGTCTTTATCGCGAGCTCTGGGCGCGTTGGTGACATGGTCATCTACGACGCTTACCAAGTCCTTTGAGGACACGATTATATACCCATCATACATCCACCATAAGTTATTCGCATCATCAACATAGCTCGTCGCCTGTGCCTTCAGTCAGATGATAGCGACTTCAATCGGAAGAATATATTGGAAAGCTAATCTTGCCAGACCATGCCTGATCAGCGTTAGCCGCAGCGTACCCCAGATTTCAGCCTCGATCTATGACGATGCTGTCTTTGGTTTCCTTGTGTTCCGCGAGGTCATGATGTGATCTTTTTGTGTGGCATTCTTTGTCGACGGCGCCCTACATCATTACCACGTCGCCCTCAACCCCTTCGCACACGATAATTGTATCTCAAAAAGTAATTGACATGCCAGACTCGGTGAAGCCTCTATTAACAAGTCAACCCTCTCAGACGCGTTACGACATGGGTCAACAGATGGAAAGCCAGAAGAGGAAGAAGGTACTGGTTGTTGGTGCTGGAGCTGCAGGTGAGTCTATCTGTTGAAGTGATGCTCCTGAGCAGAATTGACGCGTTGCGACAGGCATGTCCTGTGCCCACCACCTGGCCGAGCACCCCGACAAGTTCGATGTCACCATCATCGACGCTGTCGACTACTGTGGTGGTCAGGCCTACAGTATCCCCATCGACAAGAACAAGTATGGTGCCAGCTGGCTCAACCAGGGTGTTCAGGGAGGCTCGTACATCTTTCACCACACCATGACCATGTTCGCCCGCCAGGGACACCATGCTGATCCCGTCAAGCTCCAGGTCGCCTTCGGAAAAGACGAGCAGTTCTGGACCAACGTCTACTCGACCATGATGCTTAAGAAGCACGAAAAAGAGGTCAGACGCTTCTACTACATGATCAAGATGATCCGTTGGTTCGAGGTCTTCGTCGCCCTCGTACCCATCAAATACGTTGTGAAGCTCTTCATGTTTTCGGAAGAGTTTGCCAACATTGTTGCTCTGCCTATGGTCGCCCTGTTCTTGGGCACTGGCAACTACGCCCCCGAGGTCCCCACAATGGTCCTCGAGAGATTGTGCACAAGTCCCACCTACGGCATGTGGTATCCTCCGGACAAGGCCAGCGTTGCCAGCAACCTGCCTCCCATGGTTGTTTTCCCAAACTTCAGCGAGTTCTACAGCGATTGGAAGACCAGTCTTGAGAAGAAAGGTGTCACTGTCCGTCTGTCTACTGAAGTCACTCAAGTCGTTCGCAGAAACAAGGACGGTGTCGATGTCAAGTTGATCAAGAGAACGCCTGCCTCGGATGGCCACACTCAAGACAGCGCCTGGGTACCCAACACAGTCGAAGGTCACAACGGCGATGCCGATGCTCAAGAGAAGGAAGAACACTACGACGAGATTGTCCTCTGCGTCCTCACCGACACTGCTAAGCGCCTCCTCAAGCCCGTCGCTACATGGAGAGAGAACAAAGTCCTCGGCTCCGCAAAGTTTGCCAACGACATTACCGTCACTCACTCCGACGCCGACTACATGCGCAAGCACTACGAGATGGAGTTCAACGAAGAACAAGCCGTCAAGTCTATCAACGGAAAGGACCAATCCGAACGCCTCGACTACGCACGCAAGAACTTCAAGCCCATGTATCTGATCAAGATGTACCCCAAAGACATGACCAAGCTTGAAATGTCCTTCAACTGCTCAAACTATCAATCCCAATTTCCTCCCGACACTCCCCTCGACAATGCAGTTTTCCAAACCATCTTCCTCAACAAGGACCGCGATTCTCACCTCTGGTCTATTGACGAGATTGACGAGTCAAAGATTATCAGAAAGGATTGGTGGCATCAGTTGTGCCACTCCTTCACTCATTACCTCTTCGTGGTCCCTTGGATGTGGGCACTAAACGGAAAGAACCACACCCGTTTTGCCGCCGCTTGGACAATGGTAAACGCCCACGAAGTCGCTTGTATCTCTGGAACCGCCGCTGCCATCGATCTTGGCGCCACATACCCCGAGGATCTCGAGCGTGACCAGTTCGCCCTGCTCGCATTCAGATTGTACTACCTTCTTGCATACGGCAAGTGGTATAGCAGAAAGCACAAGAGCAAGAATGCCAAGGAGAGTTACTCTACTGGATTGTATGGTAGTGTTTACCAGGGTCCTGGTGTCGCGTCTGAGGAGCGTACGTGTTGGAAGAAGGAGGTGGAGAACGGTCGTTCGCTGGAGGACTTCAGCATGGCCAAGTCTGATTAGATGGGCGATTAAAGAGTGTCTGTCTGTTTGCAGATGAAGCATCTTTGAGGATTTAGTATAGCGATTTATGTACTCGTAACGTATACCATAATACACCCTATCACACCTTATGGCGACCATATAAACATGCTCTTTCCCCTCATGTGAGATATTTTAGACGTGACAAAGTCACAAAGTTCGTCACCGATGACCAAAAACAACATTGTTCGATTTATGGTATGCCAGATTTTGTGGTCAGGGTGCTCCCCTAGACTAGCATTTTCGACACATCAACGACGATATCTCAACCACATCACATTGGAAACTACCTCCTATCACTTCTCAAGCCTCTTCCATACATATCCTCACATAAACTGCGACTCTAAAGTCGAGTTCTCGCTTCCTGGACCCAAAATTGACAATTCTCGTGTTTTAATTATAGACTCCTTCAGAAAGTGGTATACAACGAGCACCACCATTACTCCACCTCGAGTTTGATTATACCGAACCATGTCAATGCTTTTTCCCCCCCTAATAAGCAGGATCTATGACGTCGATATGATGGAATAAGTCATTCACGTCATCAAAGAATATCGTCCTCGTGTGCCATCAAACTCCTATCGTACATCCATAATGGGATACAGTGATTATTGCAAAAGGTCCATAAGCTCACAGTGGTTCAAGCAGCGTTCTCAAGAGAAACATAGGCTCATGACAACATGCTCGTACTCACGATGATTCCTCGGTAGTGCCACAACAACATTACCCCACCTACTCTGCTGCCTCGAGTCTATGTCTCTTCAACCAGAGAAACGTAAAGTCACAACCGTACAAAAAGGGCGACAAAGCAAGAGGGAATATGTCTTAGGTTTTTCACTTTATGCCTGCATAAAACTAATTTTGTAATGGTGTTCTTGGTGGATCCTCGTCCTCACTCTCAGCACTCTCAGTCTCCTCATTTTCACGCTGTTGTGCCTCAATCTCGTTTTGCGCGCAATCCCTTGAGGGCGATTCTGGCGTCGCGGTTGGACTCGCTCCCAGTCTCCTCTCTTATTCGGACTCACCTTCAGGCCCGGAGGATTCTGATTGTTGTGGATACATTGGAGCGACTGGCGCTGTAGATACAGAAACGGTAGCATTAGCTCCGGTCGCAAGGGATGCATCTGGAACAGTCCATCCTCCACCCGACATTCGCTCTCGACGAAGTCGTTCTCTCCGGGCACGATCCCGCTCTCGGTTCCGTATCGCACGGCGTGTACCCTCCGCTTGATGCTCACGGCTTCTTCGGTCACGCTCTTCGTAAATGGGATCTCGAGGTCTCTGAGAGAATCTGCCACGGCGCATGCTGTTTTCCAGTCTCTCAAACTCAGCCTGCATGAGAGCACGCTGTTGTACGTCGTCGAAAGCCGAGAGCATACCTCCAGTGTGGTGGTCGACAGTGTTCCTCGTTGCTTCCGAATGGTCTAGTGGAAATCTGCGTTGTGCTAAGCCCGTTTGACGAGTGACAGCCAGGTTTTGAGCAAAAGCACCTGGTGACGAGATGTTCAATCTCAAACGTGGTCTACGGACGCGACTGTTGGAGATAGGTTCTGAGTGAGATCTGGAGGAACATACAAGCTGATCATAATCAGTCAGCCGGTTTTCCTGGGGGACGCTGCTCGCAGGCACGGACTCAGTCACTCCATCATTCTGAGCGTTAGAGGCGGGCGGCGACGATGAAACACGCCTAGGGCTCTCAGGGTCCTCAGGCTGTTCGCTCCTACCATCAGAGCCACGGCCAGACTGCATGCTGAAGATCAAAACGTCGTTGCCGAATCTGCGCTGTGCGGCGAGAGCAACAGACAGAGCACGACTGGGTCTAGGGTGGGCGGCACTCCAGCCATCAGCAACGCTCTCTTCACGCCTGTCAACAGGCAGCGGCCTGTTCCAATCCACGCATAGATCATTGAGAGCTGGAAATAACCCCTCCGGCTAGGAGAAATCGAAGTCATCGCCACCCAGATCCATGTCGAGACCAGCAAAAATGTCGTCGTCATTGTTCATCTGACCATGGTTGTGTTGCTGCGAGGCGCCAGTCAAATCGAAACCCATGCCCGAGCCGTCGAAAAGGTTGTTTGATATGTCGAGCGACATGGCGTTGGGGTCGTTGATACTGGAAGTATCCATCTGAAGTGACTGATCCATAGAATTGGTAAATTCCTGGTCAACAGCTGCTGCAGTGGCTGCTTCGCTAGTGGTGTCATCATTCATTTGCATGTCGCCAGTCAGCATGTCTGTGCTTGCGATATTCATGTCGCCGAGATCGAGGCTGGTCATCGGCATGCTAAGCTGCGGTGGGACAGCAAGCTGCGCTTCGACACGGCGACCAAGTCTCACCAGGGCTTCAACGCGCTCGGTCTCTGCACTCAAGAGCTCCTTAGGCTCCTCCAATCTAGCCTGCAAAGCTTGACGCAGCGTACGTCGTTGATTCACATGTTGTGGCGAACTTTGATCAAATTGCATGAGCGCGTTGGCTTGTGATAATGCCGACGTTGGTGAAGGCGCACACACAATGGTAGTAGCGACTTCAAGAGCAGCCGAGCCTGATCCAGCTTGAGTTTGTGATCTCACTTCATCCAGCATAATTGCAAGGACCTCATCGGCCCCAAGCATGCTCAAAGCTGAAGTGATTGCTCGGTGGGTGTAATTGAACGGCATAGAGTTAGCGCTACCCTGTGAAGACCAGCGCGCGAGACCACGAATGATGCTGCGAACAGTAGCACGCATACCACCTTCGGGAATAGTACACCACTGATTGACCTCTGCTGAGCTACACTGGCCTGAGCGCTGGCTGTTCAAATGAGGTTCGAGTACTTCAACAAGAGGGCCCACGTCCTTGCGCTTAGGCTGTCTGCGTTGTAAGTCGCGTAGAGACATCACCAAGGGTCTTGCGATCATCCCAAGTATGGTTTGATGCATCGCCTGAGCGTCCCCAGAGATCGAATCTGGTTGAAGAAGCTTTCGAAGCATTTGTAAGAGAATCTCGGTGTCACCATGATCCTCCCAAGAGTGTTTGGTCACCCACCCAAGACCGCCAATGAGGGAAGGCAGTAGGAACGGTTCCAGCAGGAACTCGAGTCCTCCTTTCAACGTGTTCATAGCAAGGATCATGAGTTTGCAGGCTTGAACGCTCTGCTCAAACAAGGTTGGTACCAGCAGATAAAAAGCCTGTGGTGGACAATGTGACATGGTCTCATCACTGATTCCGTTCGTCTCGCCATTTTCGTCAGTTGCGTACAATCCTTGTACCCATTTCGTAAGCTGCTTCTGTTGCTCATCATCAAGGGTGCTGACGGAAACACTTGTGGACAATTCATTAAGAAGTTTCATGATGAATGTGTCGGAGGGGAACGCTCCAATTTCGGTGTCTGCAAGCTGATACCGATGGATGGTGGCCAGCACAAGCAGCAAGACTGAAGCGAACTCTTCATAAGGTGGTTGGAACTCGCTCTGGTCCTCATCATGAGTCCACTCGTTCAGCAAACTGCATAGTGGTGAAAGTACGTCCGCCGGCTGGGCGTATTGAAGGATGATGTCCATCAAAGGCAGTCGACGAGAGAGAGTGTTGCACAATGTCCTCAAGGACATGGTCTCCTTGGCAGCATACAAATGTTGTATCGTGTCGACCAGCGCTCCCGAGATGGCGCCTGCGTTACCGTTCATGCTCTCCAACTCGCGCGCTAATTCTTCGACACGGTGTATGTTGGCGATGCATTGCTGTGTCAAAGACTGTCTATGATACCTTATCACACGGGATGTAGCTGGTGTAGATGAATCGCCCATGACGGAATGGAAAGCTTGTTCGTTGCCGAGTCCGAACAGAATGCAGGCCTGAACGAATTCCTGACGGCTCTTCTTCAAAATCTCGTTATTGGCAGTATCATTATCGGAAGAAAGGGGCGGGAAGGGGTGGACATCAACACGTCCTAAGGCCATCTGGATGTAGACTTGAGACGTCATGGGTGCGAATGAGCCGGATAGCGTTGTGATCAACAGAGGCAGCTTGTTAGCGATAAATGAGCGGTAACAGAGGATGTGGTTCGAAGACTGGCGTTGTTGCAGCGCATTGGCAAGTGTGTCGAATGATGCGACTACCAAGTCTGAAACCAGTGATTGTGTATCATTCTGGTACTTGGCGTGCAAGTAGTTGAATAGTGACATGTCGTCTGTCAGGGGCCGACCGGATAGTGCTGCGTTCAGATAGGTGTAAAGGCCAACTCGCGAATTGGTGATAGGTAAGTCGTTGACCGCGGTAGCAATTTCGGCAGTGCTGAAATCCGGTTTGCCGAGGGGAGGTGTCTTCGCCATCATATGGAGCCTTGGACCGATTTGCGAATGGGACCACGGACTAATAAGCTCCGAGAACTCGCTACACGCGGTAGCAAGCTTCTGTTTAAGGTCTTCAGGCCACTTATCATTGATGTCTGACTTGACTCTGGGATTGTTCAAGATGGCGATGGCGAGCGTAGCAAGTGTTTCGAAGGACGTGACGACCTGCGGGTCTGGAGTCTGCATCGCATCAACGTTCTGCATGATGAGGACCATCTCGTGAGCGCGGCATGCAGTAAGACATTCTCCAAGGGCTCGAACAACATTACGAGCCTCCCGCGCTGTTTTGGGTCGGTCACCAGCAGCGACAAGGCGTACAAGCAGCGATAGAACGTGCTCGAGAAATGCGTTGCTCATAGGCGTGACTGACGACTCTGCTTTTCGTTTGAGCGCATACCGCGAATGAGCCAGCAAAGCAATCAGGATGTCGCACGTATCAATAGATGTTGTGCGAAGAATCTGTTCCAAATACTCGTTGATCAAGGGGTCCACTCCAGAAGCCCCTGACGTGAAAACGATACTGGCTAACCGCGTTCCGGTGATGGGTTGGGTTTTCCATAGCTCCGATATGGGCTTGGATAGCTGAGTCGCACGAATGCGATGACCAAAGCAAGTCGTAAATAGTGTCGTCCACTGCTCAATAGCGTGATTCGACTTTGATGTTGACGAGTCCATTTTGGGTGCCCGCTCCCGCTAAGCACTATGATGATGAGAAAATACTATGCAATGCGTCAATCATAAATGTTCATTGATGATGTTGATGGGATGAGAGGGTAAGTTGCAAGTTAGTTGTTCCATGGCCAAAAGTTTGGCAGGTATGGATTTGTCTTGGCGAGGCAGGCATGATGCACGGTCACCTACGACGGCGAGGCGTAAGAGGAAGTCACCACTCACTCCCCATAGCAGAGGATCGTTTGGTGACCTAGAGTGCAGAGGCTTTTCCTAATCTGTACACTGCTTGAAGAAGTGCAAGCGATTGGAGTTTCACTGAACACTTTCCAATCTGACACCACACCGTGTAGTTCTGCAGCTTGAAGAACTCCCCGCCATCATTTGTACTGGAGATGAACGATCTGCGTTCAACTCAAGATAACACACTGCTCATGTGGCCGTCACGTCTACAATGCAACAACCACTACCGAAGACTTGCTAAATTTGAGTTTCTCTATCCCTGGACAGATGGATGTATGATGGAATGGTATAAAAACAAGCTTTCTCTGCGAATCGCCCTAAGATGCTCTTGCTTTTTCCTTTTCTTCTTGTCGAAATATTCTACACTATTGAGCTACAAGTGGTATTTGTCCGAACTTTTTATCTCTATCGACCTGAGGCATCTTCTTGTTTAGTAAAGCTCCTAGCGCAGCTACTGACTCTGATCTTCGTACGTTATCGGTATATTGAAGGAGGCAAGATAGTCATTCTAGTCAAATGCCATCCGAAGCATCATAGCCGGACATGCCCCCAGCCCGCTCCCATTGTCTGGAACGTTGATTTGACTGATCTTGTCCTGTCTCTTCGTTGGGAGCGCGAGGACCGATCATCCAATCCTCCATCGCCAACCACGAACTCCAACTCTTCTCTGCAGCGTCCAATTCTTCATCTCGAATACTTTGCAACGGCTTCAAGAAAGGTACAGTTTCTTCAGGATTCATGTCGTACTGCTTCTTGCACGTCCGCCAGCCACCGTGCTTAGCGGCAAAGAGATAGTTGCGACGTTCGCAGTCTTGCATGGGAGTGATGCCTGCCTGGTATGCGTCGCCGAAAAAGCCATGCAAAATGCCTGGCTTATCAAATCCAGTGATGACCAAGCGTCGAATGTAAGGCACTAGTGATACAAAAGCCGATGTTTGCTGTGAGCTCCGGCCTGTTGCGGAAGAATTCGGTCGAGACCATTGATTGAAGTTGAAGGATGGACCTCCAGTGCCAGGGCTGGCTCCTGGCAGTTGTGTAGGAATTGAAGAGGTCACAGGATTTTGAAGCCATTGGAAGGGTAGGCGAATATTGATCAGAGCGCACAGTGCCTGGGTGCCAGCTTCATGCTGGGCGTGATCGAGGAAGTAACGCTGACATGATTCGTATGCCGGATGCCAGTCCAAGATGTCAAAGTTAGGCGAAGTTGTGAGCGGTGGATCCTGAGGAGGCTGACGGTTTTGTTGTGCTCCTGGTTGTTGTGATTGCTGTTGCTCTCGCTGTTCGAATCGCGAGTTTGTGTTGGAGTGGTTGCCGTTATAAGACATGCTGTCCACGTCTGTCATTACATGCATGGGCATGATGGAAAGAAGAAGTTGTGTGTGTGTGTGTGTGTGTGTGTGTGTGTGTGTAGACTTACACGAAAACTTCCGGGCGGTGCTCGGTCTTTAATTATAAATACCTTCCTAGGTAAGCTGTTACTAGGGCGAGCCGAACCCTACGAGTAGACAACGGTACCGTACGTTAGCTGATAGCGGGGTCCGAAGATATAACCTGACTGTGGGACAAGGTGAAAGTCAAGGGGACCGGCTAAGAGGTTCACAAGTAGTCTTGTGCTTTAGCAGAGACAAGAGTGGCGCCATGACACGATGGCAAAGATGGAGGCGACCAAATCAAAGTCCGTATGCGCAATCATTGATTTACCCCAGCGCGTGGATAGAACTGAGGGCTATAAAGACCCTGGGTTTTCGCCTTCCTGCCGCCATTTCGCATCTAGGTGGCGTCCTTGGCAAGGCCAGTGCTTGCTGCAATTCATCAAGCACGAGAACCAAATGGGATTAGTGATTGCGAGGTTCCTTCAACTATGACGGGAACGAGTGCAGGTCGTTTAGGCTGTCAAAGCAGCTGCTGGAGGAGCATAAGATACCACCCTTGAGACTGAGTTACGAAAAGTCAGGAGCTGTGATGCGATAGAAAGCATCACTGCAGCATCACAAAAATAGCAATATGCTCCAAGACGTCATGCGATGATGCGGCTCTGTGCTCACTCGCCGCGAAACCGTAAACTGAAATACTGCCCTATCCCATCATTCGTGCAGCTCGCGTGTTTCACACTCTGATTGTTGATACAGTCTCTTTTAAGAATATCTACAATGTCTCAAAAGACATACAATCTCGCCAGCCACGTCAAGGCAGGTCATTCAAGCACAAAGTCGCTGTATTACGTTTGCTCACACTATGCCGCAGCTCAACAATGGCTTGTCGATGCCACAAATCCATCTTGGCGTATATCTGACTTCGGGTAACGAGACTATTAAAGCTACAAGATGGGCACTAGAGGTCAGTCTTACGCGTATCTCTTCTCTCGTTCACTGAGTCTATTGTGAGGGCAGCTGTGGAGATGCACAGTACTTTCTGATTGGGTGCCCATGTCGAGGAGGGTCGCTTTGTGATGCGTCCTCGTTGAACACCACCATTGTTTCAAAAAGTACTTTGCATTTCGACAGCTTGTCGATGATCGGGCACCGCCATGCGCAGAACGCCAATTAGACCCGATCCAGCCAAACTGACGACGGTAGGCTGGCTACCTTGCTGTCGACAGCGCGCAGATGTACCATAACGAACGCCAGGTTGGCAGTGCTATAACCGAGTTTCTCAAGTCTTCCAGCAACAGCGCAAACCTCAGCCGCGAGGACATTCACTACACGTCCAAGCTTGCGAGCAACAGTGACTACAACACGGCCAGAAAGAGCATCAAGAAAAGTGTGCAAGAATGCGGCCTGGGCTATATCGACCTTTTCCTCTTACACAGCCCTTATGGAGGCAAGAAAGCACGTCTCGAGAGTTGGCGTGCCGTCGAGGACGCAATCATGGATGGCGAGGTCAAGATTGGAGGTGTCAGCAACTATGGCGTGCAGCACCTGCAGGAGCTGCTCGGCTCAAAGCCGCGCATCGCTCCTGCGGTGAACCAAATCGAGGTTCACCCCTTCAACACGCGCACCGACATAACCTCTTTCTGCCAGAAGAACGACATCATGGTCGAAGCCTACGCTCCGCTAGCACGCGCTCTGCGTATGAAGCATCCGGTGATTGTCGAGCTCAGCAAGAAATACAGCTGCAATCCCGGGCAATTGCTTGTGCGATGGTCGGTTCAGCATGGCTATGTGCCGCTGCCCAAGAGCGTCAAGAAGGAGCGTATCGTACAGAACGGCGACATTGGTGGGTTCGAGATTGAGGCGGGCGACATGAAGAAGATGGACGGGCTCGACGAGTATTTGGTGACTGGTAAGGATGATGGGAAATCGAATTGCCGAAATAATCATGCTAACTTGCCTGTGTCTCCAGACTGGGATCCTACCGATGCCCCGTAAATCCCCGCTCGAGACCGCAGTCGGAGGGTTGCTATCTCGAACATCTTCGAGCCTTATCAGTTGTTGAGGTGTCGCGTTTACTCGATTTCAATTACGCAGCGCGCCGGAGCCAAGCCGCAGATATGGCTAATTCACACGTGCTACATGATCAAAGTGTGGGGGGAGCTTCTCTGTTAAACTTCGGCTTTTACGTTTTGCGAGGGGATCGCCGAGGCTTCGAGACCGAATAAACAAAGCCAATCCATCAAGCAATTGATATATCGCAAATTGTATACAGGGAGGTCGTAAGTGAATTGCTGCGACGCTCAAGCTTTGGAGAAGCAGTATCTATGTCGTGCTGTTCCTTCAAGCCACTGAGATAGTAGTGGCACCCACATCTGTCGACCAGAATGGTGCGAGTTTCCTCGGAGTTACGGCGGACAGAGCTGCCCCTCCTGCTGTGACCCGACATCGGACTACATGAGTGGGCGGGTTTTGGTGGTGAAAGTTTACTTTGGACAGCGCTAGCCATGTGAACGACTGTTGCCCAACGCGAAGGCGCTCGAGCCGTGGCAAGAAAGAGCAGCGATACCGTTGCTGTAGCCTGTCGTCCAGCCCTCTGCTCGGTGACGCACAGTCCCCAGCATGCTTTTTCGCCGTCGCCCTGCGTGGGGCTGTCCTTGACGGTACACAATTACTTTTCCCAACCCTCGCCGGCCGCCCATATCGTCGAGAGCTTTATCTATCCAACTGTGCCCTCCAATTCACCTTGATCTTTCTATCCCTTTTGCTCCTCTTACATTCCCTCATCCTACCTCCATACCACACACATACCACACAAAATGTCTAACCTTCCTTCCGAGCCCGAGTTCGAGCAGGCCTACAGAGGTATGTCTCACTCACTTGCCAAAAGTGCTTTCCACCAAGGTGATTAAAACTGATCGGAGTCTTACAGAGCTTGCCTCGACCCTTGAGAACTCGACCCTTTTCGAGAAGAAGCCCGAGTACAAGCGCGCCCTCCAGATTGCCGCTATCCCCGAGCGCATCATCCAATTCCGTGTCGTCTGGGAGAACGACAAGAACGAGGTTCAGGTCAACCGTGGTTACCGTGTCCAATACAACTCCGCCCTCGGTCCTTACAAGGGTGGTCTCCGTCTCCACCCCACTGTCAACCTCTCCATCCTGAAGTTCTTGGGTTTCGAGCAAATTTTCAAGAATGCTCTTACTGGCCGTAAGTCAATTCTTATCAGAGACGACAGCAATATCCAGAGGCTAACAGCCCCTTCCAGTGAACATGGGTGGTGGTAAGGGTGGTGCCGACTTCGACCCTAAGGGCAAGTCCGACAACGAGATCCGTCGCTTCTGCTACGCCTTCATGAAGGAGTTGAGCAAACACATTGGTGCCGACACTGACGTTCCCGCTGGTGATATCGGTGTTGGTGGCCGCGAGATCGGTTACATGTTCGGTGCCTACAAGTCGATCCGCAACCAGTGGGAGGGTATCCTTACTGGTAAGGGCGGTAACTGGGGTGGTTCCCTCATCAGACCTGAGGCCACCGGTTACGGTCTCGTCTACTACGTTGAGCACATGATCCAGTACGCCTCGGGCGGCAAGGAGTCCTTCGCTGGCAAGCGTGTCGCCATCTCCGGTTCCGGCAACGTTGCTCAGTACGCTGCTCTCAAGATCATCGAGCTCGGTGGTACCGTCATCTCTCTTTCCGACTCCAAGGGTGCCATCATTGCCACCTCCGAGAAGGGCTTCACCCCCGAGATCATCGACGTCATTGCCGACCTCAAGCTCAACCGCAAGGCTCTTTCTGATCTCACCTCCGAGTACAGCAGCCAGTTCAAGTACGTTGAGGGTGCCCGCCCCTGGAAGCACTGCGGTAACGTCGATGTTGCCCTTCCCTCAGCCACCCAGAACGAGGTCTCCGCCGATGAGGCCGAGGCTCTCATCTCGCAGGGTGCCAAGTTCATCGCCGAGGGTTCCAACATGGGTTGCACCCAGGAGGCCATCGACATCTTCGAGGCCTCAAGAAAGGAGAAGAAGGGCTCTGCCATCTGGTACGCACCCGGAAAGGCCGCCAACGCCGGTGGTGTCGCAGTCTCCGGTCTCGAGATGGCACAGAACTCTCAGCGTCTGAAGTGGACCAGCGAGGAGGTCGACGAGAAGCTCAAGCAGATCATGAAGAACTGCTTCGAGAACGGTCTCGAGACCGCAAAGGAGTACGTCACTCCCGCCGAGGGCGAGTTCCCTTCGCTGGTTGCCGGCTCCAACATTGCTGGCTTCAAGAAGGTTGCTCAGGCCATGCACGACCAGGGTGACTGGTGGTGAACGCATCGCGCGTTTGCTCCGACTGTTCCTGATACGAAAAAAAGATTCCCCCCCTTATTGATACCTCCTCTTGCGCATCATGTCATTGGATTTTGGCCATGATTTAGTTAGGAAACGAAATTTTATGATATCCCTTTTCTGTTACGAAAACTTCACTTACCTGTTGGACTTGAATTGCCCTGTGATGACCATACTGAGTCGTGCTTCCTGGGAGACAAGACGGTGATGATCACGGACCTGGGGTGCCTGCGGCGATATATAGAACGTGGGCACACTGTAAAGCCGAAGGTGGCCGCTTTCCCCTCGGGTGGTACAAGGGTCATGTGGGGAAAGCTGTCACGTCAACAACAGCAAACATGACCATATTCATCACAAACATGATCTAGTGTCAAGACTTGCCATACTATATGAATCATATCCGCAGATATGGAAATGCCGAGCTCAACTAGAGAAGTAGTTGTCCAAGAGTGCAAACGCCTCAGGCCCCATGACACCATCACATCCATCCAGCCTTGCCAGGGAAAAGGATGTTCACACAATCTCTGGATCATCAGCTTTGCAAACAGCCCACAGCTCATTGCTCGAGTAGCGCAAGAACATCAAATCTTAGAGCTCGAAAAACGTGGTATTGGTATTCTGCAACACATCGAGAAGCACACTCCAAATTGTCCCGTCCCGAGAATTCACTGGCATAACGTCGATCAGACTTCAAAACATCCATCTATTGTGATACAAAGCTTTGTCCCAGGCAGATCTCTGGGTACTTGGAACTCTAGTATCCCAAAGAGCTCGTAGTTTGTGGAGTCGGTTGGGGTATTCCGGATGGCAGCGCAGGAGAGTCTAGGGCCAGTGTTGGAAGCGTTCTTGGTCAAGCACTCAGAGATGCGAGAGATGGACAGGGTCAAGCAGATTATGGCAGAATGGCAGATGGAAGATGAAGATAGATGAGGCAGAGTTTCATGGTCGAGCTCAGGCGAAATTGGTGCAAACGTGGGGAAAGCTTCCGGGGCCCGCGATAGCATCATCATGGTTACCTCGGCTTATCATGATTGTCTACTGATACTGTCCTCACATTGTCTACTAAACTTCATGTGACACGTTGGCAGACAAGACGACAATAGTCGCACGATTACATCACTTCAAAGCCGAAAGGAAATGCGCCAGAACGGAACGCTTTGCATACCCACAGCGCGACTACAGCGAGCAACATGAGAGGCGCCACCGGACGCCTGGAAGAGGTAGCAAGAGGAGGAGCACGAGCATACACACAAAGACATGCTTCATCACGAACATACAGCACACGATCGCGACCGAAAACGGCCCTCTTCTTCCCTGGACAGGGAGTGCAGCGCGTGGGCATGATCGACCCCTGGCTCCAAGCCTTTCCCAACACCGTCCGCCCTCTCCTCGACGAAATCGACCATACCCTCAACATCTCACCCTCCCTCACAAGTCTGATCAGCGATGGCACAAATGCAGAGCTCACCGCTACCCAAAACGCACAGCCTGCCATCATGGCCACCAGTATCCTGATCCTCCGCGTCCTAGAAAGAGAGTTTGGCTTCAATACAAAGGAAATCGTCGATGTAACACTAGGCCACTCATTGGGCGAATTCGCAGCCTTGGTGGCAGCAGGAAACCTGCAATTCACCTCTGCCCTCAAAATGGTGCGCAGACGTGGCGAAACAATGGCGCGATGCTCTGCCTCCTCAGCAGCAGAAATGGGCATGATAGCCCTCGTCTGCGAACCCAACCAACGAGACGCTACCCTCGACGCCATAACCCGCCAACTCGACCAAAACAAACTCCTCCAATGCAACGTCGCAAACATCAATTCAAAAACACAATTCGTACTCAGTGGAGACATTGGTCACATTACTCAAGTACTGGAACACATTCGTCACTTTGACTCTCACGACCCCAGAGCGGTGAGATTAAAGGCTGATTCTCCCTTTCATTCTCCCCTCATGTTGCCGGCTGTGCATCTTATGCAGAAGTTGCTTTCTGCTCCTGGCGCCATAACCTTCGACGACACGACATTACCATGCATTTCCAATGTCACAGCACTCCCCTTCACCTCTGCGGACGAACTCACAGATCTAGTAGCCAGAAGTGCAGCAGAACCAGTGCTTTGGCATCAAAGCATCCAATACCTGCATCAAGAGCAAAAAGTTAAGAGATGGATTGGCATTGGTCCCGGCAAGGTTGGAAGAAACCTTGTAGGCAAAGAGGTGGGTATGAAGGGAGTCGATATCAAAGGTGGCGGCGTGTTGGCACTTACGGACCCGAAAGAACTGGATGAGTTTATGCGCGCGCTGGAGGACACCGAGAAAGCTGTCGAGGACGAGGGTCAGCAATGAGTCGTGATCAAGTCGACCGAGTTGCTGCGGTGCTTGAAAGCAAAGGCTTCGCAATCAGCTGCCAGGGGGCTAGAGACAGCTAATAAGATCTCCGAGCCTTGCCACATCAAAGACCTGTTTGAATCTTCCACTCACATCTTCTCATCTTTTCACCTTCGCCGTCTTTTGAACACCATGTGCGAGTCATTTTCACAAATAGGCGAAATCGACACAATCCAGGCGGCTCCCGAATCTTCCTCATCAGATGTCCAAAATGCCAGATCACCACCGGAAAACATGTCACTTTTTGTACACTCGGTTTCTAGCTTTGCACTCGACAGGTAACAGCAGTACTACATGCGCTCCCACCAATTGTGTCATTACCCCTGGACGTATCCCAAGAATCTTCACACTGCAGTTAATCTGTCACAGATATACTCGCTCTGAAATTCCGATTTTTCAAGTATCATTTGAATGGAATATTTACATATCTTGCCCCCTTTTTTTATTGATTAATTTTTTTGCAGATATGAGGAAATAAGAATTGGTGTCGGGGTGATTGTTCTAGCTACTAGCAATAGCCTGAGAAGCCTTCAAAGCACCCACCACCGAAAAGCAAATCAACGGAGAAATAGCATAGGAGATCTGTTCACCCGAGTCAGCAAGAGATCAGTCTAAGCAATCGGCCATCATAACTCACGGTCAAGAACTTTGCAATACTCATCTTTTCCTCATCACCGGCCCCACTAACATCAGCAAGCGCAGTCAACTTCATAGCAGGCGGCCCCGTCGGCATCAACATCATTGCAAACCACAATATCGGATCATCACTCAAAACACTTGTCTTACTGGCCAAGATCCAAATCAATGGGATGCTGATAAGTGGCCAGATGACGAATCTGACAACTGTAATGATGGTGAAAGGTTTCCAGGGTACAGAGCCAGATTGTTCTCCTTTCTTGTAGCGGAGCATTGCTTGAGAGAGCTTTACGCCTACGACGACGACTTGGAGCGAGGCGAAGAGGTCGCCGATGTTTTTTATGGATGCGGTGAGCCAGGCGTTCAGGTAGCCGCCTTTGTTTGGGGAGCTGAAGAAGAGGGTGTGGAGAGCTGGGACTAGGCCGACGATACCACCAATCACTGCGCCAATGAGGGGAGGATTGAAGAACTGCCAAAGGAAATCGAGGACCGCCTGGGTGCGAGGAGAGAGTGAGGAGTAAAAGTTACTCAGACGTTTGTGGGTGAGATAGATTGCTTTTACTCCAGGACGGACGGCGCGATTGGGCAGCAAAGAGGTTTCTTCGTTTTCTTGTTGGTGTTCGTGGATGGAGTTGCGTTCTGCTGCTTCTTCGTCTTGGTCTTCTCTTTTCGGTTCTTCATCTGGAGAGTCTTCTTCTTGTCCATTGAGTAGTCTGGGTCCGAGGGCAAAGGTCAAGGAGTTGGAGACCATGGCATTGACGAGGAAGTATGACTTTGCCCGGTCAATGGCATCGCTGGATGCATCAAGAGAGTCGAGGATGCCGGTCGACTGCAAGGATTGGACGAGGAGCAGAGGTAACGATGTGGTGTTATTGAACGCGAGAGCTGGCGTGACCCATTGAGGAAGTCCCATGAATTTAGTCCTGCAGAACAAATAGGTTAGCATCTATCTCTGGTAGCATGGTATAGACAGATGAGGCTCAAGTTGTCACCAAAACCTCCGCGGAATCTCTCCATGGCAGGGTCCATATCCAAGGGAACCAAACTTACACAGCAAGACCGAATACCATGCTAAGCACATTGTAGATGATAGCCCAGATCAACACGGCCAGATATCTCGTTCCCTGAATATCCGTCAGCTTTCTCTCTCAGTCATGTCTTCCAAGTCGAGTAGCTCACGGATTCGAGGTTCAACTGCTGTCCAACATTGACAATCAACAATGCAGGCAAAAACAACCTGACACAAGCTTTCGAAATATCCTTTGCCGACTTCTCATTCAACAGATCGAATTGAGCAGCAATGACACCATAAAATATAGTGAGCAACACCGCAAGCGAAGCCTGCAATGCACCAGTAAACGGAATCACAAAGTCCTCTTTGACATTCGACATGATTTTCCGGGGAAGCTGTAGGAAGGAAGGAGAGATAACTTGGCTAGACTTGCAGCAGCAGCATATCTACATATTAAAGGAGCACGCGAGCAAGGATGATGATGTACGTAAAAACAAAGCAACACTTGCATCACAGATTGTCAAGAGATTGGCAGGAACGAAGAACGGCAGGAGAGAGGGAGGAAGCTACGTCAGAGCCGCAATTGCTTAGGTATCCCCACAAACGGCTGGCGATAGCTACCCGTGTGCAGATCTCGGCTGACTAACACCAATGTCTTTCCTAGGGTCTTCGTACTTTGTCTACAAGTTCAACAAGGCTTGCATATCCCTCGCATTGATACATGAGATGAAAGCGATATCCACATCACAGAGAGAACTAGACGACAAGGTATCGTAGATAAGTTTGACGAAAGCAAATCTGATACAATCAAAAGCTGGTTTGCTGAAAGAGAAAACTCGTCGAAAATACATCAGAAGACTCCAGCCTGCATCTACGCACTCCCAAGACCCCGCATGTTGGTCATCGATATGCATAAACTTCCTCTGACCATCGTCTGTCTTTCTGTGGAGATTCGCAGTACTTCCAATTGACAGTGTGTCACCACTCGGCAACCTCTTCACGAAGGAGTCTTTGCTAGACCCGAAGTAATATAGGTAGGTGTACTCGAAGCAGTCCAGGTGCTCGTATACAAATCCTTGTCAGTAAGCGTGACAGTATTGGAAGCCAGCTCCATAACTCCTGTTTCTGGTGTCCTTTTCCTCACTTCTCTTATGGTTGTTTTATAGTAGACAGGCCCTTTTTGTTTATTCGGCTCCGGAAACCACCAACAAAAATCGGGAAATTGACAATATGATTGAGTCTGACCGATGGTGATCCATTCGATATCATGTTCGTATGCAACAGGTACAGTGGCGCCGAGGAAGGGAATCCATCTTTGTCTAGTGTTACCCCAGATTGGATTGAGATAGGGTGCGGTGATCTTTGTCCTAGGGGTTGGTCCGGGACCATTGTCGATGGCAAGCACCTCCACGAATTGCGTGTGAACATCAGGCTGGAGAACATCGATGCCATCGATCTGAACGACACCTTCTGCATTCGTGGTGGCTGGTGGAAATGTATTGGTGGGTTGATTGGCTTCTGTGGCTTGGTGAACGTCAATGCCAGAGATCTGAAGAACGCCTTCTGCATTTTTGGTGGGTTCGGCAACATCGTTGGATCCACAGAGAGTGACGCCGGTGTGTACATTGGCTATGACCACTTCCAGGATCCTGGTGACTGTTTTGGGTTCTCTTGGAGCTTGAAGAACATTGATACCGTTGATTTGGACGACTCCTTCGGCATTGGTCGTGGCTGGTCCTATTATATCTCTAGCAACCTTCCTTGTGACTGTTGTCATACCATCTCTGGCATCAAAGCTGCTCGGTCCAACACGAGACTTCATGGGACCAAGGTCGCTGGCAGAAAAACCATCACCGACAGGAAGAAAGATGTGAGAGGAGGTTGTGTTCCCGATCCTGGAGACGCCTTCGACTACAGTCGAGATCGCATAGGCAGACGTTACTATAGTGTGAGACAGAAGGTATATGGAAAGAGTGTGGAGTAGCATGGTAGGTTGAGTTGAAGCGTCTGTTCAACGCCCCTCGTCAATACTGCAAGATGGAGTCAGAACTTGGGAGTGGGGGAATGCAGAGTATACGGAGGACGCTGTTCTGATGTCCATACGGTCGAATGAGGAAGAGAAAGTACTTGCAAGATCAGCTGTGCGGGTTATCATCCGAACCAAGAATGAGTGAGAGGGTCGTTCGCATTTGAGTAAGTTATCACCTTGTACCGTGATGCTGCACAGACTAATCAGATTTAGTCAGGGTCGACCACGTGGCTACGTCGGATATCTAGCTACCCCAATCGTACTGATCCTTCGGATCTGCCGTGAGAATAAAAGGTTGATCCAATAGCCAGATGTCTACCGACGAACGCTCCTCGAGCGCCGGACTCCTTTCTGTATCTTCCTTGGGGCATTGAATCTGCTAGTACGATCGACTTCGGTGTCTAAAGTCTTCTATGCGGCTTCTTCGATGGATCAGAAATACGAATTATGCTCAGCCTGACTCTCAAGCTCTTGTGACGTCGTAGCAGTGTCTCTCCTCTCCGTGCGCGTGATAAACACACACTTCACCATGTGTTAGTTGCAGAGAGTCTTTGGGCAGCTTGCCCCAATCCTCGTCGTTAATCCATACATCCGCCAGATATTTCATCATCTGATTTTGAACGGCAGAATCGTATGTATCTAGCAATGTTTGCTTGATAAATTGCCTTCTGTGGTAGAGGAAAACATTGATGAAGATTGGCTTGAGGACATCAGTCCTGCAAGACTGGCCTCCAGCTTTTGGAAGAGCTCTGATCACCTGAATTAGATGAATGAGTGGATGTCATTCCATTCATTCTGTCGAATCTCTGATGTGTCAAGTCTGCTCCGATGTGCTTCGTACGAAAAATGAGACGCGCTGGGTTTAGGAGATTGCAGCTCAGAGGGGGTGACAGCAAACATGTGAAAACAGAGAAGAGAAGACGAGCTTTGAGGCACTACGTGTGTACGTGAACTAGTTCAGATATGATAAGTAAGAGACAAATCGTCCTAGGAAAAAAAAGTGAGCCCATTCCTGAATAGCGAGCGCGACAGACCAGCGTCGATAATCGATGTGTTAGAATGTGTTCCACCTTTTATAGCCTCGGTCCAATCTAGTGGAGCTTGCGGAACCCAGTGCCTGCCTATCTAACCAACTATCAAGAGAACACTGACCAACACAGCAGCCATCATTGCCGTGAAGCAGCCCTTGAACATTGTTGAAGCGGCGCCCTGCTCACCATACTCGGCCTTCTCCCAACACTTGCTCTGCATGACAGAGTTGGCTCTACGGACGAGAGAGAAGCTCTGGATACCACCAGGGATTTCGTAGCGCTCACCACCACGACTTTGACAGCCAAATCCGTACCATGGCGAACCATTGATCTCTCGACAGTTCTTTCCGGGGAAGACCTCAACAACTCTGGCGGCTTCCTTGCCATCGCCAACACCTTTAGAATTGCCATTGATGCTCGTGTTCAGTTGTTGATACCAGACGGACGTGTAGTTGATTCGCGCATCGAACTTCGCCTCGCCGAGGACGGTATAGTCTGCTGTATTGCTGGTGTTGTTTCCGTCCACAGCAAAAATGTCGGCAAGATTGAAGCAGGTGATGTCGACAGGCGCGACTAGGGTCTCGAAAGTCACGTTGGCCAGATAGTCATCTGCTGCGAAGGACAAGGTCAGTTGTTCAACTCTGTCTCTGAGGTCAGCATGTGGGATGAATCTTCTCAGTAATAGACTCACGAGCTTTGAGCTTGCACGATGGTTGCAACGATCAGAGCGAGGAAGCTCAGACTGCCGTACATGGTGGATTGTTAAAAGTGGGATGATGTAGTACAGGAAACGTGAAGTAGAGGTCGTGGTTGTTAAACACAATGAAGTGTCAGTGGGCACAGCAAAGGAGAGAACACAGCTCACCGGCATTCGAGCAACTTATAAATGACAGAGGCGGTAGCAAGTGACTTGACTTTGGACACTAACCATGGACCGTCTAAATCGTACCATCTATTAGAAGTATGGATAGTTGTCATGAGACGAGCACTCACATGTAACAGAAACGATACGATCACAAAGTTTGGTTCGCCCATCACGAAATTTTCTCCATCAAACTCTCTTCCCACATTATACTTTCAGATCATTGATCACCCGCCCTCTCAATTGCTCCGTTTTGATCAGGTCACCTGGTGGTTAAAACAGCAAGTCGCCCTCTGTTCAGAAACAACCATCACCCAGCTCCATCACCAAAAAACCCCACCAAGATGCTACCAACACTCCCCATAATCCTCTTACTCAGCTCCACCATCACTGTGGTGAGCAGCGCCCCCATCTCACCCCTTCACCGCCGCTACGACATAGACTGGCAATTCACCCTCGACGCCCCCTCTCCCGTCGCCGACGACAACTTCCCCGACCACGGAAAACTAGTCGCCTGGCCCCCATACCGCGAACTAGACGGCACAGTCCCCTTCTCCCCTGACTTTCTAGATGCCCTCAACGCCTGGAAGTCCGATGCTCCACTCACACATGTGGGCTTCAATCCTCCGCCCAGACCACCGGGTATGGTGACACCGTTAGATGAGGGCTATGTGGAGAGTTTTGAGTATCCACCTAATACGCTTAGGTGCACTGCTTTCGGGGGGTGTGTGGAGAGGGGGCCGGAGACGGAGGAGGAGAGGAGAGAGAGGGAGGAGACTGTGATTTGGGAGTTGGGGGAGCAGGCTGAGGCGGTGGTTGTTGATGATCAGTTTGTCAAGGATCTGTTTACGTCGTGATGGGGGCGTGCTTGGGCGAAGTTCACAGCAGTTCATCTGTGTTGGCAGCACCGTTGCCGTGAACGCCATCGACGGCCAGAGCCCAGTACTGGATATCCTGCCAGAAGCCAGCGGGATCTGCGTGGAAACGACGGTAGACACCATCGTCTGCGTCATTGTAGACCACACGGTCCAGGAGGATGCCTTTGATGTTTGTGGCGGCGGACAGCATGGTGAAGGCAGGGAAGATGTTCTTGCGCCAGTTCTTGTTGTCGATCCAGCCCTTGACAATGATGTTTCTGAGAAGCAGACGATTGGCAGGGCTGACACGGCCGAGGAACAACATCAGAGTGCCAGGCTGGCCGAAGGAGAAGGTCTGACCGTAAAAGTAGGGAAGTGCTTCGGCGTTGATGTCCTTGCACACTCGGAGGAGGGCAAGCTGGAGTACGGTACGGTCGCTGTAGTAGCTTTCACGCTTGACAGCCCATTCGTTGCCATAGTAGAGGTGGTGATGCTTCTTCTGGAGTGTGCCACGGAAAATCTCGCGTTGTTGGTGCTTGCTGACGAAGCTGAGGTCCTTGCGGGACTCGACAAGAGCTTCCTTGTAGACCATGACGCGAATCTCGGGTGGCAGGTCCATGAAGCGGAATGGCATGTCCTTGATCTTCTGGGCCTTCTTTGCCTGGACCTTTGCCTTCTTGGCCAGCTTCTTCTTCTGCTGAGCCTTGAACCGGGCCTTGAGTGTTCTCTGCGGGAGCGAATGTCAGATGAGAAATCATAGTGCATCTAGTCCGGCATACCTTGTCGTCGGTCCACTCATCGGAGTCGGAGTCGGATTCATCAGAGCAAGAGTCGTCAGAGCCGGACAATTCGTCGGCAGAAGCGGGGGCAGAGGCGAAGGGGCTGGAGTCTTCAGGGTCGGCGATGTCGTCGTCAAGCTCAGTGGGCTCGACGTAGCTGATCGAGGCGCGAGTGCGCTTGGAGCGGCCGGAATCCATCATGGGCGGGAACATGTAGCGCGGCTCAAAGTGCGGTATCAAGGTGCGGTGGTAGTAGGCCTGGCGCACAATTGGATCGCGAGAAGGATTGATGCCACGCCGAGTCTGGTAGTAGTGCAGGCGGAAGACTTCTTCGTGGCTAAGCATGACGCGGGAAGGCAACGCCGGGCTAGTGATGAGCAATTGGCCGGGTTGCGACTGAAACACTCCAACTCATTGGCAGCTCCGTGCGAGCCAAGGCAATTTTGCATTTCCTTACGTGGGTGCAGGAGCTTTGAGCGCGAGCACTGAGCGCGAGACTCGGCCGTCTAGCCAGGGTAGTCGAGTGTCTTCGACGGGGTGACCAGTACACCGGGTGCTGATTGACCAAACATCTCGCTTCGTTGCGTGCAAATCCGCAAGACTAATGCATGACTCTGACCAGCTGTGGCTTGCTTCAATGAGACACAATTTAGTGCTGAAAAGTTAGCGATCTCAATGACAGGAGCACATTTTCGTTATTGTCTTTGATCCCGGATGGAGCACACACATCAGTGGGGGAGGCTTCAGGAGATACCAGCCTGTGTGGCAATTGCAGATGAACCTCGGGTCTGGCTTGGGTCCTGCCTCGAATAAAATGATCGTTATTTAGGTACTCCAGACTACTGTGGTGAATCACAAATTGCTTGAATCGCGTTATATGGGGAAGGAGTCAGATATCTGGGAATTTAGTGCCACGGGTGCTATCTCGTGAGGCATATCCCAGCCTCAGAGGCTGCGACTTCACATGCTATAGAAATACACAGTAATCTTCAGGGTCGAACACGTCTAATGGGAGTCTAGGGCGGTAGAGCTCTCACCAGCAGTGGTGACTGATCTAGAAAATCTTGTGCATTTCTATGGCTGTCAGGAGACCCCTTGACAAGGCTGAGACGTCAATTCGGGGTTGACCCAGACAGGACGTTAGGGCTACTGTGTGGGATTAATAGAGGTGTCATCTCAGTCTGGCAGATGACTGTTCAGAAGTGCTGTAAAAATGCACAATGATCCTCAAGATTACGGTCATCGTCAATGAGAGACGCTGTTCTTGCCACTCTCTTCAGGCGTGGCCGCAAATTCGAATTTGACTGTGCATTCAGACAGCCACATTCAGACAGCATCATCGAAGTCGGGAGTTGGTGCCGATATTGGGCTAATATGTGAAAGTAAGCAGGAAGGAGCGCAGTGAGGCAATGGCCGAGGTGGGCCGTTTGCTTTGTTTGTCTCGGCATCTCCCCAGCTTTGGCCATCAAGGGACAAGTTTACCTTCTAGACATATTGCAATTGACCAACAATACAACAAATACCGTCAAAACAACCGCCTCACGTCCCGTTCAAACAGAGAACACTACATATTCCACACATCCCAATTACACAACCGAAGTCATGGACCCCTACTCAGCAGACGGAGGTACGCCATCTACCCCTAGAACCCAAACACAGCTCCTGAACACCCATCTAACACCGTCGCAGAGCTGGTCAACATGCACACAGCCTTCATCCAAGGCCAATACCAACAAGTCGTCGATTTCGATACATCAATCTTCAGCGCCCCCTACCAACCCTCTGCTCAAATCCTCAGATACCGTGCCCAACTCGCCCTCAAAGACTACTCTGCAGTCGCCAGTGCCATTTCCTCCTCAGACGCCTCTTCAAACTCTTCTCTCGCTGCCGTAAAGGCTTACGCTTCTTATGCCTCTTCGGGCTTTACTTCCGAGTCGGCCGTGTCAACAGCAGAAGCCTTGTCGCAAAGCAACAGTGATGATCTGACTGTACAATTGCTTTGTGGCGCTGTGCTTGCTCGTGCTGGAAAGACTGATGAAGCTGTTGCGCTGCTCAGCCAACATCAAGGATCCCTGGATGCTGTGGCCATGTCGACTCAAATTCACCTTAGCCAAAACCGCACCGATCTCGCAACCAAGGAAGCGAAATCCGCACGATCATTCGCTCAAGACGCACTACTCGTCAACTTGGCAGAGTCATGGATTGGACTCCGCGAAGGAGGCGACGCTAAATACCAACAAGCCTTCTACGTCTTTGAGGAACTCGCACAAGCACCCGGTTCTTCTGCTGTGACAAGTCTGATTGCGCAAGCAGTGTCGGAGCTACATCTGGCAAGATACCCAGAGGCCGAGACGGCATTGCAACAAGCGCTGGATATTGACTCGGACAACGTTGTCGCATTGGCCAATGCTGTAGTTCTGTTCACCGCTACTGGAGATGTGGAAAGAGCTGCCGAGATGAAGAACAAGTTGCAAAAGGCAAAGGGTGGTGAAGAGACGGAACTTCTGCAAGGACTCGCGGCCAAGAAGGAAGTTTTTGATGCAGCTTGTGAAAAATACCAGCCCAAGTTCGAGCCTTAGGCATCATATAATGTCAACAGTCAGGGATATCATCAGTTGCAAATGGCGTTGGGGGCCGGGGACTACCATGGCGGGAGAACTGGTAAAAGGAGCCAACTTGTGTGATTAGAGCAGAGTTTTGGTGAAGTGAGAATGATGTATTGAGTGACAAGCAGGATCACCAGTATTACAACAGTATCTGCCCAATCTTCAGTATCGTAAGCATCGATCTTTGGTGAGATGTGGTATGCGTAAAATCTACTTGTATGTTTTGAGCACTCTCGGTGTGTCATCTCACTCGTCGTGCTTCGTCTTGACCATCTTCAAGCAGCCGTGCCTCGCCTCCCTCTGTAACGTTGCTCTTCGTCTAGGGATCTCTGTTTTCTCCGAAATAGTGTGCAACTCTTCTCCCTTCGCTCTGACTTCACTCTTCGCAATCACCTACCATCTCTAATCCACTCAAAACCTCAATTTCGGCCCAGCGAATACAAACAAAAACGCAATAATCCAAAGACCAGCAATAATAGCATACAGCCTTATCCTTCCCCACCACCCTTTCCCTTCAGTCATCCTCCTCAACATACCCATCCTATTCCCCGCCGCCTCCATACCCATACTATTCCTATCCAAGCCCGTTTCCGCTCTCCTCAGCACTTCCTTTTCAGACTCCAATGAAGAGGCAAAGGAGAGGGAGCTTTGCTTCAACCTTTGCGCTAATGCAACGAGCGAGGATGTCAGTGTATCTTGATCGCGAGTTGCAGAGTCTAGGATTTGTTCGGTGGAGAGTTTGTCTCCTGTATTTGAGAGGTTTGTGGGTGTACGGGCGCCGAACAAAGCAGAAGTTGTTGCAGTGTCCGGGGGTGCATTGCTGTCCAACGCATTTGTGTTTCTCTTTCTTAATGTAGTTGCCAGATCTTGTGCTGCTTGCTGTGGCGACGTAAGACTTGGATCTGTGTCTAGAGTATCGCTTGTTCTAACTGCAGGAGCGAATTCCCTGGCTCTGGTTTCGTCGTCTTCATCGTCCTCGTCTTCTGAACTGGAGGAATCGTCTTGAGAGGAAGCGAGTTGGTTTAATTCGATGAGCCGGGTGTTTAGCTGTTTTATGCGGTCGCGCTTTTGTTGGAGGGAGGATTGTAGGGCGGTCTTTTGGGTTGCGATTTTTAGGTCCGAGGAAGTGTGTTCGAGGCGGAGGAGGAGAGTTCGTGCGTATTCGACATTCTGAATGGGATGAGGTGTCAGATACTAGTGAGATAGACAGGGAGGGAAAGACAGAAGTCTGAAAGGAAAAGGGTCGCTGGCACTTACAGCACTGATGCGATTGCGTTCATAAGGAGTGGTGCGGAGATGCGTGTCATCTGCTGTCGGGGAGAGGAGTGTGTTTGAGAGTCGTGTGAGGAGCTGATCCAAGTCCACACTGATGTTTTCTGTCGTTGTCGCCATTATTACAGGTATATTGTTGTCTGTGCTTTGTTCAAGAAAGATGTGATGGAGACAGAAGGTTGGCTTGTTGTCGCGAAACTCCGTCATGGACGAAACGAGTCATTTATCAACCTCCTCCACAGCGTCGTCGAGTCAAGACAAGGACATCAATGACATGGCGCAATCACATGCAAACCACTTCCGTCTCACTCCAGACCTGCCTACAGTACCTTCTTACCATACCATCGCCAAACCCCACCCACCACCCAACAACAATGACTTCAATATCCCCTCAACCATCTCCTCCCTTGCCAGGACCCTCTTCAACAAAAGACACCTTCACCTACCCACCCCACCACTCCTTCCCCCCCTTCTACACCCTCCAACCAAACCAATCAACACTAACCCGCCAACTCTCCCTCTGGTCCACCCTAATCCAATCCCACCACTCCCACTCCCACCTCTTCAAACTCCACCTCAGCACAGCCCCTTCCCTCCCCTTGTTCACAAACCCTCGTATCCACCGCTCTCTCGACCCCCTCAGCATCCGCAAAATCCTAGACTACATGTCCACAGCAGATGGAGATTTTCGTGCAGAGTGGACGAACAAAGAGAAATCTGCGGCGTGGATCTGGTGGAGGACTGCGGCCGAGTGGGCTGATGCCATTCATCATTGGGTCGAGGAGACGGGCCAGAAGGGGGCTGTGTTGACGATTTATGAGTTGAGAGAAAGTGAGGCCGTGGAGAGGCAGGAGTGGGTGGGTATGGATGAGGATATGTTGAGGAAGTGTTTGGATGTTTTGGTCAAGAAGGGAAGGGCGCAGGTTTTTGGCCAGGCGGATGGGGCCGGTGTCAAGTTCTTTTGAGACTGCCATTTTAGGATTGCGACGACTTTTACGACAATGCGATCGCTTGGGGGTCATAGGATGCAAATGTTCCCAGGCCAGAGTGGGAACGCACTTTCCAAGGGCTTCGATTCACAACTACAACGAAAACATCAAAGGGCTGTCAGCAGCATCTCCATCTGTTGCTCAAGCAAGACTCTAGGCCTGATACCGGATACTCAATCTACTGGCCGCCACCATCGCACACATCCTACTTCCCACGACCCTCTTCATACCCAGGAACCAAAGACTCTTTCAACGCCCACTTTTCATCCCACTCAATCTGCTGACTCATGGCAAGATTGATCAACCAATCCGTCTTGACAATCATGGCATCACAATCCTTCCTATCCGCCTCATCCCTAAACTTTTGCCACAATTTGACCTCTTCAGGCAGAGTTCCGGAAATCAAAAACACCTGATTCGGCTCAATTTCCTCCAACCCTTGATTCTGCACCCAAGATCCACGGTCCCGATCTCCACCGGGATTATATCTAGGTCCTGGAATCACGTTTGAACGACCTTTGTATAGGATTGCCGTGCCGCCGTTGATGCTGATGATTTCTTTATACGTCTCGAATCCTCCAGGCACTTTTTCTGTTATGAAAATTGTCCAGCCGTGCAGGAGATGGTTCTTGTTCATGTCTGCTCTGTCGAGTGCGTCGTCCATGAGAAAGCCGAGTCGTTGCTCTGCTTCACCGTCTTTGAGGAGATGGTCGTCGAGGTCGGGAAGTGTTTCGTTGGCGAGTGCCGAGTCCAGGTAGCCGATGTTGACGACGAAGGGACTCTTTGCAAGGGCGGCGATGAATTTCTTGGTGCGGAGGATGCGAGGAGCGCAGAGGAGGGAGCATTCTGAGGGCTCTGTGGTAATTTTGATGCCGATGGCGCGGAGTTTGGCCTATGATACCATCGTTAGACATTGCGTTAAGCAGAATACAGAGATGTATGGCGGAACTCACTTTCTCGATAGCTTCCCTCTTCATGTTGCCCAGCCATCGCTCGTCTCCTGTGACCAACATCGTAAACTTGACCGGTGGTCCATTGTCGGTCTTTACCTTCTTCGCTTTGCCCTTGACCCCGGCGATTTCAGTCTCGCTGATCTCGGCAGTGTCGTCACCCATATCATCGCTCTTGCGTTTGTTCCTTGTCTTCGTGGCTGCTGCTTTTGTGACTACAGGCTGTTCTTCTTCGGGCTCTGCTGTACGTCTGCCCCCATGCACAACACCGCCTTTTCGCTTTCTCTCGCGATCATAAAGAAGCACATCATCTTTGAGTGCGTGCAGATCTCTTAGGGCTTTTTCCTTTGACGCACGACCAGTGGTCGGGGGACTGTTCTCTCGTCCTGTCGTCCTGAGCATTGAAGGTGTAGCCATGGCTGCATCAGAGCCCACTCTAGTCTTTCTTCTCTTGGCCGTCTGAGGTGCAGGTAAGAATTCACTGGAGTCATTCTCATCCCCATCGACATCCATAGGTTCTGGTGCGTCGACAAAGGACTTTGCTTTGGATGTTGCTGCGCTAGAGGCAGGAACACCTTTTCTGGGTGAAGTGTCTGGTGCTCTTACAGCTCCACGGAAAGGATGTGGTGTTTTCGTTCCAGGCTCTGCGTCCTTGATCGTCTTTTCACCGTTTGCAAAGTACAATTTGCGGACTTTGTTGATGTCGATGGGTGTTTGGCCTACAATCTCGCTGAGATTTGTTCGTGGTGGGAAGTGGGTGAAGCGTTTGTTGGTTAACGATTGAGCAGCGCATTTGGCATAGCTTTCTTCCAGCCAAAGATGGTTGACGATATCAATGTTCCACTCCTGGGCAGCGTCGCATTTCTCTGAGTGGGTGTGAGCAGTAATGAGGTGTGTGTTGTCTTGCTTCATGGTCTTTGTGAAATCGGCTCCTGCTTCCTTACACAGGTTCTCGAGATAAATGCGTGCTTCACCGCTGTAGTTTGATAGACTGATTCTCTTCCCCTTGAAGCCAGGGATCCCATCTCGGGGCACAGGGTAGTGCAGAAGTTTGCCTAGAGGATTCGTCCATTTGTTGCGATTGATGACGTTGTAGAACCAAGAGAGATTGCCGACGGTCTTCTCAGCTTGAGATGCAGCGACATAGTCCATACCGTCGCGGTAGTGGCCTATGTACACATCACATTCTTCCACGTCTGTTGTAAGAGAGCCTCCGGCCTGGCTGACCAAGTGTCGCAATGTCTTTGCCAGGTGATCATTGACATTCAAGTCTTTTGAGAAGAGCACCTTCTTGTCCTTAAAGACGGCTAGCTGCTTGCGAGAGTCGGAAGGAGAGATGGGAGGATTGTATGCTGGCGGGGCTCCTGCCACGGCTGAAGTGGCACCGTCGAGGCCGGGTGTTGATCTTGCTCGTACGGGTTCGTCTGAGGATGCGCGGAGAATCTCAGGATCGGGTAGGAGGTAGGGGCCTTCGTTGATCAGCTTGCCGAGCTTCAGGCAGTCGTCGAACCTGTATTGTTCTTGTCAGCCATGCATTATGAAACCCGAGAAGGGGAGCGCGTACCAGTGTGGCAGAACAATCTTGCAGGCCAGGTCCTTCGCTTGCACAGTACGGCACTTGTCATTGTGCATGTCCAGAGCAACAACATGAGTGACCAGCTTGGTCAAAGGTGCACTGTACAAGCCTCCCAACGCCAGGGTACCAGCAATAATGGCGTCCTTGTCTCCCTCGGGCAGTTCTGCGCAAGAGACTATGACTTCTCTGAAAAACATGGACGGGTCTGGGCTGTGCTGGCGTGCTTGTGTCTGCCTTCCCTTCTCGGAACTCGATTCAACCCAGGACGGTCGCACAACGTGGATGTTGTAGTCTAGGGCTTTGCTGTACTCCGGGAACTCAATGTCTCCGGTGATGATGTGCGTATGGCGAGTAATGTTATTGATCGAGCCATCTTCTCGTCGGGGGATGAATGTGGCACCCTTGTGTGTCAAGATTTGAATCAACTGTTGTCGAGCAGTCAGTGTCTTGAGCAGTCCAGCCTGTATTGAGATTGTCTGACCCTCTCCTCTTGAACAGAGTCTATCGTCGGTCCAGTCAAGACGGTAAAGGTTACGCCGGAAAATAGTAGGTCGTCTGCTCCTGCCATAGTTCCTAGCGCATGTCTTGATGCTGCGTAGTCGCGCCTTAGGAAGGGTAATTATGATTGCTGGGTTCCGTGAGGTGCGCTTCAGAGCTGTTTTGCCTGTTACAGACGTATTACTTCTCGTGATTTGCCTCGAAGAGACGCGTTCTATCTCTTTCCCGCGCTAAACTCGAGAATGCAATGGATTGATGCGGTAATGTTCTCCGTGGCACGCGTCGCATCTCGCCCGCGCTGTCACCTGACTTGCTAGAGCCCCAATCTATCACTTTGCCTGTTTGCTCAGCATCATTTATGAGGCAATGAGGTAGTATACAATATGGTAGCAACTAAGGGCTGAACGAGCTAGCTATCTCTGTTCGTAATGCTGCTGTGAAAAGCAACGTGAAAAAGCAATGTTCCAGACCCATGTTGCTGTGTTGAACAAAACCTCCGAGCTATTCCATCGACCCATGCCCTTTTCGACCGGATAATCGTACAATATGACTTGGCCCTACTCTTTCTCATACTGAAGAGCTCAAAAGAGAGTAGTGCCGGTCTCACTGAGGGTATTGCGCTTTCTGATCAATTCGCCCTCGGCTCTTTCCAAGGCACGTCTCTTGCGCTCCTTCTCGGTGCCGTTTCCCTCCAGGCGTCTTCCACCGCTCTTGACCTTGGTGCCGAGACCACTGTTGACACTTCTCTTGGCCCTCTTATACGCCACGATTTCGTCGTTGATCTGCTGAATTCTGCTGTCCAGATTCATCGGAGAGCGGGGCGACTCGATCACGGGGCCACTTCTAGTCAACGTGCCGATCTTGGGTCCCTCGATGGTAGGTGAGTCGTCCGTGGTAGGTGATTGTAGAACACCGAGGCCCTTGATCTGCTCGTGGAGGGTGTTCAGCTTCACTCCACCTGGCGGAGAAAGCGCAGTTTGAATGGGAGGCATGGGGAAGTCACTCATACGAGTAGGACCGTTGCCAGGAACGCCCTTGCACTGGGGCAGTGAGCCTTCCTCGTCAGACGAGCCGACGTACTCCGGAAGCGACTTCTCATCCAGGGATGTACCATTGTATTGATGAACCGAGCGCTCCTGGCGGGGAGAGCCATCGTACTGACGTGGAGGAGCAGGCAGCTCGCGATCAGGAGGTGGGTATAGAGGTGGAGAATTCTCCAGCTTGACAGGCGGGACGAGGCGTCTCTCGGGCTGTAGAACGTCCTCGGCTCTACGAATGATGTCTGTCATCTCGTGCAAGATCTTGGTTGAATCCTTCCAGTCTGTGTTGGGCGCAACTCTACTGCGCGCAGCTCTACGTGCGGCCTGGATTATGACTTTCAAACAGCCATCATGATCACCGAGACAGTCCATGAGGAAGGTAGCATGCTCCAACGCCAATGAGAGAAGGAGCGGGTGTCTTGGGTGCAGGTGGCTCTCCGCACGTCTGGTGGCACACTCGAAGAGACGCTTGGTTTCAGGCGTGTAGTCCAAAGCAGGCATCAAGTATGTGCCAGCGGAGACGGGAGGATCATACTCAAACAGCGTTCCTGCGCTGAGGCCAGGAGGACGCTCAGGAATCATGCGAGGATGAACTGTGATCTTGGGAGGGACATAGCCCAAGACGTGGGGCTTCACTGCAGGTGCTTGTGCAGAGATGGAGTAAGGGTTGGTGATGAAGGACTGGACAGAGGGGGCAGGAGACACGGCCATCTCGGGTGCTTCTAGCCTCGATGACAGCCAGTGGGTGCTGAAAGCGCTGGGTCCTTCCATCTTCTTGCGACGAAGCTGGCGGACGGGAGGAGTGTTGTGATACAGGCAGAAGATGTGGTGGAATGATGCACGCAACTTGTAGCCTATGGTCTGGTACTCGCCTTCTGCTTCCGGGCCACAGAACGGCGCGATGTAGAGTTCGGTGAGGGCCAATCCCTCTTTGGCGAGAAAGATTATATCGTGGTAAAGACTTAGCGTTCTGATCTCGGTAGAGATATCGACCACGCGCCGTTTATGGGCAAGCTCGAGCTTAGACTCAAGCCTCATGGAGATTCCGAGAACGGTGTAGAGAGATCGCTTGAGGAGTTCGTTGTTTGAGGCAGGCTTGTCGTCTGAGAGGACTTCGCCGTACGTGCTCTGCTTAGTGATCAGGTCGCTCAGGATCTTGCGATCAACCGAGCCGATAGCCATGGTGAGAGAATGTATTGCTCAGTGTGGAAATGGTGTCGACGATAGCGCTCAACTCTAGCTTGATGTTTGTGGTATGCTGTGATCCTGTAGTATCAACAGAGAGACTGTAGGAAGACTTAGAGCCAAGGTTGTTCGCTGTCAGCCTCAGAAGTAGAGATCGTTATTCGATCCAAGGCGTAAGATCGTCAGAAGTCTGGCTATTGTATAATCAGTAGGTACCTCAAGATTGTAGACCTCGGAAGCCGAGCGGTTAGATCGTCAACCTACATGGAGTCTTAATCAACGGCTGGAGAAGTGTGATCTCAGAATGCAGGAACTATGTCGATCAGGCGCTCAATGCTGACGAGGGGGTAGATGACTTGGCTCTTACTGAGAGATATGAGCTCGTTATGCAATTCCTTGCGATCCCTTGCGATCACGACGTGTCAAGAATGTTGTGTGTCACGCAGATCTTGCGTCTTGAGTGAGAGAAGCTCCGAGCTTACAATGCGCGAAGATCTCGAAAGAGAGACAGTCAAGTGGCCTGACTGCCGAGAGAATGTGGTAATATTCTGGGCCAGAGTCCGTCGTTGCGAATTGGGGAACGAACTGCAAGATGCAGACCAGAAGAATCCTGTCAGAGTTACTCGCAATTGGCGTCGACGATGGCTGGAGCACCCGCTTGAAAATGTTATTGATATAATAGCCTGGTAGCGGTCAGTCGACCGGACGATGCGAATGATATCTTGCCGTCGACCGCACAGCGAACAGACCTCGCATTGACGTGATCCGGAGCAACGAGGACGAGCCCATCCACCATGAGTGGATTCGATCTTGTGTAATCAGCAGTATGGTCACTCGCCAATCGGTATACCTGACCATACGGTACCCTGCAGAGCGAAGCACTTACTGGACATAAAGACTAACACTGCCTAGCAGACAGATGGCCCAAGTTCTTTCCTACTTCTGCAATGGCCCAACGGCTTCCAAGCAATTCCTGTCAAGCTCCTAATGAAACGACGAGATTCTCGTGATGCTGCTTTGCACTTGATACTAATGAAATGGTATCAATGCCAGGAATACACGCAATGAAAGAATAACCGGAAACAGCAACTCCAAAACGCGGAAAATACCACCAGAAAAACGTCAATGGAGAAAAGGATAACGTGAAAGACATGAAAGAGAAGTTGGGCAGTGGCACGGTCAGCGCCGGGATCGCGCAGGCTGCATGCAAGCATTGCATTGGTGCTACGTGTCGACCTCGCTTGTTGGCAAGGATGCTCCTTCTCGGGCAAGTATTCGAGATCCGCTTGCTGGCCATATCGTCATGTATGACATCTACAAGATAGGGCGAGCTGTCCAACATGTTAGACCTCGCTGGTGACCGAGGATCCAGATTCTGGCCTGCTTCGACCCCATACCGAGGGCATAGTTCGCATGACAGCTAACAGTGCTGCAGGAACCTACATTGAACCTCCGTACCGACAGGCGAGAGAGCCAGCGCCGACGCGGCCCCATCCGTATGGCTGTTGAGTTTGTGCGCTGTGCGCTGAGGTAGCGTGCTTGCAAAAGGCGGTCAACAAGGGGCGCTGACGATATGATTGGCGGGTGGCGTTAGTCACTGATCCACTTGAATGACCCAACATCTGCCGGCTAGCAGACAAACACCTGGCGGTTCCTACATCCAGGCTTTGGGTGTCTGATACAAACAGGAAGTCACGGTCAAGAGGTCAAGCTGAGGCTCAGGAACCTTTTCTGCCAGGCGGTGTCGCAAGTCACACGGCAAAACAAGCAGGTGGTACAGACAAGCTTGCTGTCGCAACCACGAACAGCGATTTCCGAAACCTCCATGGACAGCTATGATTGACTCCAAGGCCTGCTAGGAGGTAGCTCACAAGAACAATCATCTCTCAAGGAGTGCAGTTGATAGGAGCTGTCAAGCCATATACCGGCTAAGATTTTGATCTCATGTCCTAGGAGTGCCACCCAGCCTCTTCGAGCCTCGATACTCACGGTCAACTGTTGTAATCTGGAGACGTCACCATATTTCACAATTAAAGAAGCAGCGAACTGCTGTATAACGTATGGCGAATTTCAGCCCTCCCGCACCTGAGATCGGGATCATGTATATGGCGCATATACCTACGACAGATCAAGGACGATCTCAAATGTGATGTGATAAGTTACCGGGTCCTAGCTCGAGCGCATCCGAAACATTGCTGCATGCTTATGCTTGTAACCTGCGTCGGGTCTTCCCATCTCTGCTTGTTTAACACATTTCCTTGGTCGGCCTCGCTTTCCGGTATCAGAAAATGTGAGGTTATCGCCACGCTGGCCACCTTGTGTTTACAGTATGCACATAATGCTTGCCAGCTGCTTGACCATACTCCACTTTGATGCGACGCATCCCGTAGGCAGTTGTACCTGGAATATCATGCGGAAGTTGTGCCGTTTGCTGGAGTGGCACATACTGTGAAGGCTTGATCTGTGCTCTTTCGAAAGGCTGACGAATGTTTCTACCGCACCCGATTAAAGCCAAAGCGACAATAATCCTTGGCTCTGTGTAAGTCCTTTGCTTTAAACCCGGGAGACGATCAGATTGGTTCTTGTCATCTTTGACGTCGGCTGAGAATGGTTGGATGTACAAGTCACTTGCAGTAGCTCACACGCTCTACAAATGCAGGAGTAGCATTTTTATGATTGAGATGGAGCCATGACATCCCACAATCGCTTTTGTTATGGAACGAAGGGTCAAGACGGACGCGGCTATAAGTCTGCTTGAGAGGCTCCAGAAAAACATGATCATCCCTTTCTCTCTTTTCTTGCCATTCTTCTAATCTGCTTGAAGCTTGAAAATTTGTGCTGTCCAAGTCTATCAAAAGCAGAACATGTGTCGCTTTTATGCTCACACATACCAATGTGGGCATACCAAGACAGTTCTTTCCAACCACTGTTCAAGAGCAGCTATGATACGACGACCATGTCGGAACGGCGAGATATGTGCCAGTGTTCAAGTTGAGGAGAAATGCTCGTCCTGCTACAAGCCTGTCAAAGTTCTCGTCCAAACAAGATACATCAACAATGACGTGAAGTCTTGTAGTACTTAGGGAACCAAGGCAAGGTGAGCAACTCGACGGCTCTGGTTTCATACCCAAGCTAACGTCTCCAGAAAGCAGGTTGTCACACAAATCAGTCCCGACCCTTCTATCAGCTGTAACACTGTAAGATTCACGTCGTCAAGCGGCATAGCCGTCGCAAGCCTCAGTCATCTGATCCTCACCTAACAGAAATTCGCTGCTCGACATCACATCCTCTGTTCTCACATGTGCTTTTACTGTTGCTTGGTCTTTTTCTGTTCTTCTTCCACCCAGATTGGGTCTGTGATCAGACCGGGCCCTTTCCAGTACCACACATCTCATTGGCCGACAGACTCTCCAATGTCCTGTTCTCTATTCAAGTTTAATCCCCCTCTCATGCGATTACTCCGTCCCTGGTTATGCCGCTACTGCTTTTGTGGCATGCTCGTCCTGCGTCCGCATGATAGCCACGTCAAACCCTCTACTCAACACAGCTTGCTTTGGCAGTCACTTTCATGTGTCACGCCATCATACTCATATATAAATTGTTCTGTGATTTTCTGCGTCACTCCCTTGTTTGGACTTCACACAACTGTCAACGACAAAAGAGATATACTCATCATGCCTCACCCATACGACGATGGCTTCTTTCCCAGAGTAGAGGCCTGCGACATCAATGACGTCCAAGGTCTCGAAGAGGCATTCGACAAGAACAAGGAGGAGAGTGAAGCACTCAGCAATGCCCTCGAAGCTTTGGTGGAGAGAATCAGGATCAACGACGAGTCCGAGGAAGCACGTCACGATCTTGGTTTGCCGCGTGTTCCAAATCCTGCGGTGGTGTACCTTCGACGCCGGATCCCTTACAGACTCGAACTCCTCGATAACTGGAACGTCTGTATAGATCTCCGCGATATCGAATGTTGACCGTCAGGATCGTCGCAGGTGGGATGATTATCAGAGACGCCTTGCAACAGAGATATGTCATGAACGCATGACGGAGGCAGAACGATGCCTCACATGATGATGACGCTAGTTGAGTATCACACTTCTCTACTCACCTCCTTTCACGTGTCTATGCGTTCTCAGTCGTTGTAATCTACTTCACGTGGTCTCTCATATATATTTTTGTGAGGGTGTCTAGAGCAGTTTCTTCCATTCCTTCTTTCATACACTCTCACTTGGCTCACGATCTGTGGCTGCCCCTCGCTCAAGACCTAAGATCAACCTTTCGACATTCACGGCTCATCCTTCAGTATGTTAAGTCACTGGAACAGGCCCCTGGAGCCCGACTACCAGCCACCTCCGGAGTACGAAACCATCCTGAACCAATTTTGTGCCAGAAACTGGTCACCAATCCATGACAGTGCGCCTCCTGAGCATGTTGATGGTCTTGGTTCCCCTGGTAGTGACCCCTTCGTCACTGCTACAAGGAGATCAGCCAGCGATTATCCTGTGCCTGGAGATAGTGATTTTGGAGTCGGAACACACAGATCCTTTACCGACAGAAGTGGCGCCACCAATACAACTCAAGCTTTCTACGCAAGTTTCGGTATCGAGACGCCTTCGGAGACCACCGCAAGCGTCGATTATGGTTTCTTCTAGGCTTTCCTGGAGCTCGACGATGATGCTCGCAATCGTGATCTTGAGCCAGAACATCGAGAAGTTATGCGTCGGCTGGGTGAAGCCTTAAGGAGAGCCGCTCCGCTGAGACAACGATACATTATGCTCGATGGTCTTGGACATTCGAATACCAGTGTGATCTACGGGTTTTGGATGATAGGTTTACTTCGTGACAGAGTTGTCGCCCTCAATAATGCGTTGGCGGCATATCAGAACTTCTTCGAGCTGCGCGGGACCACTCTCGGCAAACAAGTCTTCGAGGGAATCATGAGCATCGCTACGGCTAATCGGACCTACAGTCTCTTCTTGGGGCTCTCGACTACGACTCGGAAATCGGCTTTTGGAAGCGACTGACGAGTATTGGGACTCACAGAGTTTGCAAGACTTTGTTCTGAACACGTGAACGGACTGGAAGACCAGGAAAACCAGGAAGTGATCCGCAATCAGCGTCTTACGACTCTCCATGCTATCCAGACGCGAAGAGCTGATCAAGCCTTGAATGTGCCAGTGCTACCTATACTGACTGAGCGAGACTTTCTCGCCGACATCGAGACCAGGTTCCCCAACCCGGACCAACGAGATCTGGATGAGGAGCTCCGACTTCTCCAGACAGAAGAGAGCAGGATAACGACAACCTACCAAAGTCTTGTGACAGAGCTTCAGTCACTCGAACAACATGGATACCACAACAACAGTGTACTATATAGACACAGAACAGTTTGGGTCCGCCATCATCTGTGTACGGCTATCCGCGAAACACTTTCAGCTTGGGAAAAGTACACAGACCTAAGAGACCTCGAACTCAGAAAGAAGCTTCTCAATGGCGAGATTGAGATTGCAGAAGTACGCAGGGTACGGGACGAGACTAAGTGGGAGTCTGAAACTGTCTACTTGACCTATATGGACATTTTCCGCGGCTACATCGATGCCAAACGCCTGGTCGGTATCCACATAGCATCACCACAAGATTGCTGAAGCACTGAATTTGTGATTCTCCCAATTCCCGAAGGAGTTTCACACACACGAAGCGTTATGATTACTACGAGGAGAACCCACACTTCCATCTAACTTCCTTTCCTTGTTATGTCTTGTTTCACGTGGAAGGTCACTCTCCTCTTTCTTGTGAAAAGCGGTACCTATGATCGAGTTTTCTGAGGAGGATACACTGACTGATACACTTCGATGCCCTTGATTTCGCGACTCGAATGTGAGTTGCCAAGAGATAACGAAACTGATACTGATACTTATCGGTGGTTGAAAAGTCATGTACACACCTAATGAATGAATGGAGAGTTCTGAGCCCTACCTTGATTCCTCTCTACTTTTTCTAATGGGCATGTGCGGTCATAATGGTTAAACCTTTGGTTGCAAAATTCCAAGGATGAATGAGCTGTTCAGTAAAAAGTACAGGCTGATTTCCCCAGCTTTAGTGGCCGGCAAATGGTTCGGCCGTGCTGAGCCGACTAGGGCGACAGTCAGCCAGTCGACCTGGAGGTCGACAAGCACCCAAGAACATGTGATTCCGATAGAAATGTTCATCTTAGAGCCTGTCATCTGCATAAGAACTGCTTCTGTACTTTCGGAGTGTCGAAGTCGGAAAGTCTGGATTGTAGTCTGTCGAAGCAGCTTCAACCAGAATGTGAGCAAGTGCGACTTCAGCAAAGGCCGATCGGCTATCCAGGAAGCTTAGAAAGGTGCGTCATTTGCCGATTTCGAGGAAAGAGACGAAAATGCGGGTTGATGTCGATGTGGAGATCCCGACTTTCCAGAGATCTGGGCTAGGTATCAATCTCCGGCCGATAGAATAAACATGCCCGTGTCTACATGCCTCGGGCTCGAAGCCTTGCTCTCTTCTTTCTCTTCCTTCTCACACCAATACTACTGTCAGCTGTGCTTCATTACACCAGCACCGTAACTTCTGTATCTCCCGGCAGGCTTCACAAACGTCCCGCATCTGACTCGACTACCCCACGACGACAACGAGACAATTATTCTGCTTCTTCGACTGTTTCCGCGACGATGCTGCATTACGAATCTACGCCCATCATGTCTGACCACATCACATCTTCATCTTCAACGCCAATGGCGAGTGCGACAGCCGCAAGCTCAATCGCTGCTCCCTCAAGTGCTGCCGTGCCTCAACACCGTCACATCTGGATCATAACAGGACCAGCTGGATGCGGAAAGACTTCAGTAGCAGAATACCTCGCCAGCACTTTCACATTGCCCTATCTAGAAGGCGACAGCGTAAGTCTCTTGTACTTGCCGAGTCTCGTGAAGCCTCACTAACACAACCCTTCACAGTTCCACCCCCAAGCCAACATTGAAAAGATGGCCAACAACATCCCCTTGACCGACGCCGACCGCTGGGACTGGCTAATCCTCCTCCGCGACCAAGCAGTCGCCGCTCTCTCCTCTGGCGCCTCCGGTGTCGTCCTCACCTGCTCAGCACTCAAGCGGAAATACCGTGACGTCATCCGAGTGGCCTCCTACAACGACAACAACGTGCTCGTTCACTTCATCTACCTCTCTGCAACACAAGAACTTTTGCTGCAAAGGGTGCATGGCAGAGTTGGACATTACATGAAGGACAGTATGGTCAAGAGTCAGTTCGACGCGCTGGAGCCGCCGACGGTGGATGAGAGGGATGTTATGAGTGTGGATGTGAGTGGAGATTTTGCTAGTGTGCAGCAATTGGCGCTGGAGGTTGTGAATCAGGTCATGGCTTCGGATGCTGTTATTGTTCAGCCAACACAAGCATAAAACACGTGTATTCTGGAGCATATGGAGTTCAAGGCTTTCGGATGCTGGAGTCGGAGAGGCGCGCGTCTCTCGGGTCACACTTGTATATACCCCTTCATGGAAGCAAGCATTTTTCTTCGAGACATGACGTGTCTAACCGTGTCGAAAAAGCGTCTGCTAAGCATCCTGGCTTACTTGCGTTCAGCCGAGGTGCTGATCTTTGTCGGAATGTGTAAAGGGTGAGATCTACCTTTGGCATTCCCAGCTGCCGTTGGCTCCGCGGTCCTTTGCCTATGACACACCATCGATTGCCTTCGCACCATACTCTTTAGGAATACTCGAGTTATTAAGACGCTCGAGCCCGCGCTTCTATACATGGAATATCCGGCAAGATGTAGGGATCATTCATATCACGTTGACGCCAATCTATCTCGGCGTGCATGAAATATATCACGAGCCTCGAGAATCCTTTGGCCAGTTTGTTTTGCCAGTCTCTCCACGATCTTACTTACTCTCTCAAGCCATTCGATCATAGTCTCGGCTCTGATTCTGCATACAAAGAAATGGAACCTTATCCATCTCCCAATGTCATGCCATCACAGACTGACCAAGCACGAACACATCGAAACAGTCGCTCTGTAATCCTCTTACTCGCCTACATTCTATCCGCAATTTGTGGATGTGTGGTGGATTCTATGTATGCGGATGGTCGTCTCTGTGCCTTAGATCCCCATGTAAGTAGATATACCCTCGATCCTTGTTGTCATACTACGTATGAAATGCTGTGATTTTCGAACGTTGTGCGGTCGATATATGTGATCAATGACATGAATATTCATTTTAGCTGGGGGAGGGACCCTGTTCCAAGTATCAGATGGTATCTCGACAAGAGAAGTGCAGGACGTCGGAACGAATCATTAAGATCCTGGCAGTGAATTCGAGAGGTTGTAGTGATTGTGGGAATGCGGCCTGAATTTGCATTGTCATTGTCGTTAAATATAACCAGACTTGTCTGGGAGTGAGCTTCGACTGAAGATACAGCAGGGCGCCTCGAAGCAATGGAAGTTGCCAATCGTGCGGACTAGACTACGCACTCTGGTCCGTGGAGGCGTGCCAGGCGGCAACTCTGGATCTGTAGATATCTCGTAATATGAGATCCGAGACTTCGAGAAACGGCATGTTGTTGCATGCGTTGCTTGGCTCGCCTATCCTGCTACATCACACCTCAGTCTTGGACCCTTACGAGAGTAATCTCATCGAGTCATGGAAGCGTGACAGTGCTCGAGAGCATTCCGATCAAGACAAGGGTCGATTTCCTTGCGTCAATGAACAGCCTGTAGCATAGACTTTGCTACCTACCTTGCCCTCGAAATGGTTTGCAAAGAACAAAACTCAGGTATCCATGTTCCTGTCGATCAATGAGCATCAGATCGAGTTTGCATCCATAGCTTGGTCGATCCGATCAAGACTGGCAGTGTTGTCTGCCGGGCCGACAACCCAGCATGTTCTTTCGGCATCACGGTCTGTGTCGATGATCACAGATGCCGTGTGGAATTTTGTCAGCGAGCAAACCTTGCTTCGGGAATAGATACAAGCGAGATTTTCAGATGTGGAGACCTCAGTGGAGAGAGTCTGATCACAAAAGACGGGCTGGGAAAAGTGTGTATAACCGTTGGGTGGATTCGTGTATAGCACGGTCGTGCGCAGCAGAGACTGTCAAAGCATACAGCAAGACCCGAGTGTCTCAGTGGGTCGGCCTGGGAATGTGATTGCGGCAGTTGGAGATGAGTGCTTGACGTTTGCCTCTTGAATGAAGAGACCTTCACTTGTCTAACTTGACAATCCAGAATTGACTATCCATTGAGCAACCAACCTCTGTGCAAGAGTCATGTCAGAGACTAGATTCCGCAGAAAAGCCTCCTCGTCGTCGTCAGTCGCGCCCTCGATGTTGTAGGGTCAAAGCGTGCACGATTCTGGCTCATAGAAGCGAAGTTTCCTACAAGCCATTTCGCGGCCCCACCAACGCGCTACTTTACGTGGAGAGAGACCCCACAGGGCGTTCATGGGCGTGGAGACTCCAGCTCACCTCCGCTTTGATCGACCTACATCGAAATTCTTCACGAGGGAGCTCTATGAGAAGCTTGTTGATCTTTCCGGTTGTCAATCGTTCATGAGCATACACTTATGCTGCGGCGCAATCCTACGATATCACCGTCCAATCTCGACAACCTCACTCGTTCAGCAATGACGGTGTGGCTCGAGACAGACAACCTAAGGACCGTTGCTCTGAACAAGCAATGAACGCTGGGGTCACCCCGACCCGGGATCGCTCCACGCCGCCCCACAACCCGACCTTGATTTCACATCGTTGATACCTCTCGTTGTTGCCCTAAGCATTCGGCATGGTGCCAAGTGCACTTCCCGTTGTCTTTACCAACCCCACGGACGACTTGCCCATGTCACGAGGCCCGCAAGTGGCTTACTCGAGCGGAGAACAGACACTCAAGAGGGTTAAACGTCGGACATGATCAAGCCATAACCACGGCAGTGCTGGCTGGCAGATGATTTTGATCACTCGTCGGTGTGAATTGCGGGTCGTTCACCACACGGCAGACCATTTTCGGCCTGATTGCCGGTCTGCTAACCTTGATATTCGGTCGATGTGCTCGCGAAATCGGTAAGCACGGTCAGATCACTCCAACTATCGGCTTGGTAGTTACGCGAGCACCCCGCTTTAGGTTCTTGACCAAGGGCTGAGTACTCAGTCGCGGACTCGCGATGCTGGAGTATAGTTTAGGGCCCTTCAAGGTAACTTTAGTCTCAAAAAGTCTTTAGGATATAAAGGTACTTCATCTCCCCATCTTGCTATCCATCAGCAACAGCCAACGCCTTCCATATCGACAAGAGATTGAATCAGTCTCGTTGACAAGGCTTCTTCATAATGCGTTTCACCACCGAGCTACTGGCAGTCGCGCTCGCTGTTGCAGATGTCACCTCTGCCCAGAACTCAACATATAATGCTACTGCAGCTGCTGCAGCTCAGTTGAAGGCTGAGCTGGCTAATCTCGAGCAGTTCTGGTCCTATGGAAGATCACCTCCAGTCTACCCCACTCGTACGCTTCATCTCATTACATACTTCGGCTATATACTAACATTGTGCAGCTCAAGGAGCAGGTAGAGACGAGTGGGCTAGTGCATATGAAAAGGCCAGAGCCCTGGTCGCTTCGATGACCGACTTTGAGAAGAACAACATCACATACGGCTACACTTCCAAGTTAGTCTTACCCGAGTTCCTTTGACAATGATCCAACCTGCTAACGCAATTGTCAGGACAAATGGCTGTGGTGGTAACAGTGGTTCGGTTCCTAGAGTCGGCTTCCCCGGTCTCTGTCTTAGCGATGCTGGAAACGGCCTCCGTGGTACTGACGGTGTCACTGGCTTCGCTTCTGGTGTCCACGTTGGTGCTACGTGGAACCGTAATCTCGCTTACCAGCGTGCTCACTGGATGGGTGCAGAGTTCAAGGCCAAGGGCGTCAACGTCCTTCTCGGACCTGTTGTCGGACCTCTCGGAAGAGTTGCTGAGGGCGGTCGTAACTGGGAAGGTTTTAGCAACGACCCTTATCTTGCTGGTAGTCTGACCCACGAGACCGTCCGGGGCATGCAGAACAATGTCGTCTCTTGCATCAAGCATCTTATCGGAAACGAGCAGGAGCTTGATCGCAACCCTGCTGGAGCCAACGCCTCCATGTCAGCCAACATTGATGACAAAACTATGCACGAGATGTACATGTGGCCCTTCCAAGACGCCGTTCACGCTGGAGTCGGCTCTGCCATGTGCTCGTACCAAAGGTGTGTCTTCCCATTTCTCGACAACATGATCGTCGATTGCTAATACGTGAGCAGAGCCAACAACTCTTACGGATGCCAAAACTCCAAGGTCATGAACGGCCTCTTCAAGGGGGAGCTCGGTTTCGAGGGTTTCATTGTTTCGGATTGGGGTGCTCAGCACTCTGGTGTCGCCAGTGCTGATGCTGGTCTCGACATGGCCATGCCTAGCTCAACTTTCTGGCAGAATGGTAACCTCAGCCAGGCTGTCAACAACGGATCGCTCTCCTCCACCAGACTTGATGACATGGCTACCCGTATTGTCGCATCTTGGTACCACCTCGCTGAGTGGCAGAACCCTGGACATGGTATGCCCGTCAACCTCACTCTTCCTCACGAGTACGTCAATGCTCGTGATCCTGCTTCCAAGCAGAGCACTTTCCAGACCGCAGTCGAGGGTCACGTTTTGGTCAAGAACGTCAACAAGGCTCTTCCGCTGAAGGCACCCGGATTCATCTCTCTCTTTGGTTACGACGGTATTGCCCCATCAACTTACACACCTGACAACGCACCCGCATTCACTCTTTCAAACTTTGGCTTCTCTCCCGTCGACGGTGTCAGCGCCAGCGAGCTCTTGCTGCTTTTCGTCGCCCCATCGACTATCCCTTCCGAGGCTCTGCCCGGTATTGCTATGAACGGAACCATGGTTACTGGTGGTGGCTCTGGTGCCGCCCAGCCCGCATACATTAGCGATCCATTCAGCGCCATCACCGCACAAGCAATGGAGGACGACACCTGGCTCCAGTGGGATTTCCACAGCCAGAATCCCGTGGTCCAGAGAGGATCAGAGGCATGTCTTGTCTTCATCAACGCCTTCGCCACCGAATCATACGACCGTCCCTACCTGGAGGATGAGTACTCGGACGACCTTGTCTTGAATGTTGCTGCTCAGTGTAACAACACCATGGTCATTCTCCACAATGCTGGTATCAGGACCATTGACGCGTGGTACTCGAACCCCAACATCACTGCCATTGTCTACGCTCATCTCCCCGGACAAGACTCAGGCAAGGCCCTGGTTGAGGTTCTTTACGGCAAGCAATCCCCTAGCGGTCGCATGCCTTACACAGTCGCCAAGAAGCCTGCTGATTACGGCAACCTCCTTTCGCACCTTAGACCCGACAACACCAGCAACTACTACACCCAGGACAACTTCACTGAGGGTGTTTACATTGATTACAAGGCCTTCATCGCGCAAAACATTACCCCCCGTTTCGAGTTCGGTTACGGTTTGACTTACACCACTTTCAACTACTCGTCGCTAGAGACCAAGACCCTTAGCAACGTCAGCACTTCTGAGTACCCTCCCAACAGCCCCGTCGCTCAGGGTGGTGTTGCTTCTCTCTGGGATGTGATTGCTACTGTTGACTGCACCATCACCAACACTGGCTCAGTCACTGCCTCTGAGGTCGCACAGCTGTACGTCAATATCCCCGGTGGTCCCGCCAAGGTCCTTCGTGGATTTAACAAGCAGGGCGTCGATGCCGGCAAGAGCATCAACTTCCACTTCGACCTCACCAGACGTGACCTGAGCGAGTGGGATGTTGTCAGCCAACAATGGAAACTGCAACAAGGCAACTACCCAATCTACGTCGGCAAGAGTGTTTTGGACATCCAGCTCACAGGCAGCCTGACCATCTAATTTCGTCCCTAAGATGAGACCAAACATGATACGATAAAACGATGATATCCTAATGTATTTTAACAAGCACTTGTATATAAGCAAAGCCAATCGATTGCGTAAAAGAACGTTTCTTACATTTGTGCCGGCAGATTTGATCTGAGAACGGCCGAAAGGGTCTCTGTACCTTGCTCGGTTGGGCTGGCATGTGCCGAGGCTTGGACGCGTGACTGCCATGACAGCTCCAGGCGTGGCAGGACAAAGGAACAAAGAAGATCCTTCTACACGTTCTGTGACATGAATCGAATGACATGTTTGAGGCAACTCAAGAGTCTGTGAACCATTGACGTAGCGGGCTATCGATGGTTTCAAACGCTGGCAAAAGAAAAAGCCTCAATTGTCAAGTTGGAGGGTTGACTGCGACAACGGAAAGTCTACGGCCATCAACGTCAGAAAAGGCGGTTCGGGCGCAGAGCAAGCCGACAACCGTCGAGATGCGGCCAATCAAGAATACAAGCACCGATGTGGTCCGCATCATGATTCGAGTCCAGCCACACGCAGCCAAGCATCTCATGTCACCTTGATCTTCTGTCCACTTCATCCCAACTTCAGTCTTCAATCTTCTTCAATTGACCATACCACCATCCATCAATCTTCCCCAACATCGACTATCGTATAGTGCTCCCCCGCACTCTTGCCGCAGCTCCATCCGCAACCCGCACTATACTGCTCAACAAATACACAAGCCGCATCGCAACTTCGCTGTCATGCCTATCATCAGGAATCCCTTCCGTCGCACCGAGGAGACTGCGCGTCCAGTCGAACCTCAGCCCGAGAGTCGCAAGGTCTCCGCCCCTCGGTCAATCGAGATCAAAGAGCCTGCCGAATACAAGTTGAGCGGTCAGCATGCGCCCCGTTCACCGTCATGCTTGAGATGACCAGACTGACATGGCTTGTAGAAATCAACGACAGCGGTGTCTATCTTCCTGTATGCAGTCCTTCTCCCTACACTTCCGTCCCTCTGCTGACGCGCCCTTCCCAGCCTTCTCCCACCGAGCGCAAGGCCTTCTGGTCGACCAAGTCAAGCAGCTCCACCAACTCTTCTACCAACCACCGTGCCATGCTCAGCGAAGAGCCATTCAACATTTCTAGAGAATCATTCGACTCATACAGACGCTCCTTTGTATGTCATGGCTATCATGCGTTACTCTCTTGCGCAGAGGCTAACTTCATCCTCAGGACATTTCGGCTCGCTCACCCGTCATTCCCCCCGAGGGTCGTCCCCGTCAATCTCTCGACTCGTCCCATCACCGCCAGCCTCCACGCAGCTCCCTGGCTCTCAACAGACCCCTTCCCACAGCAGATGAAGGTTTCGAGGACGTCGGTCTCGAAGACCCAAAGCCAAAGAAGCGCGGTTTCTTGTCTCGCTTGACAGACAGCAACGACGACGGCCCAGACAGCAGACCAACGTCGAGCCACCACGGCTTTCACTTTGGCAGCGGTCGCAAGCGTGGCCAGAGTGGAACCGGTGCTGAGCTCAAACCAATGGCCGACAAGTCAAACGACGAGTAATTTCGTTCCCATTATAATTTCTTCAAACTCTGGGATATAGGGCATCAATTTGGGATGGCCTAAGGGGAAAGGCAAGGAACAGGATTTGGCACAATTCGAATGGTTTTGGGATCTTCTTACGGCGACTATTACAGGCGTTTGAACGGACGAGGGGAAGTGGTATCTTCCAGGTCCAAGGCTCACAGAGAGATGAGTCAGAGTCTTATTGAGAGAGCAGGCGATGGATATACATATCGATCCATAGTGTATACTTACTGTACACGACATAATGAACGGTTTCTTACTTGATTGCGATTTTTCATACATGCGAATAGATCACATGTGCTTGGGTCACAGCTCCTTTGTGCAAGCGCTGTGGCGAAGTCGAGCTGAAGAGGTACCTACCATTGCACCAAAAGCGCCAACGGAGCCTCGGAACGATTGCGAAAACACTCTTAGTCCATGGAGAACCTCATCTCTATCAACCTGAATTCAAAAGCTCCCACAACAATTCTCGCAAACAATGCCATTTCACGACATGTTAGAGTCGGAAAGAGGTCTTGGCATTGCTTCCGCAAATAGGGCAAATTGATGTTTCGGCAATCGCGACTTCCGCCTTGCGTTCTTCGCGCGCGTGCCTTCCAAAAGTTCTAGAACCTTAAAGGGCTACAGAACATAACAAAACAACAACAATTTACAAATTAGCAAAAACCAGATTATACGCGAACCACCATATTGAGGAATACCGGAACACTGAGAGCCTAGATCGGTTGCGCCAGGCGATTTTATCCTTTTCTTGAAATTCTTTTTGGATATTCTTGTGAGGAAGATTGGGGGATTGAAGTGTTTCTTGTGGGATAGCTAAGGAAGAGGAGAAGGGGACATTATCGGCAATGGTAAGCATAATGCTAAATGTGATGTTGCGGAGATGATGCAAAGTGCTGACTCTGATGATTTAAAAACAGAACTCGCGGAATCTGCGACGTCTGGCTGGCGATCATGCAGCTTTGCACAACAACCCTCTACCACCGAATTACCTCTTCGACCCGATATCAACATCAGACTCGGAACTCACGGCTTTGGACATACTTCTAGCAGGACCGAGAGCGACACCCTATGAACAAGGCGTTTTCAAACTCCATCTTACCATTCCAACAACATATCCTCAGGAACCCCCGAAAGCATATTTCCGGACAACGATTTTTCATCCAAATGTTGACGACAAGACTGGAGCTGTTTGTGTAGAGACGTTGAAGAGAGATTGGGATCAGAAATTGACATTGAGAGACGTGCTTGTCACGATATGTTGTCTACTGGTGCAACCCAATGCGAGCAGTGCGTTGAATGCTGAGGCGGGCATGTTTCTTGAGCGAGGTGACTGGAGCCAGTTTGAGAAGAGGGCAAAAATGATGACCAAGATCCAGGCTGGAGTGCCGAAACACCTCAAAGAGGCTGTCTTGGAAGCACAGAGGAGGGGCGAGGAGAGTGAAGAGTTGGAACGAAAGGACTCTGCATTGAATATTGCAGAGGCACGTCGAAGTAGAAGAAGGGGTACGCCTTTGCCGAGAGAAATGATGGGGACGCCAGTCGAGACTGGCAGGAAGGCGACAAGAGCTGGGACACCGCCTCCACCACCGACCAGAGCACCGGCAACGTCGCGTCCATTCGTGCGCCAATCTAAGAGAGATGATGTGTTCGGTGCAGTACGACTTCCTGCCCCAAATACAACTCCTGTAATAATGGATGACTCTTCTGAGCTGCTTCCCGCTGATACGACATTCTCTCCTCACGAGCAACCGATCCCACGACTCTCACCAAGAAGACAAGGACCTCCACCTCGTCTCAACGACCTCTCCATGACAGACTCCGAGCCAGAATACCCGCCTTCACCCAAGAAGAGTCCTCAGAAACAAGCCAGAGACACGAGCAATGCCAGCATAGAATATCCACCTTCACCACGAAAGAGCCCCCAGAAGAAACGTCTCAATGATCTCTTCTCCCAGCCCGCACGCCCAGAACTCAGTAGAGCGGAATCCAGTCGTACAGGCGCCGCGCGACAACTCCAATTCACAGCACCATCATCACAAGCTCAGGGAACGCCCAGCATCTTTGACTCATCCTCTCTGCTAGAACAAAACGCAACCTTTGACCTCGACACCGAACCAGATACTGAAGTCGAAGCTTCCTTCGACCTCCCAAAACGCAGATCTGCAGTCGCTGCAAACAAAAAGCTTGCAGCAGCCACACAAGCAGCAAGGACACTCCGCAGGAAACCTAGAATGATCATTGCAGAGACAACACCAATCTCCATCCCTGTCCCTCGTCTAGCGAAGTCAAGAAATCCCTCGAGGGCGAGAAAAGCAACGCCACAATGCCCGCCGTCTCCTCCTTCCTCGTCATTCCAAGTCGTCGCTTCTCCTGGAGTAGTGGAGAAGGGAAAAGCAAGTGTTATCATCAAGCCAGCAGAGAAGTTGTTGGATAAGGTCCGCAAGTCTCCAAGGGAAGATCAAGAAGCAAGACTGGAGAGGAAGTTGTGGAAACTTTGCGGTGAAGATGTTGGAAGGTGGAATAAAGGTGATTTTGGCGGATACTTCAAGGTCAAGGGGGCTCGATGGTAAAGATCCTCATACTGGCTCGGAAGTACTTACCCGCGAACGAAGGTGGAAGTTACAGCAGAGGCGACCTTTGTATAGGGGATCGATCGTTACATCTTCCCACCCCTACCGATTTGCACAGAAACTTCACAAGGTCATCGTCATTATTTCCTTTGGGAAAGAAGCATTGAGCATTGAGCATTTGGGTATTGGAGTCCTGTTGAACCTGGCATGAGCTTTTTTTACATTACCACTGCAATCAGCATTGCTTTATTCTCATTCATCGCAGTATCTCTCTCACACTGATTCCCTTCATCGCTAATCGAAAACAACAAGTCAGATGTAAATTTCCGTCCTTTCTGAGCCCCCCCATCCGCTTGAAACTTTTCCATTTATCCACACACACTTTTTTGCTCCCCAGCAAACCCTTCCCCTTCCCCCCAAACAAGGATAACAAAAAAACATCCACAAGTGTGATTTTTTCTCAAAACAAGAAAAAAAAACTTCAGTCAATGAGTGTGTTATCAGTCCAAAAAAATCGAGTGTGAGATTATCTGCGTCTCTTTGTGGGTGAAGGGAGGGAGTGTGTTTTTTTGTGGCGGAGAAAGCGGGATCTTTGAGAGATGGAAATGAGGGAATGCTTGGGGGG